TGCAACCCAGGCATGTGCCGTGACTGGGAATTGAACCTGCGACACTTTGGTTCACAGCCCGAGCTCAATTCACTGAGCTACGCCAGCCAGGGCTAATGTGCACTTTTGCTTTGGCGATGGAGATTTTAGGTTTGATGAAGGGAAGAAGAATACACTGTACTAGAGGATCCAGTTAATTTTTTAAGTCATTGCAACAGAGCCAATAACTTGAGGGTGACCCTGCTAGACCCAAAGATGGAAACAGTGGCACAGTGCACTGTCTGTATAAGATGCACAGAGTGACTGATGCCGCCGGACAGACTTCCTGTCAGTCTTGAGCTCTGGAAAAATCTCTGTGTGGCTTTTTGCAGAGGGTTCACTGAGGGAAGGAAAGCCAGAACCCTTGAAGACAGTTTTATAGGAATTACAGTGAAGACTGTTTCTCATGTTGACTCTTGATGAAAACAAGGACTCAGAAAGGCTTCCAATTGTCTTAGCCAGTGCTGACCAGTACAACTTTCTGGGCTAATGAAAATATTTCCTATCGGCAGTGCCCAATAACACAGCCATCATCCTTATGTAGTTATGGAACACTGGAAATGTGGCCAGTACAACTGACTAGAATGAAAATTAAACTCTAATTATATTCCATTTCAGTAAATTTCAGTAGCCACATGTAGCTAGTGACTGCTGTACTGGACTGAGCGGGTCTAGAAAGTATGGGAAGGATCCTAGACTATTCTCCATGGAGCCCTGAAAGTAACTGAGTAACTTGTATTGCCTTAAAATACTGACAATGCTTGGCGGCAATTTAAAAATGCAATGCAAAACACATCTATTTTGTACTCAGAGTGGTCTAAGTTAATCCACTGGGGAATGGAAGACGACACTCAACTCCGTATTCTATTTGTATGTTGCAGTAAGATTAGTATCGGTGAATGTTTTTTTTTTTCTCTTTTTCGCTCTCTCTCTCTCTCTCTCTCTCTTTTCCATGTTTCTGTTAGCTGGGAAGCTGTTTGCCCGAAAGTATGATTTCCTTCAAAAATAGCTTTTCCATTCCCACAAGAGCACGAAAACACATAGAAATATCAAAAGGTAAAAATAGATTATGTCTTGTTACAATGAATCAGCGTGAAACGAAGCTGGAAGAGGAAGTGGGGTGAGTGAGACTGAATCAGAGAAATTCAGCATTTCAGCTGGCAGGACACATTCAAAGATGGGTGTTGGGCGATGGTCATTGAGCCCGCGCACTAGTGAAACTCCGGTCGCCAAGGAAATGGAAAGCAAATGTGACGGAGGGTCGTTTAGGAAACAAAGGCTTCAAGGAGACTATGAATACCGTGTGGCATTAAAAACTCCAGGGCAAATCAATGGTCAATACATCATCTGGTTCACTTTGGAAGAAGGCGGTTAGAAATCGGCAACACATGATACACGAAAGCCTCCTGCAGGAATTGAATTGTATCTGTGTGATGGGACTCCACACAGGTAGAAACATGAGCATGTTAGTGACTATAGTGCAAAGTATGTGTGCCTTAGAAATATGTCATTGATTCAAGTTTACCAATGCATTTTTTGGGGGGGAAAAAAAAGTAAACTAACATGTAGAAAATTCTCCTGTGAACAACCAGACATTAAAGTTGTCAATGAACGTGAGTTTGAGGAGGAAGCACCTAATTTGTTTGACCTGTTGGTTCACTGCTGGGCATACACGAAGCTAGCAGCTTCCAATGAAATCATATCAAATTAAATGTAAAACGTCTCTGACATAGTACATCCCCTCATTCTGCATCACTGAGCCGCTAAAAGTGTTTTTAAGAAGAATATTAACTACATTGACTGGGCTCACGGCAGTGCGCGCCAACCCATGACTCACAAGTAGACGGAAATGATCCAGGGACCTTTACCCAGAGCGTGGTTTCCCTACGGAGGGCGTTTACAGTACGAGGAGCTTCGATTTCTCCTTCTGAAATGAGATTTTGTTACTGCTGACTGAGGAGCCCACACTGCTACAGCGCAGGGATTCTAAAGCGACTTAGGCCTAAAAACTAGAGAAGCTTTCATTGAACCACATGCTTCCACCTCTTTATAGTGAGAAATACTCATTACTAGAGCATTTGGCTCGCCATTCTACTTGATTTCTTCGCCTGTCTGTATTCCCACCATGAACTCCTTGAAGAAAGGGCTTCTCTCTGTGTAGCCTCAAAACCTACCCGTCAGTTCCATCATCAGTACTTTACAAACAAAAGATTGGGAATAATTTAGGTTGCTGACATAAATAACAGAATTTACTCCCTTTGAGCTGCATGTTGCAGAACAGGGACAGGGAAGTCCTAAGTTTGGCAGGGAGGAGAGCACGGTGCTCCAGAACATGGGCTGCAGAGCCAGGGAGCACAGGCTCTGCCACTCAGGACGTTAAGTGCCCATGAGCAAACCGGAGCCTCAGCCTCCGCATCTGGAAAATGGGTGTACTAATAAAGCTCACTTCAAAGCGTGCTGTGAATAACGCACGAGAAGATGTGCACGAAGCCTGAAGCGTGGTCACTGGCACAAACTGAGGGTTCAGCAGTTGTTAGCTGCTACGGTGCGATCGTTACACATTCTGAAAATAGATGAACAGTTACTCCATTTTTGTTTCATTAAAATAAAGTGAACCATAATCTCACCTTCGTCTTTAATTTGACCCTCTTTGGTAACTCCCTTATAGAAAGAAAATACAGTTAACGTAGAAAGTGTCATGTCCACAGGCAGTTTGCGTGGGCACGCAGCACTCAACAGGCACTATTTCATGTCCATCTTTACGCAGCACGGCTGAGGCAAGGAACCCAGGTGACAAAGGCAAAGGGGTTGGGAAGTGCAGATTGGTAGTAACAAGAGTCACGGGGATGTCAAGTACAACATGGGGAAAATAGTCGGTAATACTGTAATAACTACGTATGGTTCCAGGTGGGGACTGGAACTATCGGGGGAGTGCTTTGTAAAGTCTGTAATTGCCCAACCACTGTGCGGTACACCCGAAACTAATACAAAATAATATTGGATGCAAAAAAGTATATATACTTTTGATTAAATAACTTTTTAAAGCACATTGGGGGATAGCTTCAAAATCAGAATCATACAGCTGTGAATCAAAAGCAGTTGTTACCTAAGGCTCCTAACTGCCATAAAGAAGAATATCCATTCAAATCTGCAAGCATCTATTCATTCATTCATTCATTCATCCAAATATCCATTGAGTCCAAATTACATCCAGGCACAGTTCCTGGTGTTTGTGATATACAGTGAGCAGGATGGACAGAGATCCCTGCTCTGCATGGAGCCCACGTTCAACATGTAGCAAAGTTCTCCTACAGTAAAACATCTACTTGGTCATTTCCTCTTTGCATGTCAAATAACACAGTGCCTCATTCAATCATATCAGACTTATACACGCTAGTAAAGACCTTATATATTTTCATTTTTGACTTTTGTCCTTTTTACTCACCCTGCCCTTCTGCAACAGAAAGTAAATGTAGTATTCCTCCAACATATGAGGCAGACACTTACAGCTAAGCTAAGCTAAGAATTCAAGCTAAGCACAGAATTATTGTACAATAAAGCAGCAGATTATTTTTACAATAAAGCAGTGGCAATAATTAGATTTATTCGCTGGTAACCAGAAATATGGTAGGAATGTGATGAATTATTTTTTATTTTTAAATTTTATTACTATAAACCAGTTTCACTTTCTTCCTTAGAGGTAGTTGAATACGCATGAAGGTCTGAAATAAAAAAAATTTTTCCCCTAGGAATAAATTTTGATGGAATATGTATTTCTCCCATTCAGCTAAATGCAAATGCCACTAAATTTATAAATAAAGAGAATTTTAAAGTTAATGAAAGTGGGAAAACATATTTGCCAATGATACTTGGGCAGGGGTTGGATCTCCAAAATATATAAAGGACTCACATGACTCAACACCAGGAAGACAAACCACACAATTAAAAAAGGAGCAGAGGACCTGAACAGACATTTCTCCAAGGAGGACATATAGAAGACCCATAGGCTTAAGAAAGGATGCTCAACATCATTAGCCATCAGAGAGATGCAAATTAAAACCACAGTGAGATACCACTTCACACTGGTCGGAATGGCCATCAAACAAATCAACAAATAATAAGTGCTGACAAGGTTGTCGAGAAAAGGGAACCCTAGCACACTGTTGGTGAGAATGCAGACTGGTGCAGCCACTGTGGAAAACAGTACAGAATTTCCTCAGAAAACTAAAAATGGATCTGCCTTTTGACCCAGCAATTCCACTGCTGGGATTGTACCTTAAGAACCCTGAAACACAAATTCCAAAGAACCTATGCACCCCAGTGTTCATAGCAGCACAATTTACAATAGCCAAGTGCTGGAAACAGCCTAAATGCCCATCAGTAAGTGAGTGGATCAAAAACTATGGTACATTTACACAAATGGAATTCTATGCAGCAGAAGGAAAGAAGGAACTCCTACTCTTCAGGACAACATGGATGGAACTGGAGAGCATTATGCTAAGTGAATTAAGCCAGGTAGCAAAAGACAAATACCATATGATCTCACCTATAAGTGGAAGCTAATGAACAAAAAAACCCAAATCAGCAAAACAGAACCAGAGGCATGGAAACAAGGAACAGACTGGCAGTGACCAGAGGGGAGTGGGGAAGGAGATAAGGGAGGAAAGAAGGGCAAGAGCCTAGTTCAAGAACAAGTATAAATAAACCACGGGCATGGACAACAGGGTGGGGATTGACTTTGGGAGCGGGGGTGGGCGGGGCTGGGAAGACCAACAGTGGAAAATTGGGACAACTGTAATAGAATAACAATTAAAAAATAAATAAAATTTCATACCAAAAAAATAAAGTTAATGAAAGTGAATTAAAATGGTAGAATAAAAACACAGAGAGATCTACTGGGTCATCTTTAGCTGAAAGGATGGCAAGCTGAATGCTTTAAAATTGTGCACACATGCGTCCTGTTGACTGAGGTCCCCTTTTACCTGGCTGCCATGAGGTCCAGGAGGTGCTGCCACCGGTCATTCACCTTGCCGAGCTTGTATTCAATCTCGGAGGCCTTGCTCTCATGGCTGACTCGAGCAAGGCGCTCTCCCATTTGTTGGAGCTGTATTTTGTTCTCTTGGGCAACAGCAATTTCCTCTTGATAATCCTGCATAATAAATAGCAATTGCCGAGTTCAGAAAGCGTATTCTTGATCCATGCAGCCTGGCTTTACTAGAAACAGGATAATTACAGTTTTCTACTGCTTGGAAATAGTTTTAGCAAGAGGAACACCGTGTGAATATCCATCCAGGTGCACAAGACGGAGCGGAACCCATGATTTTCACTACGTGTGCAGAGCCCAGGCTGAATGTTTACATAGACAAACTTTTCTTCAATTACCCAGCTTCTTCACTAGCTCATCTTACGGACTGCTGTGGGTAAAGGTCGCTGTGGGTCCACAGGACCCATCTGCAAGGGGTGGGCCACGAAATGGCCTGGTCAAAGTGACATGAAGGGCAGCTCCCTGCCACCTCTGCCTGCATTCCCTGACCAATGACCCTCTTTCTGTCTTGCCACAGTGACAAGACCCAGTCTTTCAAATCAACTTTTCTGTTTTTGACTTAAGCTTCTGTTATGCAGAAAATATAAAAAGAGAGGCATTATAGGAGCATAAACATTTTCACTTTCTCTTGCTCTAAAGTCAGTGTGGTGACAGGGCCACCCTCTCAAGTCAGTGAGCTGGGCAGAAGGCCCCCCAGAGCATGACAGGAGCCAGTGAAACTTTAGCCTAACCTAACACTGAGCACTAACCTCAGGCCGGCACCCCCACCTACCCTCGTCTTTATGCTGCTTGAACAAAGTGGGATTCAAAGACCAATGCAATGGGTGTACTTACTAATAGGTATACCGTTTCACCATAAATGAAGTAATTTTATTGAGAAATATTTATTTCAAAGGAATTACTCCAAGTTTAAGATAGCATTTATCACAACATAATCCTCTTGGGCTGTCTTTTAGATTAAAGTGTTTTTAAGTGTTAATGCCAGTAGACACCAATATCTTGGTTACAGTCTGCTTATTAATTACTTCTTTGTATGTTACCAAAATTATTTTCCTTTACAAAAGAGACAGCACAAGAGGCAAACTCATAAAGACTTCTTTTTAAACCTCATAACTTATTCTATACGGAAAATAGTATAGTTAATAACTTAAAGATGATTCCCCACATTGTACCAAACAGTGGACCAAAATTAATGATAAAAAACTAAAGTTTCTCTAGTTGTAAATTATGGCTATATTTTGTTTAAGAGCTAGTTTCTTCCATACCCCCAAACTATACACTTAAATTTCACGAAGTAAATTAATTAGAATATAATACACTTAGACAAAATTTATTCTATAGCGAACTTCACTCTAATACCTACGGCACATCAGTCATGCCTAGTGGAACGTTCTCTGATACTCAGGAACCAGCAAAGGGCAGAGCCTTTAGGAGATGACTAAATAAAATCCCTATCATCTGAGCTCACATTTTAAAGAATTACAATATTGACTGGACCAATGCTTATCCTTAGGATTCGCAATCTTAAGTAAATTAATATTATATGTTGGCTTTTAGGGTTTTATTTTTCTCTGTGTATGTGTGTATGGATAAAGATATTTTTCCTAACACCTTTGTACATTTCTTTTCAGAATGAATAGAACTATAATTCATTCATTCAATAGCTTCTGACTGAGTGCTTATGAGAGGCTGGCATTACCCTGGATGAAGGGGACAGAGAACAAAACAGACCACGTCCTTGTTCCAGTGACACTACCAGCCCCGTGGGGCAGACAGACAATGAACAAGAAAATGGGGAAAACGCTGTACATCAGGCCATGACATGTGCTAATGAGAAACATAAGCTAAAATAAAATTAAAATCATCGTTCAAAACAATGTGGAAATACCACTGAAATTTTCAAAAATATTTTTAAATGCTAGTGAATTTGATCAGCCCTATATTGGCATAAGAACGTTCTGAGTGTATATGAATATGTAAAATGCTTTAATAATCATCTATAACTTGAAGCCCTGGCTGGCATAGCTCAGTGGATTGAGCATGGGCTGCGAACCAAAGTGTTGCAGGTTTGATTCCCAGTCAGGGCACATGCCTGGGTTGCAGGTCATGACCCCCAGCAACCACACAGTGATGTTTCTCTCTCTCTCTATCTCCCTCCTTCCCTCTCTAAAAATAAATAAATACAATCTTAAAAAAAAGAATACAAAACTAATTTGTTTTTTAAAAAAATAATCATCTATAACTTGAAAATCACATTAAACCAAAATTCTCAGAGAAATTCTATGAGAAATTCTATGTTTCTTTTAATTCTTGTGATGTTAATTCCTACACATAAATGCTGCCCACTGAACAGGCAACTAAAACTCCAACACGCTGAACATTCTCAGCAAATAATCTATTTCACAACAAACTGAAAGTGTTCCCTGTAGAAAGAAAAATGCCATATGATTTCACTTGTGTGTGGAATCTAAAGAACAAAATAAATGAACACACAAAACAAAAACAGAAACAGACTCTCAGAGAACATACTGGTGGTTGCCGGAGGGGAGGGGGCTGGGAGGCTGGGGGAAAGAGGTGGGGGAATTGAGAAGTACAGATTGACAGTTACAAAACCGTCTTGGGGATGTGAGGTGAGGCATAGAAAATACAGTTGATACTACTGTAATAACTATGTATGATGCCAGGTGGATGCTTGAACTATGCAAGGGAACACTTTGAACGTTTATGATTGTTTAACCACAATGCTGTACATCCAAAACTAATACAAATACAGCATGTAAATGGTAATTGAAAAATAAAATTAAAAATTTTAAAAAAGAAACAAAAAATAAAAAATATTCTCTGTATTTTTACATTAAAAAGGAAGCCTTTCCATGCAAGTTGATTTTATATTAAAAATATAAAATGCCTGTGATAGCGGGCTCCTTTGACAGGAAAGTAACTATCAGCAAAGTCACCTTCGGTACCCATCAGGAGGATGCCTGAGCATGAGGAAGGGGAGGCGCACGTGTAGCCAGGCGGTCCATACCTTCCTGAGCTTCTCTATCATGTCTTCAATGAGGACGTCTCCGTTCTGGGAAACTTTGCTTTCCATCTGAGTCAGCCATTCGCAAAGCTCCTTGTTCTTTTCACTGAAGACCGCCCATTCGTTCAGTCTCTCACCGACTTGCTGCCGCCTTAGGGAGAGCTGCAAAGTCACACAAGAGAGAAAATGCAAAGAAAAATCAGTGTAACTCATGCCCTGTGGGAAACAGCCAGTGAGCTCTACTAGGGGGACTGATAGTTCCCTGTAGGAGACCGTTCTGCATGGTGTGGGCCCAGCTCCCACTCAGAGATCCCAGGGTTGCAGGGATCTCTGGATCCCTGGACACAGGGCACAGGACCCACGCCCACGGATAGGTTCTCCCGTGGGGAATCAGGCCTGCAATGTGTCTAGGCCGCTTTGAGTCTTGCTCTTGCTAAAAACCTCCCTTACTCTGAATTGAGGACGTTTACTGCAAAGTAACTTCCTAAAATCCATGCTAAACCTTCCAAGGATGAGTTTAACTGGTTCAACCACTTTTGCCTTTTCATTTGCAAATATCCCTCTTCTGTGATGTGACTAGCAGCATTGGCTCCTTTGTTTTCTGTAAAAGCTAACCACCTAAAGTGAACCTGTGGATAGTAAACGAGGACCATCATGTATTGTGCGGAGAAACCCAATAAAGGCCTGTCATGGCAAGGGCTAAGGCTTTTGCTCCCCTTGAGAGAAAAGCCATGCTGTCCCTTTTCCTCCACCGGGCTCAGTAGTCCGTGTGAATGTCTCATTTCATCCATAATGACTCGGACACTGCGGGCCGGTGTCTGCACCAGTTCCCTGCGGTTCAGCCCCAGGAACACTGCTCTCCAGCACAGTGTCACAACGAGGTCTGCTGATAAACAGCAGGGGGAGACGTTGAGCCCGGTACTTGCCTCCTGAGGCGCCACATGCCCATTCACTTATTACAGGTACTTTCGATCCAGCTTCACACTACAGCTGGCTTGGTGTCAACATCATACAGGATGGTTGTACTTTCACTAAAAAAGTTAAAGTTTTCTTTGAGGCAGAAAAACATGGAACAGCCAAAGAGCAGTGACTTTCCCTGGGGTGGACACTGGTAGGAATGGAAAAGGCTAAGAACACACAGGTTAAAAAGCTTTGGACCTGGCTCGCGTAGCTCAGTAGATTGAGTGCAGGCTGCGAACCAAAGTGTCGCAGGTTCGATTCCCAGTCAGGGCACATGCCTGGGTTGCAGGCCATGGTCCCCAGCAACCGCACATTGATGTTTCTCTCTTTCTATATCCCTCCCTTCCCTCTCTAAGAATAAATAAAATCTTAAAAAAAGTGGAAAAAAAAAGCTTTGGAGACACATTTCACCTCTGTTAAGCTGAGGATAAGCGTGCACGTCCTCTTTCTGGAAACCCCTTTCTCTACAATTCTGACAGCAGAATGCACAGTATGCTGGGACCCTATGGTTTTGAATTTTCTGGTGGATATGACTTTTTCTCTTTCATTCACAGAGCATCAGAGTCAGGAGTGTGGCCAGTCATTCTAGCTCAATGATGTGGAAGCAGAAACTATTTAACAGTTTGCTAATTGGAAGATCTCAAAGCAACCATTTTCACAGAAAAGAGTAGAAACTCCTGCCCTTGAGACTTAAGATGAACAGGTCTCGTTATGTGTACCTTCTCCCTTCTTCTCCCCACCCTGCCAAATCTTGGCCACGGGCAAGAGTGAATTCTAGGGCTTTTCTCAACAACATCTGCAGGAAGGAAAAACCACATGATAGAAAAATAGTATCTATTTACTTGAGAGGTAGGTATTATTATCCCCATGCAAGAGACAGGGAGTTAGAGGGTAAGACACATTTGAGGCATTTGTTTATAATCCGTATGAGGTAGGACCAGCAAAACTTGAGTCTCTGATACAGGCTGTCATATGTTATGATCAAACACCCAGAGGCAGCTGAGATTCAGAACAGCCTTCACCACCTACTAATAATATGATCCGAGCAAGGTTACTCCTCTTCTTTAAGCCTTAGTTTTTTCATTTGTAAATTAATCTTTCATTCATCCCAATATCCTTCCATGCATGTTTACCATCTATGAGCACGGTGATGACCAGAGGCCAAGAGGGGCGGGGAGAGGTAGGAGAGGGTACGGCGGGGAGAAACAGTGACGGAAAGAGACTGGACTTTGCATGGCGAAAACACATACAGATGATGTACTATAGAACTGTACACCTGAAACTTATATAATTTTATTAACTAATGTCAACCCAATAAATCCAATAAAAATATTTATTGTTTGTAGTAAACTCATACCTACGATGTACCAAGCACTGTCCTATGTACTGGAATACAGTAGGCCCACAGGAGAATAATCAATAATATAATTTAAGAAAGGGACCAGTAAATACTAGAGACTTAACAAAAGTTGGTCATTAATAGACTTCTACGCCTGCACATGAGAACTCCTTGAGCTTTTCAGTTTTTTCTCCTTGACATTAATGTATCCGATATCTCTGCGAAGCAGCCTGAACACACATTTCCAACGTTTAGCAACACTGGGACTGCTGCTTCTGTTTGCTTACGCAGAGCAAGAGCTGAAAGGGAAGCGGGTGGCCTCCAAGCACCGGTGGCGAGTTGGCGCCAAAAGCTTTTCAAAAAGATTTCATTTATAATGGGGACAACCTTTTCCTTTTGGTTTGTAAAACTAATGTTTAAGCTGCATGACAAGCTGCATGGAACGCTGACCTCTTTTTCTTTGGGTTCATAGGAAACCCTCAAACTGATCCGCTTAGCACTTAGTTATGTTTTCTCAAGGGTATAAACATACTGCGTTGCCAACAGCTGACGAGTACCAACTAAAGCCTCCAGAGGCAGGCAGCTGAACAGGAAACACATCCTCTTCTACTTCAAATATTTTTACCCTGACAATTGGACAAACACCGAGCAATTACAATGATGTTATATTTATACCTCAACTAGAATTACATTCAGGTCTACAAACCAAAGCAGGAATAACAGCAATGTGAGCTGGGGTTGCACACAGGCCCAGCAAACCACTGGGAGAGTTTGTCTGAAAACAGGATACTTCTCCCTATCAGCTCTTCTCTGCCGTGACTACTCACGGCCCGCCTTTCGCATTCTCATCTGCGAGTGGGTTGCTCCCCCCGCTCCCCCACAGCCTCCACTGGAGTGTGAACCCACTGCTTGCTCTCGGCGGAGCATTAGCGCCACGTTTCACTCATGTTTGCAGCTTTAAAGAGGAGACAGGCACCGCTCATTTCCTTTTGTGGTTTCATACTCGACAGAATTTCTCCGGAAACATAAGTCAAGAACTAATAACTGACGTATATTCCTCCTTACAGTTCTATCCTGGCACCTTTGATATGACCCACAAGTAAACTGTCACTGACTTACATAATGCTTTTAGATTGAAGCCATGTGAGAGAGTATGCCTTAGTTTCATGCCTGAAGACACTCGAAAGTTTCTAGAAACGTTATGCATTCAAACTGCTTCATCTTTTTTTTACTCGTCTGGTCCACTCACAGGTGCAAAGTATTAATCTCTTCACAGGATGTCATCTGATCTAGAGCAGCTTTCAGAAGGTATTTCCAAACAGACTGCTGTCTACATACAGGGTGGGGCAGAAGTAGGCGTACCAGTGCTTGTATGGAAAATAATACAATAACTAATAAATAACAATATAAATAGAAAATTTGTATTTTACATACGCACAACTATAAACTTGTTTTTGCCCCGCCCTGTATAAGTCAAGTGAGCAATTTTACAAACAAGTTTTTCCCCTTCTCTTCTGAGCTATCATTGACGTATAACATTGTGTGAGTTTGCACAGTGTGATGATTTGGGACATGTATATAATGAGAAATGATCGCCACAACGTGAGGTCACACCTCCGTCACCTCACATAATTACCTTTTCTTTGTGGTGAGAACAGTTAAGATCTACTCTCTAAGCAACTTTCAAGTCTATAATAGAGTTTTGTGACTGCATTACATACTGTATTGTAGTCACCACTCTATACACTCTATACAAGAACTTACTCATTTTATAACTGGAAATATATACCTTTTATACCTCTTGGTACTTTTCACAGTATCAGTTTTCCTAAAGCAAAAAGTGTTGCATAGTCATAACTTCCAAAATACTCAGAAACCTTATCGTTATTTTATATTTGGAGGAACACAAGTGTCAACACATGAAACGAATATCCAAAAGTCTTGTCTAAATTTTAGCATGTGCACACTTAGCTATTGTAAGCACTGGAAATACAAAAGAAATAGCCTTTGTCCTCAAGACTTCATAGTCTAGAAGTCAAGTCACAAATGTTGAAGGAAGGACAAGAAGAAAGGAACAAGGCGCCGACCCCACAGGCCAAAAGGGAAAGGGGAGTTCAGAGCACTCTCTCCAACGTGTTCTCACTCTGAAAACGTCACAGACACCAACTCGCCAGAGAAGTGGGTCCCGTCCAACCCATGCCACAAAATGGGCTGAAAAGTGCTGAGGCAGCAAGTAGTGCTAGACCGTTCTGAATTTCAAGAAAAACAAATCAGTAAGACTCATGAAAGGAACTAAATATGGCTGGGATCATCATCCATTATTTGTGCCCACCACATTATCTTTTGTTTATACGATCCGCTATGATAAATCTTTACATTAAAAATTATGTTATGTATTGGATGGCCATGTATCGATTTTGGACTGAAGAATTCGGACAAGAGTAAAATACTGTCCGTAACATTATCACACTCCATGTAATCGCTGAGAACATGGAGCTCTGTGAAAAGTGGCCAATTAATTTTGAACTCATATCATTAGCATGTTTATGAAAACCACCTCTTACATTTCTTCTTTTAAAAAGTATAGCATATATTCATCAGGAACTTTTCACACGTTTACCAAGTGTGCTCCAGAATTTTCCCCTTGCTCATGGCCCGAGAAATATTGAGGTTTTCATCTAAACATACAGAGAGAAACTTACTTATCAATAAATTTCTTGTTGATGTTAAGTGAGTCAAGAGGCTAATAAGCCTCTTAAACCGGAGTAGTGTTTTCTGAAGCAGGAAGAGAAGCGTGGCTGATGCTGGACCAGTGAGGGGGGGCGGAGAAGAGCTGTCTACCGCAGCCCAGTCGGCCCGAAAAGGGGGGCACAAGAGGCTCCTTCTCCAATGTCCCTTCCTTACACCTCCAACATCCGCTTCTCCCCAGGCAGGGCCTCTGCTCCAGTCCCGTGCCTTTTCCCAATACATCTGCTTCCCCTTTGCCAGCACACCTGCGAGCACCCTCCACACCAATCTGTCCCTTCCACGTCCCACCTCTGTTCAAGATTTCTCCCCTTCTGCAAGCATTTTCTCCATTCTCTGCAGTCCACCCTGCCCGCAGTTTGCTTACAACTTTTATATCATTTTAGCTTGTTTCTACCCAGTTTCTCTTCACAGTACAGATTCTTCTGAACTGACTTTAGTCAGTGATAATAGTGATGTCTTCTATCGCTTGTGACATTCACAATAACTGATGTGACCGACTCATCAAACCAATATGCATCACAGCCTATGATGTGCCAGGCAAGGCGACCAGGTACAGGGAGCAACATGACAGCCATGGTCCCTGCTTCCTGGAGGGGAAGGTCTCAGAGCCCTGGGTCAAGGCCTCTTCTCACTGTGGGCCTTTCACCAGTGTTACTCCTCTTGCCTCGCACGTCTCCTCGTGACGCTTCCACCACTCGTTTCCTTTCATTTCCAATCAAGACCCAATCTGGGATCTCTTTCAAAGGACTGTGCACTTAGAAGGTACTTATAAATGAAGGAAGTAGGACTAAAAATGCTGTGGGCCATGAATTATTAAAAACAGCCGAGATAAATCCACAGTAACAATAAATGTACCATGTACAAAACCAGTTCTGCAGTGTTACCTAATGTTGCACATACGACTATGGTTTTCATGTGTTTAAAGTAAGACAGACCACCCATGTCCACCTAGCAAAACCACATCTGTGAACCACAAAACTGTGCTTCCTCTTAAAAATATTGCGCCAGCCAATGAAAGAGAGAGCAAAATCCAGTTTGAACGCATCTCACATACACTAGTAAGATATAATTGGGTTCATCTGAAATATTTTTTAATTGAACTTACTGGGGTGGCATGGGTGCACAAAACAACACAGGTTTCGAGTGCACAACTCACCAGGCACCGAATGCACACCTCACGCTGCATCGTGCACCGATGGCCCAGAGTTCACCTGGAATGTTTTGCAATAACCACAGCATTCTTCCTTCGTGCATACTGTGAGTTACAAGGTGGGTCCGAATGTGGGCGGGGCCGTTTGACATCCCAAACCATCTCCCAGTTTCCCGCCTTTCTGAGCTAATGCTGAGTCTGGAATTCATCGTACCTGGTGACAGAGTTCTTCCCACTGCCTTTGCAGAAGCTCCACGCGTTCGTTCAGGATGGAGATGTCGTCGGCACTGATGTAGGCACAGAGGGTGTCCTTCAGTAAGGTCAGCTGTGCCAGGTCATCTGTCCAGCTCCCCACTGCATTTTCCAGTTCCTAGATTAAGAAACAAACAAACAAGCAAACTTGAATACCCATGGCCATCCACCCTCAACAATTTCTGCAGTGTATTCGAAAAGCCTTCTGGGTACCTTTCCATTCCACTCTGTTTGAACATCCAACCTGATACCTAGTTATTTTCTTCCTACAGAATTTGATAATTTGCCAAGTTCTGAAAAATACCTGGTTGCTTACAGAATCTTCCTATCATCTACTTATCATTTCATTGATCTTTTTGGATCATCTTTTCTAAGTTGAAGTGGCATTACGTCATTGATCTACTTTACTTTCAAACTGACTTCATGAACTCCTGCACATCTTCTTTTTTTTGTTCCAAGTCATTGATCATGTTAAAGTATTGTTTTAAAAACTCAAATGCCTAGATTGAACTTTCATCTTCAAACACTATGAATTGCGACCTTTTGTGACATAGACTTATATGGAACAGTGGAGAAGGTCGGGTTTATTTTTATTTTTATTTTATATTTTACTTTATTGTTGTTCAAGTACAGTTGTCTGTGTCCCCCCCACCACTACCCCCCCCCCACCCCAGCCATCTCCACTTCCCACCCTTGATCCTACCCCTCTTTGGTTTTGACCGTGTGTCCTTTATACATGTTCCTGACAACCCTTCCCCCTTTTCTGCTCATTTTTAAACAGTGGGCTGAATGTATTTTCTACAAGAGTAGAGGTTTCTTTAAGTAACTTGTTCAAACATATGTATTCTGATTTTTGGGGAAATGACTGAAGAAACATTTTCATAAAACAATGTTTAAATAAGTTACACTAGTTTTTGCAATGTTTGAACTGATTTTGCAATTTGTATAACTCCTGCTTTTTGTCAGCTCTTGATGATTTTAGATTCCAGCTAATCTAGTATATAAATAGAGCAGTTCACATGGCTTTTTCCCTCTCTTTTTGTCTCTTCACACGGCAGACAACTTCCCAGAGGCAAAGGCAATTAGCTGCACCGCCAGAGGCTAACTTCCTAGGCAATTTAGGCAAGCGAGGTTTCAGCCTGCATTTTCCAGCTAATTGTTTTGTTTTGCTGCTCATGGTAGTTTGGAGGAAGAGTAGCAGAGAGCTAGACCAAAATGCATGCATCCTTTTAATCTCCAAACTTAATAGCAGGGCATGTTTGTGAGTATGGTGTATTTTTGGGAGATGAGGTCCCATGGAAACAGTATTTGGCTGAAAGACCAAACCATCCAGACATATTAAATATGTAGCATTTCTGTTTATATCCACGGACGTAAAAATTGGCATACCAATGTAAAGGTTTTTGTCTTTTTATAACAGTTCCTAACCTCCAACTCAAACATCAGCTTCAGTGGGTGGAGTAAAAACGTGACAATACCAACGCCGGAAACCAACACTTTTCAGACGGACTCCCTGAAATGAGTCCTTGTGGTAAAAATAAAGCCGTGGGACTCAGGCAACCTTGACATTTACTAACTTTGAAAAGTTATTAAACTTCTAGAAGTCTTTGTTTTCACATCTGTACACAGGGAATCAAAGGTCGTTCTCGTGAGCTCGTGTTCACACCAACTGAGGTCACGGGGATCCAGTCACCGGCTCGGAGGAGTGAATAAAAGCCCGTTCCTGCTTATTGGAGGCTTGCTTTCATTATTTGTCAAGAACTAACAATCACAGGTTTAAAACAAACACTTTCTAATCTTCACATACTTTAGAATTTACACCTCAAGATAATAATCCGCTCACCATCCACGATCTAAAGCACACTACCTTTTAAAATGAGTTTACTCGTTTCACCAGGAGGAAAATATGTACTTCACCAGCAACGCTAAGCCCACATTTCCAAATACAATTGGCAGGTCGCCCGATGATGGGGTTCACGCAGTGGCAACGCCAGGTTTCATGTTTCACTTCCTTCACCTGTCACTTCAGCAGCCGAGTCTGATGTAGCAATCCTGGCTGGAGGTGGGTTGGGGGGCGGGGGCGGTTCCCCTCCTCCATTTGGTCAAAAATCTCACCCTCATCTGATGAATCCTGGCCGTGGGGCATCTGTGCCACGTTTTCCTTGCATGTGGCCTCCAGAGGTCCCTACGGATCCCTAAGTCTTCTCCAAAATCCGCCCCCCTCCTTCGTGGTCGCATGAGCATCCCTCCTGCAGGAGAATTGAGAGAAAGCCCCTGGACCTTCCTTCTGCACCTTCCTTTGAGGCCGTTCGATGACGAATCGCAGTAAGACGGACAATTACAATAAAAATCAGAGCTACACAGCTGCGGGCACTGCCACCACGGGTTCGTCCTCACATCCGCAGCCTGGCGCTTCTTCGGTGAGCTCACGTGTCGCCTGCTCTTCCGTTCGCCCGGGGCTCTGTGCTCGCATCTCCCCGTGGGTCTGGACCCCCGGAGTGTCTGCTTCGGGCGGAGACCCGTACATGGCAGTGACTCATTAATGCAGGTTCGGAGCTCACCTAGGTCCGTGGTGGCGTTCTGTTCAGTTGTTGGAGCACCTGTGTCAGATGACTCTGGTGGCTGAGTTCTGATGACTTGCGGGTCCAGCTTCAGACAAGGTTGGCTGCTGAGCCCGAACAGGCTCTGGATGGGGACGTGTCACCTCGAGGTGCATCAGAGGGGCTGTGGTCTGCTGCAGGGCTGCCGTGTCAGCCTCTGAAGCAGGCTGAGCGGGGGGCTCCTGCCGGGATGGAGATGAGTCTATCTCCTCAGGGGGCTTTGGAGGGACCTCCTGCTGGCTCGGAGGTTTGACCACCTAAGAGGATTTTGCAAGATGAGTCTAGACCTCCTTCTCAGTTGCAGATGGATTAATCTCCTTAGGGGGCTCTGGTGTTGTCAAAACCCCGAGATCCACATTCATGTTAGGGAACACTGATGCTGAGCTTTACCTGAACCTGGAGGTGAGACGGTCACCTCATGATGTATAGAGGATTTTGGGGGCTGAGCTGGGCCCTTGGCTGGACTGGAGAAGGTTCTACACCCGCAAGAGGCAACTGTGGCAGAGCTGAGCCCTTCTGCTGGACTGAAGATTCAACATTTTCAGGGAGGGTTGGATGCTCTTTAAACTCCTTGGTAAACTAACACAGATTTCAACAGCTCAGGGGACACTGCAGCCTGAGCTGAGTCTTCCTCCTGGGATGATGATGCTTCTCCCACCTCAGGGGTTTCTGGTAGATGAGCTGAGGGGTTGGACAAGGTTCCACTTTCTCAGGGGCCTCTGTAGGCGGGGCTGAGGCTTCCTGGTGAAATGGCGAAGGTGCAAAGTCTTCAGAGATACACGAAGGCTCCAGCGGGGTGTTTGCTGATCCAAAGGCCAGGGCTCGGTGGGCCCAGGGAAACAGAGGTCGGCAGGACAGGGTGCAGGGCCGACTCCCGAGGCTGAGCTGTCTGGACCGGCAGCCACAACAGCTACCAGTGAAAAGGAGCCGTGAGGCCCAGAGGTGCGGCCCGGACTTGACCGGCAGAGGTTCCAGGCACAGCGAGCAACCCGGGCAAGTGGGGTGCCGGCACCGTGTGCTGAGCCGGAGCCAACAGTTGGCACCCCGTCACCACTGGCAGCCGTGTCACGCAGGTGCTCCTTAGCAAGAAAGCACTGCCTTTCATTTTTCCTAAATCTGACTCAAGTTTCAAAGAATAGCCGTAAATTTTAATATCAAAGAAAAATTCTTATATGCATACTTTTTATGACTTCCAATTTTTTTTCCCTTTATTGAATTTATTGGGGTGATGCTAGTTAAAAAAAATTATACAGGTTTCCAGTGCAGAATTCCACCACACCAAGTCTCTTTCCATCACTGTTTATCCCCTGAGTACTCGCCTCCTCCTCCCTCCACCCCTCCCCCCAGCAATCACCACACGGTTCTCTGTGTCCATGCGTAATTAATCTTCCTTAAATGCTTACCTTAGCCAAAGTGAAACAGAGAACTGATTAAAAACCAGATTAGCTAAGTATGTGAGAAGGTTTAAGCAGAATTACTTCAGTGCAGTAATTTGCAAATGACAGGGAACACAATGACATGTATAATTTGGGGAACAAAACCTTTTTAAGGGCAGTTCTGAGTTGACCTGCACCGTGCTCAGCGGGGCACTGCTGTTCCAGCACGACCCTCGGCTACACAAGTGTGACTGGGACTGATCCCACAGCCCCTGAATGCTGGTGCTCCCGGGGAGCTCACGATGCGGGAGTGGTCTGCACTGGCCACTGACCTGCTCCGAGTGCGATCTGAGGTCTTCGTCACTGACTTTAAGTAGCTAGGGCCTTGAGTGACCAAAGGACCGTGTCACCTTACAGAAACTGAGACCAGCTCTTCACGTTTCGTGTTTCCTTACGCTAGATTCCGGAGGGCAGGGTGTGCTCCTCCAGGACCACTGTCTGCAGAATTTCCAAGCTGCCCAGCCTCCCTCTCCTTTCCGTGAACTAGACTCTTCTGCTAAAATGACTCTCCAGTGCAGATGCTTAAAAAGACTGCTGCTACTGCAACAGACCAGGAACCTGCATCTACCTGTAGGTGGCTGTAGAGTTTGACCCGGTGATGCATTCAGAGGCATTATTATTGCAAAGGCTCACAGATAGGACTGTCAACAGGGAGGAAGAGCTCAAGCTAATGACTTACCTTGCAGCGCACTTGCTCCGCTTGGAGCTCTTCGTGGTGATCCGGTAGAGGCTGGGAAAGCTTCTTTTTGAAAGTTCGGAGTTTCTCCAGTGATTCAGCTATTCCATTCTCACATTTTTCCCAGTCCTAAATTGGGAGGGGAAAGAAATTTCATGTATTTTTTATGGGTAGGAAATTGGAAAAATAAAAAACACTCTTCTTAATCCCCATATTTCAGTTATTATCTGATTTTTTTACGACATGCATGTATTTCTTTTGTAATTAAAAAAAAGTAAAAGAAAAAAGTAAAAGAAAAAAGTTAAGGAAACATAATGGAGACTTGATTCTTGACAGCACCCTATCTACAAATGAACTCTTACCTGGTGTCTCAGTGCCCATGCAAATTAAATTCAACTAACAAATCTCCTTAATTTTGCCTAGTAGTCTCCATTCCTGGCCTCCCTCCAGCCCCTTGCTCCCATCCACAACAATCCTCCCCACTGATCATTCCCCACAAATTAAATCACTGAGATCCAATAAAGACAACTCTAAAAGAGAGTTGCTTTTAGCACGTAGTGTGGTGCTAAATCATGCCGCCTTTTCCCTCACATTATCTCTTCCATCACCACTGGTCTTTCTTTGTCTGGGTTTGTCTACTTCTCTTCTGGTGCCTTCTTTTCAACACAGCAGCCCATAGGTGCTATTTCCTGAAACTGCCTTCTCTAAAAAGTGTTGACTAACATTCCTTTGTGCTCAAAACATCTTTCGTTTTCTAACTAAAATGACAATTTGGCTCCAGATTCTCATTTCTCTTTTCAATCCCTTTAGGGATTTTGCAGGAACAATTATAAAGGACACATGGACAAAAACAAGGAGGGGGTGGAAACCAGGGAGGCAGATGGGGAGGGCTGGGGTGGCGGGGAAGGGTGGGGGGAAAAGGCAGAAAACTGTATTTGAACAACAATATAAAAATGTTAAAATTAAAAAATAATAAATAAATAATAATAATTAAAAAATAGATTCCTTTAGGGAATTTCCTAGAGTGTATAACCACATTCCCTGTCCCCATTCACCGGAAACACACAAATGTACAGACAACAAGCAAACAGTCTGTCTCGGCCACATTCGTTCCAGTTCTTATTACAGTCTCTCTGCGCTCCCAGGCCACACTTCGTTCATCAGCACCAAGCAAAGTGAGCGTGGACAGAAAGAGCCTCTCTCTGCTCAGTTAAATCATCACACACTCTGAAATGTATCAGCCTACGGTCAGTAAACATTCATCGATCTAAAATGGAAAAGGTCAATTCCTTATTTTTCGTAGCAAAAATTAGGTGGTCATAAAGCAGGTGACCATGCAGGACATAGAATTCTAGTGATTATATTACTCAGAGCATTAAATTAAGAGCTAAAAATAGATAAGCATTATATTGTACTTGTGGGGAAAAGAGACAGTAAAATGAGACTGTCTAAACATTGGAATTGAGCTTCATAAACTCCTTAGGTAAAAAGGACCCAGTGTATGATTCAAAATGCACTTTAACAAGAGTAGGGATTTCCCTTTTCAAGGACTGCTTAGATTCTGAAGCTATAACCCAGTCTCTTTACTACATGACTTATAAGGAAATAACTCAATGTCACAGTCTGCAAACATCTGTCACAGTGGATGTTTCACCCGCCAACAAAGAGATTGACAAGAAAAGCAAATTCAGTGACTCAACCATCTCGCCTTCATAGGTCTTAGGAATGTGTCCAATAATCACATCACAAATAAAGAAAAATATGTGATTAACATGTTCTCTACAGAATGAGTTGCAATGATTTTAATCCTTTCCTGAAAGCAAATATGAAGAAAAAAAAGCAGGCATATTATATTGCTGATGAATCCTGCTGTGTGCAAATAATAGTTCTTTAACAGATGCTCAGCGGCATTTTTGATGGATTGTTTCCTACACACAAGGTAATATATTAAGTACAATGTAGTAGAATAAACCAATGAGAGTGCATACTTTAAGCATTAAAAAACATGCATTCCATTCACTTTGGTTACTACTTTGAGCCAAAAAAGTGATGGGGCGAGTTTAATAGACAATCGCATTCAATTGTTGCTGGTTATCGACATAATAAAACAAGTATTTAGCTGGGTTCGCTTTCTAAAAATGATAGTATCAACAACGATAATTGCCATCACTTACTGAGAGTTCAATATGTGCTGTATGGTTTACCTTCAATATTTCATTAAATCTTTACAATGTCGTACAAGGGAGGCATCATTATACCTATTTTAGAGATGAGGAAACCAAGACTCAGGTAGGCTGAGTCAACCGTTACTTAGTTTATTATAGTTTTAACTTGGGCTTATCAAAGTGTAGAGCCCACACTCCTTTTCAGCTGCTGATTTAATTACGTGTTACACATGGATTTGGAAAGTGAGGGAGAAAAGCAAATGGTGGGAAGTCTGGATAAATTTACATTTCCCTAAATTTGCTGTGTGACCACCCTGCATCCTGTATCCAACCAAAGGCCAATACCCCTCCTGGAGATTTTTATCTCATAGCAGCATGCTTAGATAAGCTCTGAGCCAATCAAAGTGTCTTCTTGGATAGGTTTTTCCGTGCTATAAAATCAGAGATATCAATCTTGAAAACCACTTTGGATTCTTACATTAGGGAGCGGAATCTACTCTTTGCATTCCTGCCTGGGTTTACACAGTCCTCACAGGGCTCCTGGCTTCGCGCCAGCCAGTAATCAGAACTCATCACTTGAATGGTCTTGTTAGACTTAAAGCTACTTTGTTGGGGGACTTTCCTGAAAGACAAACTGCTGAAAACTGGAAAAGTTTCCAGTTTATGCAAGACAGGACAAAGTCTTAAATAAAACCCAGGGGATCAAAGTACTGCAGGTAGGACGAGGACCTTTGCATTGTTTGATTGGCAGGACACAGACAGGAGGAAGCAGCATGATTCTCGGAGTTGATACACACACTCTGTATCAACTCTATTGCACCTAAAGGAGGAAGGGGCTGAACTCACTTTCAACAAGAAGGCCAGCTTCTTCTTCTGTTCCTCCAGGCGCACGCTGGCGGATTTCCACTTCTCTTGGATTTCCGTGAGTTCTGCCTGCAAGGCGGCCTCCGCCCCGCTGTCTGCAGACAGCAGGAGCTGCTTGCCCGCCTCCACGGTCAGGATGTAGCTGCCTTGTTGTCGCAGGAACACTCTTTCTTTGAACTGAGAGAAACCAGAGCTTTTTACTTTCTCGTTCTTTCCTTTTCACCATTTCCCTGTTATAGGTATTTTTAAATGACCCTGAATGTTTGCATACGGAGCATGCCCTCTTTTATCTCACAAGCATTTGCTGAGCTAGTACTTTGTGCAGGAATGAGACAATGTGTAAATAAATGGGAATCCAACAGGAAGAGGCCTAATCGTGTCTGTCCCCAGGTGAAAGATAGTCGTGACATGATATGAAAACTGCTCTATAAGACTGCTGCACAGGGAACACAGTGCTACATCAGGGTTTTTTTGTGTGATTTGAAACATTTTTTATTGTGATCTTTATGTTTTTGCACAAGGAGGACCCCTCAAAGTAGTAAAGTCTTTACAAGTCTTGAAAGACATATAAACACAACCAGTTTTAGGACCCGGTGACATGCAGGGCCAGGAGTCAGGAGAGAGCATCTTCCTTGCGAACAATGAGGATGGACTGATTCACTGTACGAGGCAAATATGGATGCAGGACACTGGCGGTAGTTTTCAGTGGCTGGAATATAGGATGCAGGTAAGAAAGTGGTAGACAATGAGGCAAGACCACACCCAGCATAGGAATGTGGTTTTTAAAGTAAAAGTGACTGAGATTCACAGAAGAATGTTAAGCAGGAAAGTGATGTATCTGTGGAACGCATTCAGCAGTAGGGTGGACAATGCAACTGAAGAAGAGCATAGACAGGATCTTCTGAGACAGGTTAGGAAGCTATCATCTATCGAGACGAGAAATCATGAGCACCTACTCCAAGGCAGTGGCAGTAGGAATGGAGACTTGAGGACTGTTAGACACAGGGAGGGAGAGAAGAAGAAGAGTATAACTATAGAATGACTCTAGGGTTGCTGGCTGGTAGACCAGATAGCTGGTGATGGCCTTTCCTTGGACTGGGAACATGGGAAATGGGCTGATGGAGAACAGTTGGCCCAGAGAACCCAGGCTTGTTGGAACCCACAGAGTATGTTATGTCTATGATGCATATAGGCGTAAATCTGAAAGGCAGCTGAATAATGAGTTGAAAGCTCAGCAGGAGAACGTGACTGGAAGATACCAAGTTGGCCATTCCCTGCTGGTGGGGTGCACTTGAAGCCGTGTGTGTAGATGAGATCTCCCAGAGAGGTGAGGAGGAAAAAGGAAGCAGAGAACAGGGACCTTCAGAGGGAAGAGGAACCCACGAAATACACTGGGATGGCCTGGCGAGAGCACTAGGAGGTATCTAGCCAAGAGGTTGGAATCCCCAGTTCTCAGGCTGACAAAAGCAAGGAGCTAGCCCAGGAATGGACAAGCAGGACTGAGCCTTTATCTTCTCGGGAATACTTCAGCGACACGCTTAAATGGCTCAGGAGTGAAATATGTGAGATCCGTGGAGGGTTTTTCTTCCCTTCCCTTTCCACCCCTGCTGGGATCCAGCGAACCTCTGGGTGGCTGGGGTGTGTGAAGTGGAAGGAGTCTTCATAAGAGGCTGAAACCTGCCACACTGTCATCATTAAATGTGGGCTTTGGAATGCAGCCGTTTTCTACGTGCCTGTGGATATCTGAGAACAACGTTTGTCCTCATCCCAACATCACCCAGAATCCTCCGAGGTGCTGAGGGGAGGGCACAGAGGAAATGCAGAAGAGGTTCAACAGCAGCGTGCTCTGCCCCTTACCTGCACTTCATCGAAGAGGGTCCTCGCTTGCTGCAGTGGTATTGGGACACTCCCGAGACCACTCATGGGCAGATAGGACACTTCGACCAACCATTTACGCAGCTTTTCTGCCATCTCCCTATAGCGCTGCCACTGGCGGATCTGGCTGTCGATGATGCCTCTCCTTTGCTGGGCCCTGCGAATCACTCCCTGCCACTGATTACTGAGAAGTGTCAACTTCAGGTTGAATTCATCCCTGGTGAACAAACAGTTACATAGGGGGGAACACTGTTATCCTGGACGTAGTTACGTTATCAACCAGTGTGCACGTACTCGGAGACTGCAAGCCCTGAGAAGTGATCTAGGGCAGACATTTCCAAATATCCTGTTATAATCTATTATAAGGTCTATTGCGAGTACATTTAAGATTAGTAACAATTATAATCTTGGTGTTTGAAAACAGTGAGTGTTCTTATGTTTCAGCACAGGTTGAAGGCCTATTTATAAGGTCAATGTCATTTGCTCTCTCCCCAGGTGCAGAAGAGTGGAGCCCAGGGCAGCAGTCACATCGGGAACAGCCACCCACTCTGAACACACCCACAGCTGTGTCTGCAGCACGTGAGAGCACATTCTGTATGCTATGGCCAAGAAAACAGGGAGTATGGCTTATGCCCAACCTTTCTCCCTGGCTGGAATGATACACCGCTTTGAATGAACAAAAACCAGGTTATTTTAGGAAAGCGTGAGCCACTTAAATAAAATTACATTATTTTAAAAAGCCGTACTCCATAAACGCTCAGTATATCTTCACAATACATAACCCTAACCTTTAGCAAGTTTTTCTGCATATTAATTTAAATTGTCCTTTCTACTTTTAAAATTGGTTTCGCTTTGTTCTTAGAAAAACAAAGCTATTAGTTCTCACTCTCTGTACAAATGTTGTCCACATGTCCATATACCTAGAGCTATTAAATTTTAATTAAGCGCTTTTTCAATTTCCAAGTAAATACTATAAAACTTTTAGCTCAGTTTTCATAATTCTGTTTTTTACCTTTAAAAAATGTTGGTAGCTACTTATTAAGTTTTTTTATCATTCAATTTGTAGTCTAGAACTCGTTTGTCCATTATCAAACAGAATGAGTTTCTTTATAGATTACTGTTGTTCACACATTTTAGTACTGATGTATAACATGACTCATTCTTTCTCTGTGATATTAGCTTTGCTTTCCTTCCCTAGATACGCCATTTCTCCGCTGGGGGCTTCAGACTGGAATTGGATGTACTCTCCTGGATTCAGATTCTTGACACCTCTTATGATCCAGATACCACTGTAAACACCAATTTTGTAACCAAAAGTGTCCTTAGTGTTTCTGGTTTTGAAAGAAATTTTCTGATATTTATAATCTAACTGTACTAGAACCAAATACGATTCATTAGGTTTATGAGACTCTCTCGCCCATGACAACGTGTGACTCTGGGATGTGAGACCACCCTGCATGGTGACAGTGTCTGCCTATCGCTCTCCCCACCAGATGACCCTCCGGGGGTCTTTGGGGAGCCCTCACCCTCACTCTGCAGAGCAGAGCTGTGCTGAGCGACCTGCCGGCCTGGGGACTACCTTCCACATAACACTGTCCCCGTTGCTGAGCTTGACCTCTAAAAAACAAAAGTCATAAATGAAATTTTAGAACACAACACATGTGTCATCTGTGGCCTTCCTGCTGTCAACATGCTCTAATCTGAATTTTTTTTCTTCATGGGCAATTTTCAAAATTATCCTCGAGTCCAACCCTCATATTTCCATCCCTTGCTGTTTTTCCCTGTGAGCATTTACAATTTAATAGATGTTGGCTTGTGCATGAATTTTAAACTTTATTTTACTTAATGACTCAAACGTTTGTAATACTGTGATAGAGTTGGCTAAGGCAGCACAAAGCAAAAGATAAGTTAATTGCATCTAAATTTGTCTTATTTTGAAGGACTTCAATTCTCTGTATAGTTCACATTCAATTTGGCTTAGACTAGAATAAATACAGTATCACATTTTGTTGTTCCAAGCTTAACGATAAAAATCTTTCATGCTCTTCCAAAGAAATATCCACTTAAAACTGAAATTGCTTCCAAAACATTCTTAAAAAATCCTCTTAATAAAAATGATTTACTTTCTATTTTTTTAAAAAAACAATAGTAAGTTCATTAAAATCAGAACTACTAGTCCTAAATTGGGAAAGATATGTGTATGTAATAAAATAAATGAGGTTTATACTGCAAATATTGCCCCAAAGTACAGATGGGATCGCATAAATATTGTTCCTAGGAAATGTAAATGCAGTACGAAGTCATCAATTCACATGCCACGAATCGAACTAGGACCTAGATATTACTTCTGCATTTTTCATAAAAAGAGAAACTGCTCAGTAAGTGAAGAGGAAGCAGGATTTCAGGTTGGGTACAATCTGACTTAAGGTGGCCCGCCATGTTCAAATCTGGTGGATTTTGCAAGGTTTGAGAGAACTGGCTGGTCCTGACTGAGAAACCAGGTTCACAAACCCCAGGCTTGCCTCTGTGCTACGCGGTTCCGTGACCTTGATCAGATCAGTTCACATTTCTGGACCTCAGGTTTTTTCATCTGCAAGTAAGAATGATGGTCTAACGATCTCTATGCTCCTTTCAGGAGTAAAATTTCTGTAATCATACGAGAGCCTTAGGAGCATCTGTTTACAAACCACGGATGCATCATTGATACTGTTCATTCGGATTTACTTATTAATTCCAGTCTCCTACAGACAACTAGCAATGGTTGGCTAGGTGATTTCCAATTACTCGATGTCCTTCATATAATATAATAGCAATTCTTTAAAAAGATTCAATACTCAGTCATTTCAGAGATTCAGAGAAGCCTTTTCTCCAATTACTGAGGCTTCACTGCAGTACAATGGCCTTAGGAAGATTGGATATATGCCTCCTAATCTGCTCATTAAAAAGAAAATGACTAATTTACGGCGACCTTTCTTCATAGTAATATATCAAAGGTCCTACCTGTCATCAACTTGACCTTGTTCCAGAAGACGCTGCCCATCAGTAATGATCGAGTGCAAAATCTGTTGACGGCTGAACATCTCCGCTTGAAACAACTTTTATTTAAAAAATAAAAAACATATACTTTAGAATTCCTAATTTCAAGGACCAGTTCTCTAATAAGTTTCCAAAAATTCTGGTTTAAAAAAGGTTATGAAAAATAGCTCCAGCTGAATCAGGATACATGTTTGATCCTGCAGTGTAGAAATAATGTATTTTTAAAGCATCAATTGAGATATACATAAAGTTTAATTTTTGTTTACTAAAACTGACTAAAAGTAGAATTATGTTCCTCCCCTTTCTTTTGAAATCACCTATAAAGTCAGTTAACACATAAATTGTATTCCAGTTTCTTCTGTGTGCACAACTGGTTCTTTTTCAGACAGGGGCTGGCTGAAGGCCTTTTTAAAAGGAGAATGGGGAAAAAACACACCTTTTTTTAAACTCACTATTTTTCAATTTTACTTGGTTAACAAAATTATCTCACTATTAAAAAAATTCAACAGAAAGTATTTAAAACTTTTTCCATTGTTGTTTAAACAGCTTTATTAAGATATAATTAACAGACCATATAATCCACTGACTAAAAGTGCACAACTTAATGGTCTTTACTGCATTTGCAGAGTTGTGCAACCAGTACCACAATAAATCTTAGGCCATTTTTCATTACCCCAAAAAGGACTCCGTATCCATTAAAAACCACTCCCTATTTCCTCTCACTCCCCCAGCTCTAGAGAACTATGAATTTATTTTCTGTCTCTATGGATATGCCTACTCTGGACATTACATACAAAAGGAATTATGCAATATCCCATGTCACGTGACTGGCTTCTCTTAGCACACTGCTTTCAAGACTGATCTGTAGCAGTGTACATCGGTACTGCATTTTTTCTAAATTGCTGAGTGGTATTCCATTGTATGAACATACCACATTATATTTGTTTATTCTCCAGTGAGTTGGTGGATATTTGGGCTGCTTCCACTTTTTAAGCTATTATGAATAATGCTGCTATAAACGATATTCTTGTACAAGTTTTTTTGTCCACACAGGTATATGTATAAACCCATACTCGCATTTCTCTCGGGTGAATTCCACCTAGGAGTGGAAAGGCTGGGTCACAGGGCAACCCTACGTGAGGAACTGCCACACTGTCTTCCAGAGAAGCTTCACCATTTTCACTTCCTACCAGCAATGTGTAAGGATTCCAATTTCTCTCTTCCCTCACCAACACTGAACATTTTCATTGTAGCCCCCTAGTGGGTGTAGGGGAGTATGTCACTGTAGATTTCATTCTCTGTCTTTAATTTCCTCTTTAGTCAACTCCATAAAAATGGATGTAAAAAGCGCCTTACACATATTGAAACTTTCTACTTCTCCAATGTAAGCAAAATGCTTTAAAATTGTATTCACTTGAAGTTCTGCATTAAGCCTTTTTTCTGCTTTCAGGTAAATCCTATCTTTCTATTCCCATGTGTTTTATAAGCACCTGGAGTCACACCAGTAAATAGCAAAATAGAGACTCACAGCACATTAAGTAATTTGCATTTTGTATCTAGTTCTTTCTCAGTGTTTCTTCAGAAATAATTAGAATGTAATTTGGTTGAGAGGTGCACTTGGAGATATTTGGTAGCTTGATTCCCTAGTATAAAATGCACATATGCTTTTTAAAGACACAATTTTCATTTATTAATTAATTTTTATCAAAGCATACTCTCTTTATCACCTAGCCTTGGCGATATTAAGGTAGTCTGTAGCTCACTTTGAAAACTGAGTCCAACTTTCCCTCCACACACTCTCTCTATCACAGGGGATTGAAGCCTGCCACACGCTTCTAACCAACTATGGGGTCAAGAACTAGATTCCATTTTTATAACTAAGCTATGAAAACCTCAGCCTTAACAAGGAAGGCAAAAATGATGCATACATTTGAGCAGACTCGGCACGAGATACAACACTTCAATTCCTCAGGCTGGAGTTTGCAGCATCTTCCAAAGGCCTGTCTTGTTAACCCCGAGTCCGTCAGCACAACTCACCTCGTGGGCTCGCTGCTGCTCCAGAAGATGCTGATAGTTGCCTGAAATCTCTACTGCCAACTTGTGCTCCGTTTGAACCAGGAATTCCATCCATGTTTCACATTTTTCCAAGAAAGTCTGATGTTGGAGCAAAAATGACTGCAACTTACTGGTGAAATAGAAGGAAAAGAACAGTGGCTATGTTGCTGCTTATTCTTATGTTTTGGCAAATAAAACAAGATGAAATATTTTCTGCCTCCCATTCTGATTTGACCATCACAAAACTTTCATGTTAGGTAGTAAAATTTAGGGGAAAAAACATGGAAGAAAGTTTAAAATGATAAGTTTTAAAAATGATATGGTGATGTATCTTCAATATATTGTTAAGTGAAAGAGTGTTATTTTTTTATTTTTCTTATTTTCTTTTTCTTTTTTTTTTTAAGATTTTATTTCTTTATTTTTAGAGAGGGAAGGTGGGGAGAAAGAGAGAGAGATGTGCAGTTGCTGGGGGTCGTGGCCTGCAACCCAGGCATGTACCCTGACTAGGAATCGAACCTGCGACACTTTGGTTCACAGCCCGCACTCAATCCACTGAGCTATGCCAGCCAGGGCTAAGACTGTTATTTTTTGATTAAACAAATACTACATGAAGTGTGGGAAACCACAGTATGAGTTCCTTCGTTTTAGCTCAAGTCTCGTGTCATTAGAAAGACGTAGCACTTGTAAAGGCACACCGATGCGAACTTGTCTCTACTGACATATTCACAGCCGCCCGAACAGCTCAGGGACTCTACCTGAATCTCTCCGTCGTCTGAGAGGAGGTCAGGGACCAGTGCCGGTTCAGACTCTGCATCCGTTTGATTTCTTTATCGTTCAGGGGCAGCCTATAGCCAAGCTCGTTCAGATGGTCCAGATCCGGGGCCATGCTGCTGAATTTTAACATCTGTCCCTGAAAGGAAGATTGGAAAGTGCCATGGTTAGAAAAGGCAAAGCACTTGCTAATGCGCAAGGAACTGTGGATTTCGGGAAGGGGCTGGTCTTCCGCCTTCTCCGTACTCCTGGGCCACTTGCTTGCAGTCGCCAGGGCTGCAAACACGGAAAAGCTGCACCTCCCGATCAGCCTCAGGGCTGCTGCTGTCCCTGTGGCCGCAGCTGCTGGCTCTCCTTCAGGGAGCGGCAGTTTATGTGTGGTGTTTGCTCAATTAATTTAGTACCGGCAATTCTTGATAGAACTGATAAAGGGTGGAAATTATGCTGACGGCTGAAAAGGCTTACTTCTTACTTTCTTTTTACTTTATTTTATACTTTATACTTTATTTTTCCATGATAATCTGCTCCTTTATTATTTAATAATAATAACAGTTACCATTTATCGAACACATTTGAAGTAAGCATTGTTTAAGAACTTCACAGGTGATACTACAATATTTTCTCCTCAAAACAACCCCACAGGCCCTACTATTCCCACTTTACAAGGAGCAGAAAGAGGCCCAGAAGCTTCAAGGAAACTAGGCAAGGTCGCCCAGCGAGGAAGGGGCAGAGCCAGGCGACCCAGAGTTGTGTGCTTGCCAGATGGAACACCGCCCTACTCTGGGCGCTAACTGAAGAGCTTCATTCAGCTTTAGGCCATCGCTCGCAGCCCCAAAGTCGGTGAGACTCAAAAGAGAAGGTCTTCTGCGCGTGCAGACCTCTTTCCTTTGTTCAAGACACTGCCTCCTCTGGTTTTCCTGCGCGTGTTCACAACCCCCGCTAGAAGATTGGCCACAGGAAGAAGAAAACGCCAGGCCACCTCTGGCTGTGTGTGTTTTCTCTCCACGCTCTGCAAAGGCTCGTTACCCGAAGAAAGAATAAACCTTTGCAATTGTGAAGCCAAGAGCATAACTGTTAGATGGAGGGGTTTCCATGGGTAGATGTGAGCAATGAACAAAACTGCTGTGACGTGGCCATCTTCTCTTCCTCCCGGTGCTGGCACAGAGGAAGGTGCTACTGAATAGTGGAGGCCCAGCAGCAGTCACGTGGCACGTCCACGTAATTAAATGGTATGGAATACTCCAAAGACAAAGAACAATGTGTTACATGAAAGTGTGTCACTGGGGAATCTGACCGTGGACAGAGGGGGAGGCTTTCCTAAGAAAAGGACACTGAACAAAAGGACTAGAAGATTGTTCCTTTTGGACAGGAGGGGGTGGGTGGGGACAAGAACGGAATTCTGGAAAGGAGGAGCATCACGCACACAGACTCAGAAGCCCTGTGGCTCCCGAGTGGCTGGGAGAAGCGAGGGACCTGGGGAGGGTGAGGCCCCGAGGAAGGAGGAAGCCAGAAGCCAGGTGACGCCGGGCCTCAGAGCGCGCACTGACCTCTGTCCTGAGAGCAGCGGGGCCCGCAGAGGGTTTGAAGCAGAGGGATAATATGATAAAATCTGCCCACCTATTGCACAACTTTACTGACATTACTGACCACTTAGTATATTTCCCAATTAAGTACAAGCTTTAAAGGAAAAAGATCATTCTGGTATGGTGTCCCATGAGTATTAGACTTACCGGGTTACTCCCTTTAGTAAGTTTATATATAAAATGTCTAATCACTATGTTGTACACCTGAAACTAACTAACACTGTATGTCAGCTGTAATTAAAATTAAAAAAAAAAAAGACCATTCTGGCAGCTTTGGGTTGGAGGGAGGGGGTGCAGCAGGAAGACCCGTGGGCCTGCAGCGCTGGTCTAAGAGAGAGAGAGAGAGTGGGCAGCCTGACCAGCAGTGGAGGATGACACAGACGGAGATGAAGGTTCCTAGGAAGCAGGTGATCAACTGGGCCTGGGGAGGGATGAGAGGGAGGAAGAGGAAGAGGAAGAGGACTTCCTGGCCAGTCCCCCGTTGTGGGCTGTGAAACCAGCCCGTGCTCACTGACAGTTGGTTCTTCTGAGGAGAGCAGGGAAACGGAGCTCAAAACAAAAAGAGGGCCTCTGTCGGAAGTTTGGAGTTTTCCTTACGGTTGAGAGGACAGCAGACAGAAGACCCAGGACCAGGGCTTCGGCACGCTCACCTTGAGCTCCTCCATCCTCTCCTGGATGGTCGAGAGGTCCGAGGAGTGGCTGGGGTCCTGCCCTTGCAGCATTTCTGCAGCTTCGACCACCCAGGCTTCCAAAGCTTCTAAGCTCTTGGTGAAGGTTTCGTAGTCAAGAATCCCAGCCTGTTTTTATTACAAAAGAAGATTGGCATTTAGGAATCCAGTGAAAGGACACGTGGATATTGAAAATATTTCTCCTATTCTATGTCAAATTGCAATGGGACATGCAAGGTTACCATGATTTAAATTTTCTTCGCTTTATTAATATAATGTTTCTGAAACATAGAATGAGTTAACTCTATGTAGGATTAATTCATTAACTAGTTAAAGTCACTTCTAAAATATATTACCAAACAGAAACATATTCTGATTTTTAATATTAAAACCACTTAGTGTTTATTAATTGAATATATTTTACTCAGTCCCACACAGAAGAAAGCACTGGTTTAGGAGCAAAATTTCACCATAGAGAACAGGGTGAGACTCCCACCTCCCCCCCGGCCCCACTGAAACTTCCCAGCTTATTTATATCTTAATTCTTTGGTCTTGAAGGAGGCATTGTCCCAATACTGACAACTCTTCTTTTCTTCTGTTTATGCTCCGAAGTCATAGAACACCCAATTTACAATGCCTACTAATGACAAGCTCTGTACCTGTAACACAGTCTGCTGTTTGCAAAGAGCCTGCTCGAGGGTGCCCAAGTGCTGGCTCAAAGAGAGTTGGTCTGACTGAATGGCGGATGCCGCTGAAGCATCCACTTGTTGCTTGAGTTGCTCTCCCAGCTCATGGAGAACAAACAGGGAGTCCTTCACCGTCCCCAGTCCTTTGAGGAGGTCCTGCAGGAGGTGGAAATATGCCCGTCATGGAACAGCAACACGCTGCACATACTCCTTATTGTAGACAGTCAGCACGGGGACACAGGTAAGAATGGGGGCGCTCAGTTCTTACTTGCCAAATCATCACTCTAAGTAACCTTTGCGTGAAGAAAAACTAATCAAGAACTGAATCCAATTTTTAAAAATGCACATGTATTTTAGGGACTGAGGGAAAAGGCCAAAGGATGAAGGGGGGAAAAAACCCCAGACAACAATATGGTGAGAACCAGAGAGAAAGGGAGGTGGGGGAGGTGGAAGACGGTCAAGGGGAGATAAATGGAATGAGACTTAGAAGGGTGAAAATACAGTACAATAGACAGGTGATGTATTACACAACTGTACACTTGAAACGTATACGGTTTTATGAACCAATGTAACCCCAATAAATTCAATAGGTAAATTAAAAAAATAAATAAAACAAAAATAAAAATACGTATGTGTGTTATAATTTGAAAGACTATTTTACTACTCTGATAATAAAAGCTGTATAGGTTCATTTTAGGACATTGGGGCATGCAGAAAAACATACATAAATAAGAAAAAAATTCTGCAAGCAGAGCCAATAACTGTAAAAGTCCACAGTTTTTTCCTGCTTATTCATATTATTGATATCAAATTGAAAACACAGTCCTACATTTTTACCTCTTTCTACTTAATACAACAGGCCCAAGGGGCGAGTTTGTCAACACTATCTTCTATACGCTGTGCTGTCGCATTTGAGTGGCTGCTAATCACCTTCCTGTCTCGGTGGGGGGTAGGACCCCAGCATGGCTCTGGCGGGGACCACTAAGGGTGGACTCCATCTCCCTGATTTTCCATGGTGCATCTTGCCTCCACCTTTTATGGGACCCTCTTCTATGTTCAGAATGATAAGCCAATGGAAATTCTGTTTCTCGTTTCCATCTTCCACTAAGACACCACAAATGACAGGTTTTTCTACCTGTTGCTGGTGCCCCACCAGACATGGCGGAGAGAGCAGAGCCTGCTCTACATTTGCAGGGCCTACTGTGAGAGGAAGAAAGGCAAAGGGCGACTCTAGCCTTGACAAAGACATCAGACAAATGCACAGAGCTAATAGGGAGCACTGTGCTCTATAAAACTGGGACATCTCAGCTCAGGAGGACTGAATATTAATACTGATGAATCTTGTAAGGATAAACTATAGGTGGAAAGAGAAAATGCAATGAATTATCATCACTGTAAATATTAAACTGTAGCTGTAAAGTGATTGTATATTATCAATGGAAAGGTATTAGAATAGGTTAAACTTGTATTTATATGCTTTCTACAACTTGTCTAATTTGGATAAACTGAATGGGAAAATTTATAAGAAGGTATTCAAAACAAATAATGACAAGTAGTGACAAATATTTCATTAAAATAATGACAAGTAAGGACAGATAATAAGAGCCATGCACTGGGTGAAACAAGGGAACCTTCCCAAAAACCTTAAAGAAGTCATAGGCAGATACAGTGAAAAAGAGAAATACTAAACAGCTATTAAAGAGGTGTACAGGCCTTGACAAGCATGGCTTAGTTGGTTGAGCATCGCCTGGCAAAGTGAGAGGTCATGGGTTCGATTCCCGATGAGGGCACATGACTGGGTTGTGGGCCCAGTCCCTGGCTGGGGGACGTACAAGAGGCAACCAATTGATGTTTCTCTCACACATGGATGCTTCTCTCCCTCTCTTTCTACCTCCCTTTCTCCTCTCCAAAACTAAGTAACAAAATATTTTAAAAATATCAAATGAAAAGAAGTACACCCATAAATCAGGAGAGAAACACTTCTTTCTACTATTGAATTCTCAGAAGAAATTATGTTGATGATTAAATGAAAGATAATGAAACACAACGGACGATACCTTTAACAACAGATTTTTAAAAGGTATACCATTACTCTCCACATGGTTCTATCTTATACTGACCACCTCTGCAAAAATAGCCTAAGTCATTCACATGGATTATATTCTGTTAGAAAAAAATGGGAAAACAATTCGTCTTCAAAACTGAAACAATGGGAGGGCCTTTTTAAATCGGATCCATGTGCTCTGAAGACCTAGCAGGCTCTTTGTTACTTTAAAACACTTATTTTCAGGTAACCGTCTCACATACTGGGACATACCAAAAAGCTCACACACGTCAGCACCAGCCCTGCTAAACCCGAGAAGTCTAAGAAAGGCATGCTGGGAAAAACACCATAGCTCCTGAACGTACGTTGCAGTCTTGAATCCACGTAGCAACTTCGTCGTCGGCGATGTCCTTATTAGTGGCTGCCTTCAGGAGCTCGTTGGTCCGCTCCTCCTGCTGCTGGACCGTGGAAGCACACTGTCTGGAGTAGTCCTTGTACCTCTGCCAGAGCTGTAGGAGGGCCCTGCTGGAGTGCAGCTGCTCAGCTATCTCTTCCAGCAAGTTATTCCATCTGCAAACAACAGCCAACACTCATGGGCAGATGACCACCTCTCACCAAAAGCTGTTCCTCACTATGTTATTTTTCATGGTCCTGGTTTATGTGAATTTGGAAACATTGCAAGGATGTCTCATTCCTGCTAAACATCCTAACGAGTAACATTTCACACTCCTTTTACGGCTAGATTGTGGAAATGAGGTTTATCTTTGGGTAGATAGCAGCTTGAATTTCTTTCTAAGTATTTTTACTGCAATTACTTATCATTAACTTCATGCTGTGAAAATTAAAGCATTAATAGAATAGAATCCATAAAGCTCAAATTTGAAGTGCCAGCAAGTTTTAACTGTGTCAGGACTCACAATGTGGCTGTGATAGAAGCCATACATAACAGTGCGAAATTACGAAGTGCCATACCTCATAGTGACTTCCTTTAGTGTGTTGGTAAGTGTTTCTGTCACAGGCGGGTGACACTCTTTTAATAGTTGGTTGGTGACAGAGCCAAATTTCTGTAGGCTATTTTCCTGTTTTTCTAGATCATCTTGAAGATTCTGCCCAAAGGAAAAAAAAATGCCACAGATCAAATGACAGGATCCAAATTCTAATAACCAAGTCTACAAGTAATCGATGCCTGTTTTCATGAACATGCACATACAAGCGTGAATGCATAAACCATGATGTTGCTCCAATGCCTTATAAGCGTTCTTTAGATAATCATTTCCTATTCTTCATGCTTTTGTTCTTATGGGTGTGAGAAGGGATTCTTAACAGTTAGGCCATCTTAGAGCATCATCTGAGGTTCTGCTGGAAGAGCTCACATAGGGAGCCTTTGCCCATTTCCTGCTGGGAGCCCGTCGGTGGGGGGTGTGCGTGCAACCTGCATACTGTGGTTCTCTTTGCTGTTCAAAGGTAAAGCCTTGGACTTTGTTTTATTATGTATCTAGAGTGTTTTCTACCAAAAAACTCCTAACAATTAGACTTTAAGAAGCCATTGCTTTTCTGAGTATCTTCTCTAAGTTCTATATCTGGTGTTCTTCCTTGAAAAGAGTATTTATGAGACAGGCTATAGTCTTGGCAGAGTAGTCTACCAGTGAAAGAACTTGAAGATGTATGTCTCTCTGGAAATACTGCTGGTAGTCTCCGTTCTTAGTAAGACTAAGCGAGGGTCTCCATTCTTAGTACAACCACATAGGCGAAGGAGGCTACGAAAGTCCGGTCTTATTTAACACTGACATCTTATTTCCATCAAATCCAAATGTGCAAGGTAAAGGCCCTGAATTCTTTCATATCGTAAGACATCATTTGCAGGTATTAAACACAGAACAGGCTAAGTTAAAAAGTACTTATAACCTCCTCAAACACTCCTTTAAAACATGTTTTAAAACTTACTATTCTCTTACTAAACTCAGATAATTAAGTTCTAATGGTTCTTAGTATCCACAACAACTACTTAAGTTTTAAGTAAATTATACATACACATTTCATCCTTCCTCTCTTCTGCGCCACTCCCCCCAAAAATGGTATCCCTTTCAGAAAGTATGACTAGGAGGGCAGCAGCATAGGGACTGATCACCAAGCCAGCAAGGTGCATGCTGGGCTCCTGCAGGCATCCCATCCCCCATGTGCCTGCCCCGCCCATCCCACAGTCCGCACTGTTTAGCCAGGGAGAGAGAGCAGTGACAGGTGAGAGTGCCCAGTGCCCTGGTGTGCAGGGAAGTGAGGACAGCAGGTCATTTGAAGGCAGTGACCCAAGGTAGGAGTGCTGTGTTTAAGTCAAACAGCAGTGACGTCATTTTAGATGAATAAAATGATAATGCACATACGGGAAAGGAGGCAGTGAGTGATACAAAAAGAGGGTTATGTGTACACATTGGGTAGACCACTGATATTACACTAAACAAAAACAATAGGTTAAAATGTTACCGCTTTTGCTATTTTTCCCTTTGCTTTCTTTTTATTCCCTTAGAATACGTTTGGAGAAGCAGGATAAAAAGAGAAAAGGAAAGACACAAAAGGTAGGGACAATGGATCAAGGAGGCTGATTGGGGTATAAAGTCACTTTATAAAACAGACCAGTGTGAATATTTGTATGTCAAAATTTTAAAAATCATTTCACGATATAGCAGCTACCCCCAACTTGCGTACCCACAGACAGGCAAGTCTGAGTGAGTGACAAATACAGCAGGTAACATTAATTTTAAATATTAGAAAGTTAATTAAATGTAAGCACTATAGTATGGTATTTCAGGAAGATGTCCACACTGGCTGGTCTTTTTCTCTCAAGTTAAAAGGCCCGAGGAGGGCAGACTCTACTCAGCCCTCACCTGAAGGTTGTCCACCTGGACGCGCACAGCGTCCAGTGAGCCGATGAGCAGGCGGAACCGGGACAGGGAGTACCGGGCCTCCATGAGGTGACCGTGGATCTCGTCGAAGGCCGCCTTGTGCCGACTCCACTGGGCGTGCACGGACTTCAGCAGCGTCTTCAGCTGCCCGACCTTTGGAACAAGCGGACACTTCTTAGAATTGCATACGTAACACTTAAAATTACGGAATATGGGTTCGATGGATGGAAAACACATCAACATTTAAGAACTTCATCAAGCCCTGGCTGGCATAGCTCAGTGGATTGAATGTGGGCTGTGAACCAAAGTGTCGCAGGTTCGATTCCCAGTCAGGGCACATGCCTGGGTTGCAGGCCATGACCCCCAGCAACCACACATTCATGTTTCTCTCTCTCTCTCTCTCTCTCTCTCTATCTATCTCCCTCCCTTTTCTCTCTAAAAAATAAATAAATAAAATCTTTAAAAAAAAAAGAACATCAGGGATTCAGGCATGATAAATTTAACTCAAACAAACAAAAAAGAGGTAAGAAAAGATACAGTTCTATTGAAATGGATGCCTCTCCTACTTTTTTAATCTACTTTTTAATTATTTTATTTTATTTTTTATTAAATGGAGTGACATTGGTTAATGGGATCATACAGGTTTTAAGTGTCCATTTCTAGGATACATGATCTGTATATTGCACTGTGTGTCCACCACCCAAGGTCAAATCATCTCCTACTTTAGAACACTCAGTCTGAATTGAAATTCTTGAAAAAGTTAGAGACACAACCTTTATATATATAATGTATATGATAAACTTATATAATATAAAAGTTATAAAAGGTCAATATATTTAGTACTACAGTTTAAGAAACGAGTGTTTTAACTAATGTATTAACTCACTTAATCTTCGTAACAACCTTGCGAGATAGGGCTCATATTCCCCTTCTTATTGATGAGGAAACTGAGGCACAAAGAGGTTATGAAAATCACCTGAAACCATGCTGCTACAATGTGAGAAACCTTTTTTTAAAGATTTATTTATTTATATTTATTTTTAGAGAGGGAAGGGAGGGAGAAAGAGAGAGAGAGAGAAACATCAATGTGCGGTTGTTGGGGGCCATGGCCTGCAACCCAGGCATGTGCCCTGGCTGGGAATCGAACCTGCGATACTTTGGTTCATAGCCTGCGCTCAATCCACTAAGCTACGCCAGCCAGGGCTACAATGTGAGAAATCTCGACTTGAATCTAGGCAAATGTGGTCCCAGGAAATGAAACCTATCACTCTATCTATCTATCTATCTATCTATCTATCTATCTATCTATCTATCTATCATCCATCTCACGTGTGTGCACATATATACACAAATAAGCATCTTGAGACAGAACATCTAAGAACGTATTTCCCTACAGTTTTCTGCAACAGAAAAGTGAAGTTTTTAGTTCGTCTGTGTCATTTAGAAAGATACTTGCATCTAATTTAGGAAGATGTCTGCGTGGGGCTTCCAGGACGTCACCCTACTCTTCTCACTGTAATCTTTTGAAGACGGAGTGAGTATGGCCATAGTTAAGAAAAGAGAGCACATAATAAATTAATTTGTACCCGCATGCTCTGCTTTTCTTCTAAGCATAAATAAATAACGTTGAGCCCAATCGAGATGTTCACAGGACTAAGGGTCACCTAATGGGTCACAGGACTAAGGATGCGCTGCCTCGGAAATGAGGCAGCATCCAGGGTGCAGATAGGGGTCAGGGCCTATCCAGGGAAAGTGAGGAAGGGACATGGAGATAAAATCAGGACAGCAATAAGAATATCTAAATAATCTAGTTCTTCTTTGTATTATGTTTGCTTTTCATCAGGTGATAGTTCTATGAAAGGAACGATGTATTTTTATCGTAAATTGTTTCCAAAGATTTGTGATGATCTATCAAAGTGCATAAAATAACATAAATTAAAAGCTGGGGTAAAAATGAGGTAAGGAGGAACTGCCCAGCTGCACTTGGAGAAGAGAACACGGACTATAAAAGCTGTTTGCCACGCCCGTGGCCTCACGCAGCCAGCCTGGGCTTCCCGCCTGTTTCTGTGAAGTGTGGACAGGGACCGCCTGGGTGCAGAGCAGTATTTGTTTTTACACGTATTCTTATTATCAGAGGACCCTACACTCCATTCAGCATGTATTGATCCAGTATCTTCATGGTGCTTACGTGTTAGAGAAGTAGACAGTATCGTATGTTAGAAGCTGATAATTAATAGAAATAAAAGCTGAGCCAAGAGGAGAGTCGGGGAGTCTGAGGAGGGGGTCCAGAGGCAGCCGTTTAAAACAAGGAGGCCAGGAAAGCTATCCCTCGCCGGGCAAATTGGAACGAAGCCCTCGAGGACAGGGAGGGGCCCGTGTGTCTATCTGGGAGGGGGCGGTGGTCTAGGTGGAGGGCACAGCCACCACCAAGGCCCTCAGTCTGGAAAATGCCTGTTAAGTCCAGGAGCAGAGGGGACTGGAGCCAAATGGGCCTGCAGGACCACTGCCGCAGATGGCGTCAGGGGGCCCTGGGAGGCCGGGGCACGCAGGCCTTGAGGTCCTTGGCGGGTTTGGGTCTCATTCTAAGTGAGACAAGAAGTCGTTGCGGGGATCTGAGCTGAGGACGGGGTGATCCGACTTCCACTTTAGCAGGACCCCCCTGGCGTGGAGGCCGCTCAGGAGGCCTCCGAGACCAGCGAGCTGAGTGAGTGGTCACGGTGACTTAGACCTGGGCACTAACTGCGGGGCTGGGGGCAGAGGTTGGATTCTGGAGCTTTTCTGAACATAAGGCTGACAGGTTTGCTCTTGGACCAGCTGCGGGGTACGAGAGAAAGAGACAAAGGAAGAATGACGCCACAGCGTTCTGCCCAAACGACTGGAGGGGCAGAGCTGTCCTTGGCGGAGGTGGTGGAAAGTGTAGGTTTGTGGGGGGCCCAGGAGGTGGTTTGCTCGTGCAAGAGGAGATGTCTGCAGTCGGATTTCCCTCTCTCCCCGGCCTCTGTCTCTGTCCAGATTTTAGGAGAGAAACCCAGGCTGGGGATACACATTTGAGAAATGTCTGGGCCTAGATGGTATCTGTGGATGTGGGAATGGGTTAGACCAGTGTATGCTTGTGATAGGAAACATCCCAAACTTAAGTACAAAGAGATGAGGTACAGAGTCATAATTTCCTCAGTTACTTCGGGGAAACGGACACGCGTGTCGTGAGCGTGAAATGGCGAACAAGGGTGCGGAGCCAGCTCTCCCAGGCAGCGTTACCATGTGGTCCAGACTGGCCCAGGTCCCGCTGAGCTCCTGCAGCGTGCTCGCGACGGCGCCAGAGACTTCTTCTTTCTTGTTCTGAATCAAGGCGAGTCCACTTTGTTCAATTTTCTTTACCTCTTTTTCTTTGGCTTTAATCAACTCTTCTAGTTCCTGAAAGATTTTTTAAAAAAAGAGTCATTTTAAATTGCTCCATGATAGTCTCATATCCTAAAAAATCTCTTAGTAATCCAAAAAGTGTATCACTCTCAAGGCAGGGCCTCCACAGAGTAACTTCTTCCTACATTTAAATCATTTAAATAGTCTTTTTTTCCATCATAAACTAGCAAACTTAAAAAAGTAAAACTTGATGACCTAGTAGATAAAGAAATGGCACCATGTAATTTTTTTCAAGAAACCACAGGAAAGAAATAGTCATAAATGTAATGTGATTATATTCTTAAATTCATGTATCTTGGTGTTAGAAAAATTACCCAGTCCTAGCCCCCAGGGTGAAATGCAGTCGGATGGGATTCCGTGCCCCAGTGTCCGAGATTTAGTTGCATTTCCTCTACGATCGAGCCGTGGCACGTTGGGTAAGTGAGACACATCCTCTGTGTCTCAGTTTCTTCAGAATGTCTATTATCCTTTATTTCTCCCTAAAATAGTCTGATTCCATGTGATTTGAAAAAATTACAGGCTTTCTTCACCAGTCTAATTTTCATTTCCTTTGGGATGTGCATTTATAACTGTCAGTTTGAGATGTTCAAAAAAGAAAATAAAATGAGGCAACGACCTGGAGACCATTCTTAACGACACACCATAATCTTAACTTATATTTTAATGTCATTTAAAAGTCTGGAGAGCTCAGCGAGCAGAGCAGGCTCTGACTGCGAGCACAATTTTATGAATGAGTGCGTGGGAGACCCTGTCATACAACCTGTCTCGGGCCTCAGAGCTGGGGAGGCTGAGGCGGCCCTAGAACCCAACCTCCCCAGCTCACGGCCTCCAAGCCCCGTGCTGCAGGCGAGGCAGCTGGACGTGAACCGTGGCGAGGACGTCAACCCCACGTTGGGGCGACGTGAGAAGTCACACAGGAAGGCATGGCGCTGTTGTCCAAGTCAGAAGTACACCCGCGGAACTACGTGGAGATGCATAGACCTTGGAGGGTAGAGTGAAGAAAATCCCCAAATATTTTAAGGTGAGACAAGGTCTCAATTCTGTAAAACAGGTTCCCACCACTCTTCTCTCTCGTGACCCACAGACGGATAACGAGACTGGGCCTGGGCGGTGCTATTGAGAGTCTGTAGTAAGCAGCCCAGTCTCTGCTGTGTTGATTACAAAGGCTGTGCCTCTTTTATTGTTTTCTGCGTGGTCTGACCTGTTGATCACTCACTGCCTGATTTACAAAATAGGAATAATAATGTAGTTGCTCACCTCAAAAGGCTAACATTATATATATGTGTGTGAGTGTGTCTATGTATATATGTATATATATTTATAAAATATCTTTTAGGCTTTGAAAAATGAGGCCAGTGTAAGATGGTATTATTATATTCAGTCATTTGGTAATTTGCCATAGTTCAGTGCAAATGTATTTATTTTCTCTCCTTATTTATTGTAAAGCCACTTTTGTCATGATGGATTAATTAGAAATTCATGTATTTAGTATTCAGAAGAGTTCATTTGTGTTTCGAATGTAGCTTTTTAATTTCCACATTATAATTCTGTCAGGATTTTGACAGCTCAGATAATTAACCAGAGGATGAATACAGTGATTACAAGGATTACAAGTCCTGTATGGAGTACAGAAAACATAATTAACTTTACTATTTAAGGATATCTCTCTCTACTTCTCTGGAAGACTAAATAAGTATAAATAATCCTCCAACACATCTTTCATATGACTCAACCACTGGAATTAAATTTACTCTCATTTATCCACAGACTTTAACTTTTTTCAGCGAGCAATAGTAAATGAATAATGCATTGCTTAGGAACACATCTCTAAAACGCTCTGCACATTTATATTGGCATGAAAGCAAAATTCAGGAGGGAAACAAGACTAAAATATATATTTGGTGTAAAATAAAGGTGTTTTCCTTTCTTTTCAATAGTAATTAAAGGATAATCCTGTTTCTGATCAATGAAGGGGAAAGCCAACTCTAACATTTTTTGCTAAATGAATCATTCTCAACTTGAGTTAATTCATAAGCATCAGTTCTAATGTTGTTTTAAATCAATAAATCACCTCTGAAAGAGTGGAAAAATATTCAAGATTGTTAAAACAAAGTATAAGGCTTGAATCCAGTCACCAATTTAAACACGTTGGCTTGAATTTCACACTTTGGTCCAGAGGAACAATTTCTCAAAAATGACAATAAATTTTGATCAAGATTTGTGGTACGGCCAACGAGAACCTGCCAGTGAGGGGAAAACACATACACAGTTGCAAATCCCAAAAGAGAACTTGCCAGTCAGGCTATTGTGATTTATACGTGATGCCCCAAAATAACAGTGTGGGCTACATTCATTCTGTTCTTCGTTTCAGAAAAATGATTTCTCTTTTGAAATCACACATTGGCATCGGTGTCAGGCTCCTTAAAGTGCACTTCAAGCCCCTCCTCCTGACACTGCCTGATGTGACCTTCTGGGAGACTAAAGTCTGGGTCCAAAAAGGGGGAAAACTTGCCAAGCATCTGCTACATTTTCCGGATAGCCAATCCTCTCTCTGTTAAACAGAAGACACATACGTGAAAAGAAACAAAATGGAAAATGGCAGAGGAAAAAAGTAATTCGAAAGAAGAAAAATATGCTTAAAAAAGGAGAAGAGAAAGAAGAACACAAGTGAAAAAAAGTTATAGTAATGTATTATTTTAGTCTCTTAATAGTGAAGTCTATGACAACAGTAGATCAAGGAAGTGTCAATCCTGTTAATGTTGATATGTAAACTGTTTTGTGATTTTAATGGAATTGCTTTAACTTAGAAGCTCATCAAAAGGTACAACTTCTCATCCTTCCAAGTAAAACTCTGAAATTCTGGCTTCTTTGCACAATTTAGAATTGATGGCCTAAGCGAGAGATACTACTGGCCCCTGGAAAATCAGAATGCAATGATGCGTGTTTTTAGTCTTCCAGATCGGACACACCCATCTTCTGATGTGAAGCTTTTTCTAACTTCAAGGTATTTCTCTACATCATGGTTTTCTTTGCCATTTTTGTGCACCATCGGAATTGCAACCCATTAGCTTGTCAAGTCTTCCTTTCTGAACCAGAAAGCTTTGACTGAAAGCTTCAATACACCTCACTTCCCATGTGTCCCACAGAAAAAGCGCTGTTTGGAAGGAAGTTCATGACTAAAGGCCTGTCTTTTTGAAGCCTGGAGTATAAACACAAGCTTTGGAATAGGAGCGTTTCTGCCCAGTTACTGCCCAAGTGAGTCTTCAATTGTTCTTAGGAAACACCACAGAGAAGTCTCACAGGTAATCTGTAACCCATTACACAGTCTTTAATTATTTTTAGAAACAGTGATTGCAAGGTTAACTGTAATAGCTCCCACGTCTTCTGCAGCAGAGTACCTGGGGAAATATGAAGTGTTCCCAGGTCCCTGGGAAACATGGAGAGTGTGCCCACTGCCCCTGAATCCATAGTCCTTATCACTAACAGAATAAGGGGATGTTGCCAGGTGCTTTCCCAGGTGACACAGTGGTGACATTGTCACCTGCGAAGCACCTGCTCATTATAGTTGAGCCAGCATCCAACCAAGCCTCCAGTGCTAACTCCCATTCATAAGAAACACAGGAGAGGGAAGAGCAAGTTAAATGACATGGTAAAGACACACACAGGCTGATCCTGAATCTGGGGCCAGTCAGCATTTTCTGTGACAAGTTCATGGTGTGAAGAAACTGTTGAGAGACTTATGAGAGCTAGTGAGCATATGTAGCATGTGGACACTTGTATCTTTGTGAAAATAAATTAAATGAAAAAAAATTTTAAAGACAATTTAGGAAACATGTAATGAATTGAACATTAAAAAATATTAAGGGCTCATGTGCAAAACTTTTTGTGGTGCTAATATTATGCTTATACAAGAAAAGTGGGTTATTTAGAGCTGCGTATTGTAGCACGCAGGAATCAAATGGCATGCTCTCTGGGATTAACTGTGATATCATCCAGAAGAAAAGAAAAAATCCAGGCAAATATGTCCAAGTCTTGCTAATTATTAAATCTGATGATCAGTACAGGGAGGTTAGCAGCATTCTCTTTTCATGAGCATGTTTAAAAATTTATAAAAACAGGTGACAAAAAAGCCTAATAGTAGGAAAACTCTATAAACTTACATCATCAAAGAAATTTGTCACCAGATGTAACCTTCCAAAACTTAACTCTTGGTCCTCAAGAGCTGCAAACAAACTCCTCCGGCACATGCCATGAAACCGTGAACTGGAGCACATCGGCCACCGGGACCTCTTACCTGACAGTCTTTCATGGCGTTCTGAACTGAAGCCTGGTCTCCAATCCGCTGCTGCTGCTTGAGTCTCTTTTCCTGGGTTTCAAACCAAGTCCTCATACACTGTACGCTATTTTCATATTCTGACCAAGATTCCAACAAGCCTTCCAGCAACTGAATCTGAACAAACATAATGAAATGAAATTGGCGATTTTATTTTAAATTCATATTGTTGGGAAGCCACTATTTCCTCCAAACTGAGGATTCTTTAAATGCAGTCTGTTGTGTATACGATTAAGAAAGGACAGTTACAAAAAAAAAAAAAAAAAGAAATGGCTGTCATAAAGTGTGAATCCATGACTACTTTGGTAAGCAAGTAAAGAACTTGACTCAAGTGTCGCAGGTTCGATTCCCAGTCAAGGTACATGCCTGGGTTGCAGGCCATGACCCCCAGCAACTGCACACTGATGTTTCTCTCTCTCTCTCTATCTCCCTCCCTTCCCTCTCTAAAAATAAATAAATAAAATCTTTAAAAAAATTTAAAAAAAGAACTTAAGTCAACTTGAAGCAAAGGCAAAAGAAATTAAGAGACAAGTTTAACAAATTGAAACCACGTGAAATATACACGGAGGAAAGGGTGCATAAGCCAAAATAACATGACGAAAGGACATTGAGAGCCATCTACGTTTCAGTGGCATTCTCTCTAGCAGCACCCTGAGCCCGGGAGAGCTAGGTCCCTCATGCATTACTTTTCCTTACAGGGTGTGCCTATTCTTGGAGTCTCATGTAACATGGACAGTGGAGGACCCTTGGCTTACCTTCTCAGCTACTAGACCCTGCAGGATCTGCCAGCTCTTATTCATTGCCCCAAGTTGCTCAGCGAAATCAGTCTTATCGCTGCGTTTACTTTCCACGTCCTGAGTGCTGATCTGCAGCACAGACTGGTTCACGAAGTCAACTGTCAGCTGTTTGCAGTTAATGTCTATCTTGAAACCCTGAAAAGCGAAGGAAGAAAATAAGAAAGCAACGTCACGCATATAAATGTCTTATATTTTATCAGGAGTTGGAAAGCCTTAACTAACCTTAAGATTAATATCATAATTTCCATGATTTAGTACATACAGATGGCATAATCTGTGTGTATTCACATAACTCATTATTTTCAGAAGCTGAATAGATATAAACGTATATAAATATATAACATAAATTAAACTTATAACTTTTGAATTTATAGATATATTTGAATTTATAAAAGTACAAAAATTTATATTTATAAATATATTGAATATAAGCATATATGAAGTTTAGGCAGAGGATGTAGAATTATATAAATTGTATAATTACACTATAAAATATTTATAAATTACATTCATTTTTATGATTTCTTAAAATGATACAAAATCTCATTCAAAATTATCCCTAAAACTGGACAACGTTCCTATACCTATAGCTGGGGGGCAATTTCCTTACCCATATACACCCAACTGGTCACTGTGCATGAAACACAGACTTTACGACCTGGTTTCCATCATTTGAGTCTTTGAGTTCTTTCAAATAAAACAGCTCTAAAATACAAAAACCTAAAAATAAAACAGGCTTAACTACCTTATATTTCTGAAGGTATTCGTGAATTGCCTGGTAACCGACGCAATTGTTTATGTCCTCCTCATCCTGGCGGATGACGTGCTCCATGAGAGAGATCCAGGTCATGACCTCAGAAATGGCATGGCGTGATGGGAGCTTGTCCATCTGGAGCTGTCCCCGTGGGAGAACAAGTCCAAGTGTTAAAACTCAATTTCTCTTAACCTGACAACCCTAGGTTAATTCTTACCAAAGTACCAACAGAGATAACGCTTCTTAATGTCATTTCTGGGTCTTAACCTCATTAGAAGCTTGGAATTAAATGTCAGGCAAACACCAAACAATAATAGTCATCCTAGGTCCGTGTGATATCCAACACGACAAATATTATACAAACATTAAACTAATTAATCAAAACACCAGCAAGGAGAAAATATTATTGTTATTTTATAGCTAGTTTTATAACTTAAAAAAATCTAACTACAAAACATTCAACAGATGTATTTTATTAATTATCTTGTAAAATCGCTGTTTTATGACTCAGGAATGTTAAAAGAAGAAAGAAAAATACCACACTACAAACTATCATTTTCTCAAGTTTTGGCACTCTAATATTTATTCCTAAGAGCATAGCCAATTTCTTCTGTCTTTAACTAAAATATACTTAAAATTCTGAACCTTATTACATTATACATTTATGCAGATACTTATAATAATTAGGAGGAACAAAAGCAATCATTCACAGTATTTATGGACTTTTATGTGGTGCAGGGTGATACAGAGATAAATGTGAGATGTTTCCTGTCCTCTAGAAATGTATGGCTGCTGATTAGCAAGAAGAAGGAATTTACACCAAACACGTCTGTCATATCCAGTGACGAGGGCCAAAGACAGAGAAACAGAAACCATCTGGGAGTTCAGGAGAGAGGAGCCTATTTCCAGGAAAGAGAAGCACTGACTTCCCTTCTCTTACTTCTCTCCATCACTTCAATGAATGCCAGTTGCTGTATTGTAGGCAAGAGTATAGGTCTTTTATAATTACTGTTATTTAAATCTCCATAACTGCCCACTGTATGGGGTGGGGTAGTTACCCACATTTCACTCACGAGGAAACAAAGGATGCAAACAAGGCCAGACAGGGATTCTGACACAAGCTGGAGAAGCCCCCGCAGATACGGCATTTGTAGACAGGGCCCTGGTGCAATGGTTCATTTCTGATCATCCAGGCAATGCAATGGATGACAGAAAAGACGATCTCCGGGACAAAGCTGATTTAAATTTGTGAGCTAAAGCAGATTGATGCAGCTTTCCATTCACTACTGCCGGAATCGGTTGTTACCACTCAAACCAAAGGTCCTGTCTCTACCTGGTGGAGCTTTTCCTGAACGGCTGGAATGTTTGTCAGCAGGTCGGTCCACTGGCCGTCAATGTGCGACAGCTCGGAGCGCAAGGTGGCCGTGTCCACTTTCTTTAACCGGAGGAGCCGATTTCCAGTGCTCAGGACAGACGATTTCAGGGAAGACTTGGCATCCACTTCTTTGGAAAACTCCTGAAAGAAGTAGCCGAGGCTAAGTCAGGAATAGGTAGCCAGAGCTTAGACAAATTTACTGTGTGAACACTTTCTCTTTACATCTTGAAGGGGAGTTGGGTTAAACGTTCTAGAGAAGAAACAAAAGCAGCACACCCTTGTCTTGAACGAACGTCTGCAGTGAAGCCAGGACCTATAAGCTACTTAATGAGGCAATGGGGAGCATGGGTGTTTTGCATAGTTATTCAACACACAGAATCAGCTGTTGGGGACTGCCCTGCCTGGTCTCAAGAAGCTGTAACCCACCCCCCCCCCCCTCCCCGTGACTTAGGCTGAGTGAGAGACCTCCGGACCAGGAGCCACTAAGGAGACAAAACTTATTTCCCTGGCATGAATGCTGCCTGTTCTGTGCCTGGCCTCCAATACTTGATCAGTTAGCCAATGACGGATAAGATTTCCCATGGAGGGAATTGCCTAAGACAGGCATGATCACGAGGAGGCTTCTGGGAAGAGACTCCGGGCTGTGGAAATGAAGGGGTGATCGACATCGACCCCTGCCCCCTCGGCTTTGTCAAAGCCTGAGTCCTTGTTCTTAGAAGTGAAAAATCCAAGTCTCCTGGCTGCCTTTGTCTCCTCTGTTGACTCAGGCCTGCAGAAATAGCAGGGGCGGTGCAGCCCAGACCAGAGACGGTGGACCCCCAGGGTAATCAGGCCTGGGACATAGAATATGCAAGATCCTGTGAGATCTGTTTGCTGGAGGATGTTATTAGATTAGAATATGAAGGCACAAGCAGGAAACAAAACTAGCCCTTTGAGCCATATGTTAAAACTCTAAGCTCTGCCCAGAATCACAGCGGGGGTTCTGTCTGCACCTTTGTAAGTCACCTAGTTCTTTTGATCTTTTCTGCCAGACTGTGAATCCACAAACTAAGTCTGTATTCTCAATAAAAACCTGCTTGGGAACAGATACGGGGCGCTCCCCACTAGAGAGAGTGGCCGTTCTGTCCCTATTTCCCCACAGGACCTGGTTGTCTCTGTGTATGTTTTTCTCGTGTTTCGATGAGCATCTGCAGCAGGGATGGATACTGCTGGCCGGTATCTGCCACAGTCAGCAGGGACAGATTCTCCAGAACTCAGTTTATGAAGTGTCCCCGTTGACAGCTGATCTCCTTCTTACCAGCGTGGGCCAGGCCTTAGCTGGAGGCCCGCACACCACACATTTGCATTCTTACCAGGAAAGCATTCAGATGATCACGGACCGTCTCCAGCTCTTGAGGGACCGTCACAGATTGCTGAGTCCAAAATTCTAGCCTGTCTTTCGCAGACTGTAACCAGTGAGTTAGAGCTGCGGATTCACTTTGATATCTGTAAGTACATTAATGAGCCAATTAACTCAACATCCAATCCCTACTTTCTGCTAACCCATGTTATTCCCAATGCTAATTTTAAAAGAGGCATGATACATTTGGGAAAATAATGCCCTTGGGTTGAAACTCTTAAATTCTCTTAATATTTATGCCGGAAGCAAGCCAGTCTCTCTGAGTTTCAACTCTGCCTTCCCTAAATGGAAAGTAAAAATACATTTCCCCTATTTTTTCACGTTGAGGCTATTCAGACAATATTAGATGATTGCTATTAAACTTCTTAGAAATAAAGATGGCATAGAAATAGAGTGTTTCATTATGTAAAAGCAACCTTCCACTTCTTGAATATCCCCATTGTCCAGGAGAACCTCCATCTTCTCAAAACCACTTTCTCTCCTCCCTCTCCAAGGCCTTACCGTGACCACCCACGTGTGGTCAGCAGGCAGGGGACGACAGCCCGGAGGTAAGTACCTGCCTCCCTGCCGCTTTCGATTCCGTGTTTATATGACTGTACGAGAGTCCAGCTGGGGCTTTGTGTTTGCCTTTATTTTCCAAACTATGTGATGAGTTCCTAGGGGGACATATCTTTTTCAAGTCCTGTGCTCACCAACCTTATAAAACCTCTTCAACCCTAACCTAAAACTATGCAAAGGAGTCCTTGTATTACCTGGTCCAGTGTTTCAGTATTGTTTCCAGTCTGTGGAGTTCCTTAGACACTTTGTTGGTGTTATTTAACCAGTGTTCTCCAAGCTGATTTAGCTGGCTTTCCAGATCTGAGCAGCTAACGGACATCAGAAGTCGTTTCCCGTCATCTAACACCTGATACAGTTTGGGCTGGTACTCGTTAAGGCTGGATTTCAAATGCTAAAAAGATGGAAAATACCAGGTCAGAGGTTGGGATAATGCAACTTGTCTCTCTGAGAATTGTAATTCCTCTGGTGCCCGTCATGTTCCCATTACCCTCAGTCAAACTTCTCCTGCCTGCACCCAAGGAACACTGGAAACTTGGAGACGGTTCACCTGCTGAACCCAAGTATGGATGTCTTTTTCTTTTCTTTTCTTTTTTTTTTTTTTTGCTGGTAACTTTACGTGCATTTAAAACTGTCAAACTATAATTATTTCAGGAATAGTGTGACACCAGCATAAGTTATGCTTAGTGGAAGCTGAGCGCTCTTTCATTTAAAAAAATATACTTTTAATGCTCTATTATAAAACTACAAAGTATAATTATTTCAAGATTGTGTGACATCAGTATAATCCACAGAAAATGCTTGGTGGAAGCGGAAATTTCAAAAGGAGCTCTTATTAACACACTGCATGCGGGAAACGTATTTATACGTTTTACGTTGACTGGTAGTAGAGCGCGCGATAAAAACTACCTGCAAACAATGTGTTAAAAGCAACAACAACAAAAAGCACTTCTTATATTCTGTCATAAAACAAATGCTTAAAATTTTTGTGCTTTCCACAATGTCAACAGCTTTGAAATACAAGCAGCAGTACTTAATACAGTATTTAATTGCAAGTTTGCTTAGATTCTGTTAAAACCACGGGGAAGCTCCGGAAGGAAGCGTGGCAGCCTTCCCCACCGAGGTGCCGCGCCGATGCCGACCTGGAAGAGCGTGATGCGGTCGACGAGCCTGTCCTCACTCTCTTCCACCAGCCCCACGCTGGGGATGCTGCTCTCCACCACCTCCAGCTGCCTGCTGAGCTCCTGCCGGTCCTCCTCCAGGTGCGACCAGGTCTAGAAAGGCAACATCAGTCTGTGAGCTGGCAAGCCCTCGGAAAGAACAGCATTCCCCTTTGTGCGTGAAATATAGGCAGGTTCTCTTTCAAGTTACGTCGCAGACGTCTGTGTCGGGGGTTTGCCTGGGGCAGCCGAGGGTGGCTTGGAAGCCAGGAAGCAGAGAGCAACGCTGAAAAGCATGGCAGACGGGCCGTGGTGTCTGCGCCTCACTGGCAGCACGAGCGAGTTACTACATGAACATGGACTGGATGCTCAACTCCTCTGAACCTCATTTTTAACGTTTAAAAGGGGGGATCATACTACCTAGGTGGTCCATTTTGAGGACTAAACAGAACAATGGACGCAGCACACCTGGAACACAGGAGGCTTCTGATACACCCGGTTTCACCCTTTGCCACAGTGCTGATAACCTCATGTCTTACCTCAAAGGGACGAGTATGTTCACTCCAAGTAGAAATGAACTAAACTCATCACATTTGCAAATGTATAAAACACAGTCATTAAAGAAATATGACTATATAGCATCAACATCCTACTAAGGAGAACTCTCAAATGACTTATTCCTAAATTCAGATTTTTATCGTGTCTCAAATGAGAAAATCTTGCTTTCGATCATTTGAAGTTTGTTTCAATAACGTATAGTAAAAGTCCAAACAAAGTTCGTCAGCCTGACTATCAAAACCCCGCACATGAGTGTCCATCCAGCTGCCTCTCAGTGGGGCACAGGCTTTATCACAATGCAAACGGGACAAACAGCAGGCCCTGGCAACAGGTGGTGCAGAGTCCACGCACGTTCCAAGGTTACGCAGGAGACAAGCAGCGGGAATAAACATGTCTTGCCTTCATGGCCTGTCTCGCCGTGGGGGCTCGCTGCAGGGAAGGTGCCTCGCCTCACCGGGAGCCTCACCTCTAGAATGTACTCCAGCTCCACGCCCCTCTTGTGGGCCCGCTTCAGGACCGCGGAAGCCTGCGCCATCACGTCCGTGTGGACCTGCGTTTCCTGGGGCGCTGCGAAGCTGATTATCTTCCTGAAGAGCGTTTCGGTCAAAATCATATGAGACTCCAGGCCTTGAAAGTATTCCTGCAATTTTTCAGGGAGAAAGAGGTCGGTGATTCATTCATACACTGCCTTACAATAAAAATCGCTTCGACCGCGAGAGCGGACGGTACTGTTAGGGTGCGAGTGGCCCTATTCCGTCGCTGCTGGCCTCCCCCTTATCCACACAGAGACGGGGCTGCAGACTCCTCACTGGCCTCTCCTGTCCCCCCACCATGTGCCCCTACGTGAGGCTGAGCTCAGACTCTCTGTGCCCAAACAGAGCCCTTCACGCCCAGCCAGCTCCTGATCAAACCCTGGCTCCCTGCATGCATCCTCCACCCCCGTGAGTCTGGCCCTGCGCACTGCCCTGAAAGGCCTCTCACTGACTCCACCCCACACACTGTTCTCCCTTGTCCCTCGGGCACAGTCGTCCCCGCTCCCCACGGTGACCTCTGCCTCTACTCTGTACCTACTGGGATGACCTCACTAGACACCTTGGCGGCTTCCTTCCCCTGTGGCGGGCCTTCAGCGTTACTTTTCTGAGTCTCCAGAGCACCAGTTGCGCTTAACGCTCACTGCCCAGCTCAGCTCGACACCTGCCGAGTGGTACTATGCATTGTTAAATGCTCCTCGTGTTATACATACAACACTGTGGGCCTTGCACCATCCTCCAGCGGTGTTTTGAATTGTTACTTTGGATGTGGAAAAAGGCACCAGAGGAGGGAGATAGAGTTCATCCCATTTCCTCTTCCTGGCACCTTGGGTAGAACTGCAGGACTAGGAACTGATAACAATATTTAGTGCGTATTACATGCCAGGCACTCTATCAGCACTTGACCGAGTAGCTCGTTTAATCCTTACGACGACTCTATGAGGTAGATAGACTCGGTTCCCATTTGACAGGTGAGGACACTGAACTGCTTGTCCAGACTATCTGACTTGCCCAAGGTCACTGCCAAGCTAGCCCTCCCCCAGAAAAACGCTCTGGCCAGGAGAAGCTGGAACCATTCATACTGTATCACAGAATTTTGAAGCTGCAAGGGCACTTGGAGGTCACAGAGCCCGACACTCAGGGAGAGCTGACGTTCCGTTTGCAGCCCTCTCCCCTGCCAGCCTTGGCCGGGCTCTCGGGCCCGGGAGGGCTGTCTGCCCCGCTCCTTTCAGAGTGCCTCATCTATTGAGCTTTATTTCTCTGTTATTTATATTCATTGATCCTCGTTTCTTCTCTGGAATAACTCGGGAAGATATTTTATTACTAGGGTCAAAGAGTGGAGAAAAACCAGATGTGAACTTTAAAGCGATGTTTTCAAAGCCAAATGATAAGGCTGTAATAAATCACAAAGTTTCGCACAGAAACCTCTGGGAAAAATAGCAAGAAGTGAGATTTTTAAAGATGCACCATTAGAAGCCACCAGGGATCTACATGATGGGAGAACATGAACCATCTATGACCCAACGGAATTTTTAAAGTTTCCCTATAAGAAACTCTGGGAGTCTGGGCTTCTGGACTGGCAAAACTTCTGTTTCTGCAATCATTGCTACTAATGCAAGAGTTACCTTTGTGTGTGCATTACATGGGCATGTCTACACCAAGGAGTAGTGTCTAACTTGAACTTGGCATGGCACATACAAATGGAGCCACCTCAGGCCTACCAAGTCTGATTGTGTGGCAAAAGGACCTGGTGTCCCAGGAGGACACTCTGGGGGCCGGCAGCAAGCAGAGGAGCATGTGCTTGAGAACCAGAAGAGCTGGTGTCGCAGGTAAGAGAGAGAAACCCAACCCCAGAGCAGAGCGAGGAGTCCTTGGCCACACAAGGGAAGGCAGAGCGAACACCTGGGACTGGGTGAACAAGTGGGCATGAGGACGCAAAGAAAAAGAGCAGTGAAGAAGGAAGCTGGGCTCCCTCGAAGACAGTCCCCAAGTTTCCCATTGAGGGCGGCTTATGAAGAGAGAAGGCCTGGCTGACACTAGTGAGGAAGTGATCATTACAATTACCTCCTTTTACTTACAAAATTATAGCACACGCCCCCTATAACTGCTCTGTGCTACTAAATGCCGGTGGGTTTGAGTCGACATATGTTGGCCACTTTAAGGATTAACTCAAATGTGCAAGAACTCCAAAAAGACTGCAAATACTGAATTTTACCAAACATATGTCAGTATATGAGACTACGCTTTCACAAGAGCATTCTCTCCCCCCACCTCTCTCTCTCTCTCTCTCTCTCTCTACCTTATGTTTGTCAAGGAGCTGCTGGATTTCCTCTTTGGAAGACACGATCATTTTCTGGTCGCCGGCCATCTTCTCTTGGCCCGTCTCCAGCAGGTCAGCCAGGTCTTGCAGGGCCCTCTCGTACTGACTCTTGAGCGCAAGATTCTGGTTCAGCCCGCTCCGCCGAGCGCCAATGGTCATCATCAGTTCATCGTACATGTCCTTGGACAGACACGGAGAGAGCGTCAGTCACTCTCGGTCACGGCCCCTCTCTGAAAATACAGTACATACCAAGCCCACGGCCCAGGGACGCTCCTCCAGGTGTGTGTCTGGGGTGAGGCTCCGCGCACAGGTCATCTGTCTGCCTGCCTGCCTGCCTTAGAATCCTCACTTCAAAAACTTCTTTCAGAAAAGATATGCTAATTTTTTCATGTTTCAAAGGATATGCAAAAAGGTGCCCAGACAAGGACACATGAGGTAGATTTGACCCCTGTCTTTAAGAAATGTCAATTGTTTGTGGAGCTTTATGGGGTTAAAATGTTGAAAAGTTGTTTATAGGGCTGAGGGACATGTCTCAAAACACGCAACTCTGATGCTTACAATGTTCTCAACATTCATGCAACTTTAGAGTAGTTGAACCAGTCCCTCTAACCTTCCACCTACTAAACAACGATCAGATTGGGGATGCTTCTTCAAATAAAGAGCTTGAGAAACAGAGGAGCTGAATGTGAGCTGCAAGACTCGAAGACTTGAAGTGACAATGTTTTTGCCAAATGTGGCGACATAGATTAATATTTTAACTGGAAAGACATTTTTGGAGATGACGGTACACCAAACACAAAGTTTGTTTGAGCCATGTGGACCTGATTAATGCATCCCATTAAGGTTTAGCAGGCCAAAAGTGCTCAAGCTGGGGAAGTTCAACGTTAATGCCTATTTACAGCTGCAACGTTGGACTCTCACACCTGGTGCTGAAGCACCGTTGGAAAACTATTCCTAAGGGCAGAGTGGGGCAGTGGGCTCATGACATTGTGAAATGTGGGATAGAGGAATGGGACGCTTAAAATTAAAATGCTCTTTCAAACATAAGAGCTATTTTATTTTGTCAAAAGGGAGAACTTGTGACCCTTCACTGGACTCATACTAGTCATTCCTCAACAGTCTGCAATAAGGTATGTGTATGTATCACAGTTTTTTCTTAATATAACTTAACTATGTTGCTTATCAAAGGCAAAACATTGCTGGTCTAATACCCTAGCACCTCCCACTGCCCCAATATCAGATTCTTGCATGTCAGACCTGGGAAAGCAAAGTAACCCTCTCTTCCTGAAGGGTGCCAGGAAATCTGTTTAGATTTCAGGTACTTTCTCATTGCATTTCTTTTTTTATTGTGAAATTCAAACAGTGTCTTTCTTGCATTCAAACATGTATGGAAGATAAACTATACATTTGAACAACTGATAAAACCCCCTTTTGAAAAAGCATTAGCTTGAGTATTTTTTCTTTGAAACGGTGTTTGGGGGTACATTATAGTACGAAGTAGGTATCCCTTTTTTTTAAACGTTTCTAGATTGGACTGATAATTATTACATTTTCTGGAGCAGAAAACAATATAACACAACTAAGCTATACCACAATGCCTAGCCATTAGAATACTAAAAAATGTTAGGAAAACAATCTTAGAAGCATGAGAATACAACTTATTTTATTGCACTAAATATGGTAAAAAAAAAGTCAGAAAACTTCTCTAAGAGTTACTTGGAAGAAAGATTAGAACTTGATACAAATTTTGTAGAGAAAAACCATGAAAAGAGGGAAGCAGTTTTCTGTGGCTGCTAGTTAGGATGCATCAGTGAACACTGTTGGTAAAAAGCCGTACCTGCAGTTTGGAGAGTTCTTGCAGAGAGGGCTGCTCAACCTGCAACTTGTCTCCGCGCTTTTTTAATTCAGCGATCCCTGCATCCAACTCCTTTAGCCCGTCTTCAGCCTGCTGTATTGCCTAGGGAAATTGATGATATTTCATTAACGTTTCCACAGATGATTTCCCATGAAACGTGTGAATACCATGTCTCCTTATTTACTTCTCTTCTGTTCACGTGAAACAATGCATGCAACAAAACTCGGGGCAATGCAACGGGAAAACTGTGGTTGCCTATGACATGGAAACCAGGAGAATGTGCCCTTGATTATAGCACAGATCAGCTATCTCAAAGGTGAGGAGGTAGGAGCTTCCCCCAGTAAAGAAAGAAATTCGTGAGTAGCAACATCTAAAAAAGAAGCATAACGTAGGGACAGCAGATGAAGGTATCTGCCTGAGATTGTCTAGGGGAACATGTTGTGGTTTCCTGAAATGCGGACTTGAGCATCTCTGGAGAAAGATTCAGTGAGGCAAGAAATTTATGTAGGTGTTGGCCAAGTAGCTGGTTAGACTGTCATCCCAAGATCCCAAGACTGAAGATTTGATCCCTGGTCAGGGCACATTCAAGAATCAACCCATGGATGCATAAAGAAGTGGAACAACAAATTAATTGTTCTCTCTCTCTCCCTCCACCCCTTCTTTTTTTCTCTGAAATCATATAAAAATTAGAAAAAAGAAAATATGTGACAGCATGAAAAGGGAAAGCGTATGTGAAGCAGAAAACCAAGCAATCGACAAAGAGCACAGTAGTTGCCAGCACTAAGCCTTGACTCCCAGGCTGAGGTCGTAGAAGCACAGAAGATCCATCCTGGCCACCAAGGAGCCAACAGTCTGGCTGGGAAGCCAGAGTACACAGAGGACAACGGAACAGTTGTGTACGATCCTTGACACAAGGCACCCGTGCTCAAGCACTTCGGGAAAGGGGGATCCCAGTGGATTTTGGAGCAGAACCAGTAGGCTTTTGGGAGAAATGCAACCTCAGTTGCCTTTAAAGAAGGAAAAGAACATGAACTCCAGATGGCAGATAAAAAAACATGTGTTCCCTTTTCTTTTCTGAATCCCCACTACCACCACAGCAAATATGTTTTGTTTGCTTGCTTTTTGGAATGTCTTCCCCCCATAAATCTAGAAGAACAAGGCAAAAGGGAAAAAGACAATACCAAGAAAATTTTGAAAGAAATCTTGGAAATCAGAAGGGTCCGTGACGATTGACTTAGGAAGTCCCAGAAAGCCGACTCCCGGTCCAGCAGGGGGTCTTCAGCACCCCGGTTGCAGCGACAGGAGCCTGGGGCACCCTGGGCAAGTCACACGGGCGCTAAATAAGGAGGGTGCTGAGAAGCTGCTTAGAAAGGGAAGCTGAATTCCCAGGTCCCTTTCCTCATTCTGCACGGCCCCTTCCTTCCCCGGTGAAAGATGGAACGTTTACTTTCTGGAGAAGGTCAAACAGCCTCTGGACTGAGGGGCGCCAGACGCAGCGGCAGGCTTGGGTGCTTGAGAGAAAACAGAGAGGCAAAGCGAGCGCCCACTGGATGCTGAGTGTGGAGCCCCTGCATCGTCTAGAGTGTGCCAGGCAGGTCTCGACTCCCAGTTAGCAGAGGGGAAAGCGCATGAGAACACCAATAGAACGACCTAAAAATGTGGCACGAGGGTTCTCCAACGAGTAGGCCACACAGACGCCCTTCAGTAACCCTCACCACCGTCAAGCCTTATCCGCCCATCAGGATGCCACTCAGCTCTTTAGTCCTCACCCTGAATGGAACAGACAGCAAAGGACTTCCTGAGAAAAGCCTCCAACGTGAAAGATGGAAACCCTAAAAAGCAAACAACCTAAAGGATCCTCGAAGGAAACAAGTTATACAGTAAAAATAAAACTGCAACAACAACAACAACAAAAATACACCCAGAGAGATTACAAAAAAAAATTATGCACCTATTAAATAAAAGGAACAGGATACTATAAAAAAGGGATCCCTTAGAAAATCAAATGAGCGCTGGGAAAATGAAACACACGACACCAGAAATGCAAACCCAGTAGAAAAGTCTGAAGTTGAAATTGAGGAAGTCTTCCAGAAAATAGAGAAAAATAGCAGAGAGAAGTGCCTCTTGACAAAGAAATTAGAAGACTGGACCAGCATATCCAGCATCTGTCTAAAAGGAGACCCAGCCCTGGCTGGTGTGGCTCAGTTGGTTGGAGCGTCATCCGAGCATGGAGAGGTTGTAGGTTCGATTCCCAGTCGGGGCAAGTATGGGAGGCAACAAATCGATATTTCTCTTTCTCCTCCCTAACCTCTCTAAAACCAATAAATATACCCTCAGGAAAGGATTAAAAAAAGAAGAAGAAAAAGAAAAAGGGAGTTCCACAAACAGAGACAGATAGAATGGAGGAATAGAAATATTACATAAATCATGAGAAATTTTTTGAGAATAGAAAAGGGAGAGTAGCCAAGTCAGAAGAGCCCACTGTGCTCATAACCCAGTGGGCAAAACAGACCCTCCCCCAGCCATGTCTTTGTGAAATTTCAGAACACTCGGGACCTTGGGGATTAGAACAATGTTTAGATTCCTAGAGCTACCACCAGGATCTGGAAAAACAATGGAACAAAAGCCTCAGAACTCTATAAGAAATGGACTTCCAACCAAGAATTCTATAAACAGCCAGGCTATGAATCAAGTGTGAGCACAGAATCAGAACCTTTTCAGACATGCAAAATATTGACAAATGTATCTAGCATACCCCCCTTTTTTAAGCAGGGATAGGCACCAACAAAAAGCCAAGGAAGCAATACAGTAACGACTCAGGACTCAGAAAAGGAAGACCCAGTCGAGGGAAAAGTGAAGGAAATTCTCAGAACGGTCGTGAAAGAAGATCCCGGAAGACAGCTGTGCCACAGGCTTCTGGGGCAGATCAGAATGTTGCAGATCAGAACGTCACCGCTCAGAACGTGAGTGTGTTCAGAGGTGTCACCCCCATGCCTTCTGCTATCACTACCTTGTTAGCCCAAGGGGGGGTGGGAACAGAGTTAGCACATTTTTTCAGTGGTTTTCCATTTATTCAAAGAAATCATCTAATTATTTACTTTTATCTAGGGCACCTAGTTCTATTGGTCAGTAATTAGTAACCATATCACTTGTGATCATGCACATCCTGTATTTCACATTAGAAATGCAGGCGCAGCATCACTACGGCTGCTCAAATCTTTTGTGGAGTCAGGTGCATTATGGGTTAAAAATAAATGAAAACTAAAAGCAGGTCCTTTCAAATAGAAGATACAGAAAAATTGTTTTTTATTTGCGGAAATGAGGATCTCTTAGGAAAGCAGGTAAAATTACGGTCAAGAGAAGTACACATATAATTTTAAGGTCTATTTTAGGTGATCTATCCCAGGTAGGTAGACAGATGGACAGATAGACAGACAGACATAGATATCTCTTTATACTGGGTTGGCCAAAAAGTTGGTTTAGTTTTTTCTGTAGCATAGCTCTAGTAGTTGTCTCTAACTTCGTTTGAAACCATTTTGTTGGATCATATTGTGACAGCTGCCGTATCAGCATGCATTTAAAACATGTTATCAAAATTGGTGACTTTTTTGCAGTCATCTTGATATGGAAGGTGGAAGAACATACACAAGATTTTCAGAGTATTAGGCTTTATTATTTTACTAAAGGTAAAAACGCAACTCAAAGGCAAAAAAAGATTTGTATGGTGTATGGAGAAGGTGCTGTGACTGCTCGAATGTGTCAAAAGCGGTTCGTTAAATTTCTTGGTGCTGTTGACATTTTAGCCAAATAACCCTTTGCCGTGGGGCTGGCATATGTGCGCACTGGAAGATGTTCAGCAGCACCCTGGCCTCTGCCCACTGGAAGCCCATAGTGGGAGACAGGTGCCATACTCAAAATACCCAAATCAATCAAATTACTGGTGAGAATGAAACATGTGTCTTTTATTTTACATAAAAATGTAACAGGCTTTTTGGCCAGAGAACTATTTCAGGTTATTACATATGGACTACCCATAGAACCTTAAGAAGCCTACTGAAACTAGGTTATACAATTTTGTTACAGCACCCACTTTTCATGATTACCTACCTGAGGAAACAGGTAAGGCAGGTAGTATTTTGTAGCATCCGTCCCCTTTCTTCTGCTGTCCCTGTTTTCACTGCCATGACCCTAGCCTGAATTCTCACTCCCTCTTACCAGGTGCGCTACGTGAAGCCTCATGATGAAAACATGCTTCCTGACCCCAGCGCTGTCAGACCCGCCTGCCGAGGCAGGACCTGGCGCTCAGACCCACTCTCAGCCTCCAAAGCCCCAGTGCCTCCCCCCTGCAGTGCTCTCCAAGGTGAGTGCAGGTGTCTGAAGTGTGTACGGTGACCCATGAGGATGAAACGCTGCACCTTTTACTTATACGCAGCCACATTCATTTTCAATCCCCATTTCTGCTCCTGCGGGTGCTTTATAACAAAGCACCTGCATATTATGACTTACACATAAGTAAATATTCATATATTTGTGGTATGTGCTTGTCTGTGTCAACGGATGAGGCACGTGGCCAATCAAGTTTAGACACCAATGATTCGTAGAATAAAGTTCGAATTCTCTGACACGCAAGGGGCCCTACAAGTCACCTTACATTTTCTCATCCAGCCTTATGTCCCTCGATCACATTCATTCATTGTTTGTTTGGCGAAAAGGGATTCACTGTGTTTCTCCTGAAGAGCTCTGCCCTCTCTAACCTCTCTGACACGTGTGCGCCTTTGTTTTTGCCCTCTTCTTTATGTGGCTACACTTCCTCCCAGTCAACATGTACCCAAACTTCTCAGTCCAGTTCCGATTGCCCTTTATAGACTCTTCCCTGACCTTACCCCTGCCGGAGGCAACTTAGCTCTCTTCTGAATGTCCCGAGTGTGTCGCGGTACCGCCCCCAGGACACTCTGACTTCCCGCACGGGTCACTGCCATTCATGTCTAATCCCATCGCTGGGGGACAATCTGCCGCAGGTCAGCATCTGCCACTGACACCTCTCCCCAGCTCATGTTTCCTAGCGCGGTGCAAGGGGGGGCGAGAGTCAGCATAACCTGGCCTGCTATTCAAACCCAGCTCTTACAAACAAAACATGCCACAAACAAAAATGCCATAGTAAGCCATTAATCTCTCCTAGGATATTTGACAGTGTATAGCGAATCCGATCTGCTCTGTGCATTTGCTCTTCCGGAAAAAGGTAACTGTAAATACCTCTATTTGCTCCGCCATGGGCTGTTCCAACACATTGGCCAGTTTCTGCAGGATGATGTACTTGTTGTCCGCCAGCGATGTCAACAGCACCTTCAGATCATTCTAGGGAGGGGAAGGGATCAGGAGACTTAACGTGTGCACTGGAGAACTCAAAACGGTTGTGAATGTCACAGGCGTTCTTAGAAATAACATGCAAGTAGAGAAAGTTTATGTCCAGAAAAAACAATACTGATCTGTGGGAAGGTAGAAGTAACTGGCAGTAATTTGTCCAAGTCCTAAAGTTGACTTTTGAAGAATTCGTTTCACAGATCATTTCCAACACAATGTAAATGGAGACAAATTGCACAAATAAAAAAAACAATACTGGCCACCCCAATCTTCTTGTTATGTCTGAAATAAATGTGCATATTTAAACATTCCAGCAGAAATAGTCCACTAATGACTTCTATCTAGTAAACCAGCCTATAAATGTTACTCCAATTGGGGGAAAAAATAGGATTCTTAAAAATAATATGATTCCCCTTTTCCTCTCTTTGTCTCTTCCCTCTCTCCCTCAATTCTTGCTTTTTGCTATTTTCAAAGGATTTGCACAAGTTCATAAAAGTCACCCAGAGGTTTAGAAAATAAGTATTTCTACCATGACCAAAGACACAGTAAGAGAAAACACCAAAAGATCTTAGCCAAGCCTTTGTTCACACACATGACTCCCTCAAAAGCCCAAATATACAGGATCCAGCACAAACAATGCCCTTTTGATGACAAAATCTTTCATTACAAAATAATAAGCATGAAATTCTGTAACATAACCACATCACACTCAAGCACACTGTATGACATCTTAGGTGCAATGTTCAAATTAAAACTATAAATTATCACACACATATTGTTACCCAACCAACCACACTCAATTTCAAGCAGGCGCTACTCCTGCTAGACCCTGTATTTCTATTGAGTTAGATTTGGACAAACATGAGATAACTACAAGAATTTTGATACTCAATAGGGACAAAATTTGAATTATAAAATGTTTAACTCATCCCTGGCTGGTGTAGCTCAGTGGATTGAGCACGGGCTGCGAACCAAAGGGTCGCAGGTTCGATTCCCAGTCAGGGCACATGCCTGGGTTGCAGGCCATGACCCCCAGCAACTGCACATTGATGTTTCTCTCTCTCTCTCTCTATCTCCCCCACTTCCCTCTCTAAAAAAATAAATAAATAAAAATCTTTTAAAAATGATGTTTAAAAAAATGTTTAACTCCGTCCCCCTTTCTGCAAAGTACCAGCAAATAAGCGCTCTTTCTGATCGGCCAGCAACCGTGCATGACGGGCTGGAAGTCCATCACAGGATGAAGTGTGACTCATCACATCCTCTTCACTGGGGGCAGATCAGACACAAATGCACAGCACCGAGATGCAAGAATTCTGGCCTCTCACTAGGAGAAGGAAAATCTCACCAAGGAAATACCTATTTGAGGCTTTGTGAGAGCAATCGCACACAAAATCCAAGGCTGAAAAGCAAAATAGTGAGTGGGCTGTGTGGTAAATTTTTTAAAGCATTGCACAGGAGAATTAGAAAGAGAAATACCATCCTAAGAGGCAAAAGCCATCATAAATCAAAACCCAAACCAAGCTGCATGCCTCCTTGCAGACCACACAGGATATGTTATAACAGTACTGGAAAAAGTGGGGCCAGAGACAAGGGTTCTACTTATGAGATATGACGATGCTTATATTATCCAGCTGTGTGCAGGGTGAGACCACGCGGGTCATTGGAACCAGGACACACGTGTATGTCTGTGTGAATAGGAAAATATGTTCTCCATTCTTCGAGCAGAAGCTGAAGAAGTCAAGTCTCTTATCTACTTATATTTAGGCTGCTCTACTCAAGGCAACGGGAAGCAGAGTTCACACTTCTAAAAGCCACAGTACCAGGAGAGACGAGCCAAAGAGACTGAGGTGCTGAGAACCCTCTGGATGTTGACAGTTTCTTAAGAATCAAAACCTACAGGCTTATTACTACACTGTTAAAGAGCAGGATAATTAAGGTCTCTATCTGTTACACAAAACAGACATTACAGTTTTTTTTTCCTCATAGTCACTGGGATTACTTGCAGGGCACAAAGAGGCAGGATTCTAGCTGTTTGCAAAAACAGGTCCACAGAAAGTTTCAAGTTTTAAAATCATTCGTACTGCCTCGCTCACTTTTAAAAAAATCAAATTTTTAAAATAAATATTGACTCTAAAAATGTCCAGGAAATTTGTTTGGGGTTAAGTCTATAGGTAAACATTCTTTGGAAACAGAAGAGCGGATAAATAACGCGTGATTCCATGCAGGTATATATACCTACAGAACACCTACGCACTCTTCCAGACTGCCTGCTGGGGACAGGATAAGGCTAGCAGTCTGGCGAAAGCTGACGCTCAAATGTTCCATGGAAAACAAAGGAGGCATGCCGCTCCCCAAACTGCTGGGCACTGACGGCATGCCCCATGTGCGTGGTGTGAAGTAAAATGCAGTGGTTTGTGGCTTGACCTTGAAGTACGCTAACCCTGGAACTCTTTCAATTACAACTGGAACACAAACATTTTAGAATATCAGTTTTTGTTCGTGAGCTGGCCACCAACAAGTAGAAACTTGTTGGCAGGAGAAAAAGAGAGAACATGACTTAAAGAGAGTTTCAGGATGAAGCATTCTCCTCTTGGTCCTCTCTCTGCACAAAATAAGTTCCAGAGTATTCATGGCTTGGTTCACAGTTTACTCTCACGGACTCTATTGACCAAGAAAAATTGTAACGCACCAAAGACACTAGTATAATAAAAGCAATTTGAAAAGGAAAATATGCCCCTGAGTGACGAACACATTTGCACTTTTAACCCACCTCATGCATAACTGATAGAACAGCGTAACTAGAATGCTATTAAAACTCAGCGTGCATTTTACGCAAGATAAATTTTAGAGTAATGAAACAAGTTTCCACAAACTGCACAACAGTTTTGTGGATTTGGGGCATGCTGTGTATATGTGTACATTCTGCATGCAAAGCAAAACACCCAAGTAATCAACCCCAGCTTTTCTCGACTCCAAGTGAAATGCTCGTTCCTTCCAATGTGGTGGACAGCACAGCACACACAAATGTTGCAGGTCGCTCCTCTAGTCACAGACTTGCATCCCCAACTGTCTACAGTGACTGCTTACCTGAGTCCTACTTCTGCCCCGAACCCTTGCCCAGCCAACAGAACCACCAGCAACTCCGTCTGTCCCATTGATGGACGGCACCGCCATCCACCAGTCTCCTCTGCCAGCCAATGCCCCCCTCAAGTTAGAGCCCCTGGAATTCCTCAGCTGTCCCCCTTTTTCCCATTCCCCATAACCAAACCACCACCAAGTGCTCTCTGAATGATTCTGCCTTCAACAATATGTCTTGAATAGGTCTACTATTCTCCGTCTCCCCGTCTATCAGCTGAACAATGCAAAGTATAAAAATATTCTTTGAGTCAAATCCTGGCTTTTGTTCTCAATACGAACGCCAGGCTTTCGTTCTCAATACGAATATGACTGAATAACCTTGGAGAAGTAATTGAACCCTTGCATGGTTTTCAGACCCTAACCTGTTAGGATAAACACGACTGTTGACATCAACAACAACAATAATACTCACTGAGCACTATGTTTCACACACTGTTCACAGTGTTTCAACTCATTTTATCCTCACAGAACCCTATGGGGCATTAACATGGGTGGGATTTAATAGCTGTGCACACGGAAATGCAGTGGAGGCTACACAGCAGTAGGCGACAAAGCCAGAATTTGGGCCCGGGAGGAGTGGTTTTGGAGACCCTGTTCTCAGCTGTTGCTCTTTTAACTTCACAAAATGAATATTAGAACAATGTTTAGCTAACAGGGCTGTTGTGAAGATTAAAGACAATAGTACATATAAAAATATTTTTGTGATTAAAATAAGGATACACAAATATTTGTGATAATTTTATTTTGTAGTTTTAAGAACGTTAAACTCCTGGAAGGCAGTGATACATTGTCCTAGATACACATCTAGAAAAGTCCTGGTTTCTTGGCGAATGCTACATTTATTTGGCACTTCACAACATTTTTTGGTTTTGGAAATCAAAATTTTTACATTAAACTCTTGGCCCTAATCGCTGGTATTCATTTTATAAAACTTCTATATTTGTTAAAAATAAAAATCCAGTTAAAAGTTAAGTATTCCCAAAGGGCACTTCTTTGTTTTATTGGGAATGAAAATCAACACAAAAAATTTACCAGCAATTTTTGCATTTGCTGAAATTTATAGTCATAGGAAAAGTTTCATAAGCACACAATTATTGAGCTGGCAACAGAAGTCTGGTCTGCAGCTAAAAGGCAGTGTGAGGAGTTAGGAGTGGGAAGTGTTGCAATATATTTTAACACAGGTGGAACAAATTAGCCCATCGTCAATTTCAATGGGCCTCGATATTGGAGTCCAGGGTTCATGGTTTATTACAGCCCTTCCTGCCTATTTCTTTGGTTATATGTTTTAAATTCCACTATCATTAACTGGATATTATAATTATAATGTGCCAAAAATAGGACTTTTATGGGTTGAGTTTAAAGTCCCATTCAACCCTTAGTTTGGTTGGCTGCTTTTCTCAACCTCCATTTCTAGGAGCATAAAACTCTTCGTTTTCCAACCCTTGAGTTCATTCCTCTAGTTTTTCTGCATTGTACCTTTGAAAAAAAGTAGGTGTAGGTATATCACACCTCAGTGAGACACCCCGGCTGTGACTGAATGTGGCTGGAGAAAGGACAAACACTTCTTGATAACATCTTACCTGGAAATTCAGTATTTGCTGAAGTCTTTCCTTCATCTGATTACACCGCTGGTTTACTACTGAGTCCAGCAAGGATAACCTCCCCAAAAGGCACCCCAAGGTGTCTTCAATAACGTCGCGGTTGTCACCATCCTCTGGAAACGCTTGGGAAAACAAGTTCTTGTTCTTATCCATTTCTTCAGACATTTCCTTAATATCTTTGGCAAGAGCCTAGGGTTGATGAGAGAAGGCCACTTCAAAAATAGATCCAGGAACCTAAACACAAATCAAGTCTTCGGCTCGTAGACAGTGGAGTGCTTTGAAACGTCATACACACTCACAGACACGCAAGCTGCCAAACTCACCTCTTGGTTGAAGAGGCAAGCTTCCGTTTCTTCTGGTACCAGGGCTGTGGCAACAAACAGACGTTCTTCCACGTCATCCAGCCAAGTGGAGGTCGCGGAGACTCCATCATATAACTTCTGTTCCAAGTGCACGTTCTGCCTCTTTGTGCCTCCACCCTGGGGGGAAAAAGGGGGGGGGGAGGATGAATTCATGACAGTGTTTTGAGAATTAAAAGGAAACTACCAGGATGCGACTTCGGGGTCTCCCGGCTCTGCCTTTCGGGGTTATTCGCTAGGGTTGAGTCACAACGGTTCACGCCTGGGGGTGGAACGACTTCACGAAGGCCAAGATCCAGGAGCCGAGTCAGAGCGCAGCCCTACCTGGGAGGAAACCTCCTCAAACGCCTGGTTCAGCCCGTCCAGCAGAGACGCCACCGCAGACTTGTCTTGGGTCTGCCCCTCGCCCTTGAACAGCGGCACGCCGGACAGGAGCCGGTTTGGCTTTCGGTAAAGCTGCAGACAAACAGGGTGGATGACTGGAGAGCTATGCCCCTGTTCAGGTTTCCCATTTACAAGCACACGCAGGAAAGCAGATGCGGGGAAACTGTCCTTAGGAAAACCTGTGCTAGAGAAATACGACCTCTCGGACACACCACGCCCACTCCACACGGTGACCGGCTTCAGCAACAGCAGTGTTTCTACTGATGCATTTTAAAAAGGAAGTGGTGGGGGAAATGCCCGAAGTCTTACAGCCCTCCTCTCAGTGTGTTTTCTTGGTTGTGGCACTACCCCCGGTAAAATAATCCATTCCGAATTCTGGGTCTGGACTGACCCTTCTGCTTTCATCATGCCCTCACCTCCGCCAAACTCTTTCAGGTGCACAGGATGTCTGTCTCTCTAGGGAGGCCCATGATGTAACCAAACCCTCGAACTTTTCAATGTTGCTCCCGGTCAAACTCAGTTTTCTACGCTTTGCAAGAACGTCTCATTGTCGCCTTCCCTTCCAGGCTGATTACTCCGTCTGCTCTCACACTCAGGCTTATTCCTCACCGTAGCTGAAATGCCCGCCACACCCAGCATCTCTTTAAAACCCATCACCACATCTATAGGGTATGTACTGTAGTGGCTTTCCAGCATTTTTTTTACTTCTGCTTTCTTTTCAGTTCTTGCTTATAGGGCTTGCCATGGTTGCTTAATTTTTGAGAAATGTATAAAATATTTCCATGGTTTGGTTACAGTTTCCTGGGAGCTGGTAAGGTGTTCTGCATGGACGTGTAGAGAGAAAAATTGCTCTGAGAGACAGATGCCGTTTGACCTCGTGAATGTTAGCCCCCCCCCGCCCCCCCCCGCCCCCCGTTCCCAAAGTGCCTGTTTTCACGCTTGAGGGCAGTAAGCGTATCCAGTACCCAAAGCTGTCAGTACGCTGGTGTAGAGGAGGAGGGACTGGGAGTGGGCTAGACCTGTGTCCACCCCTAGCTCTGTCTCTTTCTTTGTCATGAGACCCTAAGAAATTGTCTAATTTCTTCAAGACCTAGTTTACAGATAGACAACGTAGGGATAATATCAACCTCCCTGTTAGACATGTGAACACCTAGAACACAAATATGTTCATTAAGTGACCATTCTCTCTCTTCTTGGAAACTCTCACAGCCAGACTGCTTCTTCCCTTCCTTTTCTTACTTCTTCACACGAAAGTGTAGAAGGCACCTTGTGCAAATGACCAGTGATTCCTAAAATAAAGCACTCAACGAACTGCAAACACATCACAAAATAACCTTCAATGCTTCCCACTTCTCAGCCCCCAGGGCAGTGAGCTATAAATGCGCACCTGAACTCTAACAGCCCAGGCGTCATGCGGGGATGTCAGTGGCAGCAGAACACAGTTTCCCAGTGACCTCACAGGGAGGACCCTTGGGTGCGGGCACTGACCGAGAGAAAGAGTAGCTCTCCCCGCCAAGGGCAGGTACTGGGTAGATGTCCGGGAGGGCTGCAGTCTTGGATGAATCACGCAGGCGCTTTAAGGTGAATGCACTACAGGTGGAATCTAGGGCTTGGGCATGAATGGATAGCATAAAACGTTCCTAGAGGTATCCTGGATTGATCTGACTTAGGATAGTCAGAGAGACCGCAGTCTCTGATTGAGGGCTGTCAGTACCCCTCACAGCCAAAAGAACGGGGAACTGCTATCACGTGAAGATGAGCTAGCAGGCAAGTCCCCGAGACCTGCACCAGGAATCAAGAATTCAAACAATGAGTCAGGAACGTGTGAAGAGGATATGTCCTTGGCCTACACCCATGATTTTCAAAGTGGTGGGAAAAGGAGGCACACGTATAACTTAACGGTTTATGCCAAAGAGTAATCAGCTATTAATTATCTCTGAGGAAGTAGTACCTAGACATCAAATGTTCACACATCAATATATCATTATTAGGGGAAGCCATATAAAAAGGTAAGGAGAATAGTTTGCTCCACGTCTTATTTTGGTATCGATAATGAAAATATAGATTATTGCGCGGTTATCCTGCCTCGCCAAAGCTGTACACCTCCTACAGTACTTAGCATACAAAAGCGAAATGTCCGATACCACTTGCTCTTGCTCCTGCTCCAGAGCACTCTGCAGCAGCTTCTGCTTGGCGCTGAACTCCTGGTGCAGACTTTCCCATTTCACTCTCATCTGGTCTTCGGCAGCGGGCCTCTCCCCTTCCATCCCCAACTCCTGGGATGACACAGCAGGTTTTTCACTATTAGAAGAATAAATATTCCAAGTTTACAATGTGTGTAAAGAGGCGATCGGTTCTAGGTGACGTATCGCGTGCGCTGGATGCGGCCTCTAAAACTAGAACCAGATTCTTTTAGTCATCAGCTCCCTCTTGAAAACATATAAATTACAATAAGAAAATGTGAGCCTAACCATAAAACAAATACATTATAATGGGACCATGAAGACAGTGAGCATTTAAAAGTACATAGAAAATAGCCCAGTATTAAAGGTAATAATGATTGCATCTTTTGGGATCAGAAAGGATATGTACTCGCATCCTTTGACACATAGACCACATATCAATTCAAAACCGTAACAATGTGACTTAGTCTTTGAGAGTTTTTGCCCCAAGTCCAAAGATCAGCGTTCAGGACATGCACCGGGCTTCCGGCCAAGGAAAGAAGGCACCTGCCTGTCACCCTCAAAGACGGGCAGCAGTGTGCGTCTGAGAATGACTATGGCACTCGGAGACAGAGCTGAGTGTCTAAATCCCTGCTCCACGGGCTGCACATCTGAAAATAATGTAATACTGAATGCTAACTGCCATTGGAAAAAAAGATTAAACATAAATACATCAGGGTTGCCAGTTCGATTCCTAGTCAGGACACATGCCTGGGTTTCTGGCCAGGTCCCCAGTGGAGGGCGCTCAAGAGGCGACCACACACTGATGTTTCTCTCTCTTTTTTTCTCCCTCCCTTCCCCTTTCTCTAAAAATAAATAAATAGAATCTTTAAAAATTTTAAAAAATTATAATAAATAAATAAATCCCTGCTCTAGCACATTAGATTCATGACTTTGAGTAATTTGTATCACTTCTCCAAGTCACCATTTCCTCATCTTTCAAATGAAGATATTCTCTGTCTCGCAGAATTATGGGAAATAAAGTGAGAGAAGATACACATAATGCTCATAATCCTGCCTGGGAAGTAACAGTCACTCAATAAATGGGGCCCAATGACAATGACAATGGTAATGGTAAGAATTTGGGGTATGCAAGTTCCAATAGATCCTAACTTATCAGGAGTTTTGAAGTGCTGATAGAACCATGACATCTGAAAGGCATAGAGACACTAGTTATTACTTTGACAAAAACTTTTGCTCAAGTGGGAAAAAGTTGTAAGTTCATTGGCAGGATAATACTCTACACTATCCCAAAGCCAATTCTTCTCAAAGTAATAATTGACAAACTAGTTTCTTTAGGTGAGTTTGCTGAAATTAAACCTTAAAAAATACTGCCCTGGCTGGTGTAGGTCAGTGGATTGAGCGCAGGCTGCGAACCAAAGCATTGCAGGTTCGATTCCCAGTCAGGGCACATGCCTGGGTTGCAGGCCAGGGCCCCCAGCAACTGCACATTGATGTTTCTCTCTCTCTCTCTTTCTCCCTCCCTTCCCTCTCTAAAAATAAATAAATAAAATCTTTAAAAAAATATTTATAAGCCTACAAGAGAGGAATTCTATTTCTACGATATAACTTAGCGGATCTGGCCCACCTGTGCAGTTAGAAACACAAAAGAAGTTCAGTAATACCAGTAACAACCAAAAAATGAAATGGCAACAATGTAAATGCCTATCAATTAGAAAATGGGTGAATACATGATGTTTCCAATATAAAATAACATTAAACAGTTAAAAGAACTTGATCGTTATATATCAACACAGATATATCTGAAAAAGTAATACTGAGTGGAGAAAATGCCAAAATAAAATTGATGCTTCTTTCATCCTGCTGGTGTGGCTCAGTGGACTGAGCACCTGCCTACAAAGAAAGGGTCACCGGTTCTATTCCCAGTCAGGGCACATGCCGGGGTTGTGGGCCAGGTCCCCAGTGGGGCACACGAGAGACAATCACACACAGATGTTTCTCTCCCTCTCTTTCTCTTTCCCTTCCCCTCCCTTTAAAAATAAATAAACAAAATGTATTTAAAAAGCTGATACTTCTTTCAATTTTGTTTGTTATATTAGTCTCTGAATTTTTATTTTTAAAAATCTTCTTACATAGCAACAAGTTTTAACATGTTTATGACATTAAATTTGTTATTGTGCTTTTTTTGTGGTGGTGGACTGTAGTTCACCACTTTTTAATTTATTTATGTTTGTATAATAATTTAGCGTAAAACCAGTAGATGGTTAATATCTACATTCTCACATTCAATCACGGACACATATAAAATATCATCAGCAAATCATCCTTAAATTAGAACACAGCCCTTTATTTCTCGTGGAAAATATTCTTCTTTCCCTTTGATATTTGTATCAGTTAATTTTCACTTGAGTTTCCTTCGCAATTATAAAAAGGTCCCTCCATCAACCACCCTACACCTTGCATAGGACTCATTCTATTTCTTTTTTAAGATTTTATTTATTTTTTTGAGAAGGAAGGGAGGGAGAAAGAGAGAGAGAGAGAGAAACATCAATGTGTGGTTGCTGGGGGCCATGGCCTGCAACCCAGACATGTACCCTGACTGGGAATGGAACCTGCGATCCTTTGATTCGCAGCCCACGATCAATCCACTGAGCTACGCCAGCCAGGACCAGACTCATTCTTTATGTATCTCATTTGTACCCATGAAGCAAGTCATGCCCCTCCCACAGGGGTTTTCTTACATAAACCAGTTCACAACTAATAGTCTTAGAAAATCAGCTACTAAATTAAAGACTTAACATAATCCTTTTTTTAAAACCTAGTAACGTGGTATATGTGCCCAACGGCTTGAAAGGCACAGCTGAACTATAATCAACTAGATTTAAAGGTGACTTTTCTAAAATCTTTGTATAAAAACTAAGGAATTTATAAGCAGTCTTGAACGTGAATCTTGTATAGAAAGTCAGCACTGCACAGCAGCTTACTCTTTCAAATATTTTTTTTTTTATATTTGGAAGAGCAATTCATAGCTGTTTGCCTTTTATCTGGGTCCTTTCCAAAGTGAAAGGCAAGGAAACAAACAGAAAAAAAAAACCATGGCAAGATTCCTACTGCTTTTCTGGGAGTGCGCAGTGAGGAGGCGAAGTGTGGGTGAGGGGTCTGTAAAAATAGTTTGGCAAAAATGTTCAGAAAACTATGAGGGGTGCATAAACACCTTAGAAGGATTGGGAAAAGAATATAAAATGCAAAGTGAAAGCAAGTCTTAAGAGCAAGTGTTAGAAGAAACAGTTTTTTTTCATTGTGTATTTATACAGACACACATATTTATGGCCTCAGCATTTTTAAACATGATCCCCAATAGGGGTTTTTAAATCCCTTTATATTTTAACACAGTTTTTGGTTATAGGGTTCTTTCATGGAGTTCTGACTATAGAAGCCATATTAGTCCTTCTTATTTTTCATTGATATTTGTTAACTATTAATATTTTGTCTTGTTTTTCTTTTTTAAAACTCCTTCCTATTTTCCCCTGGCTGGCATAGCTCAGTGGATTGAGCATGGGCTGCGAACCAGGCATCGCAGGTTCGATTCCCAGTCAGGGCACATACCTGGGATGCAGGCCACGGCCCCCAGCAACTGCACATTGATGTTTCTCTCTCTCTCTTTCTCCCTCCCTTCCCTCTCTAAAAATAAATAAATAAATAAAATCTTTTAAAAAAATCCTTCCTATTTTCTATACATTTTGTCATGATGTCTATTGAAATTGCACTTTAGTTTTGTTTCTATTATTTTCCCCTTGAAATTCTTAAATACATACAAATTGGGTGTGGTAAAAGTAGGTTTACAGTTGTGAGTATGTGAAACCCAGAGTTTATCCTTGTCTTATTATTTATTAACTATTGTGTTATTTTCCATATAAAAACTATAAACCTGCTTTTGCCCTGCATATGTGGTTACATATGTATACATGTGTGTAGTGAGCACTGGTGTTACATGCCGACAATATTATGTCAACACTAATTAAACTGGAAAAAAAAAGAAAACAAAAGAAATTCTCTAAATCATCCCTCTTCAAAGTGAGCTTTGATAATCTACATACTAGTACGGCTCTTACCTACACACACACTACACATTCAGTTCATGTCCCATTTTACTTACTGTCACATATTTTCTCATATTGTTATAATTTTTTAAGATTATATATGCATAGACTTTTTTCTTAAGCTTTTCTATACTAGTGGGAATTTCTGCCTTTTCCATGATTGGATTGTAAATAACATTTCAATAATTATCTTCATCATATGTACTTCCTCCTTTACACTATTTCCTCCGAATAAATGTTCAGAAATGAGAAAATTGAAGTCAGCGTAGTTACAGCTGTTTAACCCAGTGTGGTTGCCAAGGACGCTGCAGTCCTCTCCCACAAGCTTCCGTGACCCAGGAACACAGGTTTTACCCAAACTTCTTTTCAAAGCTTTGGATATTAAAAAGAGTTTTGCTGCCCTGGCTGGCATAGCTCAGTTGATTGAGCGCGGGCTGCAAACCAAAGTGTCGCAGGTTCGATTCCCAGTCAGGGCACATGCTTGGGTTGCAGGCCACGGCTCCCAGCAACCACACACTGATGTTTCTCTCTCTCTCTCTTTCTCCCTCCTTTCCCTCTCTAAAAACAAATAAATAAAATCTTTTAAAAAAGAGTTTTGCTATGCATCCTCTCAGGGGACATTCACAACTTTTCACAGCCCGTCTGGGATGAAGGTGGTCACTTATTATCCTAAGTCCACAGATGAGCAACCCGGGGCTTGGAGCTGAGTCACTTTTTCATGGTGGCAGCTGTTGAATCAGAATCAAGCCCAGACCTGACGCCAAATATGGGGAGCCTCACCCCTACAGTGGCTCCTGTTCCTTCCAGCCTTGAAACCCAAATTTTTAACCTGAAAATGGTCTAACTCCCTTAATATTTCCTTTAACACTCTCTTCTTCTGCATGTAAGACTTTCAGTCCCCACTCTACCGCAGGATTCCAAGTTCAATGACTTTGTGCGTAGATATTATAAAGATAGGTCTTCGAGAAAAATCAAGATATTTAGTAGGCACGTACATTTATTTTTCAGAATGACGTTGAGGGAAGGTAAGTTCTTATGGGGAATATATTTTGCAGTTAGATGTTCAGATAGACGCATCATGATCTATTTTCATGATGTATTTGTTACTTGATTTAAAAAAAAAATGAACTCAGGAGTCTCTTCTCTGGAAAGACAGCTGAGCACACTGGAAAGAAGGCAAATGAGCTCGCCTGCATAAGCCGTACCCACGCTGCGCAGCAGAGCATTCAAAGTGCAGGTGAATTGTACAGGGTCGGCAGAGGTAAGGCCTGCGTGCATGTGGGTGTTAGGGTAATAATACAGGTGTGATAATTTATAGTTTTAATTGGAGCATTTCATCTAACATGTCATATGGGCCCTTGCTGGTGTGGCTCAGTGGATTGGGCGCTGACCTGCGAACCAATGGGTCACCGGTTCGATTCCCAGTCAGGGCACATGCCTGGGTTGTGAGCCAGGTCCCCAGTGGGGGCACACAAGAGGCAGTCACATATCAGTGTTTCTCTCCCTCTTTCTCCCTTCCCTCCCCTCTCTTAAAATAAACAAAAAAAATATTTTCTAAAAAATAAATAAAATATCATGTGGTGTGCTTGAGTGTGATATTGTCATGTTACAGAATTACATGCTTATGATTTTGTAATAAAAAGGGGACATGATTTGTGCCAGACACCAAATATCATAAAGTGAAGACAAGATGATTAAACTTTTGCAGATGTTTAAAATACGACTTCGCTTGAGATGTTTACATTTCTGGTTCGAAAACCAGTGCCCAGAGGAGAGTGCGTCCCAACATACCCAGCAGCGCCAGAGGTCCCCGCAGCCGAGTGCTGGGTCAGGATTTCCTCTCCTCGGCTGGCCACCGACCGGAGGAGGCTCTTCTGCTCCGCCAGCTCCTGCTCCAGCTCCTGCTCCAGGAAGACAACATACACACACACACACACACACACACACACACACACACATCCTGGTTACCCCATGAGCATCATCTACAGTCATGGTTCTGTGTTTGCAAAATCCTCACAGGGCTCTTGTGGTAAGTTTTAATTTTGCACATTGCATAAAAAGTGTGGTTTAGGCAGAGCCTCAAACACCTTTCCAAAGTACTCCATAGCCTTCCTGGCTTTGATAAAAGATCTCTGAAAATTTTGGCGGTGAGGGGGGGTGGGGAGTGTGGGGGGTGTGGAGAATTCAATGGGAAATGAAAATTTTGTTGGGCAATGGTGCCCTCCAGTGGTAGGAAGTGCAGTTTCCTTTTTCAAAATGAATACCGCCTTTGAGCTGTGGACGCGGAGCCTCGACAAGCAGCTGCCGCTCTTTAATGAATGGCCTGCTTCCTTGACCAACACTTTTTCAGATTTTATGATAAATGCCTTTGCTCTTTAAAAAAAATTAAAATGTGATATGCCTGATACATAAAGTTAATTTATCAATGAGAAATCGTTCTTATTCATCAAAACTCTTCCCCCCCTCAATCGGGCAATAATTTGCAATCCTATTTTGTGTTGGAATCTACTTGAAAGTAAAAATAAATTGCATTTCTTTAAAAAACATGTAACTCCGACTTTCACCAATTCTCACAGGCTTTCCTGAGGTTCTTCTTACATAAAACAGTCTGAAATTGGGGCAAGTCTGAAAATAGAGTAGGTAATCTTGATCAGGAGGATTTTACTTGTCACACTACTGTTAAAGCTTTTGTTAAAGAATAATAGACTTTCAGAGGACCCAGCATTCCTGCAGTCACCAATAAGGACGTTGGAACATTTAGCCAAGTCTGTGCTAAAAGAAGACGAAGGTGTATCCTCTTTAGTGCACAAGTAACGTTTCTCTCAAGGGCGTGCCTGGCAGACCTGTGGGCCAGAGGGAGGGAGGACATGCTTTACCTTTTGCTGCTGGAGGCTGCTCTGCCGCTGGTGCGCCCAGGTGGAGCGAGCTTGGGCCAGCCATTCCTGGACGCCGGGCCTCTGGGTGGCTGCGGGGTCCCCGTCGCTCTCCTCCTTCTGCGGTGCCGTCCCCTGCTTTTCACAAGGCAGAAACCAAGAGTCACGCAACCCACAGGAAGACCCTCACCAGAGCGGCGTTACGACTACTTCAGTGTGGCCGGTTTAACACCAAAGCGGTTCCATTTGGATGTGAAACCGCATTTTTTTAAAAAAATGGTAACACAACAACCACCAAATGTATGGCATTTGCAAGAGGGAGAATAATAAATAGGTGATTATAGTCAGACATATTTGAGGGGGGAAATGCTTATTTAGAGGCTGGGCCTTTCAGCTGCCTGATGGGGTCGCCAGATGTTACTCCCGAATGCTTTCCACGATTCGAGCACAGTAGCTCTGGATCTCATTTCCTCCACTGACGCCACCAGGACCAGACCCCAGTGCCATCTGCTGCCACCGCTGGCTTCGAGACAGGAAAAGGGCAAAGGTAATTATTGTCTGGCAGACATTTATCCTCCCTGCTTGATTTTTCTGATGGGATTTGAAAGGCCCTGGAATACTGCACACAGGAATGAAACTGGTTCTGAATGAGAGATGTTCCAGTGACACAGGTGAGTGTGTCAAAGGATAAAGCACACGATCTGAAGGCAGCTCATTCACTAAGTACCTATTAAGTACCCACTGTGTGCCAGTCACTGTTCTAGGCACTGGGCATACTTTGCCAAGAAGGAGCCAGACCGGGGCCCTGCTGGGGAGGTCAACAATAAGCACATCAGAGAAGGTAAGAGAAGCCCACCAAGAACGGGAAACTAGACAGTGGGAGAGAGAAAGAAGGGGAAGGGTTTCTGAAGCTGCTCAGACAAGGCATCTTCAGAGGGGACAAGGGCCCTGGGCACCCAGTAATGGCAGAGATCCGGGGGGAGGGCCCTGCAGGCCTTGGGAACAGCTGGAGGAAGAAGACCTTGGGAGAAAGAAACTGGCCTCTCTCAGGAAGCAATGGCACTGAAGCACCAGGGGTGGCTGGAGCGCAGGGAAGCGGGGACATTTTTAGGTTGTTTTCATAGAGCCCTGCTGCCTAGTTCTGGAGCTGCCGTTCCTGTCTTTTGCCTCTCTGCCAAATCTGATCACAGAACGGGACCCAGCCACCCCAGCGGAGGCAGCTCATCCTGCCAGAGTGCCCACTAAGACCCCGATCTTCCTCTTATTTTCAGAATTTTACACTACGTATTGTGGATGGGAAAAGAATTCGATGGAAAGGAACCTCACAGGGTGCTCTGATCATAAATCCCCAAATGGGCCATTCAGGGTGGGAATTCATGCCCCCTGCCTATCTCTACCTTCAGCAGGCCCTGTCCACCTTTCTGTGCATTTGCATTTAGGTCTACACACCTTTGAAACAATCCTAGCCACCCCCAACATGATCTTGTTAACTATCCTGTAATCCAATCCTAGCCTCATTTTTTCCCCCATCTCCATATAATCTTCCTTACATTCCCTCCTTAATTTCAAATGCATACAAGAAACGGCAGAAATGTTATGTTATGCTCTCTCCAGAGCATTTGAGATTCTGCTCCCTGGCCTATGCCATCCGCTTGGCTCAAATAAACTCTTACCAGAACTGTCTGCAAGCTTGGATGTTTTTTATGTAGACATTATTACAGGAAAACAGATGGGGTCTGTTTATCCTTCTATTCATGAAAATCCTAGGATTAAACTGCAAAATGTTTGAGATGATGTTGAGATGATAAACTTTTCAAAGTTGGCATCAGTGCTTGAAGAGAAATGAACTGAAGGAGATGATGAAGCATACAGGGAATAATACTCTAGGTAATTCTCTCCCAGGTTCTGAGCCACCTTAACTCACAGGTACTTCCTTCCCTTGAAGATGATCCAGCTTCCCAGCAAGAAAAACATCATGTAGACAGAACAATGTGGATGCCCTTGGTCTAAAAAATGCTGATGGCATTTCACAAGACCCTCACCATGGGTGATGAGGAACACCCAGTTCAGAATATTCCCCACTCCTCCAGGAAACCCATCACAGAAAAGCAGTGATTCTCCTGAAGGTGGGAGGTGTGGGGAGGATTGACACCCTTCTAGTGCTGATGGCCCATAAGCTTCTACATGAAACAGACTCTCTCCGTCTGAGATGCGCTGTCGGGCCAGAAAAGGCTCTGACAGATCCTGGACCTTCTGGCAGGAATGATGCAGCGGTTCGACAGGAGCCTGCAGAGAACGCCTCTCTTGGATGGGGTCCGGCCACTTCCTCCCTGCTTTGCTCTTAGAAAAGGTTTGTTTTCCGAGCTGAAAACTTGCGTGGTGACTTCTCAGTTCACCACCTCACCCTTCTATCAGGTTCCTACCATCTGACTGAGAGCTGTTCTTTCAAATTTCTCACACCGAATTTGTGCTTAGAAAAAGGACACTTACAATGTGAGGTCTTAAGGATGGTTGTTGGGAACCGCCCTGCCTGGTTTCAGAAGCTGTAACCCTCCATGGCTAAGGCTGAGGGAGAGACCTTGGGACCATGAGCTGCTAAGGAGACAAAGCTTATCTCCCTGGCAGGGGCGCTGCCTCTGCCCCCTTTACTTTACCTTGCCCGGCCCTCAGTGCATAACTGATTAGCCAATGATGGATAAGATTCCTCAAGGGAAGGACAACCTAAGACAGGCATGGTCACAGGGGCCCCCCAGGGAAGGACTTGGGGGGCTACAGCAAAAAGGGGTGATGGACCTTTGCCACTTGGCTTTGACATAGCCTGAGTCCTCATTCTGTCTGCAAGAAGTCTCCTAATCTCTTGGCTTCTTACTTCCTCTGCCTGACTTAAGCCTGAAACAATGACAGAGGGCGGTACAGTCCTGTGCTGGAAATGGCAGGTTCCCTGGGGCGATCAGGCCTAAGAAAAAATACATAAAATCCTGCTTTATGAAACCTGCTTTACTAAGAATGCTCTCAATTTTCTGATAAGGGTCCGAGTGGGAAATGAGTTCGTTTCCCCAAGTTTTATAGCCCTTTAGCTAACTGACCCTGACTTAGAATAAGCCCTAGTAGTTCTTTGTATGTTATCTATTGTTTGATCCTTACTGCCTGACAATGATTGATGAACTTTACCTGTATTCCTGTGCAAATGGAACCCAATAAAAACCCATTGAGGAACAGGCTCCTGGCCCTTCTCCTCTGAGAGATCGGCCACCTTTCCTCAGCAAGCAGATCCTGTCTTGGTAGACTTATCCTCATCCGTGGTGGCCAGCAGGGGAGGCCCTGCGGGCGGAGCCCCCCCTACAGGTGGTTTCACCACTTGACACGCACAAACACATATTCAGACTTCAGGACTCATGGTCTAGAAAGGCAAGGCATAGTTGGCTAACTGAATTCACATCTTTAAAGAAAAAGAAATTATGCAACATCAGAAGCAAATGCCTAGTATGTATTTTCTAGGTGGTTAGGTTGGTTTTTCAGTTAGTGATTTTTTCTCTGGCTGATTGAGTCACTTTGAGATGTAACACTTAGACCACAAGAAGAAAAAGAAAAAAGGGGGAGTTAAGAATCTAGCTGAGATGTCATTCCTTTTCCCTTTGTGATGAGAAGACACCAACAGAAGGAATAAAATAACAGTAATTACTTTCTCTGAGATCTGATAACAGTGTTCTCTCCTGGCTAGGGAATCGGAAGTGACTCCTGTCTCCAGAATCCTCCTTGGGTGGAGCTACGCCGCTGTGTATTTTGGAAATACTAGAACAGTAGCCTCTTTTGCCAGGAACATTCCATGGAAGATTAATGAGGATCGGAGAATGCTGAACATTAAATAAAACATTTCTTTATAAAGCATTTCATTATATATATATATATATATAATGAAATATAAAGGGGGCTGTCTGCCCCCTTGGGTGGATAATAATGTGTGAAATGACAGGAACTCCTTGCGAAGAAAAGATAACATGTCCTTCAAGAGATGATTCTATGTCAGCAAGTCTGGTGTCCCTTCATATACAGTAGGAACCCATGGAGGAGGGGGTGCTAAGGAGGTTGGTTTTTCCTGGATACAAACAGAAATCCAATTAGTTTGAAAGAACGGCCTTGGCACATAGGCCACCTCCCAGGTGAGTAGCTCTGAGAAATGCTGTGCTTCCGGCCCCTCTCCAATTAGGGAGCTAGTCCCGCCCTCCTGACTCACACGAACCCCAGCTGAAGGGCACGACTTCACTAACGCCTACATTCAGTGGAAGGTTCATTTGCCCCAACACCCATTAGTTAATTTCAGGTCAACTCTGAATTTCTTGCACGAGGGGAAAGGACCCCTTTCACGGCAATGATCACACACACAGCGCCTGGGAAAATAATCTCTTCAAAAAGGTATAATTCTATCTTAAAAAGCCAACAAAATTGTACATGATGGAGACTTATTAGATGAAAGATGGTGTAACTTATAAAATATTTTTAAAATGAACAGTGACTGATTTCAGTGCAGTAAAATATGACCCCTTTTCCCTGTATTTACAGTTTATACATCAGTATCCTTGGGAAAGCTTACAGCAGAATCAGGACTTGACTCAATCTGAAGAATCTCTGTGGCCCTGGGCAGGACCTGCCAGGTGTGGGCAGGACCCGCCAGGTGTGGGCAGGACCCGCCAGGTGTGGGCAGCGCAGGCAGTTGTCGGCACAACCAGCCTGGCCCCACTAGTCTCAAGTCCATCTCAAGGGCAGCCTTCACGCATGTCAGGAGTCCTTTCCTCACAAAGAATGTGGTTTGCAAACTGTCTGTTGCTATTCATTATGATACTCGCTGCGATTTGAGCACTTACTGTAATCATTAGTTGCATTAAAATTCTCAGGATTTTTAAAAGCTAAATACTAGTACTATCCCCATTTTACAGATGAGAAAACTGATCCGCAAGAAAAGGAAGCCCAAGGATCTTGCCCCAGGTGACTGGTGAACACCAATGAACAACAGTTTGCTGTTCCAAAGTGATGGCCCAAGAACCAGGTCTGGCTTCTGGGTATGCTTTATTTGGCGCACAAATTATTTTTAAATTTTAGAATTAAATGTTTTTAAATCGGAAGGCTTTAGCTATAAATCCACATTTCCTTCTCTGGAAGATCTAGCAATGCCGACTACAAATCTTCGTATGACAGCAGCTGGAGTGCACGGCTGCCTCTTCGCCTGGAGAGCAGGGCGCCAAGGTCCCGACTGGGCCTGCCTCACCGGTTTACATCCCCTTTCCCGGCCCTGAGGCCCTGGGCCGTGCGCCCCCGCCCTTCAGTCCCTCCCTCCAGGTGCCTGTGTGTTAGTTAGGCGGTCCCCTCCACCCCTACCTGCCCCCAGCAGGGAGGTACAACTGCATGCGGCTTTGTAAGTAGGAGCTCGGCCAGATACAAAACTATTGCTCCTAGTGGTTTTCAACTGATTAGGTTTGATGCTTCAGATCATAAAGTCATGCAGTTAGCAAAGAACTGAAAATATGTGGTTTCGTCTGAAAAAAATCATTTCCCTGAGGAAACAGAAGCAATGACAGCCCCTCTGGGTACTGCGTGTCCACCGAGATCCTGGCACCCCATCGTCCCCTGCTGGCCTCTGCACCCCAACACGGGCGTCTCCCTCCTTCCTGACACTGGAGTTCTCAGACCGCCCCTTCCCCTTTGATCCCCTCTTCTCCCTCCTACAGGAGACTGGACTTGCAACCTCACTTCTTTTTCATTGACTTTTCCTCTACTGAGTTATGTCCATGTGCATGGAAACAAGTCACTGAGAGAGAGACGGACAGACAGACAGCCTAAGCAGGCAAGACAGAGCAAGACAGACATGGGTGGAGGCTCTGCTGAGGGGGCAGTTTCCACAGTGCGGGCTGGGCATGCTCGGGCTGGGCTCAGGCAAGGAGGCAGTGCCCTGGGCCTGGTCACCACCCCGAAGCCCCGGCACAGAGAACCAAAGTCTCAGGAGTCCAGTTCTGCCTGGATTTCTGGTGTAGCTTTTGCTCCTGGGACGAAAGACACACAGGCACACTTGTTCTGCGGGGGGAGCGTCATGTGTGTGTTTGCACACGTATGTGCATCCTTCTGCCTTTGTGTGCAGTCTGGCTTGTGGCTGTCTGCCATTCTTCTTCTCACCTTCACACGAAACAAACTTCCCTTGACCCACTTTGTATAGTTTTCTCCAGCCCCTGTTCTCCTTTGCGGCGAAACTCCGGAGCTGCCTGCCCGCTGCCTCGCCGGTGCCTCCCCTCCCTTTCTCACTGTCATTTTGGAGCCTGTGCCTCTGCTCCTCCACCGAAAAACAGCTGTTGCTGAGTGCCCGGGGGATCCGCATGTTGCTAAGCCCAGCGGTCACATCTCAATCTGCTTCTTACTTCACGTATTTTCAAGTGGTTTCTAGGAACCAAACTCCTAGGCTTCCTGTACGTTAGGGGTCCCCAACCCCTGGGTTGTGTACCAGTGCCCGTACTGTGGCCTGTTAGGAATGGGGCGGGGGCACACAGCAGGGGGTGAGCCACGGGGAGCAAGCAAAGCTGTGCTCCCACTACTGCCTGAGCACCTCCAGTCTCTCCTCCCCCCATCCCATCTGTGGGAAAATTGTCTTCCATGAAACCAGTCCCCAGAGCCAAAAAGCTTGGGGACCGCTGCTCTGCATGACTGGTTTCTCTTTTTTTTTCACTCTCTTTTGTGGGCTCCTCCACACCTTCCACGCTCTCACCACGGGGGCATCCCAGGGCTGGGTTCGAGGACCTTGGTCTTCCTTTTCTCCCCTTACTCCCTTGGTGAGCTCATCAAATCTCACGCTTTTAAGGGCCATCTAGAGGGCGATGACTCCAGTCTTGGTCTCTCCCCTGAACTCCCGCCACTGCTTGAAATGTAATAGGCTTCTCAAACTTCACCTGCCCAAAATTAAACTCCTGACCTTACTATGCTTTCCTCTCCCAAGTCTCTTCTTTAGATAGTTTTCATCTTCCCAATTATCCGGAATCTGAGAAGTTCTCGTCATTTCTGCCTCTGCACTATACCTCTTAACTGGTCTCCCAACTTCTACTCTAGTCCCTTGCAGTGGTTAAAATCTGATCGGGTCCTTCCTCATGCTGATCTGGAGCGAGATTAAGATGTAAACTTAGAATGCACTAGATGCGTGTGGTAGAAGGGAGAGGGTAAAAAACAAACAAACAAAGAAAAACACTCAGCCACTTAAAACAAGGGTTAAAAAGGAGAAAACTAATAAAAAGAGCAGGAAAAAATAGAAAACAAAAAGTAAGGTGATAAAAGCTGAAACATAGCAGTAATTGCAATAAATCTAACTGTATCTTTTAAAAGTCAGAGATTTTATGATTAGGTAAAAACTTTCAAACCAACAAAATACAGTTAAATGTTCTTTAAAAGAATCAAATCTCATCCTCACTGGTGTGGCTCAGTGCACTAAGCGTGGGCCTTCGAACTGAAAGGTCACCTGTTCGATTCCCAGTCAGGGCACATGCCTGGTTGCGGGCCAGGTCCCCAGTTGGGGGCGTGCAAGAGACAACAGATTGATGTTTCTCTCAAATATCATGTTTCTCTCCATCTCTTTCTCCCTCTATTACTTTCTCTAAAAATAAATAACTAAGATCTTCAAAAGAATCAAATCTAAAACAATAGAACACAGAAATAGTGAAATCAAAGGAAAGTTAAAAGATATACTAGGCAAATACTATCCTTCCAAAGCTCTGGTAGTATGAAACAAAAATCACTATAAGGGAAGGTTAAGATCGCTACATGATAGTAAAAATGTTCAGTTCACCTGGAATACTCTAAAGTTGTAGATCCTAAGTAAAAGTCTAAGTGTATCTACAAAGTAAAATGTAAGAGAAATACAAGAAAACATACAAAAACGTTTCAGAATATCTTAATGTATGAACTGTGTTTAAATACTCTTTTAAATTGCGTATTTGCTAGATTCTAGTATTTATTTTTAACTCCTTTCCTACACTGCGATCTTCAGGTCCACAGATTCCAACAGTCCTTAGAAAACCATTTGGAAATCTGTGCCCAAGTCTGTGTAAAGCAGGTCTGTGCAAAGGTGTGCACCATCCCCACCTTCCCCTTATATGGACAGGCTCGGAAAAGGCGCGCCAGCAGCGGGCAAGCATTCACTTGTCCCGCAGCGGCACAGTGTCGGCGGCCTCACCTGGATGTTGAGCTGCTTGTCATGCAGGGCTCTCTGCAGCTCCAGCAGGCTGCCCTTGAGGGTTCTCAGCTTCACTGCCAGCTGCTCAGCCTCGTCCTTCGTGTGAGCCTTGCCCTCCAGCAGCAGGTTTTCATTGTGGGCCGAGAGCTCCGATAAGGCCACCACCTTCCGCTCTATCTCCACCAGCATGTTCTAGGGCAACAGAGACCGGGGTGAAACCCACACACACCCTGCCGGCCTCTGCAGCGACTGCTTCTCACACGCACACACAGCACGTCGCACATCTTGCGTCAAGAGAATATGCTTTCCCAGCCAGGGCACGTGCCTGGGTTGCAGGCCACGGCCCCCAGCAACCGCACATTGATGTTTCTCTCTCTCTCTTTCTTTCTCCCTCCCTTCCCTCTCTAAAAATAAATAAATAAAATCTTTAAAAAAAGAATATGCTTTCATGTTTTCCATCCCAGATTTCCTACAGCCTTGAAGAGTAGTGGATAGATTTCTTAAATCTCTTAAGCGTATTGATTTCCCTCTTATTTAAGACTAGATGTTACAGGATAAAAAATATATTGGAAAAACACATTGGAAGCCCATTTTTTTCTAATCAGCAGACAAGGAGAAAAGGCCAGGCCTTAGTGCTATCCCATTATTACAATTATGTTATTATTTTATTGTTAGAAGTGATGCTTATGGCTCATAACAGTAAAGACGTCACATGATCAACTATTTCCCTGTCAATTTACAATGGCTTCTCTCTCAAAACATTGCCTCTTCGGATCAATTTTGTTTTTCAGATTGCTATTCTTGTTTCTTGACATTTACATTGATGATCGTTTCTTTAATGATGTATTTTTAGCCATACATTTCTGAATGTTTTCTTCTAAAACAGAGGCTAAGTCCAGAGAAGCAGCAAAATAGTCTCCATTCTTCCAAGTCAAGATTTAAAATAAAACCAAACAAGAAAATAAATCAAGCAAAACAAGTAACACCCATGTTATTTCCCACAGAAATTGTTCTATTTTTATATCCTCACTCTAAACCCTCTGAAAAGCACTTCCTAACTTATCAAGTAATTTTCAATCAAGCAATTTATTAAGGAGAATAGTATTTTATTTCCATGTACAAAATCAGAATTACTGCCAAGAAATTTTTAAGAATATCAGTTTGAATAAAAAATCTAGAACTAAATAAAAAAGTGAATTTTTTATGAAATGGGGTTTAAAGGATAATATCTTAAAGGTTATTTTTGAGAAATTAGTATAATTCTCTGCAGGACTGACCTTTTCATTAGGCAAAGTTGAAATAGTTCTGAGGGTCCATAATACTTTGGGGAGGCTCAAGAAAATGTTGTAATTGTAATTTATTTTAAAATCAGAAGAAAAAAATAGTCCTGGCTGGGGTGGTTCAGTGGATTGAGCGCAAGCCTGTGAACTAAGAGATCACCAGTTCGATCCCCAGTCAGGGCACATGGCTGGTTGGGGGCGTGCGAGAGGCAGCTGATTGGTGCATCTCTCACACATTGATGTTTCTCTCCCTCTCTTTCTCTCTCTCCTCCCCTCTCTCTAGAAATAAATAAATGATATCTTTTAAAAGTAAAAAATAAAATCAGAAGAAAAAAATGAATCCACCTTGGATTATATTAGTCTTCGTACCAAAGCAGTTGTAAAATAAAAATACAATTTTTAGTATTTTTAATAGAAGAAGGGACCCACGGAAGCAAAGTGTCCAGAGCCCCAACCACCGTAATTTGGCCCTAATTCTGTATAACAGCCACAGTTATAATCATACGACTGGCGCAAATATCAATAGATTTGAATTGACCAAGGAACAGTTGCATGCTTGTGTGATTCCACATGCTTCAGTTTCTGAAAATATTGTTAAGACCATTTTTTTGTCAAAAGACCATTTTAGTACTTTGTAAGAGTCCTGAAATATACTATTTAAATTATGGACTTTCTATAACGATAAAAATAGAGGTATCCCAAAGGGACAGGTGGGAGTAAAGGCAAACATATTTTGAAATGCTGGCGCATGTGGGAATTTCAAGTGCTAAAAGGAAATGCTAAAAATAGGTGTTTCTTTCCAGAAGGAAACTTTAGAAAATATGAGCTAAAGACTAGAAAACACTTGCCATGTGGCGGTCTATTGTCTAGCATGGAAGCAGGGGATAATAATGCTTTGCATAATGCTTTGAATGCTTTGAATGCTTTAAAGTCCTTGGGCTAAGTTATCCAAGGACTTTAAAAATTCAACCTGTAACGATGGGTGTCACCATAAATCTCAAATCATAAAAGAAATGACCAAAATGGATTACTTCACATTAAGAAAAAAAGTAACATTCATTAATTAATGGTTTTTGTGTATTACCTCTGACCCTACATGGGATAAATATTAAGTCACGCTTACTGATATTTATCCCTGCAGATTAGGTAGGATTTTCTAGAGACTTGCTAGTTAAATGAAACAGATTTTAAGGTATGCGACACCCACGTATGAGGTATAATGTGTTCGCAGTCTTTGAAATTCGATGATTGGCACATGGAGATCATTAGAGATATTCTCTAGGCTTATATGTGAGTCTGAAGTTTTTCAAAACAAAGAGGTAAGAAAACAATATTACAATAAGCCCTTAAAGCCATTATCCCTGAATTCTAAGAGACCTCACATCAGAGAAATTCTCTGTTCCAAAAAGACAACTGCCCTATGTTCAGTCTGTCTGCCTATAACCGACAGTTTTTCAAGTTTTCCCAAAAATGTGTCAGAATTAGAACCACAATTGCAGCAGAGAACCTCGGAAACTCTCCTGCTGTGTTCACCCCAGTCTTGCTCACTAGTCCTTCTCTCTGGCTTTGTATTTTTTATTAGCCCCAGATACAATCTTTGTAAAAATTCCCTTTAGGGAGTTGAAGACTTTCTAAAGATTAGAAACTATTGGAAAAAAATTTTTTTTAGATTTTATTTATTTATTTTTAGAGAGGGAAGGGAGGGAGATAGAGAGAGAGAGAGAGAAACATCAATGTGCGGTTGCTGGGGTCATGGCCTGCAACCCAGGCATGTGCCCTGACTGGGAATCGAACCTGAGACACTTTGGTTCGCAGCCCGCGCTCAATCCACTGGCTACGCGAGCCAGGGGAAAAATTTTTCAAAAGACAAAGCTCAAATTTCATGTAAGCTTTTATAAGATATTGCTCTTCTGCTCTCTACGCATATAAAGTATGTGGGTTGTGAACATCAGACATCTGTATCGAGCCTTTTCACCACCACGTTCTCACACTTAAAAACCGTGTGCTTTGTGGTGCTGCCATACTCCTTCGGGATGACCTCCGTACCTGGCAGTCCACCAGCTGGGCCTCCATGTCCATGGGCTCCTTGGAGGCGCCCAGTGCAACGTCCAGGGTGGCCTTGGTGCTCAGGAGCCAGTCGTCCAGCTTGTCAACTTCCGAGCGATACCTCTGCAGGGCCTGCTCCTGCCTCTGTTCCTCCAGCTGATCATTTAACTTCTCCTGACGAATTAAGGGGAACGTTAGCTCGCTCACCCCGAGGGAAAATCATCAGGATTCAACACGATAGGGCAACAGTTCTCAGCCCTGGCTGCATGTAGAATGAACAGAGCAACTTCAAACAAACAAACGACTCAGAAAAACCTATTCTTGAACCACACACCAGAGAAATAAGTCAGAATCTCTGAAGGTGAGTCTCAAGATTTACAATCTTAAAAGTCATCTCCATTGACTCTAGTATGTACCAAGAGTGGAAACATTCTTAAACGATACACCTGCAAGATCAGGCAGATAGTGCGAATGATGAAAATTGATCAAGGGTTAGAACAAAACAATGGCATAAGATGGTTGGTAAATGGAAATAGGTACGTGGCTCAAATGTTGGGGAAACTGCAGGGAGGGGTGGGGACTGTGGCAAACTGAAGAAGGTATGGCCCACCTAAAAAGATAGTATTGCGCAGTTGCAGGCAATTGATTCCCTTCCAGAAGAGTAGCCCAGTGTTACTAGTTTCTTAAATAAAAGCAGAAATTCATTTTTTTGTTAGATTTCTGCTTTTCTTTTCAATGGTGGCAAATGATTCATAGTTTTTAAAAAATCAAAACCAATCAGTATATTTTGAAACTCCACAAATGTTTCATACAGTGATTGGGAGTGATATTAATAAATTATAAAGTTAATTCTTAAGATAAGGTACTTTAAATACCTTATTTAAAAATTATTTTATGAATAATTTATTATTCTTATTTTAAATTAAATTTTAGTTTAAAATAAAGTTTAAATAGAGCAGACACACTGATTTTAAATTTCTTCCAAATAAGAAATATACAAATATATGATCTGAGTAATCTAATAACAGTAAAACTAGAAAGAGCCTACATACTAATAGGAGGACCATGGTTAATAGAATTATAGCACAGTTAGAAGCTAAATAAAAAAGAAAGTTCATGTAGAGTATTGAAGATGTATTGAGAACTAATTATGTCCCAGAGGTACAAGGAAACACACTCGAGTCTACAGGTCTTACGGACTCTCAGATCTATTATCATGCACATTTAGGGCCAGCAATTATAAGAAGACAAAGAAAATAATAAATGTTCATGAATCAGCGTGCTTGAATTGGCTAACAGTGACCAAAGATTCATTCTTCACACCATTAGTGATACTATTCAAAGGGTGCTCTTCCTTAAACACAGCAAACCATCGTGCCAGCCTTCTACAGTGATTCTGTGCGAGGCCCATGTCTACAAGTATTCGCTTTCTACATTCTCAGTTTCTCATGCTGAAACGATGCAGAGGGGGGTGAAGAGACGTATTCATGGTGACACACTGACTCAGTGCTCTGTCCACCAGATGCTCCCTGAGACACTAAACCAGCCCCCGGGGAGTGAGGAACAGTAAAACCTCAGGTCACGTAAGTTACCCAGACCCTTGCCAACACAACTCCAAAGAGACGGACACGAGGGGCTTCAGAGTTACTCGTTACCTCCAAGAGCTGTCGCTTCCCCGACGCTTTCATCTTGATGGTGGACATGCGCTCGGCCAAGACGGTAAGCGTGGACTGCAAGGCCAGCTGCTCCACGGGGTCGCACTCCGGGGACTGGGACACCAGCTCGTCTGCGAGAAACGCCTGCAGCTCGCCGATTTCGTCTTGGAGCATGAGAATCTCATCCATCAGAGCCTGCAGGGAAGGCTGGAATCACACTCACGTACGCATGCATTTTCGGGGGACTAAGAAATCCGATCTCGGGCTGAGTCTCACGTCAACTGAGATTAGTGAGTGTATTTCATGCTTGGTCATTCACCGGCAAATAGGGGCCTATTAAACCAAGTTTCAGAATGAAAGTACTAGACTGTCAGAAAATTTCTAATTTCAAAACCTTTCCTGTCACTAATTTAAATGAGTTGAACACTTTAATCAATCTTTCTAATTTTCAATGGGCTCATCTATCATATGAAAGGGCGATGCCCAATTAATGTTTGCATCTGCAATTCTACGTTGAAAATGAAACTCATCATTTTCTTCCTCCACAGGATTTTTCCCACGCCAAATTTCCCCAAGTTTGAGACAGCCGTGCATTTTAATCCCAAACTTACTTTATACAAGAAGGGAGAAAGGGGGGTGGGGAGGGCTGCAGGGGGTGGGCTGGGATGGGAGGAAAAGGCAGAAAACTGTACTTGAACAACAATTAAAATTTTTTAAAAAAGGGGAGAAATCCGCCACCTCTTCCTATGTCATCACCCTCTCCTCACAGTTCTCCTTGGCTTCCCAACTCTAAAACTGCAGGTTTCACAGGACTAACTTCCAATCCTGTTTTCTCTCTTCTCAGTCTCTCCCGGGGGAGATGCCTTTCCAAGACTTTAAACAGTTTCTGAGGCTGAATGAGCACTTGCAAAGGTACGTCCCTATTCTGGACATCTGTCCTCAGGATCGGGCTGGCGTGGTCAACAGACACGTTTCGTGGGCGGCTCCCTCCTACACAGTACCAAGCCTGCTTCCTCTCCAGTCTTCCCTGCCTCGGGGAAACGCACCGCGCTCCTCTGCACAGCTCCGCCTCCAGACCCAGGAGTCAGCCCACGCTCTTCACTTCACCGGCCCCCTCCCTCCAGTCCCACACCGCAGCCCACTGCTTTCATCGCACATCTCCTCGGCCCCCACCTGCATCAGAGCCAACTCTCTTGCCTGAATTGCCCTCACAGTCTACGGCTACCTTGAGCTGCCTGCTCACATTGTCTCACGAAGTCATTATTAGTGTGAGCTTTTAAAAAAGTAAATCAGATCCTCTCGCCCCTCTCCTTTAAACTACTTGGTGGCCTATTGCCTATAAAATAAAGTCCAGGCTCCTTCCCCTTGCCTGTATGGTCTCACCCCTGCCTGCCTCTCGTCCCACACGCCCTTCCAGCTCCTATGTTCCTGCCTGCCTTAATAGTAACTCCAGGACCCTGAGCCATTTCTGTACGGTAGCAAGCACCCTGTTTTCCTGACTGACATGCATCACAATTATACATGGGTTTTGTTTTCCAGTTTTCATGTTTTACGACTTGCTAAAGATGGCTGTAATCTTGGCAGGAAAAATTCTTAGGATTTAAAAGTTGTGTCAGAAAATCAGGCCTCGGGGCAGAAGGGGCTTCCGTTCCCTCGGTTTCCAATGTGCCCTTACAGGCGCAATTCCCACCTCCTCTGTCGGTCAGTGGGCTTCTCGTTGTAGGCTCTCCATAAATATTTTTTAAAAAACAGCAACAAACAAACCTTCTCTTTCTCTAGGAGCAAGTGTCGTCATGTTTAACTGTTTTTTATATAAACAGTTATACTCACATTATTAGATGCGCTTAGTGCACAGACTAAAGGTACAGCTCTATGAATTCTTACCAACTGCACACACCCATTGATGCTTCTCCCACCCGATCAGAAACGAGAACACTCCCAGGACTCGACAAGCCCCCGGCCCCTCCTCCCTGTCACCGCCTCCCTCCTTCCCAAAGACCACCAAGGCATTGGCTTGTATACGTCACAGATTCACCTTGCCTATTTTTGAGCTCTGTAAAAATGGAATCACACCTGATGTACCATTTCATGCCTGGCTTCTTTCAATCCGACACGAATGTGGAAGTGTCTCACGTCATCTGGAGAAAGCTGATCATTTTCATCAGTGTAGCGTACCCCACGGTCACTTGGTTTGTGGATCTTTTCCATTTAAGCCTTTCTAGTGGGTTCACGGCAGTGATCTCGTTGTCCTTTTAATCTGCATTTCCCTGATGACCAATGAGATTGAGCGCTTTTCCCTAGGCTTACTGGACACCTGAATATCCTCTTTGATGACTACCCCCCAAAATCTTTTGCTCATTTTCTATTGGAAACTTTCCTTTTCTTGTTGATGTGTGGAGATGTTTATTTACGCTGGATAAGAGTGCTTGTTGCTTAGCTGGAGTAGCTCAGTTGGTTAGAGCATTGTCCCCATACACTAAGGTTGTGTGGGTTTGATTCCCTGCCAGGGCACATACAGGAATCAACCAATGAATGCATAAGTAAGTGGAACAACAAAAATCAATCTCTGTCTATTTTTCTCCCTTCCTCTCTCTCTAAAATCAATCAATAAAAAAAGTTTTCTCAGAGGAGAGGGGTATAAAGGGGCTAAATGGTAATGGAAAAAAATACAATACATATTAAACTTAAAAAAAAAAGAGTACTGGTGTTTCTTTTGGTTTTACGTATTGCAAACATCTGTTCCCACTTTGTGATGTATGTATCCCTTAATGGGAAAAGACCTGCTTGAGGGTGCCTTTTGACAAACAGAGGTTCTTGATTAGGTTGTGGTCTGAAATACATCAATATTTTCTTCCACTGGAAAAGTTAAGGCCTTTGGTGTCCTCTTTATGAGGTCTTTGCCTACCCCCAGGTCATGGACACATTCTCACATGTTATCTTCCAGAAGAATGCTTTTCAGAGTGTGGTCCAAGAAACAGTATTAGTCTGCAAAACGTCTGTCACCAGTTCACGGCGAGGTAAAGCTATCGTGGATAAAATGTCAGGAAGCTTTTATAACCTCTTGACATTCACCTGACATCCAAGCAGTGTTTTATTTTATTTTACTAACATACTGACCTGCGATGGTCTAGAATATTTTTTTAAATTTTAAATTATTCACTACAGAGAGTTTGAGAAACATTCTTTTAAGACTTTTTCTTTTACCTTCACATTTAGATCTACAATCCACGTGAACTTAATCTCTGTGTCCCATGTAGGCAGGGGTCAAAGTTTTTCCACATAGATATGGACATGGACCCTGCATTCTTTACTTAGAAAGCATGTTTTTTTTTAATTCAGTGTTTTGAGGTATAATTTCTGACACAACCACGTGTCTGTGTAGACGCGAGTGTACTTCTGCTTCTAGCTCTGCTCCGGGCCCAGCTGGCTGTCCGTGCCAACGCCACACTCCCAGGACCACGAGAGTTTCGTGGGGCCCGCTCCAACAGGACACACCCTTTGACTTGGTTCATCTTCTTCCAGGCTGCCTCGGCTATTCTTGACCCTTTCAAATGTCGACATATATCTTTTCATACATTCGTGATATATTTTAGCATTAGCTCGTCAATCTCGATGAAAGAATTTGCTGGGATATTTTAATGGGATGGTAAAGAATCACAGACTGATCTTGCTTACTATATGTTCAAAATGCTTTCCGTCCAGTCAATTATTTTCTACTACTTTATGATAATTTCTTGGTACTCGCTTGCCAAACAGTATAAAATAATTCACATCAGTTGGTTTGTGTCATTTACAGGCTGCTCCACAACTAGATGAACCTCGTTGCCTTTTCCTGCAATGACCCGCTGTAGCAGCAAGAAGAGCCCCCTCACTGTTTCACACCAAGTTCACTCTCATTCCCTCCCCGGTCCCTTTCCTCACACGCACATTTATAGCGCCTTCTACCTGGCACTCCTGCTGCCCTCCCCAACTTTCAAATCTGTGTCTCCCAACGGACCTGTAACAGTTTCCTTTTATCTACTTCCCACCACTCTAAGCCACAACCACATTTTTTTCTTTGCACAGTGTGTTGGTAATTCACTCCTCCTCTAAAGCAGGCTTTTTAATCACATATTAATGAAAAGTTCATCTATTTTAGCTGTGCACATAGTGGGAGCTCAATAGATCTAACTGAATTATTGCTAACTCTTGACAGAGAAAACACGCTTCTGAATCATTAAGAAACCAGAAAAGAAAAAAAAAAGCCTCCTCATTTAATCTCAGGGGATTTGGCCAATCAGCTGTGCAGCGAAGTCACCAGCAGCTTCCGTTCGCAACTCACAATGTTCTGCAGAAGCAGTTCTCTGAATGTTCTGAAGTATGCAGTGAGAGAATTAGAAAATGAAAGATGCTAGAACCGTTCATTTCGTCGTGTTAGAGTCAAGCCTCTCTGTTCGTACTTCTGTTTACTCTCGAGAGGGAGTGGATGTTTCTGGAAGATAGCTATAGTTTTTAACTGTAAGATCCAGGAGCCAAGCGTATTGGAGTGGAATTTTCTTTTGAGGTGATGAAAATTAATTTGAAACCACATAGAGGGGGTAGTTGTATGACATTGTTTAAGTACTAAATGCTGCAGAGTCACACGCTTTAAAATGGCTAATTTCATGTGATGTGAATTTCACGTCACTTTAAAAAAAAAGTCCCGGTGGTCAAATATGCCTTTGCCCCACAACTCTGTCTCAGCTGGTGGCCAGCTGCTCACCTACGACATCCGACTCAAAAACAACGAGAGGAAGACAAGATGCAAGTCTGTGGTTCTCAGACTTGTGGTTGGCAGGGGGCGTGTCCATGGCACTTGGGTGGTTTCGAGAGCTGCCCTGAGCTTCTCTAAAATGACACACTCTGGAGAGAACAGGGGGCCTGTGTTTGCTTCAACCCCAAAGGCGAGCGTGAACTTCACCGTGACTTTCAGAACTGTCTACATCAGCCAGTTCATTTCAAACGCTGAGTGGTTGTATACATTAAAACAAAAGCAAAATAACCTCTGAGCTCGGTCTGCTCTCCCTCACTGAGCTCAGTGTGACGAAGACAGCACATGCCCACAAAACATTCGCTGCCCGTGACCACGGAGCTCCCCACCACAGAGGGCTCCGCACTCAGAACAGCAGCCACAGGACAACTTCTGAACCGCATGTGCGTCTCAAACTTAAATCTATCAGAAATGTAGAGAGGATACCAGGAAAATCACAGCGTTCCACCCAAATCCAGTAGACTTAGATAAGTGTTTAAAATACAGGACTTCAGTGAGCTCTGAAAAGAAACAGGAATACTTCCAAGAGAGTGCTGGGAAGGAAATAATCATTGAAGTGTTTCTACTAATTTTTAGGAAATATAAAAAGCATGCTGGACTTTCTTACCTACACTCGGTTGGAATTTAGAAACAGTAATTCCACTGTCATGCCTGGGACTTTTAAGTACCATTCCAGAAGCTAAGGACCAGTTTAGACACTGTGATGCCATGAGCTTTTCACGTGGGCAGCTCTGTCCCAGAATTTGTAGAAGTTGGGTGCTGACCACAAAAGTAGGTTGGATGGAAAATGTCAAATTTGTCATTACGTGAGAAATTACACATTATTCGCATTTCTTTTCCTCTCATTAGAGCATTAATACAATTGTTAAGCCTAAATAACAGGCAATGGTCACTGAATTCACTACATCTCCTCACGTAATGCTACAGTTGTTGGCATTACCACTCTCAACTTAGAGAGAGATAGAAAGTCACATGGTTGGCCTCCAGTACCGGAAGAGTCACAGATGCATTTCCAATTTGCAACACTTAGCATTGATGTGCAATGTTGAGTTTTCTTCATTAAATCCCTTGGACAACATAATAATTTCCTCTACATTTAGCGTGTGAGTGTTTATACTAATGCCTGAGCGGCACGGTGGCGGGGATTGGGAGCTAACTGGCATTTTTAATTAAGAGCTCTGGAATGTCACCAGACGAATCACAGGGCAAACCGCCTGTCTTCACAGAGTTGCTAAATCCTGCGAGACCCAGTGGAAAGGGTTTGGAGGAGCTGTGGTCAGTCAGCCCCCTGGGACGCCAGAATGATAAGCCTCGAACGAAGGCAGAGAGGACCGAAAGCAGAGAGACAGCTCAGCGTGGCAATGCCTTGAAACGGAGGCTTCTGCTAATCTAAACTGATGACATGCAAGCACCCTCTAGTCCAGCCTTTGGATAATGTGTGCCGATTCTTCTTGGAAGCTTCAAGGGAGCTGTGATGGGACAGAGAGAAGTTTCCAGCACCTCCAGGGGCAGGGAAGCACGGGTGTCTGGTGGGGGGAGCAGCATGGTAGACACAGCCCCAGAGGACACACTGAGGCTGCCAGGAAATCCTCTTCGGAGGACGCCGAGCCTCGACAGTTAGAAAACTGGAGAGTCGGGGCAAGGGGACTGTGGTGCTCAGAGAAACACTGCTCTGAAATAGTCCCTGATGTCCCCGACTGCCCTTGTGGTCAGTTTGCTCCAGGTAACGAGGGCTAATTTTAACGTCGGGTATTTATAGCACCCTCCCCAAACCAGGCTGCCTGGGGGTGACTTTGGGATAGCAGCAAGGCCCACAGAATAACTGTGGTATTCTTTTCCAAAACTAAGGCCTAAAACGGCCGGTATGCACTTTGATCTCTGTCTTACCAAGTGACAAATGTGCCGAAAACCTGAAATCATATTTCTACATATGCTGCCGTTACATAAAGCATTTTTGTTTTTGTGTTACATGGCCTGGTCCTGGTTTGTAAAAGAATGCATTTTTATCTTAGACTGCACACGTGGACATACAACATATTCCAAGGTTATCCTGGGTTCTAAAACTATGCAAATGTAAATCGGGGAAAACAGGAAGGGTTGCGCTCTTAAAGCTGATAAACTTCCCAGCATGTGATACACATACCACATCATGCTTTTAGAGCTCTTAATTTGCATCTAAAAATATCTTCCTTTTCTTCTGCTTTTTATAGGGTTGTCACGTGCTCCTGAGCTCTGGCTGGGGGCAGGCAGCATTTCCCGAAACCATGGTGACGGAACGTGCAGGTGAATGCGAGCCTCGGCACCCTGGCCCCTCGGTTACACCTGACTGTGCATTCACAGTGCGGCTAATCGTGTGCTAGAGCATTCACCAGATTTTAATATATGCACATTCTTGCCATGCATTTTAAATCGATGAATTGTTAACGATCGCTTTCTGAGTCAGGTTGATGTAATGGTCTCTATTTTTCATGTAAAGCTATTGCTCTGCCTACTGGCTATAACCTTTTAAAAAGGGACTCGAGTCAGAGACAACCACAAGACTGTCACTTAGAAGCCCTTCTTCGTCACCTGTTTCCGCGCCCACGGAAGTCTGGGAGTTACTCTCTGAAGCGAGAGAGGGAGGTGCTGGGCACACACTGGCTGCATTTCTTAAAACAGCAATACCCAGAGAAGGTAGAGGTGGGTATGTGTTCTTCTCATAACAGTTTGCAACAACATAAAAATAAAGTGCCAACTAAAAGAAAATACACTTTGCAAAAAAAAAAAAAAGGAAAAAAGCAACCTCGAGGCCTGTAGCTTTCTTGAATTAGATTCAAAGTCTGAATTGCCTCCTTTCCCTTTTAGGTCCCTCCCTGCAGCAGGAGTGGAAACTGCCACCCTTTGGAATCTTGTTTACTCTGTAAGAGCTGGTTGAGTAAAAAAAAAAAAATGTCAGTCTGCTCTCCCAAACACACGCCCGGCTGGCGACCAGCCACAAGAGTGCACCCATTTAATCATGCAGGAAACTGAAGTCATTGCTATTTTTACCTGATGTTCGGCCATCTGGCTCTCTGGACTCCTGCCCGGCCCTGGGTTCTCGCTGAGCTTCATCTCGATGGCCTCCATTTTCGTGGAGATGGACTGCAGGGAGTCCTGGTACTTCTGCTGGCGTTCCAGAGCTTCATAGAGGGAGCGCTGCTTTTCACTGATCTGAAGAAGAAGAGGGGTGTTGCCAAACGTTTCCTAGGCCTTTATCTTCTAGATTATGACACTTCTTTCCTCACTGCTTCACCTCTGTGGCCCAACAGAGGGTACTCAACTGTGCACGGGATGTGTCAACTCCATGCGGGTATTGCGTAAGCCACCTGCTAAGGGAATCGGTATCTGGCAGGTTCGAGCAATTCTACACGTCAGTGACTTACCACATTCTTCAACGTTTCCCAAGAACGCTGCAGATCGTCCAGCTTAGTAGTCGCAGACGGCTCCAGTCCTGGTTCACGGGACTCCTGGGCTGGCAAGGTGCTGGGGTGAATCCTTGCGGCATCTGTCTGCAACCTCTCCGGAGACAAGGCTTGGTAGTAAGCAATATCCTGTGGGTGCAAAGCACAGCACTGGAGTCGAGGGGAAGACGGAGTGTGGGCTAACGCGCCATGGGTACTGTCATGTGCAGGAAAGGCTTAGGATTCACATTGGTCCTGGGGGCTACAAACCACTAAAGCGAGTGAATCCTGGTGACAAGAAGAATATAAAGATCCTATCAAGGCACAATACAGTTGCTTTAGAATTTCAGTTTATAATTAAAAAATCAATAGATTTACCAATAAAAGTTGCCAAAAGGCATTCAAATTTGTATTTCGTACAACAGAATACAAAGGATTGGAGTGGTACACATATTTAAAGATTGACTAACTACTATGGCAAAAACCAACCAACCAAACAAACAAAAAGCTAAATGGTCTCTAAACATTTCTTAAAGTGTTGCTTAATGTACTGATTAAAGTTTTGAATAATTTTTAAAAGTACTTGCTTTAAATATAATTAAATCTATAGTAAGTAATTTTTCAAGTATAGCCAGATCTTCAATATTTGAGAGTTCATTATTTGTAGAGATTAATTTAAATATTTTAATATCAGATAAAGAAAAAATAATGGGGAAGTTAAAACTACTCTAAAAAACAAATTGTGTAAAGGACACATGGAAAACAAGGGGTGGGTGCAAACAGGAGGGAGGTGGGGAGGGCTGGGGGGGTGGGCTAGGATGGTGGTAAAAGGCATAAAATTGTACTTGAACAACAATTAAAATAAAAAAAACAAATTATGAAAAAGGGTTTCTTCTAATCAATTCCTGGAAAGTACATAAAAATTAATCAAAGTGAATTATGAAAAAACAGGCTTTTGAATTATTTTTATTTCTTGGGCTATAAGTAATATTACATATCTTATCAGTATTGATGATGGGATCTAGGCCAAGACATACCATGTATGTATTTCCAATTGTTTCTATGATTATCACGTATTAACAGAAATCGAATTGGCGAGTAATCCTTACATTTTTGGAACTGCTATTATAAAATTCACTGCTTTTACAGCTGTACTACTGAAGGAAATTGTGTTAATTTAAAATACCTGGGCTTTACTGATAATAACATCTTGGTAAAAAGGTAGCGACCAAGGGCCCAGCCACCTGAGAAATCACGGTAACAGCAGGGTGGGGCCCGGCGTGTCGGGGTCCGGACGAGGGCAGAGGCAGGGTCATGGTGCAGAATGAATTCAGGCAGGAGTGTGGCACCTGCGAAGTCAGAACCCCTGAGATCCCAGTGGACGTTCTCCCTGTGCGCAGCCACGCAACTGGAGCACGTCGCTCGCATCTCAGGCACCGGTGCCCTCCTCTGCACGACACCAGGGGGCTCTGAGGGTTCCGTGGAGTCCTACTTAGAGGGCCGGGAGACCTGCTAATTAGGTTGTTGCTGTTGCTGCAGCTCTGGATAAGTCCCTAACATTTATCGATGACATGGGAACCTAGAGACTGGTCCTGTCCATTCCTGACCCTGGCACTACGTTGGGTAGATTACTCTGGTATTTCTGAATCCTTTGATAAGCTCCTATTCATTCATCCTCCTGCACCTCCAGCTCACTTCGGTCCTCCTCACCCTTGAGAGCCTGTCATCACCAGATTGCTGCACCCCACGCAGATTAGCTACATCTAAAGCTACTTAAACCTTTGTTTTGACAACACTTTTGTTTCCTTTGTGCCTTTGACTTCTGCTTCACACCCTTGGACTCAACTTTCCTTTCCGGAGTGCGTGTATGTGCACGCTCACACAAACACAGACACATACACACAGACACACAACGGGAGCCATCAAAGTCCTGAAGTTCTTAAATTCCCGAGAGTCTGTCTATATTCAGACTCACCTTTATCTACCTTATGCTTGCCAGCTTCCTTGCTCTTTCAAGGGTCTCGGTCCAGTGATATCTTCTCCCTCTCTACCCACTTTCTCCTCAGCATAGAGAACACCTTAGAAAACACCTACAGACACCTTTTCCATAGAAAACACCTTCAAACACTTTCTTTCACAACTATGTTCTTGCAGGATACCATCTATGAGAAAATTTCACAAATCACAGGGTGATGGATGGTCGCACGTGAATATACCAGCACACACGTCCGTGATTGGCAGTGCTCCCTCTCCTCCCTTTCATTCCGTGATCCGGTTTCTGAAAATGGTGGTTCACACATGATATGTGCGCTTTTCTCCCTCCATCCACTTCTAAATGCTCAGCCCAGCTGCAGCCCTAAGGAGTCCAGGGAGATTGTTCTTGCCTCACCATCGGCGGCTCTGCTCTGTCAAATGAAAGGAGCATTTTCTCAACCTTTCTCTTGCCTGACCTGTCAGCAGCATCCAGTCCCACTGGCCATCCTTTTGGGAAACACTTTCCTCTAATCCCTCTGTTCTCCACCCTGTTGTTCAATCTTTCTCATTTGTAGTTTTTCTCGACGCGGTCTTAAGCATGGGAGTGTTCATAAGCTCCCCACTCATACATGTGTAGTTGTGCGGGTATATTCCATAGTCTCTTCCAATTTAACATTTAAAAACAACCCAGGATCAGAAATCAACTTAGAAAAATGGTCAAGTATTATCCATCTTCCACTTAAGCACTAAACTTGGGATTTACTCTCTATTCCTTCTCTCCCTCTCCACCCAACCGCTTATGTAAGGGTTGGTGCTGACGCCCACCCTCGCTGCAGCGCTGGTTCAAACTCTAATGACAGGGCCAACTTCTTGATTCCCAGGTTGCATGTGGGCAGCCCACAGGCTGCCTCTGGCCTGTGTACATGGAGCTTGGCTTACACAGTGTTTTAGATTGTTTAAATTTCTCTGTACAGAGACAAGGAGATTTCATAAGGGTCGGAATTTGTGACTTCTTTTGCAAATCAGCAGGTGGGTAAGACTGGATTCTGTGTCCATGTGGCAGCCGTCATGATAACCGAGGCAAGGCTGCCTCCTTTAGGTGGGACGGTGCTGTCCAGGTGGCCGCAGCGCCCCTGCTGTTTCTCTCGTTTACACCCCAAGGCTGGGCCTGGCATCAGACTGCAGCTTCTGTCCCTAGCTCGCTCCCCTGGCTCTGCATGTGTGCATCCCCATTCCACTGTCTGTATTCATACGGAACGATCCATTCTAAAACTGACTTCTGTACCGAGCTCCTAGTCAGATTCCCTCAGTGGTGAAACTGTTAGCTTCTGGATCAAGTTCAGGCTCTTCGGTGTGGCATCCGAGGGCCTTCAGCTGTGTTTCCTGCATCCCTCCCAGCTCCATTGCTCCCCATCCTTCTCCAAATCTGTGGCCTGGGGCCATTTTCCTTCCCGACACCACACCTTCCTAAGGTGGTTTCTTCCACCTGGAAAATTCACCTCGCTCTAGGGCACCCCAATTGCCTAACCTGCCCTCCATTATTAAAGCCAAAGGGTGCCTGCCATCCTTAACCAACACTGAGGGCCGCCTGGCTTTGCTGCTTTCTCTATGTGCTCCCTGAACCCTGTTTCCTGCCGTCATAGATGGGTCCCACACTATTGTAAAACTATGTGCCTGCCCCCGATGGGCTGTGAGCTCCATAAGGGAAAATGCCTTTAGCCTTTGCTCCTGGGCAAATAACAGCCAGGCATACCCGTACATTATGGATCATACAAGTAAGAGTACTTCGTCATCTGGCTGGCATAGCTCAGTGGATTGAGCTCGGGCTGCAAACCAAAGTGTTGCAGGTTCGATTCCCAGTCAGGGTACATGCCTGGGTTGCAGGCCATGACCCCCAGCAACTGCACATTGATGTTTCTCTCTCTCTCTCTCTCTTTCTCCCTCCCTTCCCTCTCTAAAAATAAATAAATAAATTTAAAAAAAGAGTACTTCATCAAATCTATGCATTTACATACTATTACTGTCCACAAGGGGAAAAAGTTGCTTTAAATGTTGTAAACATTTTCAATTAAATGTTCTATTATAAAGAAGGCCCTTGAAAGAGCTAGAATAAAATAAACTTGATACCAAAACATCTTTTTTTCTGGCTCCTTTGTGTGGGAGTGTGTGAGCGTGTGTGTGTGTCTCGGGCCTGTTAGACGGGAACAACAACTCCTGGGGTTTTTTTTAAAAAGATTTGAAAATATATCACCTTTTGTAGATGAATAATTGGGTCTGTTTGAGGACTACAGAGATTCAATCAAATAAATCTATAGGCCCCTTCGCTACTAGATAAAAGCAACATTTGTCATAGTGAGGAATCACCCTCAGAAATATGCTCCCCAATATATCTCTTGTTGCTTATGTGCCTAAGTTATGACACTTGCTATCCAGTAGATTCTTCAGGCACTAAATTTGGGAAACTAGAGCTAGCATTTTATTACCATTTGCCAACCAAAAAGGTACTTGCAATGATTAACATCACACTTAAAATGTTTTCACGATTTTGTGAATGGAGCAGCATTGTTTCCCATCACAAATGAGGGGACCCAGGGACTTTCCAAGTACTTTCCGCTTAAAGGAGGAAGAGCTGGAACCCGCTCTGACCTTGAACTTGGAGCCCAGTGCTCTACCCATTACGCTGTGGCCCTTTCCACCCCCGAGCTGAGCTGTCCTCAGCTGTTCTCAGGAGCTGACGTCTGGGCTTGCTTCTGAAGCAGGGGTCCCCCACCTCTGGGCTGCAGCATAGTTGGGCACAGGGCCACACGGCAGGAGATGAGCTTGAATGTAATGCACTTGAATCACCCTGAAACCATCACCCCCACCCCCCGTCCGTGGAAAAATTATCTTCCAGGAAACCCATCTCTGGTGCCAAAAAGGTTCTAAAGGGACCAAGAAGCCTGCTGCCAATTCTGGGGCTGCTTCATTATTTCTGCCCTCAAGTAAGCCGAATTGTTGTTACCACATCTCGGCGAACAGCTACTGTCAGAGACAGAACGCACTGAAACGGGGTGATCAGTCCGTTACATAATGGAGATCCACTCACAGAGGCAGCAAGTTTTTCTCAAAGCCTTTTTTTTTTAACAGCTGCGATTTTATAAAGCAGCTATATTTGGCTGCTCCTTGAGCCAGCTGTGCACATTCTGTACAGTGTTTTGAGCCTGAGAACTGGAACTTATTTGGATTCTGAATGCTCTCCTCGGTTTCAAGATAAAATTTTGTAAACCCAAGGCATGCCTGACATGCTGTATTCGTTGCTTTTCTCTGACTTAGGTTACTGCAGAAGATTCACATGTGGTCATAGATGATGGGGTCAACACCAAGCATAACACTTATGGTTTTTAGTAGTGTCCTCCTAGAGCTGCCTAATGTAAACTAAATAAAAAAAGAATTGAAAGGAATTTGTGGAATCACATAAAAGTGCGTTAACAATGTGATTTACTTGATGGTTTCCTGTGTTGGGGGAGGGGTGACAAATGAGATTAAAATAAAGCATAATCTTACAATTTCGGGATTTGATTGAGCTTGACAGTTAAAGTCATCATAATAAAAACAACTGCACATTTTATCATTTACATGGTGCTTTCATGTACATGGAACAACACCTTTCCTGCAGCATCAAGACTTATTTTAGAAAAGAGAGTCTTCTTAACGAGTTGGTGTTAAGGTCAGTGTTCATTGTTCAATTTGAAAATGTTAAGAAAATTAGGCATGCATTTTTTCTATAAACAGCTGACTATAGCTATATTTCTATGACCCTAATAATATCTGTGACCACAGGGAAGAACACCCTCAAGCAATGAGTAATACATTTAAACTTAGGATTTGGAGAACAGTTTCTCAAATCCTCCAGAGCACCCTGAACTTCCCCATTTCTGTTGTTTGTTTAATTTCCTCTCATCACTTTTGTCATTATCTGTCCCCTGGACACCTTTCTCTCTAGATGACAAGGGTCTTGGGGTCAGAGGGCACAGCCGTCTCTTCCTTTGTTGCATCCCTGGGACCCCGCACAAGATTTTATTCCCAACAGGCTCTCATAACATATGTGATGAATGGGTTAATTGCGTAGATTCAGTGTATAGACTCATCTGTATACATTCAATTGTATAGATTCATCGTATAGATACGATGAACTACAGCTGTATAGATTTTTACCAAGAGAACTGTTTTATATAAAGCTTTCATCAACCTTATTCTCCTTTCTGGGAAGAGAAGGGGTTTTCTTTATGACAGAAACCCTATTTTGAATGCTTCTGCTTTAAAATAAAAAAATATGATAGATTAGTAATATAGTTTATAGAACCTTTCCTGATTAATGTTTCTTCCTTGATAATACAGCTCAACCTCTTTGAATGTTTACATAATTTCATAGTAACATAGTTAAAAATTTTTAGTTGTTTTGGCTGAATGACAAGATAGTACTACTCACCATGCATTAAAATTTTTTGATTATGGTATGTCTTTTTTATTTCTACCTCATATTTTCCATGACAACTTTTGGACATATTTAATTTGTTATAATATATTTTAATATGGTGCATACTAAAAGGCATCTCCTACCAAGGTACTACTCCCACTTTATAAAAAATAAAATGGAAGGTGATTGAAAGATAAGAGAGAAAACTCAAATCTGCTCAGGCATTCCAATATATATCCTGGCAGCCAGCCCTTTAAATTGGAAGGCCATTAGTACAGCAAGAAAAAGTGTGATACGATGAACAGAACTTTTCCATCTTCAAGATCTGAACTGGTAGGCGCCATACCTTAGGTGAATGCATGTTAAAATAGCAACAGGATCGGGTTACTTTACAAGGGTGACATGCACGTTTCGTTTCCCGGGAGGGTGCAGTACTCCATCACAGATGCCTGTCAGATACGGAAGCCATAAAGCCTGAACCGGCGCCTTCTCCAGCTATAATTTCTGTGACCTAGTTTTTGCTCAGCTCATTGCCAGGAGCCCTGGAGAGGAGATGATGTGTAAAGCCAGTAGTGGTCTCACATGACAATCATAGCTTGTGCCACTGTCACACCTAACAGTGTGTTCCTCAAAGTCTAGGATTCATACCCACAGTCTAATAGGAATGGAGTTCTGCAGCCACCCAGGGATCCGAGCTAAAGAATGCCAAGTGGGCGGTACCTGGTTAACAGAAGCATCTGTATTAGCCACAGGTGAAGGGGAACGACAGGCAGGTGGAGAGGAAATCTCACTGTTGGTTCCCTCCTCCCCAGACTCTTCAGTGACAGGTGACAGCAAAGTGTGACAGCGACCTGCAGTCATCTGTCACATAAAAGGTAGTCCAAAGGACATAAAAACCAGTTAGCAATAGACCTGCTCAAGCATAAGTCAAAACAGAGACAATTATATAACAAAGGTTAGAATTACTGAGACCCATATTTACACACAAATTTTGTATCCGTGTTTAAAATTTGGTTCAAATAAATAAGATGCTGGGAGCCATTTATAAAACTAACAGGGATAGGAAGTGCATATCCTATGAAAAATTTTGTTGTTGATTAACTATTTTGCTGATTTACTTTCTTTTCCTGGATTGTATCTTTATAAATAACTACAAAAACCCTCATAAATTGTACAAATGAAGGAAGGGTCTATGAAATAGTGCTTGGATTTTTTTAGACATCTCAAATTACAAATATTCTCGGAGATAACTACACCTTAAGTGCTATATTGCCAAAAAGCCCACGTACGGTTATGCACTATCCGTGTCCAGCATGTTTGTATGAAAAATACACAGCGCTGGACAACGCCGAGGAACCAAAATAACTAATGCATTTTAGATGCAAAGTGGCTGGGAAGTAATGTAGAGAGAAATTACTGGAACTTCTGTATTTTAATCCAAAGCTAAACTTTGGATTTTCTAATTTTCTTATTTTTTTTGATAATAGCCTTTCTCCTATATTTCTGTAAACATCCTTACAAGTAAATACACACAATATATGTAGCATGATTCTCTCATCCCCCCCTCCGCCCCAGAAAACTAGAAAACTGTGCAGAGGATTTTATTTATTTTCTGACGCACAGAGTCTCTCAGTATTCTTGCTAAATTATAAACAAATGCAGGGCTGACCTCTGACATTATCAAGTAGTTCAGCAGTCTCAAGCAAATAGCTCGAGACTGTCAAGCTATTTCCACTGTCATTGTTTACAGTGTCAAATACTGGCTTTGGCCCAAATGTAGCAGAGAGTTCAGGAGACTTCTTCAGTTCTAGTCTGCAAGACCTACCACTGATCCCTAAAATAAGCCAGAGCAGGAACCTGGAGACGGGAGCAGGGTACAGTCACAGGAGAGCAGCGCTCCACGCCCTGCAAAGCTGGCCTTGACCCTTACTCACCATGACCACAGAGGGGTGGGCAGAAGAGGCTGGGAGGAGCTTCCCGTCCAAGTCCTCCGGCAGCCCCTCCACTTCGGTCACCGTCAGCAGCATGGTGGCGTTCCTGGCTTTCATTGTCAGCATCTTGCACTTGGAGTTCAGAGAGGCAATCTGCTCCTGGTAGCCCTTGATTTTCTGAGCCAGCTCCTGAGGAAACATTTTCCCACCCCCCCGGGTGTCAGAGCAGCATCAAAAGGAAACAGAGCTGGTAGCATTCATCTTCCTCCAGGGCTGGCCAATGAAATCACAGAGCTGTGCCAGGCGGCAGCCGCGCGCCGGCCGGCCGGAGGAGGCAGGATGTGGACTGTGCTGAGCTGCAAGGCTGCCTGCAGCTCCGAGCCAGCCCACAGCGCGGCTGGGCGGAGAGGTGCTCGGAGCCAGCGGCTGGGGGGCAGGACACGCAGGCTCCGGCCCCGGATCCGAACCCAGGGGGCTGCTGCGGGCAGAATCAGGAAGTTACGTAACCTGAAGAACCTGTAACTTTCTTTAAAATGCCTAGGAGTCTGCCACTGCCAGATGGTTCATGCCATGGAAATTAGGTCATGTGATGACTAAAACTACAAAAAAATGCAACGCTCAGCTCGTATCATACTGAATATATCAAATGGAGGCGTCAGTTGTTCAGACAGGGTCACTAAGTGAATGGCTTGTCATCGCTGTGTCCCTGAGGGCTGTTTTTGAAGATAAGCTAAACATTACATACAAAACTCTAACTTTTTAATGCAGATAACTCCCAAAATACAATTTTGTCCTGTCACTAAAATTCCCCTCACACACTCCACCATGCTTCAAATGTTTCTGACGCTTCAAACTAAGGCTTTGGATGTGTTCAGTTTAAGTGTAATGGCTTTTAAATACATTTCCTGTTGAAAAAAATTGTCTTCAGAGATGGAGGTGTTTAAAACTTTTACCAAGAGCTTATTGCAAATATATTCTGGATAGCACTCAGCCCTTAAAAATGCTAAAATGTTAAAATTATGAAATAAATTAAATAGTAATCCTAAAATATTAAATGTATACTTTCTTACTTAAAAGGTGTATACATCTTTTTAAAAATAAAGAGGTATATTCTAAAACCTTATTCCTGAAAGTACAATACCACTACCTTTTCCTTTTCCTTTTATTTGGCTCCTTGGTCTAAAACGTTGTCCTTTAGTGTTTGTACAGAACACATCGACATTAAATGTCAATGTCTTTAAAGTATGAGTGTGTGTATACTCATAATTTTAAATATACTGACATTCAAACTAGAGCTTTGAACTTGAAGTTCAGAAACAAAACGACAACATAAGAAAATGGTATATGTGTGTGTATATGTGTATATATGTGTGTGTATGTATACACATGTACACATACGTATGTACCATTTTGTCCTCGTTGCCATTTTGTGTCTCCTCTCCCAACCAAAACGGACTGAATGGAAGGGAAAACAGGCCAGAAGAACTCCGTCAGCAGCCTGTTTTCTTGACTTCCAGAATAGCAGAGGTATTTTTAAAATTAAGAATTAAAAAGTAGAAATCATCAAGTCTTTACCTAGTAGAGCTGCTGGATACTTAATTATACCTAACAGGGCTTTAAAAATCGTGACTAAGCAGCTACTTACTATATCTGGTCTCGTGCCTGACACATGGCTACTCTGCGAATGATTAGTTAACATGAGCATACAGGAGACTTCCGCCAGCTCGCCGGACTCCTTGAGCTCTCTCTCTGTTGCCATGGGACAGATCTGGGAGCACTCTTGCAGAGGCCTGCCCCGTGCCGGCAGACTGGAGGAATCCTTATGCAGCACAGGCAGCCTTAGTCCTCCCACCCTTGGTGCCCCCACGGATGGTCACTGCCCCGACTGCAGTACCAACGCACACCCACACCGACAGCAAACCCCCTTTGCCTTAATGGGAGTTCTCAACCTTACGGTGTGTAAAACTCATCTGGTTGTTTGCTACAAATGCAATTCTGGTCTCCACTTCAAAAGATTTTTATTTACTAGACTTGTGAGAATCTGCATTATATGGTTACCCTCTATGAGTGACTCCCTTGGAGAAACAGCTCTCTAGAACTTTCTTCTGTAAGAATAAGCCTGCCTGTCTCCCATTAACTTTGTGGTTTGGTGGTCAAGCCTGCCATATTAAAATGGAGCTCTAATGAGTTAACATGTCCTCCATTCTTGGAAAGCATATTTACTTTTAATTTTATTGGGTATTTCTGAAAATGATTATAAAAGATGAGCATGAAGGTGGGGATTTCAGGTACTGCGGCTGCGCCGAGGAAAGCTGCCCTCTGTGAGCCACCACCTGCACTCAGGAGTGAGCCTCCTGTGTCCGGTGGAAAGCAAGAGGTCCTAGGGCTTCTCTCCTAAGATGTGAAAGTGGCAGGATAATTTTCTCCAATTAAATGGAACATTTGAAAAGTCACAGGGGGGAAAAATGGGAATTCCTTAGAAATGAATCAATTATCAATAATTTTTGTGAGTTGAAGCTACCCATAAGGAAATGAAACTCACATCAAGATTGAAATTCTATTAAAAGCAGATTGAAAGTACAGGAAAAAGCAGTCTTCCAAATTTTTATGTTATCATAAATCAGGCTTTCTCCATTCAGCACTTTCCTTCCTGCGTTTGTTTTATACATACAATGAGCCTTGCCCAGGACTATGTCACTGTTGATAGGAAGATGTATTCTAAATCACGTGACAAAGCTAACAAATGTCTACACTGATGTGTAGAACTTGCGGGGAGAATATGACAAAAGGAACAGGTCCCTGAGCAGAAGCCAGGAAGTCAGCCTCCTGAGCAGAAGCCAGCCTACTGCCGACTGTGCTGAGTGCCGGCTCTGTGGCCCTGGGCAAGTCATTTACTCTCGAGGACCATCACTCTTTGCTTCTGTGCAGTGAGACGGCTCACACAGCTTCTGCTGCAGTGAAAAAGCAATCTGGAGCCAAAGGCACTAGATTAGAATCAGGCTTCTTTGAGTTACCAGATTTGGGAGTTTAGGAAGCCATCTAAAAAGTCAGTTTCCCTTTTCTTATCAGTAAAATGGTGATCATAAAAAAAATCTTTACCTCACAGGGTTGTTATAAAATGTAATGTTAAAACCCTTGTAGATCATTTTAAAAATCAGAAAAACATGGTAATAAGAATTACTGTTATTGTAGAGAAGTTTTTTAAAAAATATTTTCTGTACTACGACAGAAAAGTTGTTACAACAAATTCTGGACCCTAGAAACTGGGATTAAAAATAGTTTTAAAATGAATTTATAATATATAGTCTAATGTATGAGTTATATAAACAGCGGTTTCAAATATTTGTATAACATTTTTGTTTAACCAATGGCATAAGAAAAACAAATAGTTACCATAGATATATCTACCATATAGGAGTAAATATAGGTGGGACATTTATTTCCATTAATTTATAAATTATATATAAATGAAAGTAATTTACACATTGGATGTGTTGAGAAACTAAAGAATTGAATTTGGGGGCAGGGGAGGTGGTCAGATTTTCTATCCATAAAGGGCAACAAATGAATCTGCTGAGAACCTCACTGTGACACCTGGTTTGGAAAAACAGTTTGTTGCCCTTATGACAACAAACTGGAGCACTTGGAAAGGTAAACTTAATGTCCACCCTTGGCACAGAGAAATAAGATACCCCCTAGTCCCAATCCCTTACCAAAATTCATGACGCTATGAGCCAGCCTCCAAGGGAAAGTGTAAACGTGACATATATAGGAATTGACAAGCCAGGAGAGGAAGTTCACTGCCAAGTGCCAATGGGCTCAAACACTCAAGGTCTGCGGTCTCTGAGACCAGGTCTGCACAAGGGGAGTCCAAGTCCAAAGGTCACAATGATGCCAAAGGTCCAATAAAGAGGCACTTTTGAAATCGGGAAGATGCTAAATTTGGAAGTCAACAAAACAAAAAATATGGACCATTCTCTAATTTTGGTGAAAAGGGCTGAAATAATCAACATTTGAAAGAACAAATGATTTTTTATGTGAAATATCCCTTTTTTTAAAAGAGGGTGATCAAAACAGCAAGACTTTGAGCATTGCTGTTTCTTGCTGGCTTTGAATACGGGGCTCAGCCTGTATTCTGTACTGTATAATGTACTGTATTCTCAGTACATTAACTGAGAATTCAGGGCCAGGAGACAGTCTCTGGGTGCCGGTGGAGCTATGTCATGAACAACATGTAAAGGCATTTAGAATCAAGGGGAAGATTCCTGCTACTAGGTCTTAGAAAGTCTCAGAAAAAAGAGCCCTCAAAATGCAAAAATAGTCAAAGATACCACTCAAGGACTCAACACATTTTGTGCCAGACAGGGAGAACCTTCCGTTTCATTCACTCGAAACCAATTACGAATTCCAATCAAGCCAGAGTCCCGCCCAAGTTCCTGTCTCACCTCGTGCCGAGAAATCTGGGCTTGCAGCTCCTGGATGTTACTGGTGGCCACCGGCTGATCCTCAATCTCTCTGTGAGCTCCTTCTATGAGCTCCTGGAGGTGCTGCATTTCTTGTTCATATTGTTCATACTGCATCACAGCCTCCTTTGGGGGGAAAAAAAAACCCATGATTATCTTTCTATATCAATAACTGTGTTAAGTAACTCTGCACTGCTCTCTGACAAACTACAGTGTTAACTCCTATTTAACTGTGTGTCTAGGGAATAAAGGAATGATGGGTAGAATTCCTAGATCATTCAAATCCTCAGCTCTAGGCAGATATTTCAAAGTCTTTTTCCTAAATCGCTTTACCAGGATTATTATTCATGAATTCAGAGTAATTAAGTGGCCACTCATATTGTCCTGGAGACAGCAGCATCATGGTCAGAAAATGGTAGGAAGCAGTATGAAAAACACGATTACTTCATTTTCCACAAGAAATACTGAAAATATACGTAAGGCACTGGTTAAGTACTGGAATAAAGGGTAAAAAGAAGTAATTAAGCGTGACTCCTATCCCCAGGAATTTACTGTCTAACAAATTACAAGCTAATCCAAGGAGTAAGGATAATTGCCCAAAGAGGCCATTAGCAATCTAATGAGAGGATACGTGTTTAATTGTTGGATAAAAATGTTGAAATATGAGTTGAAATGAGATATGAGGTAAATGGTGTCGTGTTTTCCGAGTCAATGATTTTTCTCCTGTTAAAGAGACTAAGTTATACTTGGGAGTACTCCTCAGACATGAAAACGCATTTAGTGCATCAATATGCTCAAGTATGCAAAATACCCCTGTAATATATGTGACCAGTAGAGTCATATTACAAGGTTCTAGATCAAGGGTGTCCAGCTCATTTTCACCGGGGGCCACATCAGCCTCACGGTTGCCTTCAAAGCATTGAAATAATTTTAGGACTGTGTAAATGTAACTACTCCTTAATTATTAAGGAGTGGAAATTTCATTCGGCCCTTTGAAGGCACCTGCAATGCTGATGTGGCCCCCAGTGAAAATGAGTTTGACACCTCTGTTCTAGATGATTCTCAGATGAATAATTAGGTAAAAATAACATTGAATATAAACTTAACCTATATAAGTCATTCTTATAAAAAATATTGCTACAAGATAGTTTTCACCAACAGATATTTTTTACAGAACTTTCTCCAGGCTTTTGTGGGTGATCTAAAGCATAGCATTTCACCTCCTTATTTTATATAACCACAAGCTGCCACATTTAACACTCTGGGGGTGTTCTGATGGCTGTGCCCCAGCTAAGACCAGGAGCTAGTGACTCATTGGCTGCCGCTGCGCCGGCGTGGGCCGCACACTTGCCTGCAGGACGTTGCACTGCTGGATGGCCATGTGCTGCAGCCGGCTAGCCTCCTCCTGCAGCTGGAGCGCCGCGCGGCAGAGCGGCAGGCGGGCGACGACGTCCTCGGGGATCCGGAGCGCACTCTGGCTGGTCTGCACGGCCCGGACCTTCGGCTTCAGCGACTCCACCTCACACAGCAGATGCTGAAAGTGCGAGAACACAGTTCACACATTTTATACTGAAGCGTTCCTTTCGCAAGCAAGAGACAAACTACAGCCAGTTCACAAGTCATACACGTTTTCCAGGAAATGTTGCAAATCCTGTATGTGTAGCTGAGGCTATAACTGAGTTTAGAAATTATTTTTTTGTAACTTTTCTTTTTTAAAAAACCTATCAGTAGGCCCCCAGTGGTCTCCGCTGAGTTATTTTCGCTTACCTGCCGATGAGACAGTTGCTCTTTGAGACTAAGACGCCCGACTTCCGGAGAAGTCAGGGTGGTCTGGACTTGCTCCAAAGCAACTTGTAAGTTTTTTAGCTCTGTTTCAAATTTTTTCATATCCTGCAGAGTAAAAACAATATGGATGTCAATATTTAAGTACTTAAAACCTAAACTCATAGGAATAACATTACAGTCAGGAAGGCACATCTGAGATGAGCGCTCTGTCTCCACTATAGGACCACCATTTTTTTAACGATGGACTTTTCAACTTAAATTTATTATTATTATTATTATTATTACTATTATTATTATTATTATAGTTTTACCTTGGCAGCATCTTGGAGATTCTGCAAACGAAATTTGATCATCTGCCGCAATTCCTCGGTCTCCCGTCCCAGTTCTGCCACTTGGTGACACATTTTTTCTGTGTGGTACACGCTAGAAAGGTACTGTAACTTCTCGGCCATTGCTTCCAGATCGTTGTGGATTTCTTCCGATTCTTCTAGCATGGTCTACAGGGAATGAGCAACATCACGGCACTGATAAGTAGGCAGAGAAGTGTAGGTAATCCACAAGGTGCGGTGGGGAGACCCTCCGACCAGGAAGGGAGCCACAGCCCATGTGCACTGTGTAGGCAGGTTCTGCCCGCCCTCCTGTGGTTTAATCTTCACACCCCAGGGCCCGCTCCCCACCTACTGTTATCCGAATTTCACAGACAAAGAAATCAAAGTTCATAAATCATAAATAATCTGCCGAGGCCACATGTTTTAAAGTGCTGGACCATAAGGCTCGGACTCTTGTCCACCACCTCAAGCTGCTTCCTGAGGGTCACAAGTATCCCAGCAGGGGCAATGCTCTGCCCATGGGTAGCTTCATCAGGTCGTGGGGCCTCCTACCTTTTCGCATATTTAAACTAAAGAGATGCATTTCAGCTCTCATACTCTATACCTTAGATCTAAGTGTAGCTCAGTCTAAGAAATGAAAAAGACTAGAGCACTGCAAACAAATAAACAAAAAACCTTCTATCACTTGCTTTAAGTGAGACATGGGCATAGATGCAACTTAGGATACCAAGAGGAATAAAACACTCCCTTGTCATTCAGGATAGTATCACCTGCCGGCAGTGATATGGATACAAATGGACTAATAACCATGCATTATGCACTACTTGAGTAGAGAGAAAAGAATAATGGGTTAAGGAGAGGTCAGAAATGAGATGAACTTGCAGGGAGGTTGGAGAAGGCTTCCTGGAAGACTCACATCTGAACTGAGTCAGTAGGCCGCTTGCATTTTGACGGATGGGGAAGAAGAGGAAGGGTATTTTACGCTGAGGGAGCAGCGCAAGCGAAGACACATAGGTGAGTGAGCACGAAACAGGCAGGTGCTGGGGTGAGTGACGTATGAAGAGGACAAATGGAACGTGGGACATTATTCTTAAGTTTTTTTTTAATTTAAAAAAGAACATATATTTTTCTCACCATAATATATAAGCAAAATATCCATAATCCCCTAACCAAATGGTAACCAAGTAAGCTGTAACTGCTGTTATGTGTGGGTATATTTTTAGGCAACTAACATCATAATATACCTACAATTCTCCATCTTCCCTTTTCACCTGCCATTGGGAACATTTCTCTCTGCGCACTGTTTGTGGGGAACCTCGGGAAGCCGTGATTACTAAGGCAGGCACTGGAGAGCTCCCCGAAACAGTGTGTACGGGCTGAGTGCTCCCCTGAGCACCTGAGTGAGTTAACCACCAACACCTGACACCTGTCCGCCTGCGCTCAGCCCACCCAACTGCCCAAGTCAAAAAAAAAAATCCCAGGAATCACCCTTGGCTCCTCCCTCCCTTTCACCCGCATCATCCACAGTCTCTAAGTCTGCAATCCCAGCTCAGGAACACCCCTCGCTTTAGCCTTCTCTCGGCCTCCAAAGGAAGGCCTTGGTGCTTTCCCCTGAAATACTACAACTACCTTCTCTGGGGCCTTCCCTTCAATAGTCTGGGTTCCACAGTCACCCTTCTTAAAATACAAGCCTGCACTTGTCACTTGCCTGCAGAACAGCTGTCAAAACCTGCAGAGGGAGTTTAGGATGAAGTGCCCGTGCTCACCAGGCTTTCATCGCCTGTCTTTTCCTCTGCTCTCTATTCTGTCTCTGACGCCTCTTTCCTCCAGCCCTCAAGCCGCACCTTCCAGGGACCCCAGCAGGGCACCCCCTCACTCCTGCTACTACAGAGTGGGCTGCGGTCTTGCAGGGCTCCACCCAGAATCACCTTTTCCTGAAGTTAAGGCTTCCTTAACTTCCTTCTCAAACCCAGGGCAGTCTGGGTGAGCACCCTCCGTGGGCTTCTTCAGCACCTTGGTCCCTGCCTGCTTGCATCATCATCAATTTGTAATTGTCTGGATCTCTCTATCTCCATTCTCCCATTAATTATCACCCCCCAGCCCGGGAGCAGGGACAGGAAACACTGTTTGTATTCCAAATGTCTCCCCAAATCCCTGGCTTTGGAAAATACTTTCTAAATGTTTGTTGAATAAATAAGTGAGTACAGAAATTATTTTAAAGACAAAGCCTTCATGTCTGTTTTAAAGACTGCATTATATTCCATTATATCCAAAAATTTACTCTGAAAAATGAGTTGACATCGAGGTTTCCTTTAAAATTCCATTCTAGTGGTTAATACTGCATAAACCATTTTCTGCAGTTTGGACTGCAGAGGAGGAACTTGTTGGTGATCGCAGTCCATTTTGCCATCCATCTTTCAGAGATGTTCACCAAGTTCCCAGGAGTGTTGGAGAGCTCTCAGCTTCTTTAATACGAACTGGAGGGAACAGTGTGCACTTGGCAGTTAAAATGCTCGCTCTTAAACTGCCTTTCTAGATTTCTAATGATGCCGAGTATTTTCTTCACTGTTTACAACCGGTTCTACCTTAAGTCTCATCTGTTAATATATAAGCATATCTTCAAGTAGAAAGTTAGAGTTGTTTAAGGAAGATTTGTTGAGAAGAGCATGAGACTGATGAGGGAAGAAAGACGGTGGAGGCAGTGAAACCAATTAGAAGCCTGTAAAGCAGTAGAAGGGAGAAAATGAGGCTTTGATCTAGAACTCTGTCAGTCGTCATGGAAAAGGCGATGGATTTAAAAGACCAGAATAAAAGAAAGAGAAAATCTACACTACTCGAGGATAGCCATGTAACTTAAAAACCATTCCGTATTTCGTCGCAAGGTAGCTGAGCTATTAGACAGAATGAAAGAATTTCCTGGATGACATGGCCTGGAGAAAACTCCAGAGGAAATGAAGTAATACGATGTGGACTCGTTGCTGGTTCCCGGCTGACCCCTACTTCCTGTGGAGGGCGACCGGGGCCAGGCACAGGGCTGAGAGGGAGGAGGCCCGAGAGTTTCACACCCACGTGTCAGATAATGGGCGTCATGTCTGCACACGAGTTACCCCATTTGATCCTCGTCCCAATTCTGCAATGTACATCAGTTACATCTCCATCCTACTGCTGGGAAGACTGAACTCAGGGAGGGAGTGTAGTTTCTCTCAAATCGCTCTGCCTGAAATGAAATGGCCATGCTTGGTTTCCCCATCAGTCTGGCTCTAACCCACTTAGTCTTTCTAAATGTGCTACGTCTCTTCATCGGAAAGAAGTTTCCACCAAATCTCTGCACAGAACTGTTTCAAAGAAGCTGCAAAAAAGGGACTGATAATTTTTGGTCTTGGGAAAGGAAAGTCAAGGGGAGACATGCATTTCTTTGTGCAGTTATGAAATCCCATGTGTAGCTACTTTCTTTCAAACCACTGGACAAGTTGTAAGGCTACCTTAAGTGTTTTTTTTTTAATTTGATACCTACAACAACTTGACATGATGGTCCTCTGACTTTTCTGTACGTGTAGCCAGTTAAATTAAATTGCTCTCTTAGTTATTCTTTGAAAACCCTTTTTCCCAAAGTTACCTGATGGGAAATGTATTGTTCCCGAAGTTGCCTGGCAGAATTCCACACAATCTTTCCATGTACCAAGACTCTAGCTTTGTCAATCCACTTCAGAATCAGTTCAAGCATTGCACTGTATTCTTCTAAATGTGATGTTGCCTAAAAAAAATCATGAACATTTCGATGACAAAGGTAACCTTTACTTCTTGAGCTAGAAATCAGTCTTCTGTCTCTCTTTGGATACAACAGTCCTGGGAGTTAATCATTACATAATATCTGAGATATTTCAAGTGTCAACATAAGAAACATCCAAACCTGCAGAGAAATTTTATTAGTTTATTCGAGCCAAACGGACAACATATGCCATGGGGGAGGGTCTCAAATGTCCCACAGAATAATCGTTTTGCAGTTTCTTTTAAAAATTAAGGAGGGGACAGAAGGAAGATTTGAAGAAAGCAAGGTGGTGATTGGATTACAGGGTAGTTAACACGAGTATATGCTCTCTTGAGGTTGGTTATGCTTATTTCAAAGGTGTGTTAACCTAGATGCACAAGAATAACAAACGGGGCTGGCTTAAAACCTCCCATGAAAGGAGTTATAGGTCTGGGGTGTGACTACCCACCAGGACCTACCTGCCCAGGTAGGCATTTACGATCAGCACCTTGTGAGGTTACTTTCCATAGAACCCCCACCCCCTTTTTTAAATCTACAAAAGGTGTGTCCTCGTGGAAAACATTTCAGGGACTTTTCAGTGACTTAAGGATAAAATAGAAGTTCTCAATATGCTTGATTAATCTTTCCTGAAAAAGAAAAAAGCTTCTCTATTCTCATCTCTTGCTTATCTATCCAGCTCTCCTTTCTGCCTCCCTCCGTCCATTCCCCGCCCTCACCAAGTAAGGAGGTAGTGGGCGGGGATCCTGGCATACCAGGTTTCAGTATTGTAATTCATTGGTTGCCAAATCCTGAGTTAACTTATCTCTGGTTACAGAAAACATATATCATCAGGTAGTAGAAGTCGAGTCCATACTCAACAATTATGGTGGATGTGTGACCTGAACCTATGAAGTAAATAATAGCTATTATATAATATCTGTAAGTCAATACACTCATCTCCCTTTACACAAACTGATCTGTGAAACAAGTTAATGGTCGAGAATGCATTTTGCAAAACGCTTCCCCAGTTCACGAAATATTCACATCAAGATTACCTGGACATGACCACCTTTGTCGATGAGTTTATAATAATGGTTTGATATAAAATAAAGGTGGGTTTATGTCTAATTCTTAGGAACACAGGTGTGGGATGAAGTAAGCTACCCCTTAAATTACTCCCGTCATGTTCCAGATCAACTTTTTATGTATTTTCCAAAGAGAAAAACGGAACGTGGAATTTCTGCCCTGGAGAACTTTGACCGCTGGCCAGAAAACTCACCTGGCTGAGCCTGCAGAGCCGGTTCTCAGCCTGCCTACTGGTCTGCTGGTGCAGTTCAGTCAGCTTTCCTATCTTCTTGGCCAGGGGCTTACCCAGCTGGCCATTCTGTTCCGAGAACTTCTGTACCGCCTCATCCAGCTCCATCAGCTTTAAACTGCAGGCATCCAGCTCCTCTCCCAGCGCCTAGGTGGTCACGGAAGTGAAAGAACATCAGACCACAGAAAGTGAGTTCCTCCTGAGTTTGCGTGATCCGAAGGGTGACATTTGACTTTATTTTAGTCTATTCATTTATTTCTTCAAAGGATGATATTTTAAATGTTTCCATAGAAGCCAAATGCTGGTAGAAGGAATAATTCTACCATGATTAGGTCATTTCTGTGTCTTCAGTTGGAAAGGCGGGACGGGATGTTTTGCAACCCTGGTGTTTATTTCCTATGAGGCTGAGAAACCTAACATTTTCCTTCTGCCCCACCCGAAAAGGATGAGTCACTTCACTCATCAGCGGGGTGAGAACAGATTTAGCTACCAAGGACATACTTTCACTTGGAATTTACATTCCTGTATTCCTAATTCATTGTTTGTTCTCTGATACTTTCCCCGCTTATTGACATATGCATGTATATTTATTAATAACGTCCAATTGTGACAAGTGGTTATACCATGTAGATAGATCTGTGCTGTCATGTTTATAAAATATCTTTATTCGCTCTCTTTACTGCCTGAGTTTAATGAAGTTTGCTGATCAGGAAAGTCCTTTTTTTTATATCCCCAAAATGAACTAACTCCAAAAAAAATATTGAATTTATTCAGTTAGCACCCTGTACGTTTTCTACTTCTCTTTCCTTACCTTTTGGTCAGTTTTTGCTTGAACTAAATTATCTGTCTTTGCTCTCAGTGTAGTTAGAATAGTTGTGAGCTCTTTAGTTATCTTCTGAATTTGCTGGCTGAATTCCTGGCTCATGGCCTTGCTCTGTTCAACTTGCTTTACTTTGTCCTGGATCTACATAATCAGTGAGAACAGCAAAAGGAATCGTGGTTAGAACTGGGGAACAGACACGAAAACCCTCATGTGGGGAGGTTGACGAGAGGTGTCAGGCGGTCAGGGCTGCTTTGGCATTGATGAGCTTTGTCAAACCAACCACACACAGTTACTGCGCAAACACTCCTGGTTTTCCATGCAGCCTTACTCCCCCGTCTTTACGCATCCACCGCATGTCTTTCTGCTGCTGCTTTGGCAGAGGAACAAGCAGTGCACGTACAGTGATTCAGTCATCAAATGTTTACAGAGCATCCAAAGATGGCAGTGTGGGTAGCTCCGTTTGAATGGGCGTTTTTAACACCATGACCTTGAGCCTGCAGACTCTTCTAAGCCTTTTCCTTCACAATATGCAAAACTCCTCTCGATAACCGGAACACACAAATTTGTTTCCAAGCACCTTTTCATAAGTAGCTGTTAATGATCTGGTAACTCTTTTTCTAACTTTGCAATTACATCCTTACAGTGTGACAAAAAAAAGCATTAAGCACATCCGATAGAAGATGAAAAGGGACAGTGAACATTTACAAGTTTTTAATGGCTTTGGCTTGATTTGATAACAAACATTCATACTTTTGCTTATAACAAAATGCCAAAGAAAAACAGTAAAAAAAATAAGTTCTCTTTTTATATAAATGAAAGGCTGAATTACATCTAGCAGAGTGCCTGGTAGCCTGTGGGCACTCAAGAAATATTTGTTGAACACATGACATATATCTTTTGTTGTTTTTGTTCTTTCTCTCTCTTTTTTAAAAAAGATAAAGGAAAGCAGATAAGTTATGTTTAATTACTTGACATTACTGTTGATAAGTATGGTCATCTGATGTGCATTTTTTGCCTATGAATGAGACCTCTAATTTAATGTTATTGTCTTATTCTAGGCTGGCTTTTTTTCAAACTCTCTTTCCATGAAGATATGATTGTGAAATCCGAGAGCTCTTGTATAAGAGTATTGAGCCTATAAGAGAAGGGGAAGACGCTCCTACTTGCTAACAGGTTTACCTGGTCATGGATAGTTCCCAGGTCCAAGGCCACCTCAGCTAACTGGAGGGAGAGCTCCGCAGGTAAAATAGCATGGAGACCCAAGTACTTGCTCTTCTGCTCCTCGGCCACTTTCTCCATGTTCTGTCGGTGGTTGGTGGCTTCTGTTAGGAGAATCTGAAGAAAAAATCAAAACAAGAAATTTCTGGGAGCCCAAGGAAATTTTCATAGGTACAGAGCAAGGCAATACACTGTCCCTCGATACAAAATTAAGTGTGGAATGAGAGAAACACTTTGAGAAAAACCAAACTTCAGCCTCTGAATAAAAAACATATCCACTTTATATAGAACAAACAAAAATCCCATGGAATAATACTAAAAGCCTTTTATATAAGACATTTCTGAAAATTTTAAATTCATCCAATATTTCATTGATTATAAACAAATGTGTCTGATTAAAATCAGGGCAATTTATTTTTTTTTGAAGGACAGGGATAGGGAATAAGGAGAGTTTTGTACCTGAAGTTCTTCAAGTTGAGCATCTATTTCTATTGTTGGATTCCCCAAATATTCCTTCGTTTCCTGAACCCAAGATTTCACAGAATTGATCTGAGTCTCCACGGCTTCCCGGTCCTTCAGCTCCTGCTTCGCCACCTTCCCGTGATTCCTCACTTTCTCCTGCATGCTTCAGAGACAGGGAGTGCGGGGAGAAAGCAGCCGTGAACCCTACTACACAGCACTATATTATCAAAAACCAGACATCTTGTAAAAGGTGAAATCTCATCTTTTTGCAAGTAAATACTGTCAGATGATTTTCAGTAATACTTAAGTTTAGTTCAAGTATAGAAGAAGAATATACATCACATGAAGTGAGTAATGTATCCCTGGAAAATTGAGAATTGACACACTCCCATGCCACTATATTGCAATGAATTTTCCTACGTAGAGTAACCTGGGCATTATTTATTTTCTCTCTGTAAATCTCCTCGTATGATCTAGGGTTATCAGCCTTTACAGGTAATGTGTAATGTGTTACTGGTATATTTGTGTCTGTTAGAAACCAGTCTTTGGAGCCAAGCTTTGGAAACTTTACAGTTAATAATATTCAACACCCGAAGTGTAAGTCGTTCTTTGAATTGACTTAAATTTGGTTAAAAAGTTTAAATAAATGGAGTTCAGTTATCTTGAACTCATCCATAACTACAGAGGCAGGTATAGGATATGTATGAATAATATTAGTGATTACAGCAGTTATCTACTGACATTTCTTCTTTCCTGGCCCAATGAGTGAACCAGGCTGCTCAGATATCATTACATTAACTTCCGCCATCTACTAAGTTCTGAATGCCTTTACCCAGACTTGGGTATCATCCTTGTTCCAATCTCTCTGTCAACCGATTTAACCAATGAATCACTGAACGTTTTCAAAACTAGACTCTAAGCAGCTCTCAACTGTTTAACTTTCAAGCTTTGTTTCTCGTGAATTGTCGTATCGACGAACACTTCCCTGCAAGTGACATGCTTACTCCCAAGGCTTCCTACATGCTGTTCCCGTCTGCAACACTCCCCCCTCCCCTCGCTGGCTCGCGCAGGCCCGCTGCGTCCTCAGCTGAAACACCCTCCCGAAGGGAACCCTCCCCTGACGGCCCTCCCAGGGTAGCTGCCTGTGTTTTGCGTGCCTTTCCCACCCTTTTCGTGCTTTACTCGAGCGGCTTCTGCAGCTACCCGTCTCTGCTGCATGACTGTAAACGGCATGCGGCTACAGACCGAATCTGTTCGGGTCCCCCCTGTGTTTCTAAATACTACTAGGTATGTGCTTGTCAGGTAAGTCATTGCAGAGCGAAGGAAAGCGAAAGCAGGGATGACGGGAACTGATCCCTGCATTGTAAGTAAGGGGGCCTGCTGGAGCACCCGCAGACTCTGAACCACTCTGATCCCTTTGGACCCCGGCCCAACTCAGTAACAGAGAACGAGAGGCGGAAAATTACTTCAGGCACTGATCTTGCAGGGCTGTGATTTCCTGCATGGCGGGCGGCTCTCCCCCGGGGGACGGCGTGGCCCCATCCGGGAGCATGCTCAGCGCTTGCTGCCGCAGCATGCCCAGGGCCGACTGCTGCTGCTCCAGCTCCAGCGTGAACGTGTCGTGAAGTTCCAGCAGCGTTAGGAGTTCCGCTTTTGAGGCTTTCTCCGCTGAACTTCCCGGTAATTTACCTTGCAGCTGATGGATCATTTCAGTGGCTTTTTTAACCTGATGAAAAATGTAGGTATATACTATGAAGCTCAAAATAAACTAAAATATTGGGGCAATTCCAATAAATACCACATTTGACACTAATGCATCAAAGCTTGTTAAAGATGATGGTGTAAACTCTACATTTCAGGAAAGTAAGTCCTGAACAATCTCCTTAACATGAAAGGTAAGACCATCTTTATAATTTGGGCATAAAGCTTTAATTTCAAAATAATATCAGGGCAAGCGGAGACTGCATAACATAGAAAAGGTGTTTTTATTAAACTAAAGGGCAAATGAAAAACTTTTTCCAGTATTTAAGTTAACATGAATGTGTCTCTTTGATTTATAAAGAGAGATGGGGCTTAAAACACTGAATCCTACTTAAAAGGTGAAAGAAATTAATATAAGACTTGGGAAATGAGTTAAATTCCTGCTCAATTCCATGGCAAGGAAAAAGTATTTTGTATTTTTTCAGGGTGAGGTAAGAAAGTTTCACTAAGAATCTAGCAAATGGAGGAAAGTAGATTGTCCTCCTTTCAAAATATAATTTCTTCATTTTCTTAGTAAAATAATTAGACCTTGACTTGGAATTAAATTGCACATTGCCTATTGTGTGTTGTTTCATAATTTGGTTTTCACGTCATTGAAACAGAATTTTAAAAAAGCTTTTTATTTTCTTAAGGCCAATTTCAAAAAAGAGAGCCAAAATACTGCTTTTTGAAATACATGATTATCAGGGAGAAAACAATAATGTGAGCCCATCAACAAAGGCAACTACCTTATTGTTAAAATTCTTCCACTCGTCCACCGCATCTTCCAGTATCTTCTCCTGGTCCTGGGCCACTGCACGGAGCCGTGCCCAGCGCTGCCAGACCGTCGTCATGGATCTGCCTATGGTTGCTTTGCTCGCGTCATTTCCAGCTGTTTCCAGTTGGGAAGCTTTACCGTCCAGGGCCACGATTTTCTCATGGAAAGAGTTAACCAGTGCCACTAAAGCCTAAGGGGGTGGGGGGAGAGGAGGTTTGGGGGCAGGGAGAGATGTTTTCAAAAGCTCTATGGATTTGAGTAAAGCCCAAAATTACCGGCCAAAGGAAATGTTGCAACACATTCTTTCTCCCCTGGCAGCTTGTAACTTTCACATTGAATTCTTAATTGATTTAGGTTGGTGTTGTTGTAAAGAGGTAAGGTGAATATTTATTTATTAAAAATGAAAGCTTATTGGCTACTTGAGATGAAATTCTCTCATTGAAAAAAACACAGCAAAAATGTAAGTGAACTGCATTTACTATTTAAGGATGTTATATTCTACTTTGCATTGCTGTGATGTATGAGGAAGACTCAGCATTCATTTTAAAATCATATTTGAACTGATCTAAGTTATTGCCAGAAAGTATTTACTGAAATTCATAGTGTCACACTTTATCAGAAGCAATTGCTCTGAATTTCTGCTTAAACCTAGCCATGCATTTCCAACTGAAACCCTGAGTGACAATATTTAATTAAATTAATCATTTAATTTATTAAAACATGCTTAATGGTGCAACTCATTATTGTCCTTTATTTTTTCTTCTGTTGATCTTGCTATAATTTTATTATTAAGTTGAACCAAGGACAGAAATGAAAAAAATTTGTACTGATATCTTGACTAGTTCTGAAACTTTTTTCTGTTCAGATTTAAGGGACCCAGGTGGAAATGATTCATTGACCTGCTTCTGGGACTACGGTATTCCAGAGACCCATTACAAAGACAATGAAAGGACGTTAAAATCAACAACAATGAAACTAACCTTGTTTTCTGACAATTTTTCTTCTGCTTCGTGACTGGAAGACGTCTTTAATAAAGAAAATTCGGACAATTTCTTTTCCGCATCATTCATCAATTCGATAACCTCTTCCCTTGCTTTCTGGTAATCCTGCCACTGAGCTGCACATCTTGAAAAAGTCCAACAAAAGTCAATTGAGCAACATCAAACCACACATTTCTACGCAGAGCTCTGATGTCAATATGTCTAACGTACTTAAGGGAGAAGAATGAATTTTCACGCGGATGTACATCATGAGTATATTCCTGTTTCCCACGTGAAAATTCATTTCAAAACACATTATATTTCACTAGCACATGGAGACGAAAGCAGCTGGACTACCTCTGCAAGAGCTCTAGCTGGGCGTGTGCGTCCTGGATCGTCCTCTGGCTCTTCTCTTCCAGGAAAGCCATTTTCTGCGCTAGTTTCTCTTTCCCGGTTGGCTTGATGAGTGGGTCCAGGTTGGCTACCAGGCCTTTGAGCTCCTCCAGATTGTTCTGGAACTGATCCTCTGCACTAAAAAATTCCGTGTGGCTCTTGAGACTTTCCTCTGCACTCTCCACGTCGAGGCCATTGCCTGCCAGCTTCAGCATTTTGTGGGCTTCCTCAAGCCAGTCGCTGGCAGCTTGAAACACTTGGTAGTACCTTTGGCACTGACTGTATATTTGAGTCAAGGTAGCCTGAAACATAGCCAGTACAAACACAGTCAACTCTCAGTTGCAATGTGTTGGCAGCAAATAGTTTAATTTTTCCCGTTTCTTTTCCAGTCCTCCCTCATGTGGGGATATATATATATATATATATATATATATATATATATATATATATGAATGGAAAAGTTGGTGAAATATTTTTGGTGCAACTCATTATTATCCTCTACTTTTCCTTCTGTTGATCTTGTTATAATTTCATTATTAAGTTGAAATAAGGACAGAAATGAAAGAAATTTATACTGATATCTTGACTAGTTCTGAAACTTCTCTCACGTAAATGTTATAATATATCTATATCTCTCTCTATATAATAATGCTTAGTAATATGTGACAGACTGAATATTTACCAAGGTGAAATAATGCCTCGGTTGGTGAAAAGTGTAATAGCACCAGGGGAATGTAAACCAGTACAGCCTCTGGGGAAAACAGTGGGGAGGCCCCTCAAAAAAAAAAATGAACACAACTACCAGCAATGCCACTTCTGAGTACTCACCCGAAGGAATGAAATCATTATCTTAAAGAACTATCTGTACTTGGACATTCTAAACATACTCTCCTTCCTTTGTTATCCCCAAGTCAAGTCATGATTAACATTCCAGTCTTGCCCCTGTGGTGCTCTAGGGAAGCAAGGGAAGATGAGGCCCCCCTCCCTGAGGAAGGGGTGAAAAGATGGAGTGCCTGATGGGAGACCCCAGAAGAAAAGGGGGCTGGGCATCGGAAGGGGGGCTGCATGGCCCAACGGTGCCTCTCCATTTGGAGACTCTTCACCCAGCGCTGAGCTCAGAAACACCAGGTTTCACGTTGTTCTAAAAAGGCATCACTGATTATTCATTGCCAGCTTATTTCATTATTAATGTACGCACGATGGCATTGATTCTACTGGTGCTGTCATTCCTTACCTCTCCTAAAGGTGAGAGATAGCGGAGGTTGCCGTATTATAACTAAAGGCAACGTGGAAATCATATGAAATGAATACCACGTCCACAAACAATAAAGAAATCCTTTTAAGTCACTGTTGAGCATGATTTTACATCGTATCATAAAAGAAACACTTAAGGAAGCAGTTCTAACAATTAAAACACAAAACAAAAAATGAAGACACGCCTTACACATGTTTACAAATAAGCAGAGTGAGGAAAAAGACAAGAGGAGCCCTATCGTACCAACCTGTCTGGCGCCTAAAGCTTCCTGAATGTCTCCATCCAGCTCTGAGAGTTCAGCAAGAGTGCGCTGCAAATCAGCGGAAATCAGCTCCTTGGCTTTCGTGAATTTCTCCTTCTCCTTGTTACCCAGGGCATTCATTATCCGCAGGCTGGACTGTACCTCTTCCTGTTGAATTTGGACCTTTCTGATCTCCTCCTGGATGTCCTGGGGGTTCAGGTCCAGGCACACGGGCCCACTCAGTTCTGCCTTCACACTCCTCAGCCAGTCCAAAGAGCGGCTCAGCTCCGTCTGGAAGTCTATACTCTGCACCATGCGGCTCTCGCACTCGGTCACCGTCGTGCCAATGGCCGAAGTCAGCAGTTTTAACTCCTCTTGCCAGGCCTGGATCTGATGCTTGGCTTTCTCATACGCCGAGGGATCCAGGTGTGGAACTAGGTCCTCGAGATGCATGGCCACCTGTTTCAGCAGGGCTCCCGAGTCCTGAAGGCTTCCCGCCAGCGAGTGGTACAGTTTGAGCTTCTCCTCTGCGGGAAGCGTCTCCTCATTCACTTTGCACTGCTCTGCTTTCGCTGCCTCGAGCTGTTTCTGCAGCTGGTGGCACATCTTCTCGTGCTCGTGATAGGCGCTGCTGGTGTCTTCGAGCAAGCCAACCCTTTGCTCTGTCTGTCGCTTCAGCCGGTGGTACAGGGTGACAAGCTGCAGCATCCTGTCTGGCTGCCAAGGCTGCCCCGTGCTGCGAAAACTTTCTTTCTTCTGGTTCAGCTCGTCCACTGCTCCCCCGAGGCCTGCCACTTCTTCCAGAAGAGCTCTGCACGCATCCCGAAGACACACAGCTTCTTCCACGGCCAGGTCCGCGGGCACCTGGCTCATCTTTAAGAACTGCTCTTCGAGTTCACTCAGAGACCGGGTGGTCAACTCGATCAAGGAAGCATATTCTTTCCGAGCGAGAATCGCTTCTTGGACCTTATAGAACTTGTCTTTAGCCAAGGTGACAATGACATTAAATTGCAGGGGCAGAGCATTCAGCTTTTCACTGAGGTAGGAATGGTCGACTTCATTCAGCGACGGCAACATGGCCTGCCCGGTTCTCTGCAACGTCAGCAGGAGATTTTCATATTCTGGAGACTGCTCAAGAATGTGCTGGTATTTGGCCAGTTGCGTGTGGAGCTCTGCATTCTCATTCATTAGGTTGATTTCAGGAAACGTAACGATATCTGCTTGCTTTAGCCAGTGGCAAGCTTTATCAAAATCTTCCTTAAAATGCTTCCTAGAAACCAAACTCTTCTCCAGTTCTTGCAGCCTGTGGCTGCACTTTTGTAAGACGGTGTCGTAGACGCTCTGCAGTTCCTGAAGCTTACCCAGCAGTTCCCCCTTCTCCTGCTCCGTGGCCCCTTTCACTAATTCACGGCCCTGGGCCCAAAGGCCAGTGACTTCGTTCTGGTAAGTCCTGAGGCTGGCTTGAGCGCTCTTGCATGTTTTCACCTGTTTGCTCACATCCTCCGGCAACAGGCAGATGTGCTCACGGAACATTATCTTGCGCTCATGCTGCTGAATTTGGCTGGTTGCCTGGAACACAGCCATGAGAAACTGGGTTTTCTCAGACAAGGTCTTATTCAGGTACTTTCGTCTCTGGCCCACTAAGTCGCTGAGACAGTTCACGTGCCTCTGTGCATCGGAGAGCGCCTTCTGGATCACCTGCCGCTCGTTCAGGCCGAGATCCGCCATCACCCTGTCGGCGTCCTTCGTGAGCGATTTCAGGAGCACCTGTTTGGCCTCCAGTTCGCTGCAGATGGCGAGGTGATCCATGAGGAGGTTGGGAGCCATGTCGGGCGGGGGGCTCTGCTTGAGGGCCTCGGCGATGTTGGGCTGCTGCTCCTCTGCCCACGCCATCAGCTCCCGGAACTTGGCCTGCACCACATTCAGTTCCTCCAAGTTGGCGACTGACACTTGGATTTTCCTTTGCACAAGGTCCTCCAGCTGGAACCAGCGTTGCTCGAGGTGGCTTGTCTGTTCTTTCACTAACTCCCTGTCGTCTAAGTTCAGATGCTCCGTCATTTTCTGCTTCTTCTCCTTCAGGTCTTCGATAGCCTGCTTCCTCTCCTGCAAGGCCAGGGCGAGCTTTTTCAGCGCTTCCAGGTGGACAGCTGTGCTCTCCGCGTCGGATCTGTCAATAGATGGAAGGGATCAGGGCAAATCAGCCAACTCCGTGTCTGTATTTGTTCACGGCATGCTATGTGACATTTCACCCCTTCCTTTAAGAGGAGGCTTTGAGAGCCCTGGCTGGCGTAGCTCAGTGGATTGAGCGCGGGCTGCGAACCAAAGCATCGCAGGTTCGAGTACCAGTCAGGGCACATGCCTGGGTTGCAGGCCATGACCCCCAGCAACCGCACATTGATGTTTCTCTCTCTTTCTCCCTCCCTTCCCTCTCTAAAAATAAATAAATAAAATATTTAAAAAAAGATGTTAAAATGCAACAACAAATCTCTCAATAAGAAAAATAGAAAAAGCCCTGGCTGGTGTGACTTAGTGGATTGAGTGCCGGCCTGCAAAACAATGGGTTGCTGGTTGGATTCCCAGTCAGGGCACATGCCTGGGTTGCAGGCCACGGCCCCAACAACTGCACACTGATGTTTCTCTCTCTCTCTTTCTCCCTCCCTTCCCTCTCTAAAAATAAAATAAGTAAAATCTTTTTAAAAAAGAGTCTCTCTTGAAAAAAAAAGTTCTTTAAAAAAAAAAGAGGAGGCTTTTAGCTTAGAGTTTATTGACCCTGACATTATTTGCTGTCATTATTATGGGCTACAGGACGTGTATGTTTGTATATCAGAAGTTGAGCCAAACCAATCGCTTAGATACAACTTTTCTATTCCTCTGGCTCCTACAGCCCTCCCAACACATCTGACACGTACTTTTAGCTTCTTCCTGCAGCCCATATACACTGAGCAGGATCTGCATGTTACCAAGATGCCTGGAGGATTTATGTAACACTAAACATTGAGAAGCACTGATCTAGGCATTCTTGAAAATGGCAGTTAAAGAAATTAGTAAGTGATCCGTGATGTCTGTGCTTTCTTGCGAGGAGAAGCTCCAGCAAGCAGCCTAGTGCTGGGCAGCACAGTCCGCAAGGCGTCAGCAAGGGCTCTGTCTGCCACCCACGTGTGTACCTAGATATTTTTGGTTTATGATTAGAAATCTTTCCAAATAGGTGTGAAATGCAAACAATCCTTATCCTTTGGACTATGAACAGATGAGAAAATGGAATCTTTTTTTTTTCACTTACAAAACGATTAGGTCAAGGTATGAGGAACAGGGTTGGGGGGTCAGGATGATGAGTTCTGCTTGGGATAATGTTAGGCCGGAGGTGTCTGAGGGCCAACCAGATGGAAGTGTCTACTGCATGCCTGAAATGTGGGTTTTTGCTGGTATTGATTGGATTTAACCCAAAGCCCAGTAAAATGGTCAGCATTAAGAAACAGTTTTATAAACAAACTAGAAAATAATATACCTTCTCCAAAAAAACCTGCCTGATTTAACTCTGTCTAGAATTATGTATTTAGTTTTAATTACTGCAAATTAATAAATTTGAGCAGAGTACTTGCAGATTTTAATAGTTATAGTGACTAGAAGCATGGACAAACTCCTATATGAAGACCTAGTGTGTGGGTCCTCATATGGGAAGGGGAAAGGGAATTCTTATTACTCAAAGACAAAACCATGAGGAGGTCAATCACTATAAAATCCCAGATGACACATATTAATTGAATTTGGTTTGATTGTTAATTTCTATACTACCACAAACAAATACATGACAAGGCCTGACTGAATGACACAGAATCATTCTTTAAAGTTGACAAGACACCTATGGACCATAAAGGTTTATTTCATCAATTCATAGAGGATAGTACCATACTTGGTAATTAAACAGCATTTGAAAGATGCTTGCACTATTCTTGAAGACCACAGAGGAAAATAGCGCCATTCTCAAACACTTCTCCTTCACCCACTGGTCAAATGAACACTGAGCAAGGAGTAGCCCGGCTCATATGACAACATGAGTTTCTTAATCTGTTTTAGCAATGTTGATAATGATAGACACTAGATGTTAAAAACCTAAGAAAGGCCTTTTACACGTGTATAGAAATGAAGACACTCCTGGCATCCTGTCTTGGTGACTCAGTGCAGAGTGGCAGTTACCTGGCTAGGTTGTCCCACTCGGCAGTAAATTTTTCCAAGAACACCTCCACGGCATTCATGCGGTTGTGGTACTCTCTTGTCCTCTGAAGGTCCTCCTCCCTTTGCAGACACAGATGGGCAGACTGGCGGCACAGGTCTAGCCACTGGTCATTTAAATGGCTGATCTCCTTGTGTTCAGGGGACTCCCGCTTGTTGGTTAACGCGTCCACCTTTTCCGTGATAGCGGCCACTGCTGCCTGTTTGTCCTGCAGTTTCTTAACAAAATCCTAAAGGACAACGACAAATAACTAACATGTAATGAACTCCCAATAAAGAAAGAGCAAAGCATAGATGGAATACGCCTAACACTTGAAATAACTGAAGAACGAGTCATCAGGGGCGAAGAGAAACTAAACATTATCATGCCTCTGCGTGTATGCAAATTCCCAAGTGTGTGAGGATCAAATGGTCATGGTGGCATTTTATTTCATTGTGTAATTTTGAATAGTGTAAAGAAAAACCAAGAAATGTGAAACAGTATTATATTCACTAAGGGAAAATTTAGTATCTTAACATGCTAAAGTGCAGCCTTAGTTCCCTAAAAACTTCTGAAGTTCATGCTTCTGAGAAAAGAAATGCCATCTCTTTTTATATCATCTTGTTTTTTTTCTAAATATGCAAACAATATGTCAGTAGCAGCTATAAATGACTCACTCTCACAGAGAAAAACATAAACCTTAAAGTTTGTTAAAAAAAACTGGTATAGCTTCCATCTGGTTCAAAACATCTTCTATTAAATTATATGGAGCTATAGACTAGTAATTATATGTCTATTTCATTTTAAATTAATTATATATTAATTAATACATATCTTGCAGATTACATGTGTATATAATTAATCGGTTCCCGGGCAGCCTGCAGTTTCGACAGTGTTGACTGATGATGACAGAAAGACGATGACTCACAGGGTTTGTGTGTGTTCAGCGGCAGAGGTGTCTGGCGCTGTCAGCTGAGTCACAGCTGCATCATTTGGGATCAAAGTGCAGCGTGAGTGTCTTTTGATGCAAGTGACCAATTGGAACTCCAATAAAACATCTGAACGTGTACTTTCTTTTTTTAATTGTTATTTTTCTATTTCGATTACAGCTGACATTCAATATTATACCAGTTTCGGGTGTATAAAATAGCGGTTAGACATATATGTAACTTCCGAAACGACCCCCTCGTAAGCGTAGTAGGCACCTGACACCGTACTTCCTTATTATAACATTACTGACTATATTCTCTCTGCTGTACTTCAGAGAAGGTTACTCTCTGATCTGTCCTTTCCTGGCACCAAATGAAGCTTGTCCTGACCCTATTTGATTCCGTAAGTAGCTATGCTAACGTTTAAGGATTGATGGGCACACACCCATCTGGGCCTTCTCTGCCTCCCCTGGAGACCCCCTGATTCCCACCTTTACTTGGGAAACCATGTTCTGGGCAATATTGAGCTCCAGTTCTGCGTGCCTCCGCTTCATGTTCTGCAGCTGCTGGTCGGCGTCCTGGAGGTAAATCCACAGCTCAGCCTTCATGTGCTTGACCTCTTCCCAGCCCTGAGTTAAGTTCTGTGCCTGGATGAGCCTTTCTTCAATCTCGAGAGAGCACAGAGCCCAAAGTCAGCAACAATAGACGGAAACACGCATGCTCAGTGAATTGGAGAGGCGACCCATCAGCCTGTCCATGCGCACAGGCTGACAGACATGCACACATGTTCATTCACATATGCATGCTCTGGGATACATCCACAAAGAATTCTCTAGTTGCTTCGAGAAAAGTAGGTTTTCTTTATATATTTAGGTTTTCGAAGGACTTTCCATGTCTAAGAGATGTCATAGGATTTTCATCAGTTTTAAAGAAGTTTTAACCATTTATCAGGTCAAAACTTGCCCTCATGGGTTTGCACATTGAGTGTTTTCAACATCTAACTCGTGAATTTAGTCTTGTAGTTAACTGGAAAAGACTTATATTGTTCTTTATTATAAAATTTAGTTATTTACGTGTTTAATATATTGGATCTGTTTCACTGGTTTTTGTAACCGTATAATTCATTTCAATAAATCATTTCTGTAAAAAATTATTTATGAATTATTGCTCTTTCATAAGGATTTAAAAACAGATTTGATTTGATAATATACAAGTGAAAAACCTACATTATTTTAAGACATTCTTGCTTTGGGTGGTTTTACTATTCTGTAAATATTTAATCAATTAAAAACCCAAACTACATCTTATTTTTCCTTTAAACCCCAAAATGTTGATTTTAAGGCAGCAGCACCAAACACATGGCCCTGTGCTGCCATCTGTCTGCCATGGACGGTACTGCTAGTTCATCACAGCATTTCCACTGAGGCCAGATGCAGCCTCAGAATCCTTCTCGACACCACACTCAGCCACTGCCAATGCATTCGTAGGTTCTTTGCCACCCCTAACATAAAGCAAGGATGAGGTACCCCCTGCATATTAAGTATTACCTAAAGAAAAAACATGGAAAGGAGAAAACAAAAAAATGAATGGAAAATAAGAAAAGAGAATAGAAATTAGGGGAAAAAAGAAGAGGAAAGAAGTATAATGATGAGCACATCAATGGGACTAAGTGTTTCAGTTTCAGTTTAGTGACATCAAGATCAGAGTGCGCTTATTTTTCTGTGACTTCGTAGAAATTCGAGTATCTGTCATAATCACCATAGGAAGTTTGTAGCAAGAAAAACTGAGGGAGATATTTTCTTTAAAAGCCACATCTAACATTCAAGCAAGAGAATATAAAACAACAGGCACATCCAATGTGGGTTTTAAACATGGTACCATTTCCTCTGTTTGTTGAATATCTTTTGCCGTGGTTTTCACAGAAGCGTTTGACAGGTCGCACATGGAGCACAGGAGGTCTAAGTAGGTCCTGGCCTGCTTCTGCAAAGCTCTGAAGTGCTTGACCTTTAAAAAAAAAAAAGAAAGAAACCCAAGGTACACTGGTCAGAATGAAAAAGATGCATGCTATATTTAGACCGCAAATATTTGTACCATTTGTACTATTGTGTTGACATTTCAAAAATAATTTCTCTGCGTTCGGTATTCACAATGCTTGTCGTAAATGACAGGTGTTAGTAACCTGTAGAAAGAACTCAGAACACACAGGCAGGGGCCTGTTTGACCATCACTTGCTCCTCGTTGTAGTCGAAGTCTGTGTGGTCTGGGAAAGGGAACCCCCCCAGAAACGTCTGCGATGTTTCCTGTGTCCTTGGCCCTTTGAACTTGTTTTCCATTTCAGAGAAAGAATCCTTACCTACTCTGGCCTGCTTCTTAGCATGTTTTTACCTAATCTGCAGACATGAAGGAAAAGGTCATTGTGGCCTTGAGGCTTCACTGGGGTTAGTGAAACTGCGGGTGGCTGGGTTCTTTCTTTCTGCAGAAAACTTGAGAAAGGCATTTGCAGGTGGATCATGAATCTATGCACACGAACACAGAGAGACAAGTTTCTTCGAAGGCAGATATGTAGGCTCTGTTTCAGATAATGGGCAGCACACAAAACTCGACCTTTGTTCCTGTGGAGCTTAGAGTCCCAGGAGAGGGACAGACAGCAATGACACAGCTGACCAGCTATCGGCTACCGCAGGCGTCAGATGAGGAGTGCCGATGGCCTGAAGGCAGCTGCTGGGTGGCAGAGGTTTTGAGAAGGGGTTCTCACTTGCTACATGTATAGACACATCGGGAAAGTGGTTCTGCCTGCTTGTTGTACAGGATAAAGTTGATCTACAGAAACATCAGCTGAATCTCCCAAGTCATAGTCAATAATGAAGCCTAATTTTTTCGCTCCAATCTTAGTATTTTTTCCCTCAGAATTATATGGGTTGCGAAACACACCATTCTTGGGTAGCTATAATAAATATAAGCCAGTTTTCTATTAATTCAGAAGTGACACCTATATTTTATCCAGTGCACCTCAGATGCAGCCTCAGAATCTTTCTCGACAGGTGACAGGTATTTCACCTTCCAAGTGACAGGTATTTCACCCCCAGTCGGTGCCAGTGTCATTAGTCACTCCACGTGTGCCTGTGACTCGGAGAGAGCGATCTATCCCGAACAGCTTTGGAAGTGAGAAGGGAATGAGGTATCGGATTTCTTATTTCATAAATATATTTAAAAATAGTAATGATTTAAGATTGACATTGACTTGATTCCAAAAGCCTTGGGAGCAGCTTACAGATTGTCAGTGACAAAACAGCTGCAGAAGATTCTTGCTAAAGTCAATTTCAAGGGAAAACCTGGCAGTAGGTTTTTCCATTCCCCCCAGTTCACATGGCGTGCCTTATAAAGACATACACATTCTTAATGGAATCACATTAGTGTGTCGTTTTCTCGTGTTCGTGGGAGGCATATTATCACTATATGTTTATTGTTTACCAGGTGAGGGACACAGTGCATCCTGGAACCCTGACCAAAATGCCACTGCACCCTGGCAAAGCCTGACCCCGTCAGACACCATCGGAAGTTGTCACGGTGCCAGTGGTGATATGTTCTAGTCACATATCCGAACAAGCCAGCAACTAGAGTCAGACTGAGATCTTATTTATAGAGGCACACCTTGGAGAGACTGCAAATTCAGTGAAGTGAGTATCACAATAAAGCATATCACACAAACTTTTTGGTTTCTTAGTGCATATAAAAGTTTTATGTACCCTGTATTGTGGTCTAATAAGTAAACAACAGTATTATGTCTACAAAAATGTACAAACCTTAATTAAAAAAATACTTCACTGCTAAAATATGCCAACCATCACCCAAGCCTTCAGTGAATCACAATCTCTTTTCTCCAATTTGTAAAAATGCCGTACCTGCAATGTGCAGTCAATTCAGCCCAACAGAATTGGGGTGCTGCACTTTTCTATCCCCAGCAGCCAGCCCAGTTTGGCACATAATAAGCACTTAACATGTTTTCATTGCATGTCTGAGTAAATCACATAACATGAACTTCCAGGAGCCCCTACCTGCTTCACGGCTTCTGCCCTGCTTGGAGGCGGGTGTGGGCTTGGCTTTAAGTCCAGCTGGACTGCAGAGAGCCAGGCCTGGCACTGCTGTAGGGTGTCTTGGCGGCTAACGTGCTTCTGCAGTTCATGTTCCAGACTCTGGTACACCTGAAACGAAATGACCGTGCTGCAGTTGTGAGCGCTGTCTTGTACCTCTGCAGACATCACTGGAATCAAGTGAGACGCATCCACCATTGTGTCCACTGAAACAGACGTCTCCCCCAGGACGCCCCAGCGTGATACGTGCATCTGTGAACGTGATACGTTCATGCACTCCAAAAGGTTGCACAGCACAATGGCCACCCCTAGTTTATAACTTCTCCACCCACATGTTCCCACATACTATCCTGATGAGGAAAGGAGAATGTGGGCAGAGTTAATGGAACTCTAAATTGTGTTAGAATACCTAACATCATTGAAGTACACTGTCAAACATAAATCAGAGTTTCTGTAGCTTCTCCATGATGGGATACCAAATGCAGTTTTGTATAAGCTAGAAACTAAAAGTGAAATGCCATGTCATGAAAAGATAAACAGTATTTCTCTGAGACACTTCTGCCTTTAGTTTGATATAGCCCCGTTTTTTAAAAGTTCTTCTTTATTTCTCTTGCTCAAGGAGATATATTGGAAAAAATATTGCTGTGAGGAATGGCTGAGAGTTTCATGCTTATGTTTCCTTCTAAAATTTTCTATGGTTTCAGCCTTACATTTATATCTTGAATCCATGTTGAGTTTATTCTTGTGTGTAGTGAACACACAGAGATAAACACAACAAGGTAGACAAAATGGGGAGACAAAGAAACATATCCCAAAGGAAAGGACAAGAGAGATCTCCAGAAAAAGAATGAAATGGAATAGAAGCAACCAAGTAGAAGCAACCTCCACTCCAAGGTGTGGAGTTCAAAACAACCGTCATAGGGGCGCTCGAGGACCTTAACGGAAGAATGGATGGTCTCAGCGAGAACTTAAAGAGACAGTAAGCATGAAAAAGGACATGGAATCCATAACAAAGAACCAGTCAGAAAGAAAGAATGCCATATCCAAAATGAACAATGCACTAGAAGGAAGGAACAGCAGGTTGGATGAAGCAGAGGGTCGAACCAGCAATTTAGAGAACAAGAGAACAGAAAACACCCACCAGAGCAACAAAAAGAAAAAAGGATTTTTTTAAAAAATGAAGAAAGTCTAGGGGACCTCAAGACAACATCAAGTGTAACAACATCCGCATCATAGGGGTACCAGACGGAGAAGAGAGAGAGCAAGGGATTGAGAACACATTTGAGGGAATAATGGCTGAAAACTTCCCTAACCTGGTATACTTAATTTTTGTTAAAAGGGCAATTCTTATCCATCTTAGACTTATTTCTATAACATTAGGGATTCCATTTAGTATAACTCTTTACACCCTTTAAAGTATAACTCAAAATTGATACTTATTCTTTTTATCAACTTCTACATGAGTGCATAAAAATATTAAATTAGAATAGAACCTAGGCTGCATAGAGTTAAAAAATAATTATTCTGCAAATTACAGATAAACTTATCTGGGTATTATGGAATAAGTGGAAAATTAGAAAAAAAGTAGTAGTGATGTTCAGTTAAAAATAAAAAAACAAAATTCAAATAAATTTGATATTGATTGATGAATAAAAGGATTAGGTAAAATCAATTATCTGAAATTCACTGCTTTGTGACATCAGTCAAATGTACATTTGTTCTGTGTCCACATAGAGACTGCAATCTGTGCTCCTGTCTGGACATACCCTGAAACTACCCAGGAGACCAAAGCAGCAACACTTTTTCACAGATGTCTAGATCGCACAGGCTTTCTCCTTGACTCACAGTCATCCCAGAACATGCCCGCGGCACTCACCCTCTGGGCTGTGCTGCAGATCGCCGAGTAGCTGTCCTTCGTGCCCTGCAGGTGGGCGTGCACGTTCTGTTTAAGCTTCGCCTGGAGGTGTTCTGCACACTGGCTGATCAAGTTGTCGCCTTTGATTTTAAGGTTGTTCAAACGGTCTTCAAAGCCAGCAATTTCTTCCATCGTTGCCTAGAAAAAGAAACAGAACTCTCATAATTCAATGTTTAGTCTCTAAGTAACCTATTTATTAAACAGCAAGCTTAAGATGAAAGTTTCACCGTTTAGTGATATTTTTGAAAGAGTTTTATAATTTATCTTGGTTCCCATACATAGCAAGTGAAAAAAAAACACATTTCAGGGATACGTCAATGGCCAGAATTAATGAATTTAGTAGATTAAGTTACATAGGGATGATGAGTTTCTTTAAAACTACAGTGGGTTCAAGGCTTATCTCAGCAGCAGAAATAGCTGCTCCCTAGTATTATTGTCAGAGAAAAGATATTTACAAAACTTTTAGCTCAATACATTATAATTCCAGTGTAATTTATATCTAAAATAGAATTATTATTTAATTTACTAATATCCAATGTATCTACTAATATACTATCTGATTTACATAATAATCTAACATCTAATGATTAAGTTATACCTAATTTACATCAAATAATGTATATATTAATAAAAATAGCATTTACCACTTACCATTTATTAAGCATCTGCTACATTCCAAGAACTATCTGTAAGTCCTGAGGAATGTGCATTATTTTCATTACTTTGCAGACAAAGAGACTGAAGCACAGGGAGGTTACATAACACTCAAGGTCACACAGCTAGTAACCGGCAGAGCCCCCAGGCTTTGGACCCCGCTCTGCCTGGCCTCGGCTCATACACGCCCCTGTCCCCACGTGTGCTCTCTAGTGAGCGTTCCCAGAGATCACGTGGGGACGTGGGGAAGAGGAACTGACTTTTTCAAATCAGGTTTTAATTCCCCGACGGCTACATGATCCTAAGGACAAGTGACACACTCCAACACAAGGTCGACACGTCAATATATCTACGGGAAACCTAGTGGTCCCTCAGCAGCCTGGGGCACGCCACTTTGCCAACAGTGTTGCACTGGTGGCTATCACATACACCATATTGAAAAGAACCATTTGGTCTTCGAGTTGGAATACAGTCACCGCATCGTGAGTTATTCAGGGTATTGCCTCAGTGCCTAATAGACTCTACCATGTAGTTAGTTTTCTATTCACATTTGCTAAATAAGCCTTTCTCCTACATATAGAAATCCTGAAACCCACAAGTGTTAACGGCTTTCCTAGGATACATACTGGACTTTAACTACCTCATGACTAAAATTCAGTTTCTTAAGGTCAGCAACATTGCTCCACTACATTGTGATCATATGACATCTGCTATCTGGCACATACAGTTACTGAAATATATATTAATAAAGATAAGAACACCTCATAGCAGTACCATAATTTGTGGCTGACAAAATGTTTTCAGAGGAATGATCTCCCATGATGCCCACACAGCTCCGTGATGGGGCAGGTCTCGTCCTTGCTCTTTACAAAGGACAAAAAGAAGGAGACTCAGAGACGCTAAGTCCTCCCAGCTAGACTGGAGGGAGTCTGGCTAGAATCCAGACTTTCTGATCACTATTCCTGTACCCTACCTTTGGCTACACTTTTCTAAATTAGAGGTAATCTCTTTGATAAATTACTCCATAAAGATTACATTCTGCAATAAGAAACTATTAGCCGGGAAGAATGCAACGATGTGTTCAGAGTTGAATGCCAGGATTCAACTATTACTGATTCACTTCAATATTGGATTTAACTGTTCTCAACTATTAGATCTCCTTGGGACTCAGACCTGACTCTTTAACTTCAATCACTATAATCCAGGGATGGGCGTGCACACACACACACACACACACACACACACACACGGGTAAGGCTGTGAAAGCTGCCCTGTATTCTTTGGCTCTTGGAGACCAGACACACCTTGTGGTGCGCCAGTTGCTGGGTGATTGTCTCCAGGCTGCTGGTCTCCACGAGGTCGGGTGCCACCAGCCTGCCTGACATCTGCAGCAGCCACTTTTCCACTTCCTGGAGCTCACTGTTGTAATCTTCGTGGTCTCTGACCTTCACCTCCAGGCTGTGAACGTGCTCCTGTGAAGCGAGGTGCCCATTACAGGTGACTCAGAAGCCCAAAAACTACTCAAAGCTTTTATATTTTGAAAAAAAGCAGTGCAGCTCCTAGGGTACATATATCACATAGAGTTACATATATCACACAATTATTAGGATCCCCCCAAAAAGTTACTATGCCATCTGAATAGAAGGAAAAGTACTGATGCATCCCAGCCCTTAAATTTTCCTGACAGAGCAAAAGGAGTCAGGACCCTCTTTGTGGCAAATACACACATTTTGCACCGAGTTTCTGATGTCTCCTTACCTTCCCCGCACGGCAGAGGTCCTGGTAATCACTCTGAAGCTGACCTATTTTGTCCTTCAAAGTACCGTCCTGCACCAGTTCCAGAAGAGCCTCACCTTTCTCTCTCACGGATTTCACTGATGGTTCATGGGACAGCACTGTTTGTTGAAGCGACTTGAATTACAAAGAGAAAAGAGAGCGGGAGCTCACCCGTGTGGTCAAGGTGAATGTACCATGAGATCTGATACCTACCTACTTTATAAATCTATACATGGAGAACATTAAAGGAAATGGTTTTTTTTTATGGCTGAGAGAGTTTTTGAATAGAGGGTAACACGTCCAATAGTGTGGAGAAAGAAGTATGGAAAAGAACTGCCTTTGGCTACATTTAACACAATTTCTATTTCCAGCTTCCAACCACGTTCCTTTCGGCAGAGAAAAAGAGACACAAAACGAGGTGCTGTCTTTTTATCTTGAGTTCAGGGAGTGAACTGCAGCCTGAGGCGCACATAAAGTTAGAGAAGCAAAAGCCAGCTGTGAGGCTGCCGTACAGGTCCACAGGGCTATTTGAATATATCAGGAATTCTGTGGTTCAATGACACACTGTGAGATTTGGTGGAAATGCCAAGGATTGGCTTAGACACAGCGGCTGGAGGAAGAAAAAGCTTCCGACAGGGAATGCCTTGGCATTGGTCATCACACAGTTCTTAAAGACTATTGCTGGATCACTCGGGTCAAATTTAGAGCACAAATGATTCCACATGCAAACTTCCATAATTGTTAAAAATCTGAAGAGGTGAGATATCTCTATCTATATCTTATAGAGCTAGCTACAGCCACACCATTTATTCTTTGAAAAATTAATTTCTAAGATGTTTAGCTATACTTGGTTAATTGGAACGTGTTTTCTTACAAATATGGTATCTCATTTTAAATTCACCATGGGTCAGTTTATAGGCCAAAGGTGAAGGGAAGACTCCACCCAAAACAAACCAAATCTACAGGTGTGAGATTCTGATGCTGGGAAGATGTACCTGGAGGAGCCTTGTACCTGGATCACACTGTGGGAATAGCTCTCCCTGTGCAGATACAAGCTTTGAATACAGGGCGGTGTGATTCCTGGAGGGCAATGTAACTTTGATGCAGTATGTACAGCTACATCCACCTACATCACTCACCCCCAGCAGGGCAGTGTGTTAGGGTTGTCTCCCAGCCCCGACTAAGAGTGACACACCAGGGATCACCTCCCTCCCACTCAGTCCCTGGATGCTGGTCCTGCATTCATCAGTGGGGAACCGTACACTACCTTGTATTTAGATAATTGAGCTTTTTTCTCATATAGTTCCATTTTGGGCTCTTCAGGAACATGTAGGATTTCTTGGTATTCTGTGATCCACTGAGTGAGTGCTTTGTATTTATCCGAGAACTCCTTTGCTAAATGAAGGCCCTTTTCCAGAGTCACGTGCTCTTTCCGAACAGTGCTGGTCAGCTCCTTCAGCTGCTCCACGTGACCGTGAATCTCGTTTCTTAAAGAGTCTGCCTCGCCGTCCTCCAAGAATTCCAGAGCCCTCTCTCCTTTCTCTCGGGCCGATTTCAGCAGACTGTGGCCTTTCTCCATGTCTTTTAGCAAACCCTGAGAAAGAGAGTTGAGGAGGGAGCAAACAAAATGAGTTAACCTTATTTCCTTCCTTTTAGAGAAAAAGACTTTCAACCCCATTCTGGAGTGCACTATTGCCCCTTAAAATATATTTTTGAAGTTTATAACCAATTTTGACCTGCCAGGACCCAGAAATCCTGTTTTATTTACATCAACATAGGTTTTAAAATGTCTCGATCAATAGATGAGTTCCAAACTAGTGACTTAAGAAAGGACTTGGTGTTTCTTTTATCCTCTGCAGTGTCCCCAGAGATCTGAGTTAACACTGTCAACACACGGTGCCATGAATTCTAGGATAGATTTTTTTGTCCTAATTTTTTCAAGTGTTACGTTGGGATTTAGTTAAGAATTGCATGAGCAGTCATGGCTGAGTTATTCAGATGAGATCACATCACCAGTAAATAGAAGGCTGCCTGTGGCCTGCACGAGATTAAGAGCTTAGTATTTGAAGGGAAGGGATGAACCAAGGGCCCCGCTTCATGCCCGCCAGGGGTGAGCCCGCGCCTCCCCAGAGCCGAGCGGGAGGATGGCGCAGACCAGTGAAAGGAGAAAGGTTGGGGGACAAGCCTGAGGCGGGCATACCTACCTCCAACGTCTTCATTTTTTTCCCCATCATTGCTTTATCTACTTTATCGATTTTGGCAGCCACATTCTTGAAGTTTTTATGAGTAGAGCTGTACCAATCAGAATAGCAACTTAGGGATAATTCGGCCTCCTCCAAACTCTGGATCTCTTCCTCCAGGAATTTTATTTGTTCCTTTGAGGAAAAAAAAAAAATGGAACGGTGGATTAAAGACCTAGGCCAGTGCCTTCATGAAAGGAAGGGGATGAAAGGAGGGGTGCTCTGGCTTGGGCAGCGTGCTGGCCGGCAGGGGGCAGCAGTGGCCCGCTCACCAGCACTTGGAGGAGCAGGGCCTGGTATCTGGAGGTCAGCTGCGTGGCCTGGCAGCCCAGGCGGCTGCTCACGTGGCGCTCGTCCAGGATCTCCTGCGCTCTGGCTCCCACCTCCTCCACTTCGTCCCTGCAAGAGGTGATCTCTTCCTGCCACTTCTGAAACGACGGGGAGAGTGTGCGAGGAAAGAAAGGGTCAGTCTTAGGCGCTGCTGAGTAAGACAGATGCGTGCATCTTCTGACTAGGAAATGATTCCGGTGCATGTTGAGAGTATTTTTATTCTGAGAGGTAATTTTGAAAATATGTATTTGACCTTCATAAAAATTGTATTCCAACAATGTCATAAAAATTATACATTCTTGATCTGGGCACTTTTTTGGCACTTCAGTTCAAAAACCGTAAAATTTTATATAGATATAACTGTATTAATAGGGCATGACTCCAGTATATGTTTAGATTGTATTTATTCTGATATAATTTTGAAAATGTATCATATACACCCTTTGTGAAAAATACAGTTACAGGGTAAAAGCTGTACTCGTTGAGTTTGAGTACTTACCTGAATATATTATAATTCTGTTCAAAATTTTTAAAGTAGAGTGGCATATTTTTATATCTTCTTTTGTACTTAGATCAATTTTAAACTAGAGGGGTAATGAAAAAAATTCTAAAGGCTTAAGCATTATTTTGATCATGTGCATCAAATTTGCATGAAAATCAGAATAAAACGAAATACCAAGTATTACTTCAATGCACTAAATTGGAGCAATCTCAAATCAGAACAATTCACTTAAATGATTGCAATACTAGCACGTATGTTCCTTTACAAAGCAAGGTCATAGGGTATAGGGAAATATAAAGTATTTCATTGAATTATATTTTATTAAAGGCAAATTTAAGATTCTGTTCAAAATTGCTGTTAGAATGCTCCATTGTCATTTATGTTAACTTTCTTTTCAAGCAGAAGATTTTGCAAAATCTAAACCTTGGACAAAAAAAATTACTAAGTATCTTAATGAAACCAGCTCCGCAAGGCAACTGCTTCTTGGACCACAGTCAGGAATTCGCACTAATTTACCTTCATCTGATGTAACTGTGTCTCCTTGGCTGCCCGGCTGGACCGACGTCCAGCCCTGAGACTCACTTTCTCCTCCAGCGTTTTCAGCCATTCGTCCACTTGCTGAAACTTTTGTTCCATCAGCCTGAGTTTGTTGACGATGTTATTGAACTGAGCTCGGGTCTCAGACAGTCTCTGCTGGTACGCCTGCCAGTCCTGCCGGAGAGACTCCAAAGCCCGATCCTCCGTCTGGGGGATGCCCGATGGTATCACCTCCTCCCTGGCGTGCAGCACAGAATTCAACAGCGCCTGCCCCTCGGCGCAGTGAACCTGCAGCTCCTGCAGGAGACAGGGATGGCTGTCACATGTCATTCATAATTTACACCTACCTGCAGGTTATCGTGTCTCACCCAAGCCAACGGTGCCATCGTGAACCTCATGTGAGAAAAGAACCATTTTATTATCTTATGCAAAACAACCTAACACGAAATATTATTTCCCAAGTCAGGAGAAAGGCTTGCAAATATTTCCTATCAAAATAGTCAAAACACATGCACATACAGATAACATACACATAGTAATATCTGTCTCAATCATCTTAGAAATAGTTTGTGAATTTTGACTCTTCAGCTTCTAGGCAAAACCACTTGTGATTAAAGGGCTATTGTTTAAAAGAAATACCTAGGCCTTTTATGGCTTGTAATCTGTTTAAAAAACGAAGGCTTCTTGCTTGACATTGAATAAAATCAGCGCTACACTTGTAATTCAGACAGGAACAATGGGCCCTCTTTTTGCTAAGAAGGGACACTTTGCCAGAGCCATGCTCTAGGGAATGTGTGGGCCAAGAAAAGTTTGCCTAGAGGGTAAAGGGAGGTTGAATTATCACAACTGCCAAATGGGTGCTCCCAGGGGCAAACGCGTCTTCCTCCACCAAAGCCTAAACCCGGAAGAATTACCTTACCAGCTCAGGATAAACCAAGTCTTGAAGAGCACCAACTACAATTTATGAAAAAGAAAAGCCCATGTCTTTTTTTTTAAAGATTTTATTTACTGATTTTTAGAGAGGGAAGGGAGGGAGACAGAGAGAGAGAGACATCAACGTGCGGTTGCTGGGGGTCATGGCCTGCAACCCAGGTATGTACCCTGATGGGAATTGAACCTGCGATACTGTGGTTCGCAGCCCGTGCTCAATCCACTGAGTTATGCCAGCCAGGGCTGAAAAGCCCATGTCTTTAAAGATATTGGCAAAACAACATGAAATACTTCCATCTCTTATGTTTAAAAAAATTAACGCCAATACTTGACCTGATCAACTAAAGTTGAAAGGAACCAACTCAAAACCCATCAAGTATGTTAAAAGTACAAACATTTTTAGATAAAATATAGTATTATAAAAGTATTTAATATCAGTTGAAGCCATTTGAAATTGCTGGTACCTGACTATTTTCACCTGCAGAAACAGCAACCTCATATGGTACAAACTAATGGATTCACCTTCCCTCAATAGGGTGTCACTTTCAAGAACGCTGCAGTGTGAATATGCAAGTGGAAGAGAACAATATATATGGTGAAAGAGTAACCAAAAGAGCCACAGACATGGAAATTTTATTCCAAAGTTCTTAAATTTTTTTAAAGTTAATTTTGTTCTTTTAATCTCCTTTATTTCAGGAGTTGGCAAACTTTTCCTATGAAGGGCTGGGGAGTACATATGGGGAGGCTCTGCAGACCACATGGTCTCTGTTGCATCTACTGAACTCTGCCATCGTAGCTCTGAAGTAGCAACAGGTGGTATGTAAATTGTTGGGAACCGCCCTGACTGGTATCAGAGGCTGAAACCCCCGCCAAGCTAAAGCTAAGGGAACGCCCTTGGAACCGTGAGCCAGCAAGGAGACAAAAGCTTATCTCCCTGGCAGGAATGCTGCTTCTGCTGCTTTATTCATAACTGAACCCCCAAAAAGCTTGGTCGGTTAGCCAAAGACGGGTAAGATTCCCCACGGGGGGAACGACCTAAGCCAGGCACGATCACTTTGGGAGGCCCCCCAAAAGAAGGACTTGGGGGGCTGCAGCAAAAGGGGGTGATGGACCCTCGCTCCTCAGCTTTGACATAGCCTGAGTTCTCATCGTCCGGAAGAAAATCTCCTTATCTCTTGGTTACCTAGTTCCCTTGCTCCACCTAAGCCTGAAACAATGACAGGGTGGTGCAGCTCGGTACTGAGAAGTGCGGATTTCCCGGGGTGATCAGGCCTAAGAATATGTAAATTACTGTGAAACCTCCTTTGTTTAGAATGCTCTCAGTTGAATGAGAAGGGTCTTAGGAGGAAGTTATTTTGTTCCTCAGTCTTACAGCTCTTTGACCCCAACTCAATAGACTGGCAGAGTTCTTTGTTTTCTATAGTTCCTTACTTCCCCCTAATGAGTACTGTACTTTGCCTGAATTATTATGCAAAATGAGCCTAATAAAAGCAGGTATGGACGGTAAATCAGCATGCTCCCCACTAGGGGGGGTGGCCATTTCGTCCCTACTTCCCCACAGAAACTAGCTTGTCTCTGTGCATGTGTTGTTTTTTCTCGCGTGTGTTTCGGCGAGCCATCCACAGCATTCCGTGGTCACTGCTGGCCGGTGACCCACGCGCAACAGTAAATGAATGGGTGTGGCTGTGTTTCAACAAAACTTTATTTAAATACCAGCATGGTGGCTGTGGGCCGTCATTTACTGATCCTCACCCTAAGTAATTAATCTCCCCAATATATCACCCTTTCTATACTCTATAACCATTTTTGCTATTATACAAATGACTTATATGACTTCTTTTATGGTCCATATTTTAAGTGTTCATCCTGAAGGAAAAATATGATTCAATAGTTTAAAAGTCTATTATGTTCTATTGGCCTTCGGCTTATACGAAACAGCCTGGGAATGTGGCCCACACTGCTGGCTAGCCATCCCCACACTGCCGCGTGTGTCTTGGGACGCCGAGATCCCGGAGACGGTGTGCTGGTGTGCTGTGCGGTTGGAACATGACAATTCTTCACTGCTTTTACCTGCCACTCTCATCTTACTTCCTTCTAAACTCTGTGATGACTCATAATGAGACAAAGTAAGAACTGATGCACGGCAAATTGAGAGGCTGGAGTTAGGTTTGGGCCGCATCACTACAGACGGAGTGAAGCATTTTCCTCTGACCCCAACGAGGGAAACATCTGCCGGAGACAAGGAACTTGTTGGCCTGGTTCCCACACAGAAGCCGAAAGAGCTCAGCATTTGCTTTTGCCAAGAGGGCCTGGAGTGAGGTGCCGAGAAGGGCTATTCAGCAAAAACAAAGCCGACTCTACTAAAATAAATTACGACAGCCAAGCCTGGCAGCCCAGAGTACCCTATGACCTTAAAGCAGAATGGATGGGTTTCCTAAATAAACTGTGGATCTACATTTCTCACCAGATTACAGTTCCTGGAAGGCAGCGATAATAATATTTAGTAATCGTTGCCTGCAGCCACTAGCCCAGTGTCTGCGCTGTATTAGGTGCTCAATAAATGGTGAATGAGTAAATAAGTGGTCAGGACCGCTGTCCCACTAGGTCTGCCATCTTGCCCGGAATCGCAGCCTGTTGCCTGGGCACCAGCACTCTCCAGCTCCTCTAATTCCCTCTTCTAGGACTCTGACCTTGCACCTATATCCTCACCGATGGAGATTTTGGTTGAAACCAGATGGCCCAAGATGGTGCCGCCAGTCTGACTTTAAGGAGTATCACATTCTATGGACTCTGGATGTTATGTCCCATGTCTAATTGAATCCTTTAAGAACCAATGGGCAGGCGGGCTAGTCAATACCATAAATTAGACCACCAGCCATTCCTGTCACAGACGACCACAGTATCTGAATAAATTCTTCAAGTCCCAGTCTCACCGGGCTTAAATTACTTACTAAATGAAGCCCAGGCTGGCATAGCTCAGTAGATTGGGCGTGGGCTGCGAACCAAAGTGTCGCAGGTTCGATTCCCAGTCAGGGCACACACCTGGGTTGCAGGCCATGACCCCCAGCAACCGCACATTGATGTTTCTCTCTCTCTCTCTCTTTCTCCCTCCCTTCCCTCTCTAAAAATAAATAAATAAAATCTTAAATTACTTACTAAATGATCTCGGCCAGCATATACTAGGAGGTTCCAGAATGCTCTAGATAAGACCTTACTAGAGTCTCATTTAAAACATGTATCCGATATGTATAGGATTCAAGGTCATGTTAACTTCTCATTGCTTACCAGAATAATTCCATAGTTAGAATGAAAAGTCCTTTGCTTCAAGATAAAACAAACTTTACCTGAAGACCCCGCAGTGCTGTTTCGTGAGTGTGGGTATCACCTTCAAGGACTGAGTATCGCTCCAGCTTTTCTCGTTCTTGCCCCAGCCACACTTCAAATGCCCCGAGGTCTCGCTGGTACTCTTGGTGCAGGCGAACCAGTTTTTCAGACTTCATTACCACATCCTGTTATTAGCATTTAAGACAATTAAGATGGGAATGCAATACTATGCGCAGTTTCAGTGTACTGTAAAAATTCCCTGTTGGAATTTCAGAAAAACATGCTTATTAAATCACTGGAAAACGGTTTCCTAGAAGAATGAAGATTCAAGGTTTATGCAAAAATACAAAAATAATATCAGGATTAAAAGAAGTTGTAAAGATCATTTTGTTGAATTAACTTCCTCATCTCTGAATTGCTTATGAAGTGTAATGTTGACATGCCAAAAAAGTGAATTAACTTTACTCGTCACAAAAATAGTGTTGCTTATGAAGAAAACTAAAATTCTTATATTATATCTTAAGTGAGGATTTGGGCTCACTGTGGATTCCTTTTTCCATGTACTTTGTCTAATAAAGTAGGATGTGCTCTGAGATGTTACTTTTATTTTATTTGTGAGGCGTAAATGAAGAATGACACTATTGATGGAGAGTGCCTGCTTTAGTAAACTCTCAGTACCAGCCACGCTAAAGCATTCATAAATCTTCCCTGTACATTTCTAGGGATTCTTAGTTGACAAATATTCTATTTCAGTAACGTTCATGTGCTAAAATATTTGAAGGTTTTTCTCTTGGTTTTGCCAGAGGTTTATCTTAAAGTGCTAAGATTTATTTTTCTATCTGCTATATCATTTTCTTCTATCTGCATTCATACATCTGTCATTTCCAGAAATCAGTGAGTCTTTAAGGAAGCGCTGCTCCAAGCATTCCGACTTCAGGGAGTGAGTCTCCAGGGAACACGACGAGACGTACCTTGGCCCTCTCCTGGATGCCTCTGTACCGCTCCTGTAGCTCCTGGAACTCTAACTGCGTGACGTAGTGTTCCGTCATGGCAGCCCCCTTGAGTTCGATGGTTTCCAGCAAGCTGCTGTGACTCAGCACTTCTTCATTTAATAACTAGAGGACATTTAAAAAATAATCAGGGAGTTCCCACCAATACCATTATATCACCCTATCGACGATACTGATAACAGTAAAGTATTTTAACTGTATAGTTGACAAGTGATCTCAGGCTATCTATCTGTGCATAGACCGATGAATGGATCCATCCATCTCTATACGTGTGTGTGCTTTATTGTTGGAATACTACTACCAGTAAAGATTTGGGAACACATCCCCAATACTTATCTGGGTATCTATTCAAAATTCTTCATATGTACCACTGTACTGATATGGGCCTTATGACAAATGCACAAAAGCAGAAACACAAAAGAGTGTGATGACAATAAAGCATTTTTACTTCCTGACGATGAGCAGGCTAAAGCTATTACAAGCTTCCAAATTTTAAATGGCCTGTGTCATAAACCATGGATAATTACGGTTTTCCCGGAAGACAGAATTTTCACTCACATACTAAAATAGCCACAAACTAAAGTCTAGTTTCAGAAGCCATTCGAATTTAAGCTCCAAATCCTTTTCGTCTGTGCAGAGCCCTGTCTCGTCACCCAGGTAACCACATTGCTTGCGCGCCTGCGGCATTGTGAAGGAGCCGGTGGCAGAACAGCCGGCGTCTGCGGTGCAGCCCCCACCTTGGCCTTCCCCAGAGCGGCCGCTTTGTCCCGCAGCTCCGCGTGCTGCCTTTCTGATTCACTCAGGCTGGCCTCCACACCGTCCATCCAGCCGGAGAACTGCCGCACGTCGTCCTGATAGTTCGTCCACTTGGACAGCGCTCCCTCCAGCTGACTGAAAGGCATTTGAAAGGTCAACAGTCTACACGGGGCAGCCTGGTCAGTGCGATCCCGGGGTGGTGTCCACTCTGTCCACTCCACCCATGGGAAGTGTGCACGTGGGCCAGGACGGGGCTGGGCCTGGGGGACCGGGGATGGCCTGGGCGGGTGAAATCTGGGTCCCTGGCAAGCATAGCTTCAGGAAGCCAAGGGCAGTTAAATCCGGGACAACAGGCAGAAAGTGGGACTGGATATATGAGACCTGGCGTCAGGGATCGGGCCCCAGGAGACACTGGGAAAAGCGTTGGGGCACAACCCGGAGAGGTCCACGGAGTGAGGCTTTTATAGAGCCGAGCACGACTCTGGGAGGGGAGGGGCTCAGTACTTAACTCCATCAACGTGAGCAGGACACATTCGGAGGAGAGGGGAGAAGGAATTAATAAAAGAAGGAAGGGAGAAGCGAGCAAGAACAAGTCCACTTTACTACCTTACATGCGATTCAAAATCAGAGAACTACAGTGGAAAAATAGGGTAACATATCCTGAATGGGTCTAATGATTAAAACCTGATTACTTCCCTTACAGACGAATGAAGGACTTCCCTCTCTCAATACGGAGGATATATTCTTAACTCCCTTGATCATTTGCGCCTGATTTTACTGCCACGCTCTGGGTGTTCCACCCAGGCGTACCCGGACCACAGCGCTGCAGCACACGGCCAGCTGTACATCCCCTGGCCGGCTCCCTGCCCTCTCACCCTGCGGGCACGTTCTGGACCCTGTGCCCCCTCAGCTGCATCTATGGAGGGCTATGGAGGGCTTTATCCAGCTACACAGGAGGGCTATGTAGGCAAGAAGCACCAGGGACTGTTGCCCCTGGGGGCAGCCTGCAAAGGCCCTCCTGACTCCTGGGAGCTTCTGCTGCCCTATTCCCCGGCAGGGTAACTCCCAGACACGTGTTCTGCTCTGGCTCCCAGCAATGCCCGGCAGGATTCAGTTCCAGCTGCCCGCATGCCTTCCTCATCTCCATTTCCCATTCCCTGCCATTCCCTGCTGGCGTTTCCCAGGGTGATCTCCCAAGGAAACCACTTGGCTTTAACTGATGTATCTTTACATGATGAAACATTTACCTGTCATTTGACTTTTTAAGCAGTGGAAATAAAAGCTAAACATGTAGTTTTGTATTAAAACAAGGCATAGTTTTGCAAATCACTTATGTGCAAGTCGGTTCTTGCCAGTTTCTTTGGTTCTAATAAGATGCAAAGGGAGGGAGGGAGGGAGCCAGGGGGAGAGACAGACAGAGAGAGAGAGAGAGAGAGAGAGCAAGCGTGCTAGCGAGTGCCTGCCCCAGGGACAGGGTGCTGCCGAGTGACTACATTGATCTGTCAGCACTGGCTCTGCAGCAGTGGGCTTTAGTTTCTCTTACCTTTTGCAACGGATCCCTGCAGACAGAAGGGAAGCCCACATGTCCTTCACACTCTGCAGCTGCTGCTGAAGGGCAGGGACGCCTTCTGGAGAGGTGCTCTGCAGGACAGACTCCCCCCTGGTCACGATCATTTTCATCTGGATCTCTTTTTCCTGTTTCACTGATAACAGGGCCTGTAAAAAGCAAATACAGAAGTCTTGCATCATTGGCATGTTGAACATCTCCGGCTTTAAATATTTCAGAGTTCCCGAAGATTGTAGAATGATATGCAATTGTGTTGAGCCTTAGATCTTTCAAGAGTGGGAGAGTGACCTGCTGGTGAGTGCCATTAGCCAATCACCTGTCACCTGCTGGTCTCCAAGTGGCCTTGGCTTTGCAGGTCTCGACACTTCTCTGCATCATCCCTTCTTTCCACTGAAGCTTTACCTTACTGGTTTTTAATACGAGAAGAATAGAGTGCAGTCGAATTCACGAATTCTCAAGGATCACAGGATGGAGAACTTGATAAGTGGTAAGGACTCTCAAGCCAAACAAAGACATGTAATTTATTGTATATATTAATGTATATATTTCAAGTTCTTCATAAGCACTCATCTTTTTCTACTTAAGAAGGAAGTCTGAATCAAAGTCACAAAACTGGGGCTATTCACTGAAGAGGCAAAGCTTCATCTCTCTCCCTCGTTTTGTTCTGGCCAACCTCTACAGATTCAGCCTCGGCCACTCACCGGCACCAATCTTTGCCGCAGCATGAAGGAGCTGCTGGCAATTTCTCACATGCCATGCTGTTTGTTTATTCTGGCTTTTGCTCATGTGGCAGCCTCCTCAAATATCAGTGTAGGTATCAGACTTCTTGAGAAACCTGCTCTGACGCTTAACCCCATCCCTCCTGCCCGGCTCCACTCTGCGTGTCTCTGGCCATAAGCATCATCCTATCTGCTGCAGTTGCCTCTGAGTTTCATCCTCCAGCACCTGAAAATGAAATCCTCGAGGACAACGATGGTATTTTGTTCATTTCTGGTTTTGAGATAGAATGACAGCTTCCTAGGAGACACGCAGTACATGAATGAGAGACGAACAAATGAAGCATCATCATTAATATGCGGAGGCCTCTAGCATGCCCCCTATACTGGGGACCTGGCCTGCAACCTAGGCATGTGCCCTGACTGGGAATGGAGCCAGTGACCCCTCGCTTCACAGGCCAGCACTCAGTCCACTGAGTCACACCAGTTAGGCTGAAGAATCATTCTTTTGACATTAATGGAATCTAGACTATGTTGGAGTGGGACAATTGGCTAAATAATATAGGCAGGCAAGTCAGTTGAACAGGTTCAAAAAGGTTTTGCCCTCTAAAATGTTTCAATGAAATATATCCTCAGAATAAATGTGTCAGTGATGTGATTTGAAACTAGCCTCTTAAGCAACCATCAAGCAAATAACCTTCTTTGGGCTGCTGTTTCATTTTTGGGAAGCATTTACGTGTGAACCTGTTCCAAATGATCCAGGCTGCTTAGGCTTGCCTGCCCTGAGCAAACAGAGCATTCTGAGACTCCCTGTAGCGAGACGGAGACCGAGCAACACCAGGCAGGTGGACACTGAAGGAACTTTGAGAAAAACAAATTCTGTCCATTAGAGATGTTTTTCTAAAAAGCGGTACCTCCAGCTTGAGCATCCTGCTGTCCAGCACACTTTTGTCGGACGTGGGGTGGCAGTAGGAGTCCAGCATGTGAACGGCGTCTGTCATCCAGTCTTGCAGCTCTTTCACCCCGAGGGAGAACTGGCTGTGCTCGGCCACGATTCTGTCCAGTCTGGACACTTTCTCCTGCGAACGACAGACACGGCTTTCCAGCTGCCCACCCCACAGAGACCTCACCGCCTGCAGCTACCCACACTGGAGAGCTAACCATTTGCTTTAAATAACAGTGACAGGCCCAGGTTCCCGGGCTGCTAAACCTATGAGATGTGTGGACTCTTCCTAAGTAGTAAAAGGGGGAGACTCCCTAGGTCAGAGAGCAGACAAAGTATAATTTACGAATACAATTTACAGTCCCTCAACTTCATTGCTATTCTTCTTTATGACTATGGTGACATTGTTTTTTCAGAATCAGTAAATATTTTTCCTAATACATTGCCTGGGAGATCACTCAAAGTAGTTTCTAGCTTTCACATAATCATATTTGGCTCAACGGATACCGCATGACTTACATTGTTAGCGAGAGATTTCATAATGTCACTAACATTTAAAAGCTGGGACCATAGATACGATTTTGTTTATTAATTATAAGTCACATCCAAACTAGTGACATTTATGAGTATGATTTTACAGCTCTTAAAGCACCCATACATCTGTTGATAGTTGGTATCTAAATATATACAAAGGAATAAAAAGATGCCCTTCAATTAATTTATTTTATTTCATTTAATCTTCATTGTATTTTTTCCATTGCAATGTGGTACCTTTATAGCCCCTGCCCCCAGCGATCACCAGAAAGACAAGTACCATATGATCTCACTCATATGTGGAATCTAATGAACAGACTGAACTAACAAGGAAGATGGGGACAGACTCACAGATGGAGAGCAGGCTGACAGCTAGTGAAGGGGGGAAGTCAGGGGGAAGAGAGACTGAGCAAAATGAAAAAAGGACTATGGACATGCCCTCAATTAATTTTAATTTTAGATATGAGCCAGATTTTCTAAAGACAAAAAAAGTAACTTATTTCATGTCTATTAGTTCTTTTCTTTCTTTTTATTTTTTGCTTCATCCCTTCATCTTTTTACTCAGCCCCACAACCCCCCTCCCCTCTGACAGCTGTCAGTCTGTTCTCTGTCTATGAGTCTGTTTCTATTTTGTTAGTTTATTTTGATCATTAGGTCCCAAATATGAGTGACTATCGTATGGTGCTTGTCTTTTCTGACTGGCTTATTTCACTTAGCATAATGCTTAATAGGAAAAGCATCTGTGTAAACATAGACTGTTTACTCCAAGTCGATACTAGTGTGATTGTGCCCACGGTGTCTTATTGAGGATCCAAATTAATAGAACCACAAGGGTGTCCACACTAAAATAGAAGGGATGCCAAATGAAAGAAGACTAAATTACAGGAGGACCCCTACATTCTAAGACCTGAATGCAAAAGACAAATACAGGGAACAAATGTCACAAGCCCCATAAAGCTTAAAGTGGGCTTGCCCCACACCATCTGTGTCACATCCGCCGAGTGCTCTAACTGAGACCTAGTGGGATCCCATTTACTTTTTTCTAAGCTGTTAGAAAAGAAATTTAATCGGCGAAACAAATCATTGTCAGTTTTGAGCTCTGCTCTGTGGATTGAACTAAAAATCTCACTCAACACACCCTTGGCCCCTTGACCCCTTCCTATGGAAGGCGTATAAAGAATTTAGACAAATGTTAAAAATGATCCCAAGCTCATTCTGTTTAGTCCACTAAAATTTAAACTGCTTTGAGTGCATGTTTTTCTAATGTAATTTAATCTGAGATTCCTTAGGACCCCGAACTGAGTTTTGCCTTATGTTTATGCATTTAGTTTTCAAAACAAAAGCTCTGAAGAACATGCCAAGTCAGTATAAAAGGGAATGTTTTGTGCAATCACAGAGATGGGAAGTCCCTTCCGTCTCTGCACCCTCCCTCGTTCTGTTTGGACAACCACACCGAGATGACGAAACACGAGTAACAGATTTTTAGGTTGCAAGGCTGGGAAGAGACCAGCAGGCCTTACTCTCCCGACCGACCGGGGCCTATCGGGCTGATGCCCTGCCCAGCCCCACTGGGACTCCGGCTTCGTGACATCAGTACCACACTCACACACAGCACATGGCGGGCGTTACCTTTGTTAGATTGCTTAGCGCTAGATACTGAGCAGACAGCTGCGACACTCTGTGCACAAAGCTCCTGCTGGCAGCTTGTCCTTCCCACAGCTGCTGAGCTTTCTCTTTTAGCCTGTGGAGCTGAGGCTGGTAGCAGTTTATTTCCTCAAGGACAGACTGAAAAGCACAAGCAAGTCACTATTAAGAAGCTGGGGAAAAGCACATCGCCAACGAAGGTCCGGCCCGAAGGACATGGAAATCAACGCCGGTGAGCCACGGGTGTGCCCTGAGACGCTATTACTTCCAAGCTACGCACAGTATGGACTGTAGGACACACAAAAATAAATTGACCTCAAAGGAAAGCCAGAAAACATAAAATCCATCGGAAATTGGGAGAGGGTACACTGTATCTCAAGACAGCATCATCTAATTCCAGGGTGCTCATTGGGCACCTGGACACACGGCGTGCACGGGATGGGGATGAAGGTGGGGCCGTGTGGGCCCAGAGTCTGGTCACCTGCAGCTTCTGCTGTTCTCTCCTCTTTGCTGGCAGGTCGTACAGGCGGGTGCTGCTCTCACGCACTGCCTTCTCCGTTTTGCTCAGCCAGTCCTGGACAGGCTCAGCACTCACTTCGAAGTCCTTCATCTGGATCTTGAGATTCTACGAGGTTTCACAGAACAGTGGGCACAGAAATACATTTCAATAGCAAGTGCAAACTCTTTCACTTGGCATTCAGTCTGGCCCTACTGACCCCCTCCCCTTTCCTTGCCCTGTTCCCAATACCTGGGGCTTTCCCTCCTCTCCCTTAGCACCTGTATAATTTTTTTAAGATCCTCTAAGAAATTTTTATGGACCTACTTTTTTCTTCAATTGTTGTTCAGTTATAGTTGTCCCCATTTTTCTCCCTGTTGCTCTTCCCCTGCATCGTCCAACTGGACCTACATTTTTTTAAAAATGAACTTTTCCGTAATTATCCAGCCCGCATCAGACTTGGCACCCACCTCTGTCACATTTGTTCCTGACAGTCATGCCTGCCACAGTCACCTCCCAGGGAGATGGAGAGCCACGGGGATACTTTAGAAAATTAAAGGTGTTGCACAAAGTAAGATGCCAAGAAAGCTTCTAGAGTATCTACTCAAGTTTAAGCTTCATGAGGTCAGGCATTTGGTTCTGTTTTATTATTCTCTGCTGTGTCCCCAGAGCCTAGCATGGTCCTTGGCAAATGGAAGGTGCTCAGAAAATATCCACTGAATAACCAAATAAATTAATGAATTCAAGGCGTTTCCATCTCCTTGCTGTTGGAGTCTCGTGGGGCCACCTAAGTGCAAACTAAGGACCATGATCGGGAATTTAATTCTGCAGAACTGAGGAGCAGAGCCACAGGGGGGTAGTCAGAAATATGACACAGAAAGTTGGGTTCTTCGTCTAAGGGGTGAAGTCACAGTGTCTGAGTGAGGGGCCTGGGAAACAGGATGAAGGCAGCTTGATATGAAGTCAAGCAACTCCCTGCGTTCCTCCCATATACATCCCCTATATACTTCCATATACAAGGGTGTACAGGCCTCCCGTTAAATGCTCATTCTGTGTGCTTTTCCCGGTATTCCTCCCAGGACTTCAGTGACCACCCACAAACTCCTACACTTATAAAATGTATTGATACAACACTTTAAGTCAGAGTGCCTGGCTTTGAACCTTGCCTCCATTGCTTACTAGCTGTGAGAACTTGGCAGGTTATTTAACCACCTTTTGCCTAATTTCCTCTTCCACAAAATAGAAATGAGAGCTCCCACCTCAGAGAGTGGTTATGAGGATTAAACGCGTTAATATGTGTGAAGTGTCTACAACAGGCCCAGCACTGTAACTGTTCAACATCACTGTTACACAGCTGTACCCCTCTTTTGAGCTTTGCACTCACTTTAACTGCCCCTTCCCTGGCCATTACCCCATGCATGTCTTGCAAATACATGGAATTGAACATATATTAAGTTGAATTAATTTCTGCTATCCCTTCCACTACATTCGTGCCTCAGTTAGTGACATCACCATTCATGCCGTCTTCCAAACTATGAACTAAGGACTCAAACTTAACTTCTTCTCTTCCTTGTGCCTTTATCAAATTAGTTACCAAACTCTGTTGTGTTTTGCCTTAAAAGTAAGTCTTTATCTAGTACTGTTTCCTTGGTTCGGGCCTTCATTTCTCTCATCTGGGCCATTATGAAAGCTACTTACTGTTTCCCATGATGGTCTCCACTGTAGTCAGAAAGTTGGCATGTTTATCTCCAGCTTACAGACCTATATGTTCCTCACTTAACCTTTTACAGCCAGAATTTTGAGATAGAATTATGCCCTAGTCTCCTAAAGCATCCTTTATATGCAATGAATTAACCTCTCCCTTACGCATCTAGAATGGTACATGTTATGTTCCGTCCTTGGGAAAACTGAGGAAATAAATGCTCTCCTGGGGTTCAGATAAGGAACCCCAGTTGCAAGGTCAATTTGCTTAGTATACACAGCATTTCACTCTTTGGCTCTAATCTCCACCACCAGTCTTTCTTTGCCACTCTTCCCCCCAAACTCCATGTGGATGTCAAACTTCTCAAAGTCCTGTTCATAGGGGGCACTCCTAACTCCCTGCACCTGCCCATTCAAGTCCTTCTACTTGAAACACACATCAGCCTTGGAAAAGTTAAAGAATGTTTAGCCTTTAGGGTTCAGTTAAAATGTCACTTCTCTGAAAACCTTCCTCAACTACCCTTCTTGGAGTGACTGTCGTATGCTGAACATACCTGTATTATTGTAATCATCTCTTTATATACTGTTTTTTTTTCTCTAGAAAGTGAGTTGTCTGAGAACAGGAGAAATAAATAAACCTCTTGTATTCCTGACATAGTGCCTGGAACATAATAGGCAATATTATGTGTGTTTTACTAATAGGAAGGAAGGAAGGAAGGAAGGAAGGGAGGGAGGGAGGGAGACATGGAAGGTAGGAAGGAAGAGTATTCCTGACCTATTCATTTACTCTACCCCTGGACATCTCTTGAATTAGATAATCTCACTGTAATTGCTGGATATACTACCCTCAGTAGCAGATACTTCAGAGCCCAGACCACATGGCATTAACAGTCCCTGCAGATGTAAGAGCAAATTTCTAGGCACTGCACAAATAATTGTCACTCCCTATTAAACGGAGGCTGCCTGTCATGAAAGAATAGCCAGCACACAGAGGAGAACACGGTGGTCTTGGGTTAGGAAAGAACTGGGGAAATACACATTTTCTTTTTCTAGTATTCATTCTCTATTATTATTTTTCCCATAGTTATAATCAAATTAAGTATCTATTTTGCCAGGAAGAGTTGTTTTAAAAGAAAAAACTATTCTCTGTGTCTCTAAATTTTCCTCCAACAGAAGAGTTAGTACACAGAACAGATGGTCTCATGAGGAAAAAAAAATTACATTGTGGCAGTAATTATGTTATGGTTAAAATAAATTCAACTTATGTTGTGTCTAGATAAAATGAAATTGTATAAACATTGTCTGTTTGCACACTTAACTCCTAAAATGTACTACTTGATATTTGCATTATTTAAAATATGCCTTCTCATCCATAGCATTTTGTAGCCTTACAGAGATACTTCGGCTCATTCTCCCAGAACAACTTCCAAAATTAAGGGATTTCAAGTGAAAGATTAAGTGACACGCTTAAAATAAAAGCCAGCTGTTTCTTATGGTCTGTGATAAGAGCCCCTATTATCCAAGCTACGTAATTCCTAGTGAGGCTCACACTTTGGACATCGAGCTGTTTCTGGGCATTATCTAGCTATCCATTTATCTTTAGAGAGGGATGACCCAATCGTTGACAAGGGCACTCGGGTATATTGGGAGTGTGGCTTAACGAATGCCACCATCACCAACAAACCCAGCAGAATATGTCCACGTAGTTGGTTACATTATACCTCCAGGGCAGATTCCTTTTGGTGAAGATTTGAATGAAACTTTTTCCAATCTTCTTTTGAATTTGCCATTTTGGCCTGGATACCATTGGCTTTCTCTTTGGTCAACAGAGCAGTCAGAAGTTCCCCTTTGGAGAGCATCACGTTTAGCTTGTGCTGGCCGTTTTCACTCTCCGACGAAAACTCCTGCAAGGAAAAACGTGAGACTGGGCACCATAACGTCCTCTCTGCTTTGAAATGCATGGATTTTTCTACCTCTTTCTCAGTAAAATCACAGAGAAGGAATAAGCAGTTTTTATCATACATATTAAGTGACTAAGGCTCTACTACCATATCTGATGTCGTTACTACAAAAATTAAATGAAAAAATCTGCGTAGAGCGCTCAGGTATGGTGCTTGTCACGCATTCCCCGTTAGTGTATATAAAATAGCGTACATTTATATAAATGGACTCATTTCTCATCATGTCCACAGTCGACTGTTTTAAGCAGGGATTTAATCCTGAAAGTTGAGTTTCTTAAGCAAAATTTTAATACGTGTCTAAAATGATCTAGAGGCACCTTTTTCATTCACTTAAGCGCCATCATTAGAATTAATAACACTTGTACCTGTATTTTCTGAAGACTTGTTGAAACTTCATTCATATTTTGAGGTATATCAAAACACTTGGCGGTGGTGATTTTCGCATTAACCAGCCACTGCTGGAAATCCTTGAAGGCTCTTCGGAATCTTTGCTGTAAAATCTGTTCTTTGTTCTGACAGCCCTTGGATGCTTGCAGACAAAGACTGAATCCATGGTTGGAAGCGTTTCATGGGAGGGAAGAAACAATAAAGGAGACTAAAATAATGTTTGATAGAATCAATGATTCTTAGAGTATGTGTTCATGTCATTTAGTGGTGTATTTAATGATGAATTTATATTAATATTGAAATCAGACCTTAACATAGGCAAACCTCTGGCTTCTTATTTGTATGAAAATATTTTGAATACCAATTCAGTTCGTGCTCACCAGTTATATTCTTTAATCAAGGCAGAAACTTTTCCACTGTATGTACTCAGGTCTCTGGAAAATCGACAAAGTTCATTCAGCTGAGACTTGAGCTCCTCTGTCTTAGGCTCTGCTTTGTGTAGAGCGTCCAGTATCTCCTATTAGGAAATAACAAGACGGAGGGGTAAGCATGTGAATTAGGTAGTTTCCACATCTTCATACTATAAATGCATAAACCATATTTAAACTTATTGGTGAAGGAAGAGCCAACGTAGATTCAGGAAGGAAATGAGGCCTTATGTCAGGATTCCTCTCTGGCAAATAACACCACATGGCTAATTCGCATCCTCTTCTAGGCCTGGATGGGCAGGCACTTTAGCGTGCAATGTTGTCAAAAAAGTCACGTGATCAAGTGGTCAAGTAACTTAAAGTAGGGTGAGAAAAAGAAGAGAAAGTAGCCTAAGTCGTTTAAAAACAGTCTGATTAGACCATCGGAAAATATATATATTGTTTAAAATGAAAGAGAAATCATTTCAAAGGAAAGCACCACTTATTTTTGGTACTTATATTGCGGCCATTGACTTTTTGTAGTATGTAAAATTAACTTTCACATTAAAAAATTCTTATAATCCATAGGTTTGATTTAAATAGTAATTCATTTATTTCATACTTTCATTCATATAGAAGCATGAATGAAATATTTTCTAAGTGGCTGCCATGTGCCAATCATTTTGCTGAATTCTGGGATCCCCTGCCCCAACATGACTAAAGGTATGAGGCACGTGAATAATCACAGTTCTGTGAATATCTAATCCAAAATAAAGTCTTGGTGCTTGACAAATGCATCTCTGAAATGAAGGCCATGGTCCACAGAGTTACACAAACGATTGTCACACAAAGAGCAAATGACACCCTGGGTGTCAAACACACAATTTCTAGCTCATTAATGAGTGTCTTATAAGAAAAATTAGCAAGTCAACGACTTTCAAGTATTTAAATGGGAGTGTGTGGATAATGGTGTTGCTAAGGTGAGTAATAAGAAGAATAACTAAAGAGGAGGGACAAAAAGATGAGTAACTACTCAGAGAGCTGTTGCCGTTACTATTTTTATTCTCAGAGATATTTATCGTGAGACGGCCTAGATTTGTAGGAAAACCACACCTCGAGACAAACCAGGCCTGTGTTTCACTCCTCATCCCAGTCAATGGCACCACTGTCCACCTTATCGACATCAGGAAAGCGGGCATCGCCCGGCCTCGCCCGTTTCCCTTCTCACTCCATGCACGAGCTAATGGTGTCCGATCTGGTCTGCACCGTGGAGAGCTCTTTCAGTCAGCTACCTTGGCTTCTTGACTCTCACAGCCTCCATTGACACGTTTGCCATTTCTTTCCAGAATGGCACAATAGCCTCTTCATTTGAAGCCTGTTATCTGGTTTTCTGTCCTGTGCTTTCTCGTTCCTCAGTAATTGTGTGCCACCATGCCGTTCCTCCATCTCACAGATCCGGCCAGTGGGTAACTGTCCCTCTAGACTCAGCTCAAGTAATGCCTCCCCTAAGGATGCCTTGCCCTCCTTCTCACCTCCTAGGGGCTCTCGCTGAGAACGCACAGCCACCTCTTGGCACTCACTGCTGCTGCGTTCCCACTGGTTCTGAGTGTGTTGGCCTTTCCACCTGGACCGTGGCTCCGAGAGGAGAGATGGTGTTTTCTTAGCGGTAAACTTCTTTATTTAGCTGAGTGCCAGGCTAGAGACCTCTAAAATATTTTTATTCACAGGATTCATAAATCATACTTAGGAAGTTTCTCTCGGAAACTCCAGCTGCTAAACTAGTAACTGCTTTTTTACCTCAGATTGAATCTTTTATTCAAGGAGGAGCATTATGAGAACCAAAGCAACTTACCAAAGAAGTAGGTGAAAAACCTCAGAGACTCAAATGAGTCACTTGTCTATTAGGTGCTGTCAAAAGTGAAAAGTTTTGACCAAAATTTTATACTAATTTTTTTTCTAAGTTCCCCATAAATTAAAGGATATTATTGGAATCTTCCCTACACAAATATCAGGTTCTATACTTCTGTGTCAGTTAAGTCCTGGAAGGCATTTTTCTCCCCCTTAGAGGTTATGCAGGTTAAGAAAACTGCTAAATATCCAACACTCATTGCCCATGGATATTAAAAGACAGGAGTTTTGCCAATACAGTGAACGAGACTTTTTTGTGACACGATTTATAGAGTTTATAGATAATAATCCATTTTACGTTTTAAAAGATTTCTTGAGAGTCAGCACTGAATTGCAGAAGGGAAGGTAAGTGCCGGTGAAGGCTCATGATTGTGACTATGATTGCCAACAATGACAAGCCCTCCCCAACAGCAAAACAAAGCCACGGGAGCCCTGGCAAATTCATTCTTCTGTAAAGCTTTCCCATGCATTCATTGTAGCGGGAGTACTGCCTCTATTTTTTAAACACCTAAAAGATTACTTCCAGCTTTATTGAGGTGTGATGTACACACAACATTGTATGAGTTGAAGGTGTCAAATTCATGGCTTTGGCATGTTTGTCTATTACATTTGTATGATTACCACCGTAGCACCTTGAGCCGGCACCTTTATCCCACCACATAATTATAATTTCTTTTTTATTGTCGCCATTATTAGATAAAATGACATGATTAAAATAAGTAGTTTGAGTATTTAGAGGTAATGTAGTATTGTCATCCAAAGCCCAGGCTCCAGAGCCGAACCTGGAGCTATGTGTGAGCAGGGGCTGTGGCCTTTGACTTGCTCGCACTGTTAAAAACCTACTTTTGCTTTTGCATTCCTTTTTTGCAGGCCTCACCTATTATTCTCACTAATAGTATCGATATTAAAAAATAACGATGGCTAAGAATAGTACTATAATAGAAATGTAATTTAAATATACTACCAAATCTTTACAAAATCTCACCCATATTAATGGTAGGGAAAGAAAGGGAAACAAAATCAAACTAAAACATTATAACAGATTTTTTTGCTATCAGAGTGAATAATACTAACCACAGGAAATCACTACCAACTTCTTTGTCCCTGTTTTACGAAACAGCTTTCTATACTTTATTCTGGTGTTTAAGCCTAAAGGACAAGAAGGGCATCCAAAAATATATATATAACCTAGAAACATTATAAATGCTATTATAAAACAGCAGAAAGAGACGGCTATAGAGTTTTCCTTTGTGGTGTGCTCCATCTGTTCCGAAAACTTGATGGAAAACAAGACAATGTTGGAAATACTACATGAGTTTCTTACTAGCTGGAGCTATTTCGAGACGTTTATAACATAAATAGACAGAGAAGTTTACTAAAACTTCCTTTTAAGGACGTCCACGATTCAGAGCGTTATTAAGCTGCAAATATCAAAAGAAAGTCTTTCTAAGATAGCATTTAACAGTACAGAGATAAAGAGGATCTTGAGCTTCTGCCCATTCTTCACTATCCCTTTCATGCTTCCTTTTCTCTCATTCTGAAAGGGCTGCCATTAGTTTGAAAGAAAAAAAAAAATGTCCGGAAGGCAGCCCATGAGCATGACATAGGAGTTCCGAAAACGGGTTAATTCCAGCACAACTGTCAAAACGACACACGGGAGAGCTAATCAGGGTGAAAACTATTGGTTGTGCTTTAGGAGATTACTGGATGTTTCTTTCAAAGCTGTAAATTCAATCATTTAATTGTTGTAAATAATTCACTGGCAGGAAAACAGCTGTGACTCTCCGTCTATTTATGCCTCTGCCCACAGGCCATTTTTCAGACTGAATGGCGAAATACAGTCTTACAAACTCTTACACCATAAGAATGAAAGTGGAATATTTCCACTCACAATAACTGTTTTCTGGGGTACAGAGTAACTTCTCTCCTCTTTCTTTATTTTTGCAATAGTTTGATTTATGAGAAAAGGAAACAGATCTGATTTGCAAATATAATTAGAAACACTTATTTCTTCCAAGTCTGAATGTTCTGTGGTTTTAGTTAGCAAGGCTTTTTTTTTTTTTTTTTTGTAGCAACAATGAGAACCAAACCATATTTTCAGTACAACCACCAACAGCCGCCAGGAAGCCAACTTACTTGTCCTTTCTTCCAGCACTGCACTATCTCCTTGTCCGTGTTCTTGCCCTCCAGGGCGGCTAGCTGCTGAGCCCACGATGTCAGAAGCACACTGAACTGCTCCAGGGCCTGCTCCAGTTCGGCCACTTGGCCCGAGAACTCCTGCTCCGAAAGGGCCATTTGGCTCACCAGGCTCTCCAGGCTGGTCTGTGTGTGCAGCACGCCGTCTTCCCACTGCTTCCAGTCGGCGCGGAGGGCCTGCATCTCTGAGTCCATGAGCTCGCCCCCACCGGCCGTTGTATTCTGTTTCACTGCGGGAGCCAGTGTCTCCACTCTGCTCAGGCGGCTTGCCCCGGTCTCTCTGGAATCCATCAGCTCCTGCGATGGAATGTCACCATGGTAACCGAGGAGGCTGAGTCACAGCAAGTTTCCAAATATGTACAGAGGGGGGACCCCATCCTGCTGGGAAGTTTTAGCAAGTGTGCCACAGGGAACCGGAATCGATCCATCCACCCACCCCTAAGTTATAACAGCAGATAATTCTCATCCTTAGCACCAAGGCTTGTGGCAAAAAAGTAAACTGTGGAAATCCCAAACATCCTGAAACAGACGAGACAGGGACCCTGAAAGCTGGCATTGTCTGAATATGCAAAACTGTTCTGGTGGTAACTTAAATATTTGTCTATGGTATATTGCTTCTGTAAATATGCAAACCCATACTTCTCCCTACATCAGCGATTTTCAGCTTCTTTTTATCTCATGATATGCATAAACTAATTACTAAAATCTGTGGCACACCAAAAATATATTTTTAGCTGCTCTGACAGGAAGATAGGTATATCTGTGATTCATTTACACCAGACGGCTATTGCTGTGTTGGCTGTTGTCATTTTTTTTTTCTGTGACAATCTAAGGGAAAAGAGGTCAGTGTCCCTGACTAAATAGACAGGTATGACATGTTTTAAAACTTCTTGCAACACCTGGGTGGAAAATCGCTGCTCTCAACTGACGGGCAAGGGGACAAGGAGCACAGCGGGGCTGGGCTTTGCCCGGGGTCTCTCCCCCATTCCCTGTCGAACCCTTAGATCTAGATACTCACAGTTGGCTTTCACGCGTGATGTCCGAGAAGTTAGAGTTCAGAGAGTATCAGGTGTCGAAAATCAGTTTCCCAGTGTCCTCCCCACTGCATCATCCCCGTTTTCCTCGGCATTAAAATGGGGTGTCTCGCTATCTGCCATCACTAACTCCACTCACCCCGATTTTAAATAAATTAAAATAATCATTTTAAAGTGTTTTGCAAAGGCTTTTACATGTATTCCCTTGTTTCATAGTTAAACTCTTTAAAAATATTGCATGAACATACCCACCCATGTATACACACACACACCCTCATGCATACATGCATTTGGATTTGAAGTCACCTGCTCTCAGTGGTTACCCCCAGAGGTGGGCAGGGGTGACCCTGAAGGACACCGGAGGCGCTTACTTATTTCCCCTGGGGCTTCCCTGCGCGCACACGCCGGCCTACACCCAGGCCGGACCCGGACTCAGAGATGCTTCACTTCCCCCTTCCCAAACTCCAGTTGCTTTCTGTCAGCAACTTCTCCCACATTTCCTATATTTTTTAATTATTTTATAAAAGCTTTTTTTTTTAAAGCATTTGGCAACCCAGGAAGCAGCCTTGTAAAGGCATTGTCTTAATCTTCTCCTTTCAACCTTTCAAAACGCTAGTCTTGCCTTGTCATCTCTGATTCCACCCTACCACTCCCAAAGCCACGTGACTAGTCTCGCCCCTCCCCGTCTGTGGGAATAGCTCAGTGGCTGCTGAATAGCCTGACTGCCAAGTCCAGTGAGCATTCTTGATCCTCCTCCTAATGGCTGCCTCTTGCTGCTTCTGGGGTGGGGGCCTCCTTCTCTACCAGGGGGATTAGGGGTGCCACACCTTCCTGGTCCTCCTCTTATTTCTCTTGTTCTCCCTCTCCCTTTCCAATGCTCTTCTGTGGCCCCTTAAATGTTGGTAGTTTTGATTCTGTGCCCCTCATTCTGCTTGCTTTATATGTAGGTTTCGGTGTCATTCGCTCTGGTGATTTCAACTACTGATCATATGCCGACCATTCCAATTCTGTGTCATCAATCATCAACCCAGTCTCCTAACCTGGATTCAGGCTTGAACATCCATTTGCCTCCTAGACATCACCACCCAGCAGTCCAAATTCCATCTGTTCACAATCAAACTCCTTCTTTTTCCCGCTGACTATAACCCGTCTCCTCAGCCTACACTTGTTTTTTGTTTTTTTCGAAGGGATATAGCTTTATGGACTCTGGGTAATGTCTTGACCATCACTCTTGACTTTTAGTGCATTATCACTCCCTCCATAGCCAATTAAATCACTCATTCACCAAATTCATTGGATTTTGTATGTGTCAAGCACGATGCAAAATCTTTGGTGTGCATGATCTAACTTAGTCCCCAAAATTACTTTATGAGGCAGGTACTATGGTTATTCTTATTTTATCAGTTAATACGTTGAGGCTCGAGACACCATGTGACTTGCTCAAAGACACAGGTAAACAACCAGTAGAAGCAGGCTGCAGCCCTGGGGTTTTGGTCCCAGAGCTTGAACTCTGAATGCATGGCGAGCTGCCGTTACACTTAGAAGACTATTTTACAAACATCAGTTTGCGCCTCATCATTCCCTACTACACAGGGAGTTCCCTGCGGGATCCACAACACTGGCTGCACCAATGGGTGGAGGGAGGAGGACATTGAAGTATTACTGAGAAATACGTTATGCGCCCTCATTTAAAACCTCACAATCACTATAAGATTCAAATAAGATTAGCCTGTAGAATGAAATCTTCACATTGTCGTTTTTACTGTTATTACCATTATCATCATCTATTGTTTTCATGGTTTTTATGATCTGATGTCCAGAGATTATGGTACAATTTGAGCTTTAAATTCCTGACCACAGTTACACTATGGATACTCAACATTTCCTCCTCTAGCTAACCATTAAGGATTTCATCACTGCTTAATTTTTAGATTAAAATCTATTACTTTCCATGTGAGGAAAATTATTGCAATGTATCATAATATTCAAGCCACTAGAAATGACTAAAATTTACTAACATCTCTAGTTCTCTGAGTTGTGTGAATTTTTTTTGTTATAAGTTGCCCTTATGGGTGATAATTTTAATATTCTTTAAAGTACTGATTTTCATTATGTTGTTGTACTGTTAGGAAAGCTGAATAAAACATCTAGAATGACATATCCAAGTTATTGTTCAAAAGCCTTCAACTAAGTTATTATACATAATTTTTTTCCTTTTGTTCTAGAAGAAAATACCCAGTTTTGTCAGCATTCCAGGCTGGCGTATATTTTGAATTGCCCCCACCACAGCAGTAAGCACATTTGCATGGAGAAGCATACACAGACAGTGCTTCATTTGCTCACAGTGCAAGCTGTTTGGAATTCCTTTCCCCCCTCTTGTTTATGTTTAGAATTTATGAGGTGCAAGGTAATAAACCCCAACAACAGAAGAAAACATTTTAAGTAACAGAATTAAATCTATAGAGTCTTTATAACAAGAACCAATGAAACAGTGAAGTTACAGTATCTGTCCATTTTCTGACCTTAATTTTAGACAACTTTTTCTGGGTGGCTGATGAATCTCCAGACATATCTGACCACCGATTAAGTTCTTCCTTTGCCGAATGGAGCCAGTCTGTAAATTCTTGCACTGCATCCAAATACATTAGATGGTCCTTCACAATCTCTTCCACTCTCCTCATTTTCTCCTAGAAAACAGGGAAAAGGCTACTTTAGCAATAGTCACTGCTGAGAATATAAAATTGGACAACAGTTTAATATATTTTTTAAAGATTTTATTTATTTACTTTTGAGAGAGAGAGAGAGAGAGAAGGGGAGGAAGAAAAAGATAAACATCAATGTGCAAAAGATACATCAATTGGTTGCCTCTTGCATGCCCCCAAATGGGGACCTGGCCCACAACCCAGGCATGTGCCCTGACTGGGAATCGAACCTGTGAACTTTTGGTTTGCTGGCGGGCATTCAATCCACTGAGCCACACCAGCCAGGGCTGATATTGGTTTTTTAATGATCTCAGAAAACATCATTCTAACTCTTGAAGTTTCTGTGTGTTTAATGTCTTAAAGTAAAAATACTAAATCTTAGACTAAAAAGACTTGGAGGCTAAAACCATTTTTCCTATAATTTTACTTTTGCCTAGCTTTGCATAAAAATCTGTGCTTAATAACTGGTAACTAACATCTCTCATTAATCCACTTAGTAATAATTATTGTAACAATCCTTATCATTTAAGAAATTATTTGTGCTGGCTGTATGTAATACATTGCACTCAGCATATTAAATGCATTTGCTCATTTTATCCTCACAACAGCTCTGTGATGTTGTGATACTTTTATTATCACCGTTTTATGGGAAAGGACACTGACAGAGGTTACAGAAGTCAAGGAATGGGCCCAGGGTCACACATCCAAAATGTGACAATGTCAGAATTCAGATGTGTGTCTTACTGATTTTTATTTTAAACACTACTAAAATAAAATTTGGAAAGCAAATACATATGTTAATAATTGTTAATAATGCAGAGTCCCCAAAAGAAAAACTTAAAAAAAGTAAAAAAAAAACACCCTCTCCCTTCTTTTCTTTCACATTGTCACAAATATACAAAAGCAATTGTGAAGGAAAGCAAAGATTCAGCTGGAGAATTGAAAAACATCTTCATATTACATGAAGGAGCCTTCATCTCAGAGAACAGAAAAACGGAGTTTGTGCTAAGATGAGAATGAAACAATGTTTTGTACATGATTGAAGCCTGGGGGGTAAATAGACTTGAATTTGCTACAATAAATATAAGTAGCAGCAAAAGATAAAGAACTTTTAAACACTAATATTTGAGGTTCCACAATTTTTCTCCCCCAAATGGGTTGACTAACATTCTAAGCAGAGAAAACCATAAAATGCAGAATAGCAAACGTAATCTCAAGAATGCAGACAGGAAAAGTTCATGGACGTCCACAGGTGAGAAATTATCTTCATGTAATATGTGTTCACTAAATGTACCAATAGGGTTAGAGCAGCTAATTCCCCAATAATTCAACCCACAGGGTAGGCTTTACCTGAGCCTTGAAGTTTTTTCTTCAGTAGAAAACACTAACCTTGGCAACGGTCATGATATCATTAAACTGTGATTTCAGTTCCTCCTGAGCTGTGTCCTGGAAAGACTCGTCCTCCGTCTTCTGGTAGAGCTCCCTGGATTGGGAGGACAGGCGGTGCAGGGCTGCGGTGCGGTCCTCCCCTTCAGAGACGATGGACTGAAAGTGGTCCAGAAGGGAAAACTTCTCTTTCAGACCTGGCTGCGGCGTCAAGGGATGTTCCACTTTCTGATCTACTGATTCCATCCACTGCTCCAACTGGATTTTCCACTCCAGGTAGTCATTCCACTGGCTAATCACAGACTCTAAAGTACTGGAAAGGATATTATGAAAATAAGTTATCGTGACATCTCTACCGGAAACCAATTAGCAGGGCATTGCATCCATGTAAGCTTTCTTTTTTTTGTTGTGCCAATGTTAAATAGTTTTATGTAGGACATTGCATCTTCCACTTTACAAGTTCCTTATTTCCTTTCCGTGTGTACATATGCCACATTCAAGCAACCGGAACTCTCAGTTATTTACTATACAGCAGCTCCACTTTAAACACTGCCATGGAATTTGCTACACATTTGGGTCCTTCAATATTTTGTGTGGAACAATGTTAAATCTGTGCTCAAGGCTGGCTTAGTGAAGCTCTTCGATATTGCATGCTGCTGTAAGTGGTGAGGGTGCCGTGTTTAAGTGCCAGGAGTAACACTACTTCTCTGACCCACAGCACAGTTTCTTCAAGGGAAAGTGAATGGATGTCAAAGTTTAAGTGAGATGTTGTAGCCATTTATGCATTTGGAGATTTGTCTTCCAAATGTCAGTGTCCTAAAGAAATAAGCAAAGATATGTGTTATGTCATTAAAAATCAGCACCGGGGCATCAGTTCAACTTTAACGTATCCACTCTTCATTTTGGGGGGCTCAATTTATCTTATTAAAATCAGATGGCAATTATTTATTGACTGGAATTTAAAATTTAGGGTGATCTTCCCAGCTAAATAATGTCATTAGATTGATTTTCACTCAGGGATACATATTCACAACATTTAGTGTTGAATGGATGAAAGGATGAAGGCTAAATATATTTATAATATAAGGAATATAATAAAAATGAAGCCCTGGCTGGTGTAGCTCAGTGGATTGAGTGCAGGCTGAGAACTGAAGCATCGCAGGTTCGAATCAGGGCACATGCCTGGGTTGCAGGCCATGGCCCCTAGCAACCACACATTGATGTTTCTCTTTCTCTTTCTCCCTCCCTTCCCTCTCTAAAAATAAATAAATTTTAAAAAATCTTAAAGAAGAATTTAAAATTCAGTATTCTATCAAAAAAAAAACACAAAAAAACTCTCTCTCTAAAAAAAGAAAGAAATATAATAAAAATGTAATAGTCAACCAAATAGCTCTCTAGGTAGTCAAGTAAGAGGCTCTTCTGGCTGGCCTTCTAAAACTTGAAAGCACGGGTGTCCAACCTTTTGGCGTCTCTGGGCCGCACTGGAAGAAGCGTTGTCGTAGGTCACAGGTTAAATACACAAACACTAACGAAAAAAAGAAATCTCAGTGTTTTAAGTAAATTTACAATTTTGTGTTGGGCCGCATTCATAGCCATGCTGGGCTGCCTGCGGCCCGTGGGCCGGGGATTGGACACCCCTGATTTCAAGCAGTCAGCTTTAAAACGATTCTAAACTCATCCTCAGTGGCTCCTCTTAGCTTCCCGGGTATACAACCCTATAATCCTGGAATTACATCTGTGGGAAATGTACTTTCAGCATTTTCTCAAATTGTTTTCTTTTCATCAATAGGAACCTTATCACACATCCTAAAAGTCGTATCTTTCCCTCAAAGAGTGTTCTAGAAACTCCAAATAAATCTCACCTCCCCAGGAGCCACCCCAAGCCTTGGACTGTTCTACTGTCCCACAGCACCTTACATGGCAGTGAGTAATTGCAGAGTCTGCTGTTTTGTTTTGTGATGGATGTTCACCTTTTATTTATCTATTTCTTTTGATCACAGCGAGCACACACTTCTTTGGTGCTCTAGCAGTATCTACAACTTTCAGAACATGGCTCCTGGAAGGTATTTTCATATAACTCTGACTGACAGTCATTTGTCCAACAAGCCAGCCCGATTGTCTGCGCATCCTCCGAGAGGAGGGAGGAAGGTGAAAATCCTCCACTCATAACTATAACTGCGACAACGCCACCCAGGCTAACGGTCAGTGTCTTGTCTATTTCCCCAGCAGCTCCTGGGCAGGGCTTCTCCACCGGGACTCTGCAGGCACCCTGGGCGGCGGGCTGACTGTTGCTCGTGTGAGAGTGGCCTATGCACTGAAGGACGCTCCCGCTCCTGGCCTCAGTCACTAAACGCCAGGGATGCCCCGTCCCCACGGCAATCCACCCTCCCCACCTGCCACATTCCCACAACCCCAACGTGGGTGATACGGCTGTGGTTTGAGGACAAGATGTATCCTTAAGCTCCACAGTTGCCAGCAACTTAGTTTCCCTTATGTTTCTTTAAAAAGTGAAAACAGTAAAGTTATTCAAAACCACATATCCTTGCTTTAATGAATGGAAAAGGTGCATTCTACTGAGCCCACTTTGTATACAAAATTCCATGAGAAATATTATGGGAGATGTAAATATTGCACACACACACACACAACAGACAAATAAAAACCAGTCTTCGCCACTACAGAAAATACAATCTAGGCAAAGACAAGGAAGCGTAGAGCTAGTGAAAATAATACGCTTGGTCAGTCCCCCACAGGGTACCCTCGGCACTGCTCCGCCATTTTACTCAGCCCCTGGGTTTTATTTGGGCAAAGAAACCCTAGAGAGGGGCTCTGTACCTCTGAGCACGGATGGAGGAGCTCATGACGTTGGCCCACGCATCCGTAAGGGTCTGCAGCTGAGTCTGAATCTCCTTCTGGCCTTCTTTGTTGCTGCTTCTCAAGGCCTGTTCCCCTTTGCCAATGGCCATATTCAACTTAACTTCCCCTTCTCCTTTCATCAGGAGAATGTCCTATCAAAGAAGAGTGAATACGTGTCAGCAGAAATAATAAAGCCTTCTGATACTTTTTTAAACAATGATGTTTCCCATGAGACTCAAGGTAGATAGTACCTTGCTCACCTTGAAATGAAAAGAGCAACAGCAAAGTCTAGATCCTACTGCAATCGAACACTTGACCAAACTAGATATTGGGAGTCTGGGAATACAGGTTACCTCCAATTTAAATTCTTGGATAACTCCAGGTTACTTGCCCAGGCATTGCAACTTTACTGAAATTTAGTTTTAGAGTACAAAAGGAATTATTTTGAAAATGAAAGCATGCTTGTCAACAACCTAACAATCCCTCACCTCCATTGCCTGGCTAGGGCCTGTCTCCAAGGTCAGTATCATTGACTGCAGTTCTGGGCGGGTGGTCTCCTCTGCGCATTCCACACGCCGCTGCGGGCTGCACCCACCGCCCCGACGCACATGCTCTACTGCAGCTAACAGTTGCAGGTGGTCTCTCCCACCGACTTGAACTCCTAGGAAGCCAGGACTAACTTTTATCTTTATGTGCCCAGCACCTTGTATATAGTGCTTGGAGTCAAGTAGGTGTTCATTTCATAATGTTTGTTGGAGAGTTACTAAATGAAATTAAAAATTCTTTTAAAGCTATTAAAACGAAAACATTCCTTTCCTTTATCTGGGGGAAAAAAGATCCCCCCCAAATCCTTTCTGCCCAATGTCTCCCTTTCACCCACACTATCCTCATTTAGAGGGAGAGGCTCACAGGATGGTTAGGACCCAGCTCACACATTTGAGAACCTAATCAAGTCAGTGTTCAGACACGGTCAGTGTTGGGCCGGCACCGCACGTACCTGTATCTGTAACAGCCGCTTTTCCACGCTGTCTTTGCTTCCGACGGTGCTGTCGGCCAGGGCCAGCTTGTTCTGCGCGTCCTTCACCCAGGCCCACGTGCTCTGCAGCGCATCCTCCAGGGCTTCGTGCTCCTGCAGGGCCACCTGCAGGCTCCGGAGCTTCTCTTTGGTCATCCTGACTAAGTTCTGGTAGCTGGTGAGCAGCTGAGAGCACAGGCGCCCCTCCTGCCCGGCCCCGTGGCCTTCCTCACCGAGAAGCTGCCCTCTCTCGGAGAGCTTATCCAGAGACTCTCTAAAGAAAACAGAAACAAAGAAATGAACTCGGACAGTCTGGAGTGCTAGGGAGTGACAAATGATTGTTGACATTGGAGCAGTCACCAGACAAGAGCTCATAGCTGACACGGCTTTAACATGAAGAGCGTGGGGACTGCCCTAGCCACCTGTTTCTCCTGGGCTTTCTCCTGGAGCTCCTGCCCATCGAGGATCCGATTCAGTCCCTGCTGTGCCTAGATCCAAGCCCAGGGTATGACTAGGAGGGCACTTCAGAAAACGACCCAGCCCCTCCCTGGTCCTGGTCCTGGTCCTGGTCCAGGCTCTAAGCATGAACTGCTTGCTGACACCCCCCCAGCAAGCAGTATGTATAAAACTCTGCTGTTTTATACGTACACAGAGGGTCCTCCTTGGTGAGCACCCTTCTGTTTGCTTCTGCTTCTTTTCTAGACGCCCCTTTCAGAGCTCAGTGCAGGCATCACATCCTCAGAAAGCGTCTTGAGGAGTCTGGAAAGGGCGGGCCGTGCAAGGCTCCGCCTCTAGGCACCTTCTGCCCCTCCTACACCCTGTCTCAATGCACAAGGCTTTGGCCTTCCTTAGAAGCCTGGGCTAATACAATCATCTCATGTCCCCAGGATCCAACACAATCTTTCCCAGAGATAAAATGCAAAACAAGAAATTCTTTCAAAAGGCCATTGTGTGTGTGCGGAAGGGTGTCATTCTTGTATCTCAGGTGCCTGCTCATCTCAGTGTGGAGTTATGTTCATTAGCTCAGGGGACGATGCAATCACACGCGGCTGGGCTGGGCTTCACCCTGTTGTACAGGTTCTGAATTCCGATCAGCACCTCTATCAGGAAACGCCTGGACACCAGCAGGGAGAGTGCAGATGTCTGAGCACAAACCTCCGCGAGTGCTGGAAAAATGACGCACAACCTGTCCCCTACAAGGTCCCTCTGTCTCCCTCTCTTCCTGAGTAGTTACTGTGTATACGGCATCCTGTGGGTCTCTGTGAGATACATGTGACTTACACACTATTAGATCTACTCAAAAATACATTTTTAATTCTTGGAATCTTTTTGGGAAGACAAGAAGGTGGCCAAAGTGATGACGTGAGTTAAATAATAATTCCAGGGAACAGATACCACTTGTTATTCCAAGAATTGCTTAATGGATGATAAAAAATCAATGAGTCTCAAGTCTGGGATATTTTTTTAAAAATACAGAGCATCCCCTCCCCTGAGATGTATGTACTAGGAATATTATGATGAAAAACAAAAACAAAAGCAGCAAGCAAGTCAGAGAAGTTGGGCAACCCAGCTGGGGCACCTGAGGGACCAGTCCTGGGATTGTGCAGAGAAGCAGTAAGTTAGAAGGAACCCCAGAACAACCACACTAAGGACTCAGCATCTGGTCATGGAATATCAGAGAGTAACAGTGCAAGAAGAATGTGTCAACTTATTTTAAAAGATTAGAAGGAGGAAAGAAGTAGGTCTGGTCATATTACATGTTACCTAGACAAGATCCAAAATTTTAAAAGCAAAAAAAAAATGAAGTGTAACTTTCAGAAAGTTATAGAATTAGAATGATACTATTATTCTGTTAATTCAGCAAATATTTTCTGTTTTTCTGACATTATACTAGACAATGGGAATATACAGATGATAAAGGCCCGATGGTCCCTGGCCTTGAAGAACTCACCATAGGGGGTTGGGGTATGTAGAATCAACAAAAATGTTTACCCCATGGTAGGGCTCACAGAGACAGGACCGAAGCATCCCAGGGAAATTTTACAGTAGTCATCACACTAGCACACCAGTGATAGCTGTCAATACGAGTTCTGCTTGTGCATTCGTTTGCATGTTTGTTTTTCAACACTAGGAACCGTCACCATGTTTGGCCACACAGAGGACTCAGTGGAACAGGGAGTGAGTGTAATCTGAATGGGTATAATCTGATTTGCCTGATTTATCAGGCTGGGTGTTAGCCCCTACTGCTTCACAGATGAGTGTATCCGCTCTTTAAATGGGGAGTTAAGGAGTTTTGGGTCAAACTGCATCCCCTGATGCAAAGTGAAAATGCCAGGAGTGAAGCATGAGTTTAGGGAGTGATGCCTTGAATGTCGGGCCAGAGAACTTGGCCTGGGAACAAAGCCAGAGTCATTCGCTCAGTTGGAAGCAACGAAGAAACAAATACTGTTGTAGAGAGGAGGGACCTCCAAGGCAGTCAGACTCAGTGAGCACGCCCCGTGGCTGACAAAGCACATTGTGTTAAGGGGGCGCATCGGAAATGGCCCCAGAGGCTGAAGTGCATAAAGAATATGTGGAAACTGGGATCTACAGCATCATTCGTGTTGATGAAGAGTATCTGATAACCACCTTATATCTCTGTAATATTCTCTGAGAAGACAGTATATCATTATTATCATCCTCATCACAATGTTTAAAGGCTAATAGCAAGAAACACAGGAAATGAGTGTCCTGTCCAGTCTGTTGCGTCAAGGGAGGTGGAACAAAGATGCAGCCCAGCTTCTTACCTCTGGCTCCACGCTCTCTCCAGAGCACCACACTGCTAGGAAAACGCTGCACAATCATTTCTAATCTGGACATTCAGGGATACTGATAAACACAATGGCCAACTAACCAGCCCGCCCACTAACAACCCAACCAAACAACCAGCCAACAAGACAAACACACAGTCGTGAGTCAAGAAAGGACCTATTCCCTCTGGGCACCATACCTGGCAGCCAGTAGCTCGCCCAGAAACATTTCAAGTCTATGGACTTCGTTTTTCTTCTCAGAAATGTGCTGTTTACTCTCTCCTGAGCTTTCTGAGCTTAACTTTTCATCCATTTCATGGATCCATAAGTTCAGTTTTCTGTGCTGATCCTCAAAGCTAAAAACAAAAAAAAAAAGAGAGAGAAAAAAGCACCATAGAGAAATTCTTACCTTCTCATGGTAATCAATGTTAGTATCTGAGGTCGCAGTGTCTATGGTAATTGAGATCTCATGAATTTTCAAGTAGAAGAAGACTTAACAATAAGCCCACTCAAATAATCACTTATTTTAGTTACAAAAGGACAAATCATAAAAATTTCTCTTGCAATCTGGACAAAAATGCATGACCCTATCTTGCTGATTTGGTTACCTGGTAAACCAGCAAGATTACATTCCCAGACAATGTGCACTTAATTTTTTGTGTTACTACCTATATCCTGACTTGGGGGTCAGTGGGTAATTGAAGCTGTGGAAGCTCTGTGAAAAGCAGGGTAAGTCTTCTCTGTGTCTTTGTGTCTTATGGGATCTGAATGTGGTACAAGAGCACAGGGCTTTCGATTCTGAAAACAGTGTGAGTTCTCTGAGAAGTGTGGACAAGAGTCAAGCACAGCACTCTACCCCCAGAAAGGCATATTGATTATACTGACATTCCTTCCCCTTGGTAACAAGAGTTTCTTTCCCCTTCTTTCTCATTTACATTCACCCACGTTGACATCGCCTCCTGATTGGAATCTGAATTTACATAAATTCAATAGATGTTTTCTGCCACTCCAACCCAGCAAAAGTAGACACAAGAAAAATACTTAGATAATATAAAACCTGGATGTCAAAGCTCTAATATCTTGATTTATTCAAACAGACAAAAAAAATCCTGTATTCATGTCATTTACAGTGACTAGTAAATATAATTCCTCTATTTTCTATATGGAAAATAAAGCCAAATGATAATAAAGCCATAGTTCAAGCAATCAGTTATTGTCCCAGCAGGAATCTATAATTAAAGTCAAAGCTTTACAATGTAAACTCACAATTTCAAAGATTTTTTTATTCACAATAGCTTTTTTCTCCAAGTCACTGAAAACATATTCTGTGAATGATGAAATCTACCTACATGAAGACAACCTACCTCTCAAGTTCTAAAGCACAGTCTTGAAGGGCCTGTTTGTCTTTGAGGCATTGTTTCAGAAATGCTTGAAACTCTTCGTTAGCCTTTGTAATCTCTTCCTGAATGGTACTGACAATTTGCTTAGACAAATGTGCATACAAAACTTGTCCTTCTTGAGTCACAGCATCGAGCTTGCTCTGCCCATCACCGACTGAGTCCAAAATGTTCTGTTTCAGGAAATAAAAGGGATATAAAATATTCGCTGTGATTCAGAGATCCTGGTGCATGGGGACATTCATAACAATTTGAGCTGAGATGGCGGAGCAAGAGAAGCAAAACAGGGGCCAAAGGAGGAAGGTCTCTAAGTAGGCTGGAGTGAGAATGATGTAGACAGTTGGATATAATCGAGGCTCATAACTGAAAACAGGCCAGCCCATCCATCCCTGGAACCACTGAGAATCAGGCCAGGAGCAATGTTAACCTGGAGAGGAGGGTGTTCCTGTCAAGGTCTTGCTCTCAGCCCCTCCCCATTCGCCCTGTCCCGACCTAGTCCAGGCTCCACCTGCACACACAGTGTGGTATCTTCTAACTGGTGGACCGCCTCCACCCTTCTTCCTCCTCTGACCCGCCCTGCACACCCTATTCTGACCCCAGCTCCCTTCTTTTCAGGGAATGCACCTCTTCTCTGGAGACCGTATGCATGAGCATGGCTTCAGGGGAGCAAAGAACCCTAGAATCGGAACTGCTACGCCAGTTCCGCCTTTTCCCCCTAGTTGCAGCATGGCATTTGCAATTGTTACTCTAGCTTTTTTCTGTAGTTTCACTGCCTCTCAAGCCTTAAAGGGGACAATCCCACACCTGAATTCACCCTGCCTCCTGCAAAACTGACTTCCTATATTCCAGTGATCTTTCTACCCTGACAGCTAATGAGTTATCTATGTAATTGTTGTCATCACCGATTAGGCCACAAAGTCCTCATGTTCCCATTAATTAAAAAAAAATTACTTTCATACTCTGGCTGCTGTGGCATTGAGTACCAGCCTATAAACCAAAGGGTCACTGGTTTGATTCCCAATCAGGGCACATGCCTGGGTTGCAGGCCAGGTCCCTGGTAGGGGGCAGGTGACAGGTAACCACACACTGATGTTTCTCTCCCTCCCCTTCTCTCTCCCTTCCCCTCTCTCTAAAAATAAATAAATAAATAAATAAATAAATAAATAAATAAATAAATAAATAAAATCTTTAAAAATATTTCTTTTACAACTGGTAACACAGTGCTTTGCTCAGGTTACCTTAAAAAACAGCCAAAACTCAGTATGAGCCTAGTCTTCAATCATTCCTTAACTCTACTTCACAATGGTCTTCTCTTTCCAGAATTCATACATTTTTCACAATCCATAAAACCTAAACAATCTATCATATCTATTGCTTTAATTTGAATATATCTAAGCTCCAAACTTAGACTACAGGCTGTTAAAAAGCACAAATGATGTCAGTGATATCTTCTTTTTAAAACTCCTCCATGATAGTAATGCAAAATAGATGTAACCATAGATGTAACTATTGTTTTTACTGCTACAGAAATTAAAATTAGGTTTAGTTTTGAGTGCATTCCAAAGAACCGTCAATAGGCTAAAAGAGAGGTGAAAGGGATCTAGCAATTCTGTAGCTCTAACATTTTTCCAACTTGCTTTTCATACTATCTCCTATGACTCAAGAAATCTAATCAGTGATGGAAAAAGAAAAGCCTGAATAAAATAAAAAGATCTGGGGAAAGAGATGATGTAGTCCTGACCCAAAGGTCCTCGAGTGCAGTGTGGGTGGGGAAAAAGGAAAAGCAACACCAGCGTTCATACCTGAAGGTCATGGAGCTTTGCCTCCAGGACTTTGCTGTCACCAGTTCTATCCGATGATTCTTTTGCTGCTGCTTTTATCCCAGAAAACCATTCTTGGAATTCCTGCATGGACTCTTTGGAAAGTAACAAAAATGAGAAATGCATCCAAAACACCCAAAGAACTTCCAAGATAACTATCATGAATTAATTCTGCCCTTCAGCCCATTGTACTGTGCGTTACAAAATATTCCAGAAAGAAAATAAAAATAATCATTTAGAATATGGTACGGCATGATTTACAACCATGACTGTTCATGGTAGAATTGAGACATTACCTCAGAGAAAAGACTGTAAAGAAATTTATAGTCCTTAAATGTCTGATTTCCCTTCCTATTTCTTTCTTTTGGTAAAGAAAGGTAATTGATTGCCTGAATATGGAAGAACGCAGGGGAGAAATACTTTAGGGGTGTGGAAGCCGTTTTGTGGCAAAAGGAGGAAGCTTCTCCTCTTTCCCGCAAGCTGACCGGAGAGTTGTTATGTGTCCACATCAGAGCACAGGCTTGGGCCGTGCGGGAAACCGAGGCAGGCTCCTGGGACGGGCACTTTCCTGAATTACAATCTCTCCTAATACCCAAGCTTACTGTCACTTCATTGAAGCAGTGGACATAATTTTCCACACACAAAAAAATGAGCTATATGTCGAAAATCCAGATGCAGTTCCCAATCACCAAAACGGTGGAGTTTTTTGGGGAGAAAGAGGAAGAATTTTGCTCATGGTGGGAGCCCAAGTATAACACTTACTGCCCAAATCTCAATGCGCAAATGAATTTAACATGATGTTCTTCTGGGAAGTTTTGCAAACGTTTGCTGGCAGTTTCTACAGAGCATTTGGTTTGGATTCTTTCTTGTAAACAAAGTATTCATGCAAAGGCCTGTCAGAGCTCACCATGGAAGTGTTTCTCCAGCGAGTCCTGCAGGCTGGCCTGTGTTCTGGAGCACAACTGGCTGACGGCTTCGTGTTTCTTAGTCAGCCCGGTCATCGCGCCGCCCAGGCGCTCCAGCTCGGCTGAGTGGTACTTGCGGCACAAGCTATTGAGGTTTTCTTGGGTGGAGCTGATGTTGCTTTGTTGACTTTGAAGTTCTTTTTGTATGTCCTGTAGAATAAAAGTACGCCATGAAGGATGTTTTTCGCATCTAAGAGAAATACGCTACCTCCTCCATTTCTTTTGGGAAATCCGTGTTATCAAAATCCACTCGGTAATGGATGCGCTCTTGTGGGGTTGTTTTTTGAGTATTTGTGATATATCTGTGTTGACTCTGAGAATTTTGCCCAGTTCTCCTTGGGAACAACTGGTAACAGATGTTGAGATGTAGCTAAGACCTGGGTTATAGTCTAGGGTTTTAAACACAATGAATAAGTCCTTATGGATGCCAGCTATGAGCTTGGGGTTAGTCAGTTGATTAGAAACTATTAAAGGGCTGACCCTCCTAAGTTCACGCGTGTCAGTGGGCCACAAGGGTCCGAGGGCACAACAAAGGCACAAGCAGTTAACTGAAAAATGTATGTCCTTAGTCTCAAGTACAGAAAGAAAATATGCTAAAAGAGACCAGATCGTTTTTGTTGACAGCTGATCAAGAATGTCATCTATGAAAATGAACCTAATGACATAAAAGTGGGATGTTTTCTCAATTTTAGAAATATATATATATACCTCCTCCTTTGTATAAAAGCAGTTATACTGCCCCATAAAAATAATTAAATGAGAAAAAAAACCATTTGGCATTTGAGTTTGAAAGTTCAAATACCTCTACAGATGTTGCCTTTTTAATAATAATAATAATAATAATAATAAAAATAAAGTATAGCCTTGAGCAGGCCCTATAGTGATGCACGCTTTGCTGTTTTTAGATTATTCATTTTGCATTCAGTTCTTTTCCTGATGCTTCTTTGCTGTGCCATGGGTTAGTACGGGTAATTGAGAGCAGAGGTTATAATTGGAGTACAGTCACCACAAAGCAGGAGAACTAATATTCCCATCGAAGCATAAGCACTTCATGAGAGTTTGTTATCTACCTTCACTTTTTTCAGCCCTTCACACGTCCCCGTCTGGGCACAGTTCACCAGGGAGTCCTCTAGTTTTGTCAGCCAGGTTGTTCCGTCGTTAATGAATTTCTCCACTTGTGTACTCTGGGCCCTGAAATCTTTCAAGGTTCCTTTGGCTTCATCACTGATTTCTTTGGCATGCTCCAGTTTCTGCCTGAGGTCTGCTTCTATAAACTAAACAGACAGCCAGAATTCATTATAATCTGTGAAAGCCAGACATTTACCGGGAATTCCTGGATGTGTGGCTTGATTGTAAAAAAAAAACAAACAAACAAACAAGCAAACAAACACACATCCGCCTAACCACGGACGCTCATTCACTTTTTCTAAGAAGGGAAATCAGTGGGCACAAGTTGCCATACATTTGAAGGGATGGGGAAATGGAAAGAGTAAGGATTACCGTTCACACACGATGTGGGAGCGGCAGCCTGAGGTTCCAGAGAACACACCAGACATTTCGCAGGCAGAGCTGGCCTCGGGCAGCGTTACCAAGCAGGTGACTGAAAGCTTTCTTCTCACCCTCTTTGGGAAACGCTCACAGTGTTTTGCCACTGTGTACAAAGTATGTAACCACTACTTTGGACAAAACCATCATAGGATTTCATCCTAAAGCACTTTCCTTTTTGTCTCCCACTTTTAAATACTCAAGGAGATGAATTCTCTCCTCCTGGATGATTTATTTTGAGAGGGTCCTTGACTTTTCTGGCCCGACAGGTAATAAAAGGACTTATAGTCATGATAAATTGCAAACACTTTCAGTTCCACCGTTAAAACATCCAAAACCATTTGATAATCGAAACTTGGACATTAAAGGTGACTTTTATCCTGCCCCAGCTCAGATCTGCTACAAACTGGAAGTGCGCAGTGGAGAAAGCGGCCAAGTAACTCTTTCTGTACTTTTTCACTGCTTTCGATCCCCTCCCCTTGCACAGCCCTGACCCCTGCAGGCGCCTGACAGGTAGGAAGAGGGGAGGGAACTGGCTACTGGGCTTTCTAAGCCTGGTGACATTTCACATTCTCTCTGCTCACAGGCCGTACTTCATCTGTGGGTTTTTGTGAGGCTCCCGTCACTTCTGTGACCTCCCAGTGAGGTGCCCCAGATGCAACCGGTGCAATTTTCTCTGGCTCCTCGCTTTCTCCTTCTGCAGCCTGGGGCATCTCTTTACCTTCCTGCTGGTGAGGCCCGCCACCCCCCTCCCCTGAAAATTTCCTTAGATAGTCTGACAGGTCACACACACGGATGCTGTCTTTTGTTCTTTTCTCTTGGAGTTCACCTCTGGGCCAGAGGTCGCACTTGGGCATTCACCCCAGATGCCTTCAAGATGCAGGCCACTCAAAACAATCAAAACACAGGCACTTCAACATATAAATATGCACAGAATATTAATACTTTTTGAGGACAGAGAGTCTAGGATATAGTCGTTGTTACAAACCCGGCTCAGTGCTTACCTGAAGGTCTGGTGGTGTTTCCGGATTTTTAGTTAATTCTTTTAGATCACTAACTTTAGAATGAAGTTCTTCCAATTTCAATGCTTTGTTCTTAACTTCAGACTGCCAAGATAAAAGCAAAAGGGAAAAGCATAACTAACCCAAATATTCACGTGTTATTTTTGGCATTTAATAGTTCCAAGAGTTAACTGTCCAAACGCTCCAACTTTAAGCCAAGGTTAAAAAAAAATCTCTTTTTCATATTCTGATCATTGTCAGTATTTATGAATGTGGAAAAATGTCACCAGACACTTCCACTTGGGAAGTGAGGGAGTGTGAGGAACTTTCTTCCTTCCCACCCTCTTTTATTGGGGAGAAAGTGCTCCTTGGAAAAAATGAAAGCTAACCAAAAGTCTTGAGTAAGTGGGAATTTTTAGTCATTAACTGTCATTTATTCATGAGTATTGACATCACGGGTTACTATGGCAGCACAAACTTGGGGAAGCATTTCGAAGCAAGTACACATTGGAAATGCCTAGTTAGTGCCAACTGTATGCATGTCACAAGAAATCTTTGCAGTAAAAGTTTAAAATATGTTAAAACAGAAGAAATGAGGTTGATCAGGAGATTGATGTCCAATATTTTGCCTTGTTTTTTTGCACCAACACTAACACAAAAAGGTAATGTAAGTATCAAAGAATCGTTACCGAACAAGTTAGACCCTTATACATTTCTTTAGTTCTTTGGGCATGCGAAGGAATAGTTAAAGAATCCTTCTCAAGTCAAATATCGTACTTTAGTGCCCGTGGACACTAACAAACCTCCTGGTGCCTTCAGTCCAGAAAGTAATTCACTTACCCAGGTCGATGTGATGAACTGACTGTCAGGCCCACTGGCCTTTTCCAGAAGCAGCCTGGACAGTGAAGCATCCCCCTGCCACACCTACTTTGTTTCCTGCGCTGCAGCGGCCGTGCTGACCGCAGGCGCTGGGCTGCAGCCAGCTCACTGATTTTATTAGCTCTGTGTGTGGGCCACACACAGAGCTGGCCACATACAAGCCATCTCTGTGAGTGACTGAGCCTGGACATAGTGAACGTGGGACTGATGCCCGTTGGCCTCCTGGATCCCAGAGGTCAGTAGTGGGCACATACTATATGTGGGTTTAACGACTGGCTCTCCCCCACAAAAAGACCCTGATTTGTAGCGTTTAGCACCATTTTGAGTTACAACGTGATGTCACCACGTGTGGGGCTGGGAGAGCTCCACAGTAGCACACCACTCCACAGTGTGTTCACCACACAGTTACAGGAGGTGTCAAGGGGACAGCCTGGATGGCGGTAATACGAGAATAATAACTAAGATGTTTTAAGTTTGGAGTGTATATTACTTTCATTTTAAACTATCGTTCATTTCTGAACGTTGCCCACCTGGTTTTGCTGCTTTGCTCCGGGCCTGGGAGCTGAGCTATGACTGAGCCTAGTTGTCCCCTCCCAGATGTTACCTCCAGGGAGGAAAGGCCAGAGCGGGAGAGGCTACCCAACCAGTGGAGACCGTGACCCTGAGAAGACACACCTGGGGAACTAATATTCTACTGAGCCTCTCCTGGGAGCTCCCCTAAGACTCCTGGCTGCAAGAGAGAGTGATACAGACTCAAGACAAAGGACAAAACCACTCTCCCTCCGAGGCCCTGCCCACGGTCCCCTTTCCCATCTTCTCCCCCGCCTTCTTTCTTCATGGGCTCACATCTCTTAAATGCAAAGGCCACGAGTGGGCAGCTGGTGGCTAATCCCCTGGACCTGCCCCCAAAGCCCTCTCTTCTCTGACTTCCCAGGAAGGTAAGGCTAAGCTCTTGTTTAACTGTCCCCAGCTTTCATAAATGTATCCTCATAGTCAAAAATAAAGAAAGAAATAAACTACAGTTACTTTCATTTATTTACAATTAAATTTTAAGAACGGTTGTGTGTAACACTGGCTCATAAAATTTCTGAAAATACAACACTTGACTTCTGTGAGCAGCACAAGCCCTATTCCAGCACATGCCACTGTCTGAGCTGGTACGGTGACTGAACATCAAAGATAATTAAGGGTCTATGGTGGCCCTTCCCTAATTTTGTTTGCCCTTAGAAATAGGAATAATCTCTAGAATGTTCTTTGGGTCAAACACAGCTCAATAACTTACGTCGGAAATACAGATGACTTAACCATATTTTTTTCAGACTAGTTATTCACTCACATACCTGTCATTCTCCACATGTATGTCAGGCACCATGCTGGGCGCCGAGGCACACAATGTTTCTGCCTTCACCGAGAGTACCATCACTTACGTGCTTTGTGAAACAGGTTACCTTTTGCCATCCTATTTATTTCCCTTCACCTTGCTTCATTTTCCATCATAGCCCAATGGCTACTTGACATTTTGCATATAAGACATATTGAAATGGAAATCCCATGAGGGTAGGGCCTTTGTCTCTTTCTCGCCTATAGTTCCAGTCGAAAACAGTACCTGGCATAGTTGAGGTGCTCATTAAGAATTCGATGAGTGAATGACTAGATGGATGTGGAAAATGGGAGTAAAAATGCGGTTAAATAAATCGGTGACTAGGACATTAAAAGGCTACTTTTTGAGGAAGCCTGTGACACTGTAATCTCTATTTTCTTCCATTTCTGAAAAGGAAGCTCCCAGCGTAAGTTTTCAGCATAGGGTAACTCCTTGGTAAACATTCTGTATGACTGAAGGAAAAATAGATACTAAATATTGCTGCATTACAAATACTTTCAATTTGGCTTTCCAGTTGGAAGACACCATACTCTCAGATGAACGGGGGAAAAAAAACAACATAGGTTCACTTTCAAGGAAATAGCAAAAGATAGTTAAGAGTTTTCTTATACTCATATGTATTTCAAAGGGAAGAATGAACTTTTTAAAAAGGAGACACATTTTCTCATGTTCTGGGCAATGATACACCAAAGGCTCACATACGAAGGTGGAGCTAGTTCACCTCAAGTTCTTTCAGGAGCTCCTCTGTCCTGAGGCTGTCGTCCAGGTTGCTGATGCTGTCGGCAAGACGTGGAACACAGGTGTTGGACCACGCTTCGATCTCGTCCTTACTCGAGAGAACATCCTCCCAAAGGGACAGGCTTACCCTCAGCCTATCAGCGGTTTCCTCAATTCTCTCCAACATCTGAAGCAGACAATGGAAACAGTATCATTAAGAGTCTGAGGATTTAAAATAATGCTCTTTGCCCCACCACCATACTAAAAATGTCAATGCTTCCTTGATAAGAAAATTATATCCTGACCAAAAAGCAAAGTTTTATAAAAATTATTGTAAGCGAACTGGTGTATTGGACTCAAGTAAGTGCTATTATATACACTGTTTCTGTCATCGGGAGAGGTGATTGACTCTTTGAGACATTTGAGATTAAATTGAAAAACTAACCAAATGGGTTCATTCTAACATAACTCACTCTAAGGTTGAATTCTACAGGGTAGAAGTCCATGTAAGGCAGTATTGTGTTTATTTTTGAAAATAATACAGTAAGCCCTTTTATTTGTAATGATGATATATAAAAGGGGCATGATTAGACTTGAGCATATTTATAGAATAAGTAAACATATGGGAGATTAACCAACTTGACATGCCTACAGTGTTACTGCTTAATATTCTTCCCATAGTGAGAATGTTCTTTTAAAAATGGATCAATATAAGATTTTCTGAAGTCCCCAAATTATCTGATGATAGTATTCAAATGTCAATGTCTGGCTTAAGCAGTTTGGCTTAAGCAAGGGAACCCATTATAGGTTTAACTTCTGAGCCTTGCTTTTGGTAATAGGGGTCAACAGAATCACTGGATTTTTTTTTTGAGCTGGAAAACAATGCAAAATATGTATGGACTGAGAGATCAAGTGGCCTCTCCTATGATCACAGAACCAGAAAATGACAGAGCAAAAACTAAAACCCAAAGATGTGAACTACAAGTCTCACATTTTTCAATGCAAAAGAGTTTCCCTCATTTAAATTATTACACATCATGGTTTAGTAGTTTGTAAGATGTCTACAAATTATATTTTTATTTTTATTCATAATCCCAGAGTTTTGAGAAGATAGTTACAAATTTGTTATGATTGAAATAAAATTCTAGAAAACCTGCCAATAAGTTTTAACAAAATAAAGCAAATTTTTTTTTACTATTTCTAAACTTTATGTACCCACTATTTTTCTTCAGAATGTCATATTTGCATTTAGCATCTCTCAATAATCCTTTGCCTTAGAGGGAGTTTCCTAAATGTGAATGAATCGCAGGTGATGAGCTTACGTCCAGCCATCTGTCCACGGTGCTCTCCATGTCGGTTTTCACCAACGTGTAATCACTGCTGTGAATTTTCTTCAGCTCGGATAACAACTGCTTTCCTTTACTGGTAAAGTTATCCAACTCTTTCTGCTTGTTATGTATTTCGTTCCTGGCAGTTTCATGCTGTGGACATAAATGTTTCCTTAATTAATAAAATCATCAATGATAAGAGTTTAAAACCATTGCCTTTAAGAAATTTAATTTATGGATGACCTGCTATAGAAAGTAGTGATAATAATAAGCTACACAAATACATACAACTTTCTTGAATTGCTAGAATCCTAAGGTACCAGTACTTTTTTAAAAAGTTGAGCTTATTTGCATGAATTATGCACACCTAAGTATACCGACAAAATTTGTGTAGAGAATGCATCATGAGTGCAAAAAATAAGTTAACTGAAATATTCTACTAAAGTAAATACATTTTGAATTATTACCTTGGAGAAAGCCCACTTAAGATCCTCCTCATCTTTGATAGTAGTTCTGGTTACGATCACATTGCTGGCATTTTCTAGAACTTTAGATACAGCTGACTTCAGGTTCTGATATTCTCTCATTAAGCCAATAAGCCCACAGCATTGACCCTGGCTATAAAGATCAAAGAAAAGACATCATCCACTGCCGTGTATCAGGAAAGGGAAGAGTTCCCTATGAAGGTACGTCATGTGCACGTACATGTTCATAGACGGATACTGGAATCAACAGAAAACCATGCCTATACCTACTGAGGTTAAAAGCGTATTGGTCATTCTTACTTAACTCTAATGTCCAAAATACTCTCATGAATGAAAAATGCACATAGCCATTAAAATGACATCTGTGACCTCAATGACAAGCAAAGATGCAACATATGTTCTGAATAACTCAAGCTTATACAGATATCACCAAATTTTTGTGTTTTTTAAAATTTTTGCATGAATTAATTATTCATAATGGTAAGTATTGAAGGGAAACAAAACCAAAAATGTAGGAAAAACACTGCTCAATAATTAAAGTACATATGAGGTTTCCTTTTCCATTTCAATGACTCAAATTTTCATTGAATATGAGTCCCCTGAAAATTCTCAAAGTAAGAAGATAGTTTTTGTTCATAGGAGTCAGATACCTTTGAGCAGGCAATTCTACTTCTAGGAATTTTCCCAAAGGAGGAGATATACTATAAGATTTAAGTGAAATGATATTCTTTATACCATTATGTATAATAGGAGAAAAAATAGAAATAACTGAAATTTTAAAAAGGTCAATAATTAGATAAATACTGATATTCTTACAAGTAAATACTGTGCAACCTCTAATAAAACGCCATTTAAGAGAATGTTTAATAACATGGAATAGAGTCTGGGCAATGTGGGTTCATTAACAAAAGCTTGCAATAATTGTCTACAGTATATAAGGTGCTCTCAATTTTGTTTAAAAGACCTTTTTATGTCATACAAGATATTATTTTTAATGCATATAGAAATCCAAATTTTCAGGACTGTTTATTGAAAAGACTATTCTTTCTTCATCAAATTGCCTTTGTCAAAAATCAGTCAAGCATGTCTGTGGGTCTACTTCATGCTACTTGTTTCATTGGTCTTTATGTTTGCCCTTTAGCCAACACCACATTAAAACCAGGTAGTGTGAGTTCTCCAATTTGTTTTCAAAACTGTACAGTTGTACCATTGTACAAAACTGTAATAGTTCTAGGTCTTTTGCTTTGCCTATAAAATTTGGGATTAGCTTGTCAATTTCTATAAAAAGTCCTGCTGGGATTTTGATTGGGATGTTATTGATATAAAAATCACTTCAATAAAAAAAATGGATAAGTCAACAAACAACAAGTGCTGGCGAAGATGTAGAGAAAGAGTAACCCTTCTGCACTGTTGGTGGGAATACAGATTGGTGCAGCCACTATGGAAAACAGCATGTGAAAAATGGAACTCCCTTTTGACCCAGTGATTCCACTTCTGGGAATTTAGCTGAAGAAACCCAAAACACTAATAAAAAAGAATATGTTCCCTATGTTCCTTGCAGTGTTATTTACAATAGCCATGATTTGGAAGCAGCCCAAGTGTCCCTCAGTAGATGAGTGGATAAAATAGCTATGCTATATTTACACAATGGAATACTACTTGGCCATAAAAAAGGAGAAAGTTTTGCCCTTTGGGACAGCGTGAATGGACCTAGAGAACATTATGCTAAGTGAAAAAGCCAGTCAGAGAAAGACAAATACCATATTATTACTCTGTTCTAGTGAACAAACTGAACTAACAAAAAAAATACAGAAAGACTCAGAGATAGAGTACAGGCAGATAGCTTTATGGGATGGCAGGACTGAACCAAAAAGAGCTCATGGACATGGACAACAGTGTGGTGATTGTGGGGGGGAGGGGATTTGGTGGAGGTAGAAAGGGGTATAAGGGCAATGAATGGTAATAAAACAATTAAAGAATAAATTATTAAAAGGAAAACAAACAATCCAAAAAATGGCAATTTGAGCAGGCCAGTGTAAACATGATACATAGATGGCAAATAACATATGAAAATATGCTCAATATCTTTAGTTACCAGGAAAATAAAATTAAAAACAGAATGAACAATCTCTACACATCTATTATAATGTCAGACAGACAAACAAACAAAAACTGGGTAACATCAGGGGCTGAAAAAGATGTGAAACAATTGGGGACTCTCACAGATGTTGAGTGTGAATGCAAAACAGTGCCACTACTTGGCAGTCTCTCACAACATTGAACACACACTCAACCTACAACCCAGCATTTCACTTTTAAGTATTCACCCAAGTGAAAGAAAAACTTACATGCACACACAAAATTGAACACGAACATTTGCAGATGCATTATTTATATAACCACCCAAATTGGAAAGAATTCACTTCTATGTAATTTTCAAAAAGAAAATACGGTGGAGACCGAGCACTGACCAATGGCGGCCAGAGCCTGGGAATGAGGGGAGGGCTGACTCCAAGGAGGTGAGACAGTTTTTCAGGCGGTGGTGGTGTTAATATGAAACTTGCTAGTTACACCACTATATGAGTTTGCCATACAGGTTAAGGGTGTACATTTAAGAGAGGGAATTTTACCTTGTATCAATCATACCTCACTTACAAGCAAGTACAACAAAACAAAATAAAAAAGGAAATCAGAGGTTAAGATTCTCAAGGTAGTACTTAGTAACTTGACAATCCCTGCTTTTAAGCATTGAATTTCACAAGTAATTGGAATCTCAAAGCCACTTCTTCAATAGAGTTCTGTAGGACTAAATTGTTATTGTTACTGAAGAGACACAGAATGCTAAAGATGGCAAAAGATATTCAATTCTTGATCACACCCATGCAAATCAATGGGCAATGGGCCAAGATAGGTCGGAATGAAAAAAAAAAACTGAGAAGTTTTCTGACTTACTTTTCATGAATTAGTTTTTTGGTGTCATCCCAGGTGACCTCCAAGCGATTTATCTCCCTCTCGACTTCTGGTGCAAAGGCTACATCTTTCTGACTGATTTGCTGAGCTTTGTCCTTCAACCAACAGAGTTCATGCTCATGAGCATTCAGTTCATCTTCTAACTGATTGAAGACTCTCAACCTGGGGATTAACATGGTATTTTACTAACAGTAGCAAACCAACATTTCCTCTCCACAAAGTGCACATACAGAGAGCTAGAAAAACTGTTAACATAACAATTAAATTAATGTAGGTCAATGGATAAAGATGCTTTCAAAATTAACTTGGCATACTTCAGAGTATACCTCAGAAAACATTTAAAGTCAGTCTCACTGTGCACCCTCAACCTTCTATTAAGTTTGGGTTGTCTTTCTATTATCCTTAGGTGGTATAAGACTTTTAAAACTAAGGTTGACCTTGTAGGCAAAGTAGGTGAGTACTTATTGCAAAGTATTTGTATGAAATTATTTTGTGTTGTGAGGTCTAATTCTTGTAAAATATTTAAGAATCATAGTAGTTTTATAAAATAAAAATAGTCTTATCAAGCTGAATAATAAATATATATCTTTAAAACATAGTTACATGCTTTATTGAAGATTACCTAGAGAATATGTTCATTTTTTTGTCCCTAACATATTAACATTTGAGTATTTGTGAAAAGTGGCCATTTAGAGGCAGCCATGGACTCTTTTCATTCTTGCCTTTTAGTTTAGTGCTGTGGAGTTTATAAAATGAGCATATAGACATTATTCCATTGAATTCCCATAACACGGGGCTAGGAGCAGGTGTTGTCCTTAACTCCATGCTACAAGAGAGGTGATTGGCCCAAGATCGCACAGTGAAACATAAGTAGGGCTGAAATTTAATAAATCAATCCATTCATTGCAACGTTCTCAGTAGCCTCTGTGTGGCTTCGGTGAGTTCAGTGATGTGGGTATTACTAGGGCTCTTGAACTTAACCTGGGCCTTCTTCTCTGGCAAATTTTAGGCCCTCCTGTCTGCTGCCCTGAGCAGGCCCAAGAGGTCAGGCCTCCTGGTGGCACCAATCCCACCGCTACATCCTGGGTAAGTAGCTTTCTCTTTGTTTTGGCTCCTCATTCTGTCTTTCCTCTGGAGGCTATTTTATCTTTTCCACATCTTATCCCTTTTTGTAAATTTATTGTTAAACCAGTCAGATAATCTATTGCCCACCAGGAGTGTCACTTCAGGAGCCATTAATCAATGAATCGATTATTAATTAGTGTTTGATTCTGACTGAAAGAAAGTGAGTTGGCAGGGTCAATGTAACTCTTATCAATTAAGGGTGCCTTGGTACCAATGTTTTCCAGCTGCTTGTTTGCTCCCTGAAAATCTGGGAGAGAAAGTGACCCTGAGAACCTCAGAGAGGACAAAGTTCTATCAAGAAGGATGAATAAGATTGAAAAGAAGGCTTCAGTATTAGGGAGAAAAATTACTTTTGCAATTTATTGCAGGAGAATACCCTTGACCCCTTAGCTTCTTTACTGAATGCACTTGACAAGCCACCACCTTTGCTTAAACCCACGCTTCTTGCCTTCTCCACACCTCTAAGCAAACAGTTGGACATAGCTAGGGAAGGCCACTCTGCTGAGCTGACTGGTTTCACTTTAAGTGAGTGAATACAACGCTCAAATGGCAGCCTATCACCTTACCAAGCTCCAGATACCATTTCCATTTCCTCTCTATGACCTTTCACACCACTTTCTGTTCCTATCCCGGGTCACTCAATCTCAACTAACCAGTTCGCTCCAGTCTGTTCTGAGGGTTAGCAGCCACTAGGGAGGAATCCCTTCAGCTTTACCACCAGAATGACAAGTCTAGTGGAACCACTCCCTTCCTCCTCTGCCTTCACTCTTTATTTTTTAAAGATTTTATTTATTTATTTATTTATTTATTTATTTATTTATTTACTGAGAAAGGGAAAGTGAAGGAGGAAGAGAGGGAGACAAACATTGATGTGCAAGAGAAATATCAATCGGTTGCCTCTCATAAGCCCCACAGGAGGGACTGAACACAGAAACCCAGGCATGTGCCCTCGTGGGGAATCGAACTGGTGGCCTTTGGCTCTGAGGGATGATGCTCCACCAGCTGAGTGCATCACACCAGTCAGGGCTCTGCCTTCATGCTTGTTACAGAACACCAGTCCCTTCTCCTGTGAGTCAGAAATTGCTTGAACACTGCTAGTACAATCTATATGCTCTTGTCAATAAGATCTCAGAGTGGCTTATGTGCAGCTCTTTACAGAACCCAGATAAAGTTTAGGACCTCTTAAGTATCAAACTAGTCATTCATTTTATCCCAAAAATATTCTAAAAAGAGAAGTCACTAAACATGGCACCACCAAAGTTCTTCACAAGAGGTCATTTCAGAGCAGATAAAAAAGAAATGAGACAACTGGCTTTAAAAGCTTCCTTTCACCTCTGCTGAAGCGCTTGGCGAGTAGGTTCTTTCAAACGCTCTTTGTCTGCTCTGTCTTCTATGTCCTCAATGCTTCTCAGCAACTCCTCCTTCTGGTCATGGAATGCCTTTTTCAAGGCCGCCAGGGCGTCTGCCTCACTCTGCTTGGTTCCCAGAAGGTTCTGGATCGTCTCCAGTTCACAGCAGAGGTGATCAGCTGTAGCTCTGCAGGAAGTTCTTTGCTCAGAACTTCTACACCTCAGATGGTATTGGGCTTTGGTAAGAATGCCATCGAGACTGATGGCAGTTGATTCTAATGATTTCACATCTTGAATCGCAGCATTTAAGTCTTTTTCTAATAAATCAGTCTGTTTCTTGTTTATACTGTTGGTTGCCTCCACCCGTTGCCTCAGCCGGTGGAGAGCTTCTGACAGAGAGGTGTGGCTCTGCAAGAATTCGGCCAGCTGGGACAGGGCCAGCTGCCGCCTCGCCACCACCTGGCAGGCCTCGTCAAACAGCTGGGCACAGTCCTCTGCTCTGCTCTGCAGGAGGTGAAGGTCTTCGGCTCGACTCAGCGCAGCCAGCTTGGCGAGGTGCTCCTGCAGACTGTGCAGCTGCCCCCTTTTGCTTTCTACTTCTGCTGCGTGGTCCTGGGAGGGAAAGGGAGAGAAAGAGACACCGGTTCCTCAGATACACTGTGGTTTATGATGCGGCTGTGTTGCAGACTTGGTGATGTCAAGGTGCATTTTAAATACAGTGCATGGCCTGGCATTCGAGGTCATCCACGTGAATCTTTTAGAAACATTCTTAAAACTTCTCTTGTTCTGCTCATCTATATATTTCATATAAAACACAACTCTGACTTGGAACTAATTTATTCCATGGGAAATGACTCCTTCATGAATAGACATAGTTAAAAGTGTAATATGTATCTATAAAATTTGAAAGATTTTGAAAGATATATGTTATGTATACCTATATAGTATACATATATATATACGTATACATACACACACATATACAATAAAGCTAATTCTAATGGACACGAACCTCTCTTCAGAGGTGGTGAATAAGGCAGATAAAACTGTGCAGAAGTTTTAGCTTCCTTCTCTTTAAAAAAATGCAGATTAACTGGGTAAAACTCGTATAAGAAATTTGACCAGTTCACGATAAATCACATTTAAAATCTATCAGGGAATTGCTACCAATCTCAGCACAATTCCCATGAAAGAGAAATCATCACCTGTCTTAACCTTGACCACAGCAGCCTGAATTACTAAATTTCAGAGGGCTTCTTGGAGCATGTATTGTAGAAAACTTCCAAATTCATTCTCTGTCCCTTGGAGACATCATTCTTTTCTTAAAAACTTCTGGACAGTTTTACAACCAAAGGATATCTTTCTCAAAAACCTGGAGTCATCACTGTGAACGGCACCCACTGAGGAAGACGGTGCCCTGTCTCCCCACTTTAGAGGGTGAGAGCCTACTCTGCTGGGCCCTTGCTCCGAACTGCAGAACCACCCGCAGCCACGAACACATGAGGAAGTACTTTTCCTTTGGGTCAAAGCAATGAGCAAGCCCAGCATAGAGTGAACACTTGATAAACATTAAGTATTTTACCATTAAATATTTGTTATAAGCTTATCTCCAACTAGTCTAATACTTATGATTAATATCTATTTTTAAATTGTGTTTTTATGCTAGGACACACATTATGCATAATTTAGAAATAAGAAAAATACACCATAAATTGTAAATACCTTTCCAGCTAAATAGTCATTCAGAAAAACTATGCTGTTACAGTACTGGGATTCAGTATTCGTTGTTAGTATTGGAACAAAGCAAACTGGGGAGCTTAAAAATGAACATTCTCATCACTTCTCTGCTTAATCGCTGCTTAATTAACATAGCTGTGTAACACTTTGCCTGGACCCCATGCTCAATTATGAAAACATTTATATAGGAATACAATGTTAAATTGCTGGTACGTGTTTTTTTTTAATGTTGCTTCCCTTTCTAGCTCAAGAGCTCTTGTTTATGAATAAAATTTTCTCTCATTGTAAAAGAATGCACTGTACCTTGTGCCGAATAAGAGCTGCTTGGTGGTCCATGATGCTTATCTCAGAAGTGGTCTGTAATTCACTGAGAAACAGCTTAATCCAGACCGAAAAGGAAAGTAGCAATTCATCAAATTGTTGGTGTTCGGCTACCACAGACTGAAGAAAATGAGTCCTGGGCAGAGATAGGTGTTAAAGTTAAAATACCCCAAAGCTGAACAGAAGAGTTGATATGTTTTCGGAATGAGCTCAATGGAGGGCAAAAGTGATGTGGTCAAACAGGGTCAAACCAGAACCCCGGACGTTTTCTACTTCTCAAATCCTGTCTCTCTCACGGTGTGCCCTGTCGCAGTTAATGCCAGCGCCACCCAGATGTCCTCCATTGCTCTATCACCAAGTCGGGTCCGCGCACAGCCGGTCAGCGCGCCACCCTGGTGTTCTGTGCTCTTCTCCCCACTTCCGCCGCCTGCTCTAAATCTCCTCCGCTCTGGCCGGGCCCCCAGCGGCCTCCTACACTGGCCTCCTTTCTGCAGCCACCATGGCCTCACTATAATCCACCTTCCAGAGGGCTGCTAGAAATGACTTCAATGTCACCAGGACATCCATGGCCAAGTTTAAATACAAGGGCGATTTCCTGTTGTATTGGGTTGGCCCAAAAGTTCATTTGTTTTTTTTCTGTAATATGGCTCTAGTAGCACTTGGTTGTCTTTAATTTCATTGGGGGGAAATATATATATATTGTCTCTTTTCATATATATCATGAGAAATAAAATTTTAATTACCATCTTTTTACTGTACACAAACCGCTTAAGCTATGAATAACACCAACATGAGCAAATCTGAAATTTTAAATTGAGCTTTATCAGAAATGCTAACATTTGAGCACTCTGACTTTTGAAATGGCAAATAAAGTAGTTTCCTTCCCTTCTACAATTCTCCTGGGACTAGCTGGGGTAAATACAAGTAAACAAAAGTATACCCTCTTAATTGTATATGCTCAGCATTTTAAAAAATGGACAATTTTAGGATGTTTCCTAAAACCCCTACCTTTTGCTAATCATCTCTGGCAAAACTCTCCATCGCTCATCCAGCTGCTCCAGGTGCAGCCTGATCATGTCCACGTCGTCTTTGGAGGCCACGGAGAACAGCGCCTCCTTCAGGTGCATGAGGTTGCTGTAGACGGAAGCTTGGGATACAACTTCACTTTGCAGCGCCTGAGAAAAACAGAATATACAATAGCTCCTACTCCAGTGTGAGGGACGAGAAAGGACCGTGTGCCTCAGGAGGTGGTGGTCCACAGGCTCTGCATTCTTGCAAAACAGAGGCACTGGGGCTGTGCTACAGAGAGTTGGTTATTCCTGGATTTCAAAATGGACCCACTTAGTCTCTAAAGCAACATTTAAGAGGCTCCTGAAACCCGAGTTCATTTTTCAGGGTCTGAGTTGTATTGTTGGGCAAATTCAGGTGCTGTAGAATTTCTCTCAGAACAAAGAAGCTGCGTAGGCACAGAGAATCAAAAGAAAACCATGCTCAAGAGAAAATGTGTGCAGAACAGTTACAGCCACTCAGTACTAAGTAACAGGGACATGGTCTCCCTCTCTGTTTAGAGATACTATTAGGCCAAATCGGGGAACTTAAAGGCTCTTCGTTTTACTTCCATGAAACAGAAGCACTTATTTTTTTTACATTTAACCAGATAATAAATCTCCTAGGTGCTTTGAGGGGTGCATAAAAGTCGTGGTTCTCACCTAATAAGAGATCAACACTCATATAGATAGCTAGTAGCATAACATGGCGTTAACTGGGATGATCACTGTAGCGTGGCACATAGTAGGTGCTTGTCACAATGATGTTTCCCCCTCTGTAGTGAGACCACACGTGTGATACAAGCAAACTGGCTGAAGGGATCAGAGGAAGGAGAACAGAGCCTGCGGCTGAGAGGAAAGACCACAAAGCTGAATTGGGACTTGGGCTGAGTCGGACAAAGGACACAAGGCCAGGGTGGGAATGTACAAGGACTGCTTGGCCCATAGTGGGGCAGCAGCTTGGCTGATTCAGTGCCTAGCTGTGGGGGTAACAGAGGCCTGCAGCCCCCTCACATACAGTCCCTTGACACATACAGCACTTATTTCCCATACAGACACGTGAGGAATGCAGTTTGACGTCGCCAGAAAGCTCTGTGTCATTGTTCAGAAAAGCAGCTGTGACTTTCTCTCTTAGAACACCTCACACTGTATTTATAAGAAGACATCACCAGACTTAGAAAGGGTGGGAGACGTTTTGGGAGATTAATGCAGAACATGGGTGTTTCATGCATCAGAAAAGCAGGAGTGTGGGGAACCTTCAGAATTGAGGAAGACGGGAAATAGGTTCAGAGGCTAGAGACCCTCTCTGATGGAGTCGTTAAAGAAGCAATTATGAAGAGTTAAAGAATTAAGCTTCTGCTCAAACTTTTTCTAAAAGGTCATGGGGAAAATTTGGGGTGTCAATCTGTCATACTTGGGAAAACAAGTTTTGCCTGTTGAATTTTCTGGCCCAGGCATCATCACTTAAAGCCAGTTATCCTCACTAATCTCAAGAAATTAGAAACATTGTCTGTAGTCTCAGTAATAGTCAAAGATTTTTTTTTAACTTTAAAAAGTTGGCTTCTTCAAGGACGTAATCAGCTCGTATTTTTGTCATTCTACCGTCTGCATAAGTGCTCACTCATTTTTTTCTGTGTTGCTTAAAAATAATCATTACCCTGACTTCTTTCTACATTGTATTCCATCTCTTCCTAACAAAATGCCATTTTTATCACCAAAAATTTATATAAATACAAAACCTTCAAAAATTATTCACTAGCTCTAAAACAAGAGGTGCAGATATCGACTTCTCATTCCAAGTCTCTACTGTACAGTTACTGCCTTTGTTTATGATTATAATAAAATTAAAATCCTCAAAAAAATTATTCACTGATCATCAGCATTGTTTCATCTACATTTCCACTCATTCCTTCCTCCGCTCACCTGCCAGATAATCTGCATTCAAATGCCCAACATTATATTTATAGGATTTTCTAATGCATCAGACATATTGACCATCACAGACTTTCCCACTGTTTTGTCTTTCAGGTCTGTGTTGTTGTCTTTGGGACCACAGAGCTGAGGCAAGAAGTTAAGTTGGATAGAGGGTTTGGTTTCTGCTTTTGTTTTGTGATGCAACCATAACAGACAGCATTCCACCTTCCACACACTTCCTTGAGCTTGCCTGTATTAGCTGAAGTTCACTCTCCACTTTGGCTCTGTCGGCAGACATGTCCGTTTCTGGGGAACTGGCTATCGCTTCGCACCGCTCTAGCCAGGTCAAAAAGGTGGACAGTTCTTTCTCTAGCCTAAAGAAAGCAGGAACACAAAACAAATTCATCCATCATTGTCATATTAGAAAACGAGGCCTTTCTGAAGTTGGAGTGTCCAACACTAACCATTACAAATGATACGACATTGGTTCTTATTCTTAGAAGTGAAAGTAAAAATGTTACTCCTCTCACATTTATATAAGCATCACACACATGTCTGTATCTCTGTGGAACATGGAAAGATATGCACACACTCTTTCCACTACTTAGAAACACAACTTGATGTGTTTAACGTCCGGGATGGTCATTGCCCATCACCGGGAGAACGGTTGGCCGGGGACATCCTATTCAAGAGGGGCTACTGAAACTCAGGCAGCCGACGCAGGAGGGAACGCTGCTCACCTCTGCCAGTGGGCGCGCAGGCTCTCCAGCACCGTCTGCCTCTCCTTAGCCCGGCTCAGCAGCCCCTCGTACCTCTGCTGCAGGGTCGCGGCCTCCTGAGCCGAGCAGCCTCCGTCAGTGACCTTCTGGGCACTGGCCGAGAGGGTGGCCATTGCGCCGGTCAGGGATTCCAGGGCCTGACAGAGATCCTGGGAAGGGACAGGAAGGGCGATGAAAGCAGGACAGCCAGAAACGAGGCCAACATGTGCCTTCAGGCCCATTCTCGCCAGCACCTCCCCAGTCACAATGGACAACAACGGAATGAAAAATCGTCTGGCCATGATTCCAGTGACACGGAGCGGCAGTGAGGAGAGAGGCACTTCACGGATGCAGGGGTCCAAGGGAACACGGGAGGACTACCGCCTAGAAGCACCTGTTGCTGTATGTGAAGATGATGTCTACTTTTTCTTAGCAAGTCAGATCATTGGTGAAAATTATTATTCATTTCATGCCAAATGTGTTTAGGAAAACTCTCTTCTTAATTTATGAGAACTGTGTGTGAGAGCAATAATTTCTATGAAACGTGTGGGGAGAGCTGTGGCTGACACAGCTGCTCTCAGGGATCAATGACAACAATGACAATGAGGTGCCTCAGCACGTGGCGAGTGCCATGCCATGTCCATTCCACACATCAGCTCGCATGATCTCCGCAGGACCCTGGAGGCTGATGCCCTTTCACCAACCCATTTTACAGATCAGAAGATCAAGACAGGGGAAAAGAACTTGCTTTGGAAATCTAAATATTAGCAAAAAATAGAATATTATTCTCTTTGGTACTCAATTAGTAACTCAGTTGTCTATTAAAATAATTCCATGAAATCCAATTTTCTTTTCTTCATTTGAGGGGTATTTTTTAAAGAATTAGGTGAGTAACACAAAAATGCGTTCTCATTATAAGTATTCCAATGATGTAAGCTCGCTGCCCTTTCCAGGTGCGCCTCTGCCAATCATCTGCTTTCTACCCCTGCAGCCCCTTCTCATGTATTTATGCACATACGTGTCCACATGCACACGGAATGGGGTAACATATTTTTGTTCATTAATTATCACGTATTTCTTTTCACTATTTCTTTAGGCCTGATTATCCTCCTTTGCTCCTTCCTTCAGTTCTGTCAGAGACTCTGTTTGTTCCTGTGCAAAACATCACACAGTGCTCACCGGTTCAGGGACCGGACCAAGAGCTGGTTACTGGGAAAAGGTGAGTGAGGCTGTATTCTCTGCACATCTGAGTGTAGTGGAGTTTAGGATCCGGCACTGCTATGCACATGTATTTTTTTGCACATCTAATTTTTGCAATGCTGGTTAAGAAGTAATAGGATTTATTAAAGCTATAATATGAAAAAGTTGCATGTTCTAATTAAGTGAGAGAAATAGATTTGAAATGAATACTTCTTTAACATACATTTTTAATAAAAACTTACTTGCACACTAATAGTTCTTGTGTTAAATGGAGTAAATATGCTTCATCTATATCGTCCTTCATGCAACATATAAGTTTCTTTAATTTTAATTCTCATAAAAATATTTACTGTTTCCCTTTCAAGCATAAATTATCAAATTTCTGAGTTGATAAGTAAGCAGCAATGTGGAAGCGTACTCTTACCAAATGCTCCTGGAGAGCTTTGTATGATTCCGTAGCTGAAGAACATGTTTTAATTGGATCGGCAAGTTTTTCTTCAAATTCAGACACAGATTGCTGGATCTAAAATATTGGTAAAACATAAAAATAATGGTGGGAAGAATACACATCAAGGTGGGAAAGGTTATCAAGGAGGCAGCATGCCTATGATTTCTGGGTAAAATGTGTTGGTAAAATATATTGGTTTTAAACATCTAAAATGAATGTGTCCTATTATTTCAAAGAAATATATATATCTTAATGCCTATCTGAACACAATGTATACAGACATTTTTATATTCCCTCAAAATATGTACCATATAAACAGCTATAAACTTAAGCATCCTTGACAACTTGGGAAATGATTGGCAAATCGTGTCATTTCCTTACTCCACTATGTCTAGACTATGTGTTGCATTTCACTATGAATGCAATGTGAAATCGGTAATGCTAGCATGCAGGGACCGATTCTTACCTTTCTAAGATGCTCTTCAAACTTTTGCTGCTGAGATAAATGTCCCAGGATAATTCCTTCCAGACTCTGCGCATGCTCTCGAAGTTCTTCCCAGTATCTTCTTATTTGTGTCAACTTGGCTTTGATTCGAGCCGATTCTCCCGCGGTAATAAACTGAGCAAAAGACTGAGCTTCTTCTTCTAGTTCTGTAACGCTGCTGATCTTACTTTCTATCTCCTGAATTGTGACCTAGTATTGACAATGAGAAAAAAGACAATGTGGGCTGAGCAAGCTTGCCTTCCTGAAATGGCATAGATGTTGCAGAGACAGAAAACTGACATTTCAATGTATTTGGATCAACACCACCATGTGTTTCCCGACCTCATTTTTGGTTGCTACAGATGCAGACAGTATCTAAAACAGGCATTGATGGTTGTACCCGCTGGACAGAGAACACAGAGAAAAAGCTATTCCTGCTTGGAGTGACGTAAGCAGGGAGACATCCTCGGAATTCTCGCAGTGTCTCGGAAGGCACCTAGAATTCCCTGTTTACCCTGTGAGTCAAGCATTTTAACCTCCTGACCTGGGGAACAGTGTGTTCCAATAATGCACAAGAATGCTAATATTGACATTTAAGTTTTCTGAAATGTAGTTGAGTATTTAATATTTTACCAGATGACATGCTTATCTGATTCCACTCCTACCTAAGCTCAGTCTTTTCACATTTATCACCTATTCTTTATGCCAGTGTATTCCAAATTTGGGATACGTTAAGATTCCCTGGCCCCCATCCTCAGTGCCTCAGGCTCAGTAGGTCTCATGTGGGGCCAAGCCTGCAATTCTAACAACTTCTCAGGAGTCGCCTCTGCTGCTGACCTGGGCCCCACTCTATGACCGCTGCTGTATTCACTCGCTGTGGGCTCTACAGGAAAGCATTTACTTGCTACAATTTCCATTGGGGCCACTTAATATATTATCCAACACATGAAAAGTGCGGAAGGCCCCTAATGACGTGTGTGCCTATGTGAGTGGAGTGTGTGTGTGTCTCTCATAACCATACAGGCTTATTTATGTATGAGGAAATAAGAATTTTTTTCCAAGAAAAACAGCCAAATTTTCCTATCAAAATAAAGCCAAGAATTCAGACAAACCTCTTTCAAATAATTGAAATAGAAAATACTGTTATCCTAGAAAAAAATAAAAGGGACGCCTGCCTAGAGAAGGCCATCAGAAATAACCCACACGAGATTAGTGCCAGCGTGTCACTTACTTTGTTTTCATACACATGACTAGTGCGGCACATTTCAGGGATACTTGTTGTGTGAGCGTTAATACAAGCTTCCTTTGTTTTGATTTTTTTTAAAGATAATATTTTTTAGAAAAATTTCTCACAAATTTAACAAAAATACATTTGCTCCTTCGGGCCAATAATTATTGTAGGTGCTTGCAACACCTCAATGAAACAATTTTAGTTAGCTTCAAAGCTGTTAGTTCTTAGTGTGGTGCACGTCATCAACAAATTAATAAGTGCAAATTATGTAATCACATTGTTGGACCGTGGCAACCATTTTTCTAATCCAAGATGAGAAGGTGGAAGATGAACCCAATACATATTCTTATCACCAAGTAGGAATAGATTACCAATTGGGGATAAGAAATCAGTCAATTTAGAATAGCGCATAATGGAGAACAAAAAGTGGGTGTACAGGTAAATATCATCACAACAGTGCCGATGTTATGAATCAGTTTTACCCTAAGGTTGCTTTAAATTTAAAACATGATCACAAGTATTACCATATTTTTAAATATTTTCTACAATTTAATTCTGTATGAAAACAGAACATAAAACCTATTAGCCCAGGTTCCACAGTAAAGAGTATTCCACTCTGTTTTTGCTTATTTCTAACAAATATGTATTTCTTGCTCTTCATATTCATTGACTATATTTACAAACAGTTTTCAAAATGCCATTTTGGAATATTAAAATATATTTCTACTCTGATGGCATAAAAATCCACAACTGAAAGTTCATATATTTAAAAATTAAATGTGTAATTGTTTGGTTTCCTGAAGCGCAACAATGCAATGGGATTTGATAACTGAGGTGTTTCAGAAGTCTTGGAGTTAAGAGTGAATGATAGTGAGACAAATTAATAGAGAGAATAAGCAAATGAAGAAGTGTATGTCAAAATATTTGAAAGACAAATTTTGAAAGAAAACCAAGTGTGCTATTCTTTATTTTCTTAGAATTTAGAGAAAGGGATTAAATGACAACTTTTCAAAATATCTTAAAAGACTGAACATATTCCACGAATATTCGTGATGGCTTGACCTTTGTTTTTCCTAGTGAAGTGCACACGACAGGAGCAGACCGGGCACGGCAGGCTCCGCGCAGCCTCAGGTGCGGAAGGCGGGTGATAAACCAGGATGCCCTGCACAGCGTGCCACCCAGGATGAGCCACGTTGCGCCCTCCCACCATGCACATGGCAATGACTTGCTCTGAGTCATAATGGGAAACGTTGCTTCACCTTCGCATTGATTTTACTGTGTTTAATGGGATGAAAGGGCAGAGGCTTTCCCCATTCCAATACAATGAGCTGGGATAGAAAACAAAAAGTGGCTGAATTTTTTAAATGTGAGGTGTAAAAACTACATATAAAAAAAGAGAAGTGAATACAGAATTCATTTCTTTTAGCCCATTTTTTTCTTAAACTATTTGAATGACGTGAAGGGTGATGGTCTGTGCACGTCGTTATTTTGGAGCGGAGGGAGCTCAGATGTCACAGCATCTTAGTCTGTGGCCTGAAGGTCATCGGAAATAAAAGAATTGGAGCAATGGGGAGTGATTGCTTCGCCTAAAGAATTTAATTTCTCCTCCTTATGGTTTGTGAGGGTAAACACCACTGATACTTGAACTAGGCATTTGGGATAATTCTGTACAGTTGTAGATGATGAATACAGTTCATGTTGTAGAAATGAATCAACAGAGAACTCCAATGGGATTCATTCAAAATCAAGGAAAAGAATAATGTAACCATAAAAGCATTTTAATAATATTGCACACAATATTGACTTTGAATGCTTAAGTCAGACAATATTAATACATAATTCCATCTATAAACAGTTGCCCAGCATCAATCAAGACCTCTTAGCTCAGCAATTTGTGTGAATTTAATTTGGATGGAGTCACATAGCAATGAAAGATTTGTCCTAGGACCAAATGGCATTTGATGAAATGTAAGAAAGGAATATGTTTTTTAGAATTTTCTTTTCTTTGTTGATTTTTTATTGAGAGACAGAATGAGAGAGAGAGAGAGAGAGAGAGAGAGAGAAACATTGATTTGTTGTTCCACTTATTTATGCATTCATTGGTTGACTCTTGAATGTGCCCCAATGGAACCCGCAGCCTCGACATATTGGGAAAATGCTCTAATCAACTGAGCTACCTGGCCAGGGCAGAAAGGAGCTTTTAAAAGCTAGGCATGGTTTACAAATGCAAGGAATGTGTGAGCAGGTCACCTTAATTTGGTTGATTTGCATGTCCATGGCAGATGACGAAGTTTCCAAGGCTTTGAGTTCTTTTTCTTTCTCAGTTATCCAGATGGACAGGGTCTCAAAATTATTGCCAAAATGATCCCACTTGTTTTTCACCATTTCCATGGTTTTAATACTAAAATTAACCAAATTCAGTAAATAAAATGCAGTATTTTAATAAAGAACAACAACACATTTTTCTTTAAATCACCAGGTGAAAAGATAGCTAAGACATTTGTGACCATGTCAAAGTTTAAACTGTTAGAACGGGGGAGGGGAGGGGACACATACATTCGATCAGATGAGTTTGTTAGTTCTCGTCTTCCTATCTCCTCTGAGAATGAGCATTTAACAAGAAAGCATCTACACCATGTTGTGAATGGAACTGTGCTTCGAACAAAACGTCGCTGGGTCCAAAGGAGGTGGAGTCCAGGGTTAACCTAGTTCAACTGTATGTGGCCAGTAGTTGCCAGGATCCCTTTGCATAAACTGCCCACATACATTCCAATGCACACCAGTTTTCAGCAGCCCTACCGTTACGGTCCTCTTGCTCCTAGAGGAGACACACTGCAGGGGTGCTTTCTGCTCAGAGATCTTTGTAAATGCATCTTTATGAATTAAGATAGAGCTTGTAACTTGAATTCCATGCTAATAGGCAGGGTCTGCTCTATCATTAGAGCTTGTCTATAATCTATAATCTATAATTTCAGCTATTCTTAGATGCCTTTAGTGTCTTGATTCCAAAATACTTTTATAAATCCCTGTACACGAGCACCCCAACTGCTTTTAGAGAATTTGGGCTTTATTTGTGAGAAATCTAGTGAACAAAAATTTAACTATAGATTTCCAGTTTGTATTAGCTCTGCCTAGATAACCACGTGATTATGGCTTTCAGTTTAGAAAAAGAGTAAGAAACTTATAGTCTATCATTGCACTAAATCTTTTGCTTAAAAAAAAGTGAATTTTCCATTTACCAAAAGGCACTTGAAAACATCAAGAAAAATACAATGGCAGAAAAATTGATTGTCAAATTAATTAATTTTGTAGTCTCAAATGTATACCCTGGATGTGCCTAATGCTCTCATGAGTACAGGTAATGCAAGCTATGTCATATTGCAAGTTTTTCAATAGAATAAAGATGCAAGTGCACATTCATTGTAAAAGTAGCTTCCTTTCAAATAAACTCTAAGTTTTACTATTTCCATACCTTGATGAATAATAATTAATATTTAAAGTTCTCAAAGTTTAGAGTCATAATTTCCTTTAAATAAATTATTTAACAAACTTTAAAGTTTAGACAGCGTATAATCTTAATTTCAAAGTGTCAAGAGTATTAAAGACAAATTTTATATTTCAAAATCCATCTTAAAAATTATGTCTTATACCTTAAGAATGTATCAGTGATTTGCCACTAAATAACCTTTAAAATAGAAATGTTCAGTCATATTATTCTCAGGAACCTTGGCCATATTCTCAGATGTTTATTCCCTTTAATTTTTTATGTATATTCTGTGCATAACAAGAAACTGTAGGTCAAGGATTTTCAACCGGTTTGTTGTAAGAATTTTAAAAACATGCAGTACCTATTTTTTCCCTTAGATTGTTCCATTAAAAAATGACAACAGCCAGAACAACAATAGTCATCCATGGGAATGAATCAAAATTATACCTATTTTTTGTCAGATTGGCAAAAAATATGTATGTTTTGTTGTGCTGAGAATTTTAGTAATTGGCAATGTGCACCATGAGACAAAAAGGTTGAAAATCTCTGCCATAAGCCAAACTACTCTCACTTTCTTTTTTAGGTAAACATATATCAAATATTTACAAATAGAATAGATTTTTGAAGTCAATTTTTGGAAATAGAATATCTCCCAGTGGAATTTGAATACTGAGGCACTGTTAATAAGCTTTGCTAGCTTAGAGATGAAGACGTTTGGATTCTACCCTATGTATTTAGGTTCAGAATCTGCACAACCAAAATATCTCTTCTTTCTTCTAACTGGCAACAACAACAAAATTCAGTAAAAAATTATTTTCAATACTGGTTCTTTTTTGAGATTTCCCTCTTCAATGTATGAAGGCCACAAAATTTAACAGATATGGCTTTTTCACAAACAGAATCAGTTTATGATGCAAAAACCACATCCCTTATACTTTTCTGCTCTGTTATGGTATATAAAGGTTGGCTTCTGGGTTGGTGGCATTCATCTTTTGAATTCTGAGTCGCTTCCTCAAAACATGCTGAACTACACAGACACTTGGAGATTTTAAGAGAATGTTTTGAACACAATACGCAGGGAAGACTGTACGAAACTGTATCTCAGAGAAGAAAGCTTAGGACTTGTCAAGCACATACTCTTCTTCAAGGGTGTCTTCTAATTTTTGGACTTGCTCTTTGATGGACTTGGCCTGCTGCTGGAGCCGCTGCTTATTCTTGGGCCCGAGCGGTATCTCCGAAGCTTCCTTCACAAGATTCTCAGCCTGAACGGCGATACCTTCAGTTCGTTTAGAGAACTCCTAGAAAAATAGACAATTATAATTGTTAGGAAGGCACCTCCCATTAAACTCTGCCCTCAAATATATCACATATATGTGCTGAGGAGTCTCCCACAAACCGGATGGATGGGTAGGTTCACACCTGTATGAGCATTAGCTCATGAATGCACGGAGTAATGAAACCCATGTGTTTTCTTCCTGGCCAGAAGAGACTTAGCTAAATTGTTTTCATTTTATATACACAAGTGGGTACAGGCCTTCGCAGTTATCCAGCCATTCTCACACAAATGTTTTTTCATTGTTTCCTGGGTTGAGTTTATTGTTTAAAATTCTGAGCTTCATTCTAATAATTAACTTACCCACAAATATGTTAGTGTATTACAGGCCAGTTCAGGCAATGATCAATAGTGATTGATTATCTTTATTTTTCAATCATAAAGATAATAAATTTCTAGAGCAATACATATAAACTTTTGTTTATGCAATTGAAGAATATCTGGGTCAATCAGAGTATCACTGTTATTTACTCTAAAGAAATATTGTGTTAGCTGGTTCTCTGAAAAGAGATGTAATCTGATATTAATGTTGTTAAACATATTTACCATATAGTCATATACTGTATGATGGACAGAAGGAAAGTTTTCGTACCAGTCAAACCTAGACTAGAATCTTGGATTTGAAAATTACTAGATTTTGGCTTTGATGGATTACTTTTCAGGTCTGGCTCTTTAATATAAAATAGTGGTGTTTTTCTTGTGAGGTCATTGGTAGCATTTAATTAGCAACTTCATTTTTAACTGCCTGGCACACTAGCAAGTGTCTATCATAATTTGTTTACATCTTTCACGTAAAATTGGGGAAAAAATAGTTTATAAGTTCACACAGTGATTTTCAGTAAGAGTGAACTACCTTAATTTGAAATGAATATATTTGAGGCACTAATAAATTTTAGCTATTATCTGAATTTTGTTAGGTAAATATGTTGAATAGTGAATTTAAAAATGTAAACCAAGCGATGATCTTGAGTGAAAAAGATTAACTAGTGTCTCATTTCTTCTCATGTAAGAAAATATCACAGGAGGTTTAAATTTTGATCACAAAAAAAAACCCTCTAATAGGTGGGTAATGTAGAAATACAATGTAAATAACTTTTTAAAGTCAACTTTTAATAGCCATCTTTGGCCACAGAGCACCTCCCAGAATTGTTACATAATGCCATGTAAGATAGAGTTACTAAATAATCCTATTATAACTTCATGTTTGGAAAACTCCATATCTTCATAGAAATATCAACATTATTTCAAAGAAGTACCCTGTAATTTAAGGGAATAAAAATGAGTAAGTACAGCTTCCTTACAGTAGAGGGATTTATAATGTCCAAAAATATGGTATCAGTATTTGCTAATGTCACAACTTTATAATCCGAGTTTATGAATGCCCACTATTGCTATATGTGAGCTTACAGTCACTGTAGATTCAATTATGAAATCCAAAGTCTAGACCTTTGTAGATAATTGAGTCTAGACCTTTGTAGATAATTGAGTCTACAGTGACTGTAAGCTCACAAATAGCAATAGTGGGCATTCATAAACTCGGATTATAAAGTTGTGACATTAGCAAATACTGATACCATATTTTTGGATCATTGTAAATCCCTCTACTGTAAGGAAGTTGTACTTATTCATTTTCATTCTCTTATCTTTGGAGTTCATAATGTTCCAGAATCCCATGAATGGAATCAGAAGTATAAAATAGTATTCTTTCCCTTAGTGTTTCCCAGATGCAAGGAGAAACCACAGAGAAAGTAGAGCTATGTCTGACATTGTTTATATACAGTCACCAAGAGCCTCATGCAAGCTACGAATGGGGCAAGCACAACATCAAGGAATCCAAAGAACAGAATGGTGTTGACAAAGCCTGCTTTAAACAAAAGTAGGATCACAGTGTAAGGCTTTTCATCTACATCCTAAGGAGACGGCGTGAGTGGCGGCAGGAGGTGGCAGGAAACAGTGGACTCGGGCATGGGATCGGCCTGGAGTCGAGCAGGCTCCGTCCTTGGCGAGCTGCGTGACCTTAGGACACGTAGCTCTCCGAATGCTCCTTAAGTCATCAGCAAAGCCTTGTTGTGAAGATTAAACATGATGTTGCCATGAACACCCGCCCACACACTGGCAGGCAGAAAGCGAAGTTCCTTAGCACAACCCCTCCAGGGCTACAACTGGGATAAAGGCTGTATTAGCAATGACAAGTGAGCAGAGAAATAGAGAACAATTCTTCTAGCTTACAAGTGCCTGTGCGGCAGCATATTTTAAAAATGAAAGTAGAACAGAGTAGCTAAGAGTCTGGGCTCTGGACTCAGGCCTCTTGGGTTTGAATCCCAAACTCACCAGGCAGTAATCCTAAAATCTTACATGAATTCACTAATAGCTATGACCCTTATATTTCCTCCTGTATACGAGGGGATTAACACTGGTACCTATTTTTTAGAATTATTTGGGTGAAATTAAAGAAGATGATAAACATCAAGTGATTAGCCCAGCATATAGTATATATTCAATTAATGTTAGCAGATATTATTAAATCACCCCCAAAGTATGAAAGATCATGGGTTAAGGAAAGTTTTAATAAGAATAAAAGGTTACATTTGTTGCATTTGTAGCTGATAAACTGACTCAAAGGACCACAGGGTGTCAGACACCCTGCATGGAACCTGTGTGGAACCCCTATATGATAATTAACCCAATAACTATAGTTGTATTTATTTTTTAAAAGTCTGGTGTATTTTAATGTATAAAATAATTAAAATTAAAAGTAATGTTCTACTTAAATAACTGGTGAAAATCATACAGAATCAAAAGATTAAGTAGTCTTATAAACTTTCAGTTCCTCAGTTAATAAGAGATATAATAAAAAAGAGCGGATGAAATGCAGAAAAGCTTTTCACTGGTAAGAAAACAAAAACTGAAGGATGTACTTCCTAAAGGCGGTAAAAGGATAAATAAAAGAGTATTCTTTCCTATGCATTGGCTGATGCATTTTAATACTAATTCAGTCTTTTTATAAACTCCAAACACCAAAGCAGGAGCCAAAATAACCTATACAAGCCTCCAAATCCTTTGTATGAATCTATCAGTCTGCTCTGAGTGTCCAGGGCCTTCCATGTACAGGCTGGAGCTCACCGTGGACGACAGCTACACGGTGCCTCTTGGATGTGCCCCCGGAGCCTCATACTCCTTCAGTTGCAAACAGGGTTGGTCATCTTTCCCCACGACAGCTGTTCCTTCAGGTTCCTGCCTCACTCCCATTGCCTCTGGAGACTCAGAACCCTGGGTATCATCTTCTTTTCCTTCACTCTGTGTCTCTTGCATCTGTCACCACCGCCACCCCCTTCACCCTCATTCCCGTTCATGTCAACGCATACATGCGTGTCTTTCTAATTGGATCCCATGGCTCCAGGCTTTCACCCTCGCAACGTCCCACACCCGCTTGAACACTCATCTCCCTAAAGCACCGCCCTGATCACATGACTCTCTTTCTTAAAACCCTTAAGTGCTCCAGGTGGCCTGGAGAGTCTTTGCTTTACAACTGTGCTTCATTTTTCTGCTTTACGACATGGAATCCCATATCTCACACTGTTATACTTTATGTCATTTCTCACTTCAGGAATGATCATTATCTGCCCCAAGTTCTGCTTTCTGTCTTTACCTGCCCTTCAATATTCAGCTAGAAATATCACTGTCTTCAGAAAAAAATGTTGTAATGCATTTGTCTATTAGGGAACTATTTTCCATTTTAATGAAAACTTTCTCTCAGTTTTTGATGTTTAAATCTTGTTTATGTTTTTGTTTCCCAGAGAAACTGGACCAGTGTATTTGTGAGTGGATGATCAAGAAACAATAAGTATTGATTAAATGCATAATTATAATAACTAACGGCAATAGGGAGGGGAAACACAGTTTTTCCTCTGAATGAATACCAAGGGACTCTATGTCTTACTGAGGATATACCTTTGTCTGTTCCAATTCTGAAGATAAACTTTCCAAGCTGCTAAAACTCAGGAAGCGCTCATGGTTGGAACCTGTTTGAAAAAGGTATCTGACCACTGTCTCTTTGTTGGTTTCAAATCGCTCCCATTTTCTTAATGTGACCTAAATTAAAAAAATATATAAATATCACATAATATTATGAATTATCAAAGTATGTCACAAAATAGTGTTCGCATTCCCATTCTTTGTCAGGCTGTCAACTGCTAGTTAAGCCTAGCAGTTCAATGGTTACACCGAATAAGGATGATCCTAATGGCCTCCACAGGAATTTCCCCTTTGAGTCTCAGTTCATCTACAAAAAGAATATGTGTGAACTAGGGCTCTGAGTTTTCTACCAGCTTTAATGTCCTATGAATCTAAGGATAGTGCTTTAAGTGTCGATAAGGGACAAAGGAAAAGAAAGCCTCCCGTATTGTGTCAAAAAGAAAAGAAAGAAGGAAGGAAAGGAGGAAGGAAGGGAGGAAGCAAGCAAGCAAAGAAGGGAGGAAGGAAAAAAGGAAGGGAGAAGGGAAGGGAGGGGAGGGGAAGGGAAGGGAAGGGAAGGGAAGGGGAAAGGGAAACAGGAGAGAGAGAAGAAAGGGCAGTGGGTAGCAAGCTGGGGGCAAAATTCAAAAGCGTTATTTCAGGTAATGTGTCAGGATCCCAATAAAGCCTAACAGCATGGCTGCTGGACTGGGCAACATGAAATAATTCATTGTCCATTTCTAGATTCAGGCTAGTGTGAATTAAAGCCCTGGCTTTATTGTTGATCACTGCTCTGTGTCTTGGAGTCATGTCTTCAAACTCTTTCTTTTGGAAGCGTCCACACTTGCAAAATGTGCTCATTGTAGTTACCCATCTCATAAGGCTGATGTGCTGCTTACAAGAGATCACTCATGTGGTGGATGGAGCATCATAGGTGGAAAGGAACGTTTTCTCCCACGAGCAGGAGGTGCAACCCGTGCCCGGAAGTTAACGCGGCCCTGGACTTCCCGTCTCCCACCTGGATGCGGCGTTCCTGCTTCTCCCTGCTGCGCTCCAGGCCATCCAGGGTGCTCTCCAGCTTCTGCAGCTCCTCCTGGACCTGGCCGGGCAGCCCGCCTTCTCCCTGCTGAGCCTGTGTCATCTGCTGCTGCACGTCCCTCTTCTTTGCACAGATCCTCTTTGTCTTTTGCTGGAAGCATTTGTTCAACAGGTGGACCTAAGGTTACTCTCCGAGCAGGACCATAGACACCCATGCTTTAGGACAGGTGCAAAATGCACGACCTCACACAGTGTGGGCCCCTGCTACTTTAAAGTTAACAGGGACAGTAAACACTGGGGATGAGGACAGTGCATTCATCCAAAATGGGCATTATTTATAAACAGTTGATGTTGTGAATGGTAAACAACATAATTAATTTGGTCTTGGTGTTTTAACTGAGTGCAAATTCAGACATTTAGCACTTTGTGCAATATTCCAAAAGGAATTTGGCAAAACTATTCATTTGACATGGTTCTCCTAAAATAATTATTTTTCTGCTTAAACACACAAAGTTCTAACTCCATTTTTAAAAATCATTTATGCTCTAAAAAGTGTGAATATTAAGAAATTGCATTCCTGGGCATACACAGAATGATTAATCAGCTGAGCTATCTAGGGAAAGTTAAGTTTTAAAATAAACTTTTTATTGAATTATAATGTACAAACAGAATGGTATGCAAATCTCAAGCATACAGCTCATGAATTTTCACAAATAAACACACACATAACCAAATATTTGATTCAAGAAATGTGAAATCATAAAATATAATGTAAGAATCTACAATCTCATATTTCTCTGACTTAAAGTAAATTAAAACCCAAACACAACTTTTATAAGAATTGGGAACAATGTAATATCAAGCATTAACTTCTTTTGCACTTACAGCCTTTTTACAATGACTAATTATCAGTGTATCTATAAAGCCCAGAAGCTGCCATTTTATGCATACCTTTAGTATAACTCCCATTTTTATATTATTATATTTATGATTAACGAGATTTGCTGTATATTAAGTTAGCTAGAATTTTGTCATTAAAATATTTTATTTGAATTATACTTCTACTGAGTTTGACAAGTGAAGATGATCCAAATTGCTTATCATCAATACATGTACCATAATTTCATTACTTCCAGTGCTAAGCCTAAGTAAACATACTCTCTGAAAGGCCCGGCACGTCATCTAAGTTGCAATTTCCCAAAGTAAAATGTATTAAAAATTGTAAATTGAAAAGTGATATTTTAATATAATGACAAAAGAATGTTGATCTCAAATATGAAGCAATTATCTCTATGCTTCCAGTCTCTGTCATGAAAAGGACAATTTGCAAGTTTTATGAAGGTTTTCACAGCTAACTCAACTTTCCCTTCCTGATATTTCTTGACCTTTTTGGTGCCATCCAATCACTCCGGCTGGGAATTTATCTTGCAGGATCTTTGAAATATTTAATATTTAACCATTCAGCTGGGCTCCTTCCAGCACACCCTGCCCCCTTTCCCTTGCCCTTGCCCAGTGGATACCCCATTCCCCATGCTGGTTCTGTCCATCATCCACTGATCAATTTGCCATGAACGTGTTGGGGAGAGAGGCATTGTACCTGGTGATGAAGAAGTAACTGCTGCGCTTCAAACAGGTTTTCCGTGTCCAAGATCTTCTCAGCTTCCTCCTGGACTTCTTTAGAACCAGACATTAGCTCTTCAAGGGAACTCTGGACTATTTCTTTGTACTGGACACAGTCCCCAAAACTGCTTAACATCTTTTCGACCTAGGTTTTCGTGAAAAAATTGTAAATCATATGCTCATGTAATCTTAAAGATTTTGAATAATTTGTATAAAGCCTTTCTCATCTACTTGAAATATATACACAGATCCCCGACCTTTATTCCCTCATATATTTCAAGGCTTTTTTACTCATTATTCAACTGCACAGTCACTTCTGGGAGTTGCAAGTCTCCTTTGACATGGTGCTGTGTGCCATATTAAAAACCTACTCTACCTCAAAATCAAGGCGGAATAATAAATCTGTATATATTGTATATATCGTCTCCTGGATCCTTTTAATTCTAATTATTTAAAAAGTCTAGTTATTAAAAACCTAATTATGGAAAAAGTGTGTTGTAAGAAAGTTATGTTTATTCTACTTAAACTAAGGGGAAATTTTGCATAGAGGAAAAAGAACTAAAAGGGTATTTATTGAAAATGCACTTCTAATAAGTGTAATACATAAAACAATATACTTTCTAATTTTATGGGGTTTTTTAGTGGATTCTTTTTCTTGTCATTTCCCCTAATTTTCAGCTTTGTCTTTTGCCTAATTTCTGCTTCCTCTATGTTACTATACAAGCATGTTTTTATTTTCAAAGTCTACCTCCCTCCATCTTCACTGGAGTAATCATTTTAACATCGTATTATCATCTGTCTTCCACAGAAGCCTTCAGTGTCTCCTTCTCTCATGCTCTTTTTTTTTCTGTGACCCTCTTCTGCTCTGACTTTGTCCCAGGTAACTTGGAGCGTGCTGTTCTCCAAACAAACAGAAATAAAACCCTATGAAAACCACATAGCTCTCAGTAAATCACAGCTCTGGGGAAAGAAGTGACTTTTCATTATATATCGTTAATCCACAGCCTTTCTTTCTTACACTAGACAATTGTAAACACTTTGTGTTCAATTAATTTAAATACTAAATAGATTATAATCGAAGGAAGCCCTGGATGTGTCAAATTCATCTTTTTATATCAATATTTACATGAACAGAATATTTATTTTCTCTGCCCCTTTTTTCGCTCTGTTTAAGTAACAAAAAGGGTATTAAGATAAACTATACAGAATACATATGAGTGTGCAAAGAACTCATGCCTGCATGTGTTAGATTGTTGCTACAGGTCCCATGAGAGTTTCTGAAAGATAAAGCAAATAAACGGCCTTGATAAAATGTTAGGGTGAATAATAATTTCCAAATTTAAAGGTTGCCAAAGTGGTTGTGTGTCTATAATAGAATATAAATTAATCTTTTGGCATGACTAAAACCATTTGGTAGATCTTGGATCAAGGATTATCTGCACATATACTTACTTTTTTGTATTAGTATCCTTACTCTTATCCTTCCCTTCTTGAGCAAAGGAGAAGTTGAGACAAATAATACCAGAATTTCATTTAAAGTATGGTATGGCAACTATCTAAACTTGGTTACTGCTATGAAAGATGGGTCACCTAAGCATCAAAATAGCTTATGTTCCAAAATTTAATTAATCTGATTGTTGTTTTTAATTTGTCAAAAAAAAATTTTTTAAAGATTTAATTTATTTATTTCCAGAGAGGGAAGGGAGAGAGGGAGATAGAGAGAGAGAAACATCAATGTGTGGTTGCTGGATGTCTAGGACTGCAACCCAGGCATGTGCCCTGACTGGGAATCAAACCTGCGACACTTTGGTTCGCAGCCCGTGCTCAATCCACTGAGCTATGCCAGCCAGGGCTTGTCAAAAAAATTTTAAGAATACTGTATGTTACACATCAAAATTATCATGTAGAACTAAATCATAAGCAGTTGAGAGTATCTTTGGCTTATATAAATTCATTTATAGAGTCTTAGGTAGATCTATATGGATTAAAAATATAAAAGGTTAACTATCAAACTATGATATTAGGGACAGCTAGAGAGAATTCCAGATCTTCAGCATAAAGGGACTTTGTAGTCATTCAATTAATCATTGTTTCTTGCACGTTTATTAATGATTTCAAGAAATACTGGTAGCTTGCTATTCAACTTTACATTCTCATATTATCTTCTAGGCACAAACCCAAAAAGGAATGGATCTGATAAGCTGTACACCAACCAATCTGAAATTACATATCCAACCATGACAGAGACCATACTTCCAACATTCTACTCTTCTTTCCCACCAATATTCATACATATCAACCATTGTGTTTCAACTAAGATTTTGTCATATACCTACTAGGTAGATTACAACCAAAAGAGAAAGGACCTTCGGAGTCCCCCTCTCCCCAGACCTGACTGTTCAGAGTGGGAGGAAATGACATACCTCTGACAACAAACTTCCGAAAGCCTTGAAGGAACTAGACAGTTTGGCCAGCTCATCTCCCTGCTTCTGGGCTTCTTTCTCAGAGGAAACTTCAGTCAAATCTTTAAGTCTGGACTTCAGCCAGCTGAGAGTCTCGCCTTTTTGGGTAACGCTGTTTCTTATCTCCTGGAATGGAAGAACACTCTTAATGAACAAAATGCAATCGTGAACATAACTTTCCAGAAAGAACAGATTCAAATGAAGAAGGCAGGTCAGGTGGAGGTAGGGAAGCCAGACAGTCACTCACCAATGGAGTGCCTGCTTGTACTACTTTGCTCTGATCCTTCACAAAAGTCTACAACAGTGAGAAAGAAATGGTTCTCCAACACTCATACTTTATGTGGAAAGTCAGTACTCCCTATACCAAAATCACCTTCATAATCACAAGGCTAGAAATTTAGATACCCTGGGTCACAGCAAAGATGCTTCAAAAAGTCTCGAAGAAGAATATATGATACCAACATTGGGAATTGTAAGTATTTTGTTACTTTGCCTTCTGTGAGCTGGAAGGAACTTGATATTTTTTAAAGATTTTATTTATTTATTTTTAGAGAGGGAAGGGAGGGAGAGAGAGAGAGAGAGAGAGAAACATCAATGTGCAGTTGCTGGGGGCCGTGGCCTGCAACCCAGTCATGTGCCCTGACTGGGAATTGAACCCGTGATGCTTTGGTTCGCAGCCTGCACTCAATCCACTGAGCTACACCAGCCAGGGTGATATTTTTTGCAGAAAAGAAAAAAGAATCTCTTTTTAGCTAGCTAATTCTTCTATTGAACAGTTTACTCATTGAACATGATTACAGATGACCTAAAGATTTATTTTAGCTTTATTAACTCATAGTTTATGCCTCATTTTTAGTTAGGTTTTAGAAGTCAATACCCCAGGGAGTAAGAGACACAAAGAAGACCTCAACTCTCATCCAGGAAGGGAAGGGGTGCTGGGCAAGACAACGCCAGAGAGCCTGTGGGGCTCCAGGCTGGTAGGGCAGGGGACTCAGGGCGAGGTGGTTCAGGTAGCCCCTCCTTCCTACACCCACCCTGGGGAGCACAGGGGCAGAGTGCTTTCCAGCCAACCACATGTTTTGCTACCGAGGGTCTCACAGGGCAAACCATTCCAGCCAGAAAATAGCTGGTTCCAGAAGTGAGTTATCTCTTCATGCTGCCATGAGATGTTTTGTTGGTACTATGACCGCAACCAGTAGTAAACACGGGGCAGAGCAAAAGTAGGCTCACAGCTGTGAGTACACGGTTCAGAGTTCACAAGCTACTATGATCATCACAGCCCGCATGTAGTTTTCCGAACGAACAACTGTAAACCTGCTTTTGTCCCACCCTGTATAGCCATTCTCCCGTTGGTAAAGCATGATGCTACCAAGCACCTCTGGCCTTTAAGGGGATTCTACATTTAATATAAAAATGAAAGAGGATAGAAGCAGAAAGAAAAAAATGTCCTTATTCACAAAAACTATGAGGCTTGCAAGGGTTCAAAACACTGAAAGATAAAAAGCATACACAACAGCATCTGTCTAGAATCCTACGGGCCAAGCCAAGAGGGAGAGGATTGCAGCATGCCGTTCACAGAATGCGAGCTGGTTTAGACCCAAGGCGCTGTCACAGCTGGGTTATCAGGCTGTCCCCAGGCTCACAGGGGGTGGTCCGATCCAGATGAATGTGACATAGAAAGAATGCTTAGAGACCTTGCCCGAATCCCTCATTTCCTGTGACCTGGCTTTTAAGTAGCTAAAATGTATTGTGTTAAAAACCTATAGCGTTCTTTTTTTTCTTTGGCAGTTCTTAAATCTCTGCTGTGCTGTACACCCATGCACACAATTTTCTTCACAGGGTTCCCCATTAGCTAAAGATGCATGAAAAGCACCACTGAGCATGCCTGAATCTCAAAGCCAAAAGTGATCCAAGAAAAAAAGTCCCTGTAGTTCTCACCATAACATGAGGAGACATATTTTTTTTAAAGATTTTATTTATTTATTTTCAGAGAGGGAAGGGAGGGAGAAAGAGAGAGAGAGAGAGAAACATCAATGTGCGGTTGCTGGGGGTCATGGCCCGCAACCCAGGCATGTGCCCTGACTGGGAATCGAACCTGTGACACTTTGGTTCATAGCCCGCGCTCAATCCACTGAGCTACGCCAGCCAGGGCAGGAGACATTTTAAAGTTAATTTTCAGGAACTTGATTTTTTATAGAAAGTAAAAAAGACATCAGTTAGATTCTCTATCTTTGTGTTTTATTAGTGGAGATTTTCCACTAAAAAGAAAAAACAACACATCTCAGAGCTTACCTCTACAGCCCGCTTAACATCTCCGTGGTTGGCAGCGTCGATGGTCTCATTCCTAATCCCCTTCAACTGTGCTTCCTTCGCAGCGACCCAAGATGAGAGCTCAGAAAGTCTGCAATAACACAGGAGTTACCTTACTAAAGGAAGAGCACGTCGGGGTGGTTGGAATACATTTTCTATTTTGAATTCATTCACGGACACTTAGCAAACTGATGAACACATTTACGAGAAACTCCTCCTTAAAGAAATGTGAAGCCCAGGGCAGGGGCGGCCACCTCTGTGCCTCAGTCATTGGAGGGAGAGAAAAAGCGGAGCAGGCAGGGGTCCCCCGAGGAAAAACACGTGTCTGTCCCAGGGCCTGGGCACGTGGGAGGAAGGACGGTACCACTCGAGGTCTGCTCTCACGTGTCCCCACCAGAATGAGGCATAGCCCTAGCGAGTCAGAAGTCCTCCTTTAGGGAGATGTGGTAATCCAAGAGAAAGAGGTGAGGCAATTCTGCCTCAGATAGGTCATATCTGAGTCATCTGGAAATAGAGCGCCTCATTGTTTATGACTGAAATGCGTTCTTTTTACTGAATGAAGCATTTCTATAGAAACACATGGGCAACATCACACCATCTGATTTTCTTTACGGCACGTGTTGAAATGCATGTCGTTTCTTGCTTTGTAAGAATCTCTGCATTAACAGAATTAAGACGGACTACGTCCTTGTCTGGAAACAGTTCCCAGACTACCTGCTGGTGTAGTCCTTCCACTTGTCTGTGTCTTCCACCAGCTTCGCATAGGTGCTGTCCACCGCCACTCGGAGCTCCCGGAGAGTCACGTGACAGGCTTCAGGCGTGTTCCTGACTGCGTCACGGACTGGGAGCTTCACACACAGCTCTTCGATGAGCTGCAACCTTTTCTCGCAGAGATGATGAGGACCCTTGTCACTGAAGAAAATCTAACGAGCAATAAACAATTGCATAATCACAGTGAGAAGCCAGACAATTCTTTTATATGTTCATAGAAAAACCAAAGGCAGATTCCATTTAGACTATCAAGGTAGAGTAATTAAGCTCTTTAGTGTTTCCAGACTCAAATCCAAGTATCTGTTATATCCTTTAAGTGACAACACAAAGTGACTTTGCACGTGTGTGACTTTGCACGTGTGTGACATACCCTGTGCTCTTTAATGATCTTCTCACTGCCTTCCTGGGGCACCAGCTTGGTCTCCCGGGCCAGCTCAGCTCTGCATTCTTCTACACAGGCCAAGAATCTGTTCTTCTCCACGTCGATCTTCAGACGAAGCAAATGATATGGGACTTCTCCTTGAAGATCCTACATTCCACAGAGGCAGATTTGGAAACATATAATACCATTGCTGGTGATGTATGTTTTCAATCAAAGTGCCAAAACCATAGAATATTTCCCTTAGGGCCAATTGGTGTCATCAGCACTGTTTGCTTCCGGCCTCCGAGCTTTGTACTTTTCCGGGGGCTGCACATAGGGTGTGATGATTCTATTTCATTTCTACAATGGCCCATACAGTACTAATGTTCCCACTTTTCAGATTAGACCATTGAGGCTTAGGGGTAAGTAGAAAAAGGTAAATGAATCTAGACTTCAATCGCATACTGATGACACATACCTTCTCCCTAGCACGTGTCCCTTTTAGTTTTGGCAACAACCCTGTGAGGTAGGGAGGATAGATATTACACTCCTTATACACAGGGGGAAAGCAAGGAAGCCTCATTAGGTTTAGTTATCGGAAGACATTGCTTCATCCTCACCCCCACCCCCAGGGCTTTGCTTCTTCTTAAAGTCCCAGCTTAGAACTGATCACTTGGTTCGCTTGTTCTTAGTTTCCGGGTGGGCCCTCCTCTCTCCTTCAAAGGTTTCCCAAATATAGTGCTTCCACTTTTCTGGACTTATCATATATTATACTTATATTATGTGCAACGAATAATATCCCCTATGAGACTCTACGTTCTTTGGGGAAAAAGATTATATTTAGTTCATCATTGAATCCTTAACCAAAAAATGTTTTTATTTCTATTGTTAGATTGTAACAATAGAATGATAAAATCCTTGAGAACAGGATCGAGCAAATGCATATATGTATATATTACGTGAAGTAGAATCTCAGTAATACACCCGACATTACTCAGATGAGAAGAGCGCACTAAATGTTGCTGAATCAGTAAAAGACTCTCATGATTCCTGCTCAGAAAAAAAAAAAAGGAAAATGAGTGCTCTTAAGTAATATGATAATAATAAATTGCTGGTACTAAAAAAATAGGAATAACAAAATTCTATCGTTTGCATCACGTTCTATTCAAGCTCATTTTTTAATGGGAGAAGCAGCTCTGGTGGCTTTCCCGAGTTTCTAACTTTCCCCTGCAGTGGAGCCCCAGCCCCCTCGTGCTCCCTCCCATCGCCGGACACCACATTCCCGTCAGTCCCCACTCACCTTCCACTGCTTGTGGAGCTTCCTCACAGCCTCCTGCAGGCCCTGCTGCTCCTGCTCGGGCAGGATGTCGGTGAGCTCGTCGCAGGCTTTCAGGAAAGCGTTGAGCACCCTCTGGTCCAGCTGGCTGTAAAACTCCTGCCGTGGAGACGGAGAAGGTGGTTAGGAGTGCTGGGCCGGAGAAAAGCAGTGCCAGACACTGTGCAGTGAGGCAGTCACACCTCTGAACATGCCTCTTAGCCAGCGGCTGCCCTCATCCAATATTGTGAGCAACTACCACTTTTTTGTTTTGTTTTGTTTTGTTTTAATCTCCAGGGATAAACTGCAATCAGATAGAGCTATCACATCTAAAATTCAACTAGTATTTTTTAATTTTTAGGAAAGAAATATTTGCGAGTTTTGCATTTGATAGAATATTCTGGAAGGCCAAGGGGAGAGCCTAACACCTTGACCCCACAGTCGTGGGGATGAGCTCACCGTGTGTTTCTTCAGGAGGTCTTCTGGGTTCCCCTTCTCCTCTAGGCCCTCCTGCGCCATCCGGAGCACCTTCTCCAGCTCTGCGCGAGACTCCTCAAATTTCTTCATCAAGCGACTGTTGGTTTCCACGTGCTTCCTCCAGTCCCCAGTTTTCTTGACCATGTTCTTGATTTACAAAAACGATCATAATGTGATGTGTTCTCATTACTTAAAATATCACGTTGTCAAGGAACAACACTTGAGTCCATTTTGTTATAATGAGAACAATCAGCCCCCTTTTTAATGTTGATGAATAGTCATATTAGAAAAAGAAGTAAAATTTAGTTTCCAAAAACCATCATGAACCGTGATGATTTTGTGACCTTATTCTTTGTGCCTTCCCTCACTCCCATTTGTAACTCAGGGAGAGAACTCACCTGGAAAGCAACGTGGGCATCTGCAACCTGCCTCTGCAGCTTCGTCTGATCAAAGTGCTTCAACACACCACTCAAGGCCACAAACTTCTGAATACTTTGACTGCCTTTCTCAATTTGCGCCATGGTTTTCTTACAGCTTTCTTGACAGGCTAACAGTTCCTACACGGGAAGAAAAGCCACAACAATAGTATTTAATAGGGCAAGACAGAAAATAAAAGAGAGTAACCATTGAAAATAAAAGGAACACCATTATACAGCATTTAGGCTTTTAACCAGCAATAAATAAAATAAAAACACAGAGAGGTTTTTTTTTTTGCAGAATTTTAAGCCATCACTGAAGTCAAGGCTTTTTATTTAAGACATTTAAATGTCACATTGAGTTTTTGAGATTTTTTAAATATTTCATGCCCATCTTATTAACATCGAGAGAATGACAGCACATCAGAATTGTTATTAGTCTGGTGCCTGCATTTCTCCAACCAACTAATAGGCCTATGGTCTACTGAGCGAATATAATAAAGTCAATCTACATAGCTGGTTTTAATCTGACTAAATAAATTTAACACCATGCATATTATTATACTTGACCGAGTCAGATGCAAAAGCTTATACATTATTTGTGTCTACCAAAATATATACCATTTGAATTCTTAAGGTTCACAGTCTGTCAATCTCATTGACATAATGGCAGACCCCAGGTCTTAACCACAAAGGCGGCAGACCCATGTGCCTTGGGAGGACTGGCAATTGTCACACATTTGCAGGACAAGAAGTAGTGTTGACAAAGGCCCTTCCACCTCTGATCTGTGCCCTGGCATCACAGTGATTTCTGCAGCTCAGCCCAAGGAAGGCGGTCAGCATTTGAATTGTATCTATAGCATTTGCATTTTAACGCCCTCAATTGCTTTGGAAAAATATTTCAAATGGCTCAGTCGGATGCTAGTTTTGGTAATCTTGAGTCAAATATGAAGAGCAGAATTTTTGTTTTGCTTTGGCAAAATAGAATAAAGGCATACTTTTTCCTTTTGAAGATTTAGGAGGTAAAAGAGTAACACAGAAAGATATTATTAAATATTTTAATTGTGGAAGAATTCTTTGGTGGCCATTTATAGCAATGTGGGAATGTAAGAAACGGCACTCTGACTCAAAATGAAAAATAATCTTTATCCAATATGATGACAGTCCATTAGAACAGGGTTTGGCAGTATAATCATTGTCTCTTTATAATCAATAATAACGATAATAATTGCTACTGATTACAGAGTATATATATTATTTGCTAGTCTGATTATAGAATATCTAATGTAACCTCCACAAGAAACTCTCAGCTTAGGTATTTGACGGTGAGGAAATAAAAGCTAATCAAGGCTCTGTAATTTGTGATGTCAGACCTGCGATCTGAATACCTGCCTAATTCACACCGTACGCTCTCTGCTCTTTCTCCCGGGTGGCACTCGCTGATTTCACCCTCCTCTCGTGGACCAGTTCATTGATGATAAACCAACACAGTAAGTCAATTAACCGCAACCCTCAGGAGAAGGCTGATAGGCATACAGATCTGCTTACTAAAAAAATGAGACAAATAAACCTGATTATCACTCCAAACACAGTTCCAGAGTTTTATGGCTGTGTACACAGACCTGGTCCCAGAGGTAAAGAGAAGACCTCATAGGACAGATTATAAACCCTGGATAGAAATGGAATGCAATGATCTATTTCTTATATAATGTATATCTACATATATAAAATGTACATTATCTAGAACATCTTTTAATATATAACTTTTATTTTACCTGCAGCAGACAAGATTTTTACCTTTGGACAAGATGCATTTTTGTTTTGAGTTGGCAGTACTATTCTAGAAAAATGCTTCTTGTCCTCTCTGGATTCCTATCACTTTAAGCACTACCTCAGTCTTATTACATATGCTTTAAATTCACTGAAAGGGACGTGTCCTTACCTGATGTTTTTGTTTAAAAACAGCACTAGATTGTGCCTCGCGCTCCAGAACAGTTATAATTTCATTGATTTTCCCAAGTGAGTCATAAAAGAACGTCATCTGCTTTTCTAACTCCTCCAGAGGCACTAACAGCTGTTGAGACTCATAAAGGAGTGGGGAGTAACGTTCTTTGACCTTTAAAAATACAAAGACAGAAATTCCATTAAATGCCATTAAGTGCAACAAGTGCAAGCCCTGTTCCTAGCTCTCAGGAACATTTTCGCTAATGATACGGTCATTTTGTGTTTACAGGTCTCCAAAGACATTTGTTTAATGACATTCCCTATGGACTGTTAAATTCATATGTAGAAAACAACACTATTAAACCAGTGAGGTAAATAAGTGCCTCAGCGCTTTCTTGTGAAAATGTATCTCAGTAGTCCATCTCGACAGCATTTTCCTGTCTAACTGATGCCATTAGTGAGCCAGATGGCGTCAAATTGCTCTTCATAAATAGCGTGACCTACCTTCACTTCAGCCTCGAAGTCGGACATAAGGTACTCTCCAATTATTACATTATCTAGACTACCTTGTGCCTTCCAATTTTACTTTTAAGAACTCTGCAGCTTGAACTCCTTTAACTTGAGACATGCTTACAAACTCGACGGCGCCTTCTTCGCAGACAGGCCTCATGCTTCCCGCCCTGCCCTGAGCTCCGTACTTTGCTACTCCCCGCCGATCGACACCTTGCTCATCCCAAATGCTCTGGTCACGCACCAGTTCATTCCCGAAGGCTCCCGTGGCAGGGGACATCTCCCTGGTCTGGAGTGGCCCAGCCTCTATCTGCCACTTGTTGTTTTTTTTAAATGAGGTAATTTTATATGCCTGTATTATTTTTATTTTTATGATGAGGTATAGTGTCTACCTTGTCACCTTTATGTTGGAATCCAGGACCCACAATTCTCCAAGAACTTCCTGTCCCCCCTCGTTTAACTTAGAGTTGATCCCAAAGTATTATTAAAACTTGTGCGGAAAAAAGGAAAGGAAATTGCACACTCATTAGTAGGTCATTCTTTCTTTGTCTCTTTAAATTAAAAATATCATCCTCTCATGTTCTTGGATACATTACCTGAAAGAAAACTCCGGAAAAGAAAGCTACTGGCCCACTGCAACAAGGGGGTGCTGAGATCATTCTGAACAAAATGTAGGGAACCTGCTACCTTGCATAAAAGTCAGTGTGCTCCTGGCTGGTGTAGCTCAGTGGATTGAGCATAGGCTGCGAACCAAAGCATTGCAGGTTCGATTCCTAGTCAGGGCACATGCTTGGGTTGCAGGCCACGACCCCCAGCAACCGCACATTGATGTTTCTCTCTCTCTCTCTTTCTCCCTCCCTTCCCTCTCTAAAAATAAATAAATAAATAAACAAACAAATAAATAAATAAATAAAAATAAAAGTCAGTGTGCTTTATAAATCTTTGCAGGATGCAGCCGAAAGTGTACCAAGATGCTGCATCTGAAGCAGCAGCAAAGACAGAATGATGCCTGGTGTGTGAAAAGGTGCAGCGTGCTCTCTCCGAGGCTGCCCTGCCCTGGATCGTTAGACCCGGTCCAGGCGCAGATGGGCAAGCCCAGGGCACAGCTGCCAGGGCTGCGGGCAGGGTGTCACGATGATGGCGTGGACTGCGATTCAGCCCCATCTTTAACCTTCTCCTAACTTGAGTGTTAAAATAAAAGGGATTAGAAATGAACATTCTGACACCTGCCAGTGTGACAAATTAAGTTTTCCCGTTTTCATGGCACCATTCTTTCTTCATTCACTTCCCTCCCTATTTACCCTTTTCATTAAGTCTCCATTGCTGATTTCATACAGGTGATTTGCTTTTTACTTTTCCTCTCCCAGTTAACAGATATTTTACCAGGAATTAGTCACCTCATCTAAAGGCACTCTGCAAATAATACACTTCATAAAATTCAACTTTAGATACATTTAAAAATCCCAGTGGAACTTCCAAAGCTCTTAAGAAGAATTCCTCAGTAGAATAAAAGAGACTTATGGCTAATGCTGGATAGTCATTGAGCTCCCTACACAGAAGTGGCTACATGTATATTTTCTAAGTCTGTGATGAGCTCCATGAGGTACAGAGGGAAGAATTTTTACTGCTCTGTAGCAGTTCAAGCAGAAAATAATGTAAGTACTCTTAGAGTAAAGGTACATCAAATAAATGATCCACAAAGGGGCATTTTGAAATTCTTACTCATTTAAATATCCGATCTCCTCCTCTTCCTCCCTCCTCCTCTACTTCTCCCCCTTCGGTTTCATCACATTTAATCAGATCCCTGTCCTCCCCCAAAATGCTTATTTTTCTATTAAAATACAGCTACAAATACTTCTATTTCAACAGGAAAAGTAATAGTTGGCATCAGCCTAGCATTTCATTTTTAAAACTCATGACATAGTTACTAGATGACAAAGCTACTAAATCAAAATCACAATAAGAAACAAAAGGCATAATTTGTTTTCAAGTGAATTGTCCCTGGGTGACAGAGGAGGTGGGATGTTGGTCCCCCACAGGGTCCTTGCATTAAAGTATTTTCCCACCTTGGTTAGCTGCTCCTTGAGCCCAGACATGGTTGCAAACATTTCATTAGCTTCTTCCTGGGAGCTCTCTTTAGTGATGAGGTGCGCTGTCTTTGTGATGATCTTGTACTGAGCATCCATCACAGGTATCCTCTGCTCCATATCCTGCGTGAGTCATTGAAACAGCTAGATTAACACATGTACATTTCCTTTTAATTTCAGTACACTACAGCAGGCTGGGCAAAAGTCAGTATGCACTGTGGGAAATTCTGTACTGATAAACTTTTGGAGATTCCAGTTATTGCTTTCTTTCATTACTAATATGTTATATGTAAGAAATGTCATATAGATAAATAAAAGCTTTTTTAAAAAAAGTAAGCAAAATCCTTAATTTAACATAAACATATGCTAAAGTAATCCTCACACTTTCAACATACTGTATGTGTTAATGTAGTATATAAATTTTATATCAGGTAAATGCATGTTAACAATTTAAGGCAATCCCTCTGAATTTAAAAGTTAAATTTATTTTCTAAAAAAAACCCACATTGTCATTGCAGAAAGTTTATTAACTAGAGATAAATTAGGATGAATAAAATTTAAATTAAAATCTCCCACAGTGATAACCAGAGACAAGAACCCACCACCAATTACATCAGGAATGTTTTTTCCTAGATGTGTTTATACTCGTTTTTCATTTCTACAAAAAGAAAAGGATGATAATATTTTTTTCTTTTCTCACTTAATAGTATATTGGGAAAGTATTTCATATGATTAAATATTCTGTTACTGCCCCATTTCGAGAGCTGCAAGGTGTTAAAACACTCAAACCGCGCAATTCATTCAGTAAATCCTTTACTGTCGGAGGCCTTTACGTACAGGTGTGATCTACAGACTCCTGTTTCTTCTAGTGCTTTATAATGTGGTTGTAAACATATTGCCAAATTAAAAAATATTTTAAAGTTGCTGTATAGTGAAAACATATCTTTAAAAAATTCAAATACATTTTTATTTGAAGATAATTTTAAAAAGTTTTTTTTCAGGTACAAATCAGGATACACACACATAATATCAAAAGAGACATAGAAAAAGCTTTGCGATGATTTGAGTAACGTCACTGATCTTTATTTTCACAATAGAAGAGGTTTTTCACTGCATGGTCCAGAAAGGCCCCTCACCTCCAGGTCTTGGATTAGTAGCTTGACATTCATAAAGGAGACTTCGACGGGTTCGGAAAGTTTCCTGAGGGCTTCGGCGGCAAAGTCCGACAGGGTGGTGACAGAGTCTGTGTACTCCTTCTTCATCCTGTCCACCTCGTCAGCTCGAGCGTACTGTCGGGAAAAGGGGGCAGGGCAACACTGAAAACCATGAAGTCGAGATTCTGCAAGCCTGTGCCCTTCGTTGCTGTATACTCCCTGGAATGGTTGTATGGAAAGAAAGACTCTAATTCCTGATTCTTATTTTAGATACATGTGAAGTCCAATTGCCATAAAAAAGGAAAAAGGACTAGCATGGAAGTGAAGAATTATGATTTGAAACATGAGTCGTTCCATATCCGTAGGCTCCATATGGCAATGTAATGCTTAATCAAACTACACATTTCTGTAACGCTCCTCCATTATTCAGGAGAAGGAATAAAGGACCAAATGTAAATGTAACAGTTCTACACACATCTGGACTCTGCTGTAATAATAAGCCCCTGTTATAATAAAAAGGTAGTCTCTAAACAGACTGCTCATCACATTTGTAACACATGCATGTTGTAAGCATACATAGATTTGAAAGACATACTTGCTTGACTTCCATAAACAACTCCCTCCACCGCCCATTTAGCAATAGTAACTGCTGTTTAAGGTCGCGGGAAACCACCTCATCACACGTTTCGATCAGAAAATTGCCGGCATCGTTCATGGCAGTGTGTTGCTGAATCCAATGAGGCAAATTCCGAAAAAAATCCTGAACGACAAACAATGCATACTATTGTCAATCATGAAGTCAATTCAGTAAAACATACGATAATGACCAGCCTAAGAGAAAGATCTTCGAAAATTTGTGCCAATTTTAAGGTAAATCCTAACTCCATTCAAACCATTAAATTTTACAAAGTTTCAAAAGTGGAAGTGCTGGGTGTGTTTTTATAAGAACATCTAGGCCATATCTTTTGCTGAAGAGAGAACAAAACGTGACCATTTTCTCTCATTCCCATTTGACAGATGGAGCGTTGCCCTCCTGTGAGCAGAAAGGACTTGTGCATTGTATTCAGGTGAGTGAGTCCCAGGTCCGGAGTCATATAAAAAAGATACTATTTCAGGGAAACACAGAGCCTCTTCAAAAAAAATTGTAAGCAAATTTTGACCTTTGACTTTTGATTCTAAAATCAAAGTACAATATATCATTCAGATAATTACTAAACATAGAGATAACCCATCAGAGAAAAAATTTTAAATTAAATATCTGGGTCAAGCCCTGGCAGGTGTAGCTCAGTGGATTGAGTGCAGGCTGCGAACCAAAGCATCGCAGGTTCAATTCCCAGTCAGGGCACATGCCTGGGTTGCAGGCCACGGCCCCCAGCAACTGCACATTGATGTTTCTCTCTCTCTCTCTCTCTCTTTCTCCCTCCCTTCCCTCTCTAAAAATAAATAAAATCTTCAAAAAAAGACTAAAAATAAATAAATAAATAAATAAATAAATAAATAAATATCTGGGTCCAGAACCCAATATAATAACATCCTCCCTCATGTGTTGAAGGCCACCCCGGTGGCCATGCAGCAGTCTCCACCTGATTTCAAGTTCAGTGCCTGTGTGCAAGCATTTATACACGCATCCACCAGAGTAAGGGCAGGGATAACAAAAGATAATTCAGAATCCATTTCCTCAGCTACGTGTGGGAGTTCTCCCTCCATAAATAGATGAGAACACTTCTGTTTCTGGCAGTTATGTTTCCTTGGATAAAATTAGCACATCTGACATCTACGAGGGCACTGTGGTCCAATTGGAAAGCCAAAATCTGTATTGATTATATAGTTTTTGATACCACCAGCTACCCAAGCATATTTAACCTAAATGAAATTGAAAATGGTAAGATATTTTAAAAAGTATACATCTGTTTGTATAACACCATGATAAATGAACCTATCTTGGATGGCAACCAGTAATTCTAATGTATGTATGAAATTTTTAATGGAGTCTGGCATTTTAATATCTTTTACATGTAAATTGATTTTTCTGTGAGAAATGTCAGGCTCCTATTGAGGAGGGTATATAGGGGCGGGCAAAAGCAGGTTTAAATTACCAGCTGTCATTACCTAAGGGATAAGTTATTAAGTAAGGATATGAAATAATAACAATAAGAAGACAAATTCAATAATTAATAAATAATACAAGGATAAACTCCTGTTTCATGTGCTCATAACTGTAAACCTACTTTTACCCACCCTGTATATATAGAAATCAGTCCATTTCATGTTATTTTTTTATATGACCTTAAAATAAAACAGTAACTTTTTTGCACATGTGCATATATACCTATAAGTGGAGGGGGGGAAAAAATCACTCCTACTGAGAATTAGACCCTTGACCGAGGGTCAATAAAATCCAAAGAGACAAGAATGCAGTGACCCATGTATCTGTGTAACTGGTGAAGGCCATCACACAGATTCAGTACTGTGTTTACTGTCTTCATCTTAAATGAGAAAATCCACAGGGAGGGTGCCTTGGACTTGCCCTGAGTACAGACCTTGTGAGTACAGCGCCCTCTGCTGCCCATTGGGGTTGACGGTCCCTCCATCAGCAATTGCTCTTCGGAATACCAAATTAAACACTGAACTTATCAGACAGGGCTAAGTTCTAACATAACTTTAACAAAGTGGTGTATTTCTTAGCATAAAATAATGTACTGACTGAAAGTGAAACTTTTCAGGCAAAGTCAGGATTCTTAAGTCTAAGTTGTGAACATACAACACTCCCTCGAATACTATGCTGCAAAAGTCTGGTTTTAAATTTACATGTGCCCTTTTCCTCTTGTAAGAAGCAATCTCACCTTTTTGGCGTGTTCGGATTGATTTAGCATTTTTTCAGCATCCTCTAGCCAGGCCTGCAGACTAGCCACAGTGCCGCCATAGCGGTCCCAGTTAGCGATTACTTCCTCCAGCATGCTCCGCACGCTCCTGACTTCCACCGAGAGGTTCCTCCACTGGGCAGTGGTTTCATTCATGAATTTCATCACGTTCTCGGCTTCCTCCACTGACACAGACGACACAAATTGCAATCTTTATTTTATATTTCAAATCCGCCGTTATCTTTTTTCTAGGCTCTATCACACTGGTGTGCATTTGTAATTCTTCAGATTAAAAATTTAACAGGTGCAATGTTAGAACTTCACTCAGTTGCTGCTGAGAATATGTTATATCTTATCCACAGGTATTCATAAAGATTAAAGATGATAACATATTCAAAATTCCTGATAAGTAAGATGCAATAAATGACATATATATTTGTTCACATTTCACATGCACTCAAATAGATGCACACACACACACATACAGTAGCAATCACAAAATAGTTCATTTCCAGCAAATATGACAGACATTTACAAATTGAAACAAGCATATTTCACAACTTAGGTCTTTGCGCAAATTTAAGTTTTCATTTAGTTTATTAAATATTCAAGTTAGTCCATTGTTTTGCCTTTCACCCTCAAGATTGAAAATAGGTTAGAACATTGCAATTTAGAAAGTGAAAGTTGAATCTGGCGTCTCTCTGCAGGCTGGACACGACTCAAGGTCTGTGGGACCGAATCCACCTGAGCTCTCCAGGCCACTGGTATGGTCCCACGGAGAAAGAAAAATGATTTGGTCTTACAGAAATTCGTCGGTTCTAAATTTTACCGTGTTCAGCACTGAAACAAGTCCTGTTGTGAGTCTTACCTGACCCATCAGCTTTGACGTACATCTCGGCGGTCTGTTTCAAGATCTGGTACGTCACTTCGTATTGTTCGAAGAACTTGCTGTTCTCTATGAAAGACTAGAAAAGTTGGGGGGGTGATTAGAAGGTAGCAAATCCTGGCTCCGGCAGAAATGCCCAAGTCAGCTTTCTTCCGTATGTAAATATGCTGCTCAAATTTACCGACCTCGCTCTTCCCAAAATTGTCAAATTAATTCCACTGCCATAAATGACTTCATTATTCCGAGAACATAAATTCTTGCCACGCTTTGAATTCTAACTCACCCCTACGTTGAGAAAATATTCCATTTCTTCTCTCCCCAAGGGTTTGTTTTTAGAAGTTTCTGCAGACAACCTGCGGCTAGCATTTGGAAAGCACTGAATTCAGAAGAACATTATCAAATATCCCACTGGGTTTTAGCAGGGAAATTCTGTGGTTCTTTGAATAGTGATTCTGCTGAATGATGGTTCTAAAAAACTTCAGATTTATAAATAAATGGCACATTGCACAGTTTCCTTAAAATAAGAAGTAAGTATAAAAATGTTTACAAGTAGGAAAAGATAAAATAATCACACATTCCACTCATGTTATCTATGGTCTCCAATTTCTATTTCTTAGGATAAAAATTACAGATGAGTCATATCTATATCAGTATGTAAATGACATGTGTAATAGACTCATCATCAGCAAATGGATACTATAACATTGAGAATACACAAGAAATCCTAACTCCAACAAATAGGAAGTAACTCTTGTTTCAAAGATTATTCCTACTTCTCTAAAGCAGAAAATTTATGTAATTATTGGTAACAGCATACCACCAAAAGCTCTTTAACTTCTTTTAATAATATAATTCTTATTATCAACTCACTAAACACTTGATGTCTCGTTATTATAAAACGCAAAATTAGCCTTCAGAAGCCAGCTGAAGTCCTCAATAGTAGGCTGATGGATGCTAAACACGGAGATGCAAAATGCTTGTGTGCAGATAAATTACTCACATAGCAATTTCACAGACGTCCCTTGAATTTATTATAAACATTTATTACAGTTCAATACATTTAAAAATTACATATATGACACATTTCCTATCATTTTATATGTATAAAGCATTTACTTATATATTAACTATGCTTCAGGCAAAGAGTTAAGAGAGACAGCCGTGAATTTCCGGGAATGAGGGGTTCCAAGATGAATACTAATAGGCTTCATTATTTTTCTGTGAGAATAAAATAAGTCTATTATAGCCTGGTTAATTCATTGTGTAGCCTTATGTGCTCCTCCTTTAACCTCTTTCTGCTCCCCAGTTGGGGAGTGAGTAATTTACTGTAATTTAAATTTTGAGTGATTCAACCAAACAAGCAAGTCATGATTTGATTAAGAGTGGCAAATTATACCTCATGTTCAAGACATTGTAGGAAATTGAAAAGGTAAATATATCTGGCAAAATTTAAAAAACGGTCTTGAGTTTTGGCACAAATTTCAAGAAGCTAGTGGTAAAATAATTGTTCCGAGTGTCAAAGAAGTGAGAATTGTGCCTCTACTGGACAGAAACTCTCAATTATGCTTTTGCTAGAGTAGTTTACAAATGAAATATAAGTGAAGAAGAGAAAACAGTTTATTTTCAGTTTTATTTTTGGTCCAAGACTGGAAAGGGGATTTTTAAGAATATTATAAATGTTGGGTTTTTTTTAATATTTTATTTATTTATTTATTTATTTTTAGAGAGGGAAGAGAAGTAGAAAGAGAGAGAGAGAAACATCAATGTGTGGTTGCTGGGGGTCATGGCCTGCAACCCAGGCATGTGCCCTGACTGGGAATCGAACCTGTGATGCCTGGTTTGCAGCCCGAGCTCAATCCACTGAGCTACACCAGCCAGGGCATAAGTATTGTTTATATTAAAGTATTCATAAAGTATTCATTAAAGTATTTTTGAACTTTCCCGTGGGGAACCTAAACAAGTAATTTTTAAAGAATGATAACTTCTTTGTTATTTTCATTTTAATTGTTCGATTTATTTTGGTCCTGTTTTCGGCATATTGAGTAAATCCACTTAGTAACATGAATTATTTTGTCTATTAGAATCACTTTAGCAGGAAGACTCCTAAATTCCCGTTTTACTGTGAGCTCCCCACACACAGTCTCTCAAAGAATACAAAGGTGAGAGGCCCTGGCTGGTGTGGCTCAGTGGACTGAGTGCTGGCTTGTGAACCAAAGGGTCGCTGGTTCAATTCTTGGTCAGGTCACGTGCCTGGGTTGTGGGCCAGGTCCCCAAGTGGGCAGTGTGCAAGAGACAACCACACATTATTTTTATGTTAAAAAATAAAATAAAATAATAGTGACAGCGTTAGTTCATTTCTTTCAAAATAAGGTTTACACTTGGATATCAGATTGAACCAATAAACAGTGTGAGTTAATAGACATTTTTAAAAACTAAGGTACCTCTCTGTACCAGTAAATTCAAAGTCTTAGACTGTATTTCCACTTTCACAAGATAAGTATATATATAATAAATAAAGAACTCATCTATTTCACTTAAAGGGAGACAAACCAGATTATTTAAGATTTCAGAAACAGCTTTGAGGAATGGTTTCATCAGGATTGCCCATGTACACTACTAAAACAATTACAAACAATACATGTTGACATTACTTTTGTTGTAGTCACAGTCTACAATTCCAAGAGCTCTTCTATGTAAAAGAATGAAATTCTACTCTATTTATTCCATAATAAAAGTGAAGACTGTGTTATCCAACATAGTCATGTCAAGATCAGTTCTGACCGTAAGAACGAAACCAATCATCTTCTGATCTCCAATGATCTCCATTAAAAGACGTAACCTCTTATAAGCAGCATGTGGCCTAAATCAATCAATAAGCGTTTGTGAAATATTTTCCGAGAACTTCCTAAGTACTTATCAGCAGCATACCCAAGCACCTTGTACAAGAAGAAAAAGCACACTCTCTAATTTCCCAACCTTTAAAAAATATATATCTTTTTTTAGATGAGTATGATTGAATTGAGTCTGTTTCTGTTTTGTTTGTTCATTTATTTTGTTCTTTAGGAAGTGACATCGTATGGTATTGGTCTTTCTCCATCTGACTTATTTCACTTAGTAAAATATCCTCTACATTCATCCATGCTGTAGCAAATGGTGAGTTCATTCTTTTTTATGGCCAAGTAATATTCCGTTGTATGTGTGTACCACCACCACCTTTTCATTCACTTGTCTATGCATGGGCACTTGGGTTTCTTCCATATCTTGACTATTGTAAATAATGCTGCAGTGAACATAGGTGGAAGCTAAAGAACAAAATAAATGAACAAAGAAAACAGGAACAGACTCATAGAAAATGATGTTTGCCAGAGGGGAGAAAGGTTGGAAGCCTGGGTGAAAAAGGTGAGGGGATGGAGAAGCACAGATTGGTAGCTACAAAACAGTCATGGGGAAGTAAAGTTCAGCATGGGGAACACAGTCAATAGCATTGTAATAACCATGCATGGTTCCAGCTAGGTGCTTGAAACAAATATCGGGGAGACCACTCTGTGAAGCACATGATTGTCTAGCCACTCTGCTGCACACCTGAAACTAATATAAAATAATATTGAATATCAAAGGTAATTGAAAAATAAAATTTTAAAAAAGACTGAATTGAGAATTCAGACTAAGGCAAAGATAACTATGAAAATTTTATATCCTGAATCTTACTTTGGCTATTAGATAATGTAGCAGCATATGGCTCATTACAATAATTTGTTTTAAGAACCAAGAAAAGAATTGCATTTAAAAACCTGATATGTATAATTTCATGTGAAAGTCTTCACACTCTTTGAAATGGTGTGTTTTAAAGAGTGTGATTTTCCCACAAACTCCAGAAGGATGAGAGAATCTATGGGGTATCGGGTAGAAAGAAAATGCTGTTTCAGTCTCTGTCCCTTAGAAAATTCTTATTATTCTATTATTTTTAAGTTTGTATGTGTTCTATTATTATCATTATTATTACAAATTTGGGGAAAAGTGAGTCTCCTAGAATTTACGTATTTTATAAAGTCACGTGGGTAGTAAGTAGCTAAGCCCTGATTCAACACATTTCTATGTGACTGGTGGGCAAGTTCCCATAACCTCCCCCACTTGACCTCACGCTGCCCCAAACCCATGCTGCGTGGAACAGAAACAACAGGAACTATCAAGCTCCTGTATGAAAGGGTAAAACATTGTCCATAAGGATCAGCCTTAAATGGAACTAGTATTCATGTGAGTTACAATCCTTTAGTTCTCTGAGCTACAAGCGATCATTTTAATGACTTGGTCTCATAAGTTGGAAAAAACTCTTTTTTTCACAGCCAATTTCGTTAGATGGTGAAGTTTAGTGCTTAATCACAAGGGCTTCTGCGTGGGAAAGAGGTGGATTCAATTCCGGATCCCACTCCGTACCAACTGTGCCAGCGGGAGTCTGCGCACTCAGCCTGGTTTCCTCCGCGAAAGCACGGGAAATGCCCCGCCCACCGGGCTGCCTCGGGGAGCGAGAACCGCCCATGCAAAACACGTAGCACGCGACCAGTTACCTTCCAGAATCATTCAGGCTATTAAAAAACACCTTAAAACCTTCTTCGGAAAAGAAGTATGGGTGCTAAGTAGGTATTTTTCACGAGGAGATAAGAATAGTAGGCCCTGTTCATGGAAACCCGCTGTTTGTAGAGTATACAGCAATTTTATAAATAACTGTGACTTAGGAAGCAGTTTAAAATGAGCACTTTGGTGAACTTCTCTTTACTTTATGCAGTAGGCTAAAAGTACTGCTTTTTTGTTTGTTTGTTTTTTTAAATCTTGTGTAACAACTCTCCACTCACAAATCCGTTATTCGAGAAGCTCTGAGAAATGCTAACATCCTTGAGTCGGAACATTAACCTGTTGCAACATTCTCATTGGGCATTTCAGCCTGATTGGCCATCCTTAAACAGCTGGAACAAAGTTGGATCCTGAGTAATTACCGACTGAGCTCGGAGTGCATCCTTTGATATGACTAAACCCATAAATATAAATGCATATCTGTTGTATTTAAAAGTCTACTGTAATTTCTTAAACTTAAAAAAATTTGGATTTTTCATTACTTTCCAAAATAATTAAAAAATGAATAAGGGAACATATAACAGATTTCAATTTTTTAGACAATTATTTCTGCAACAACTGTATTAAATCAAGAGAAAGACTTAGCCCTGGCTGGCATAGCTCAGTGGATTGAGTGCGGGCTCCGAACCAAAGTGTCTCAGGTTCGATTCCCAGTCAGGGCACATGCCTGGGTTGCAGGCCACAGCCCCCAGCAACTGCACATTGATGTTTCTCTCTCTCTCTCTCTCCCCTTCTCCTTCCCTTCCCTCTCTAAAAATAAATAAATTAAATCTTTAAAAAAAGAGAGAGAAAGATTTAACTAAAAATGTGTTAAACTTTTCCCCTCAAATGCATGCTGTTCATTTATCACTTAGAAAATGAAACTAAAATGAAGCAATATATATGATGGCTCTGGGGCGCTTCCTCAGTGAAGCCATGGTTTCAACAGGTGTCAGTCACACCAAGCACAGTGTCACTGTGACTAGTTAGGTTAAAAACAGGCCTATATTTTCAATTTATCAAGTTATCACTTAGAATTTGTGATTAAACATAAGTGGAACAATACAGAACTGAGATGTCCTGTTAACACTCTTTTGTGAGAAAATTTGTATTGCTAATATATTTGTGGGGGTTCATGTTTCAGGGAAATAAGGTGCCTTTAATCATTGCAATTCTCTGTCTATAAATGGAAACTGCTAGTAACAGAACAACCTAATTCCTTGATGAATACAGGGATACTATACTGTGTAGATATAGAGTTATCTGTACTGATAGCCCGAAATATTAGATAATCTTTAAAAATTAAATTGGTACAGATATTTACAGACAAAATTTTACTTTTCCTCAGGGTACACATGACGCAAAAATGCTTAGGGAATAACCATAAAAAAGACACGTTGGATCTAATGTAAAATATTGATTTGGAATAATTGAGAATTGTTCTCAAAGATCGGATTTTAGAAGACACGAAAATAATCTTAAGTATTTTACTCTGTTTCAGTGGTGAGCTCACAGTCAGAGCTGTGGCTGTGCAATGCAAAAACTTTTCTCTTTGAAGCAGTACAGTCCGTCACAATGGTTCAATATGATTAATGCAGCAAAACCTTTCATATTTCTGAAGACTACCCATCTATATGTCAGATTATTATCTACAGCTCACAAACTTATACTGAACCCATTTAACACACCGGTACCTTTCATGGCTAAATTCATGACTCAATAAACAGTATCACATAAACTGGTAGGAATTCAAGGCTAAATCCATGGGTCCTTTGATTTTCCCATCAAAGCAGCAGAGAGACTTACAATGTAGTTTTTCAGAAGCAGCTCCACTGTCTCCCTCCTCCCGTACTTGATGATCCAAGACTTCAGCTTTGACTCCGCGAGGACCAGCAGTGAGAGCAGACGGTACTTTAACTCTAGAAATTCCATTTTCATTAAATGCAGTTCTGACGTGGAAGAAACAAAATGAAACCTAGAAAGGAAACACCAAGAATTCACAGAATGTAACTACTGGTAACAGAACGGTGCTCACTTAACATGCTACAGTCAGCGTTAAACAGAATGCAGGCACAAGGTCTTCCAAACTCAGGCTGGTCGGTTGCTATTTGGAGTTCTGATACTTCTCCCGGCTCTGGGGTGAAAGGTAAGTCATGATTGATTGAAGTCTTTGATTTAGTTCTTTCCCTTGCCAGCACAGCGCTCGTCTGTTTCTTTTCTAAACTGTTCTTGCAATATTACATAATGTTCACAGCCCTGAATAAAAATACAGCCTCTGAAAAAACCATTCCCGTGATTCCCAGGCTTTGATTATAATCAGGTTTACCCTTTTACATTAATAACATATTGAACGTTGGCATTCTTAAGGACATGTTACGGAAACCCAATTTTATTGTACCACATGTAAGCATTTCTGTAAAAAAAAAAAAAACCCAAAAACAAATTCATGAAAAAAAAAAAGAAATGGAAAAAGCATTCACCGAGCATTTTCACAAGAGGCTTCGGTGAAGACCTCTCTCACCTCTCAGCCATGTCTTCCAGCTGGTCGGGGGGCACTGGAATCCCGTTGACAGACCTGGTCCGGTAGATTTCATGGAAGGCTCTTTTGTGGGCATCTGTGTTTTGAAGCAGATCCTAAGATACAGTTTTTAAAAAAAATAAAAAAAAATGAGGCAACATGTTCACAGGAGGCTTAGAAGCATAATTTTCAGCCTGTACCGATGACTCAACGTATTCAACAATTTGCTGCTGCTGCTGCCACAATCCACATGCCGCGTGGTGCCTATCGCCAGCTCTCCCCTGCCACGGGAGCCTGGTGCCTGCCTGTAAGGCCCGGGCTACAGCTGCGTCTGGTCGTGATGGCATCGTTAGACACACATGCCCCTTGCACGGCAATGCATTCAATCATTTTAAAGGTACATGGTCCTGAGGAAAGTGTCATAATTGCCACAGTGATTGGGGGGTGTTTCCTTCCTTGAATTTTAGATAGGTTGGCTTTTAAAAGCTTAAAACTAAGCATAACTAATTTAACCCTTTCATGGTAAAAAAAAAAACCTATTAGACTCTATGTTATTTTATTTTGAATGCATGCAAGCTGTCATAAAGTGATATCTGCTTGCCATCTACAGTCAGTCAATTATATTACAATATATTATGAAAATACCCTTCTGGTTAGAAGATGTCAAATAAACACAGGGCATTTCCCATAGATATCATGAGTTATGTTCATAAATATTCTTTGCAGACTATATAGAACTCCATAAGAGACCTCTATCATTTGAATAATTTATGTAGATTAATTTGAATCGCCCTTGATTTGTTTTCTGAGTTTTTCACCATCAACAGACTTATTTATATAAAGACTTACATGAATTTCACAATTCTCAGCCAATTTCAAAGAAAGACAGAGGTGAAACCTTCATGCCATAATTTCTAGAGCTTAGTTCATGTCTTGATAGCAGGACAAAATGCTCAATAGTTTGTCAGAATGATACATCTAAATTAATATTGCTTTTCTCACACCAGGATGTAGTGAATTAATTGGGGAAACTGGAAGCCAAGAAGAGCCTAAAGCCACATGAGAACCACTTGCTGGAAGGGGAAAAACGAAAGGCTGTCATGTTCTAAATGAAAATGTTGAAGTTATATGCGTTTGTTCACATGAGTGAAATTAATTTTTTTGTGGGAGAGACATTGGTTCTGACACTGTAGAAGAAGCCAGGGGCAAACTACTTCTGTCCTGATGTATTCTGCCACGACTGTGTTTTGGCCTGCCTTGAATCTATCTGCAGGTACCTGCCCAGACACTCACAAGTCACTCTTGCCCAGACACAGAGCAGCGTGTGCAACTGGGCTGATCCAGAGGGCAGAGGACTGTCCTAGAGCAGCTATTAACTAAGTATTTAATTCACTATTTACCTCCTTCCATTATCCAGACACATTTCTATGGGGAATGATCTTGGCTGAGATTCCCCTAAGTGACTTCAGGGCAAACATAGAGCCACCACCATATCCAGCTCTGGTGCGGTGTGTGTGACCATGTCTGTGACTCCACTGGAACACCCGAAGGGGCAGTTACCTCCTAAGAGTTTCCCCTGCTGTAGTTTTGAGTGTCTAGTTCATTGAAAACATCTCGACAAGATATGGAATGAAACCACAATATTTTCAAACATATGACAAAAGAACTACAGCTGGCGTGATGTCGCTGGGTTTTCTGAGAGGCTGCCGCACTCTAAGACAGCCAGGCGCTGAGCACAGCATGTGACATTAATTCACTGGTGAGTTCACAGCAAGGGAGGGACATCTTCAGGGCCCCTACTCTCAGTAAAACATGACCCTGAGCTGGATCACAGACCCGTGAGCAAAAACAAATGGAAAAAGCTGATCGTACCAAACAAATATCTGTGCCTTTGCTGCTGGAGGTTTTGTCTTAGAACTTGAACGGGGTGAGAGCACTGAACCTGAGATTCCCATATTTAGCCAGAACCCTCCAAGGTGCTGGTGTTGGTAGCAAATGCAAATAGAGAAGGGGGAAAGCAAAGGTCTCCAAACACAAGAAACAAGCCTCCATGAGTGAGAACAAGCAGACACAACAAACTTATAGTCTCACAAAAATCTAAATAATTTAACACTTGACAACAACAGCTTGTAAATTAAGAAGAAAACCATCTTGGCAAAGTGTTCTTAATTCCTTACACTGATTAAAAGGAGGTCAAGATATTAATTTTCAAAGTTGTTTAGGATCTATGGCATAACTTCAAGGGTGATCACATAGTGCAACCGCAGTTTATAACTCTCAAACCAGCAGAGGAAGAACATGGAATAAGACAAACAAGCAAGTAAATGAACAAACAAATATTCTTCAATCAAGTTGAAAAACAGCAAGAAGGTAGGAAATAAAGTAGGGCAAATAGAAAGCAAGGAATCAGATGGTAGAAACAAACTCATGTACATCAGTAATTATAAATAAATGTAAATAGAATATAAAATCACTAGTTAAAAGGCACAGATTGTCACATCAGACGAACAAATAAAATAGGACCAAATAAAACAAATTCATCTGCTCCTTCAAGACATAGCCTAAACAGTGAGAACACGGTAGGTTAAAATTAATAGCATGGAAAAACACTATGCTAGGAAAATATGAATGAAAGGAAGCTGGTCTAGGTATATTAAAATCAGACAAAGTAGATTTCATTTCAGAGATCTTTAAAAGTCATTAACTGCCTAATGATGACACTTTCAATATGCTAGAAAATAGATTCATTCGCAACTTGAATACATCTGGTGAGCCTCAAAAAAAACCATGAAACAAAAAGCTACAGAACTACAGGGAGAAACGGACAAATCCCCAAGGCCGGGGGAGTGACCAGCACACCTCTCCGCAGACTGAGAACAAAGGGGACAATTGGGACAGCAGCTCAGGGCTGACGGTGGGAACAGGAGGGAAAGGACTGCAGATCTGTGGGCCTCATGGGTCTTTATAGGAACTTTTGGTGTTTTTTTTAGTAGACAGAAACCAGTGGGAGTTTTGCACCAAGGGGTGAACTGAACTGAACTGTATTTTAAAAGGCTAGCTGTGGCGATTCTACAGAAAATACCCCTTCCTTGATACACCGCTCCCTTTGGCGATGAAGGTGACACAGCGGCTGGATTCCTGCCCTCCTCACTGGCAGCTCCTCGCGTGCTTTGGCTGGTTCCTCCTCTACTCTTTGATCTCTTAATGTCAGATTCCCTCAGGGCTAAGTTCTTGATCCCTTTCTGTCTGTATTTCCTTATTTAAGTTCTCCAGTCTCAGAGCATTAACCGCCCCTCTATACGCCAATGATTCTGAATATTTATCTGCAGTCTACACCCCGTTGTGAGCTCCTGCTTCTTTTCTCCGACCACCCATTCTGTGTATCCACGTAAAGGAGAAAAAGTCTCATGCTCACCATGCCCCAAATCGAGCTTTTGATCTTTTCTCCCAAACTGGCCTCATAGTTTCTCCATCTTACTTGATGAAAACTCCATTTTCCAGTTGCTCAGTCCAAAAATCATAATGTCATATCTGGCCCCCCTTCCGTCACAATCAGTATCTGACGCTGAAAATTCTCTTTGCTCTGATCTCGAAATGCATTCAGAACCCGAGCGTTTCTCACCGTCTCTACAGCTATCCCCCTGGTTGTAGCGACTCCACCTGGGTCATGGAAACTGGCTCATTGGCTCCTACCCTCTATCCTTAACCCATCGACTCTCTCACTGGAGCCAGGGTGACACTGTGAAAAAAGTGATAATATCGTTTCTCTGGCAAGAAAGGGGATGGGCACAGATGAAACCAAGAATGCCAAAGGTCAGATTAGAAAAATCAACAATGAAAGAGAAAATCAACAATGCCAAAAGTGCTATGAAGGAGAGTGGCAAAGTGCAAAGAAACAATATGGGGCAAAAATAGAGGCTTACCTGTAGGCACAGAAAAGAGTACACCAAAATAAAACAGAATATTTTGAGCAATTTATGATAATAATCTTGAAAACTTAGCCAAATGGAAAAATTCTGAGAAAATATGAATGAGCAATATTGACCCAATTAGACATTTGAAAGCCTGGATATTTCTAAAAAGCATTTTTAGGAGCTGGGGATACAAGAGAGAAAAAACAAACAAACAATGATCTTGTCCTTATGGAATTACAGTGTAGGAAATCTAGCAATCAATAAGATAACTAACTGAAGATAGCAGTTAAGATTGAGATAAAGGGGGAAAGGAAGTTGTAGTTTCAAAGAGGTGGCCAAGAAAGTGTTGACTAAAAGGTGACCTTTCCATAAAGGCCCAAAGGAGGCAAAGAGGCACATCATGGGAATATCAGTGGCAGAATGTTTGAAGTCAAGGGGAGAGAACATTCCAGAATGTTCTCTGGAACATTGCCCAGAGGGCCAGGGCAAAGGCCTGGAGGTAGAAACATGCTTGCCTGTTGATGTCATCTTCTCACTGAGGTTTCACTGACTACCCTACTTAAAAATGCAACGCCACTGAATACTTCCTGTCATTTAAGCGTCTAATCTAACATTTACTTGTTATGCTTAATATTTCTTATCTTCCTCCTCCCACTAGAACTTAAGTTACATAATTTTGCTTATGGGCATATCACAAATGCCTAGAATACTGCTTGGCACATACTAAATATTTGTGGAAATACTAGAAAGGCAGAGCCCAAGGAGAAAGAAAACTAGGAAACTAAAGGAAGAGAGTGTGTCGTAAAGGGATAACTGTGGGAGATCATTCTGATAAAGGAGGTAAGATGAGGCCCTTGCGTGAGGGTCAAGGAGACCCCCTCCTTGCGATGGGAAAACAGCATTGCTAAAGAAAACTTGGCTGGAACGGGCTCTAGGAAGGACTGGGCAAGAGTGTTCTGAAACCAAAATGAAAGCATAGGTGACTCTTACCAAGAGTTTTGCTGTTGTAAAAGGAAAGAGGAAAAATGGATAGTAGTTGTGGGGAAAGTATAGTTATAAGAAAGAGACTTATAGCCCTGGCTGGCGTAGCTCAGTGGATTGAGTGCGGGCTGCGAACCAAAGTGTCGCAGGTTCGATTCCCAGTCAGGGCACATGCCTGGGTTGCAGGCCATGACCCCCAGCAACCACACATTGATGTTTCTCTCTCTCTCTTTCTCCCTCCATTCCCTCTCTAAAAATAAATAAATAAAATCTTTAAAAAAATAAAAAAAGAAGAAAGAGACTTATGTAAGGTGAGAGAACTAGCAGCATACTCTATGTGGGGAGGAAATAGCAAAGAGAGAGAAAAATTAAGAAGGAGGGAACTACCGGCATCGTCCTTTGGAGGAGAGAGGGAGGATGGGATGCAGTGCACGTGTGGTGGGGCTGGCCTTCGCTCGGTGCACAGATGGTCCACCCATAGTAACAGAAGTGAAGACGGAGTATTGGAGCACAGATGCACGTAGGTGGGATGCTCCGGTCGTGGGAGCTTGCGGAAGTTCTTTTTTGATTGCTTCTATTTTCCCGGAGAAATAGGAAGCCCTGTCATCAGCTAAGAGTAGGGTTGGGGAGGAGGTGTGGAAGCCTTGAGGAGACAAGGTATGAAATACCTTGGAATGGAATACCCAGGAATGGAGAGGGAACGGAGTCAGGAAATGCCTTTGGCGCGCCGGGCAGCATTAAGGGCCCACTTGGCTTAGTCATCATGCCTGGGGGTGTGTTTTTCTCCAGCCACCGCCAGCTGCACCCGTGGGGGCAGAAACTAGGCAGAGAGTGGGCTTTAACTGGCGTTGGGCTTTACCTGGAGAGTAGGGCAAAGGGAGACCTGGACAAGGCAATGAGGGTGGGTGTGTTGTACACACAGGGAGGGGTGATTTGAATGATTGAGCCTTGAATTTCAACAGAGAACAGAGAGAACTAAGTGATGGCATGAAGAGGATGAAAGGCAGTAAAATAGCAGATGAATGGATGACAGAGCACAGAGGAAAGGAAGACTCGGGATCAGGGCAGCTTTGGTTGGGCAGTCAGATGCTTGAGAAGGGGACTGTGGAGGGGTTTCAGTTCCTGGTGATGACTGCCTATGCAGCGAGTGGCTGGGATAGGGTACGGGACAGGATCACTCAGAGGGAGGAGGTCAGGAAACTGAGAAATTCGATCAGGGTACAGGAAACATCATCTACAGGTTACTGAAGTTATTAAAAATAATGGCTCGGGCTGTCATCCAGGGAATAAAATCTTCAGGAGAGGAAGGAAAGTGATCTAGGCAGGGTTGATAACCGCAGTAAGGACAGTTAGAGTCTGATGACTATTCTCATGATTCCTTAAGACTGAAAGCCTTACTTTGGCAAAGCAATACTACTAAAAAAAACTAACATTTAATCACTCTCCATGGATTATATGCAGTAGTTTTGTGGGCACATTTTAAGCTTAGTGCTTAAAACCACCTGAAATATCAACTGTGTGACCTTGGGCGAGGCACATAACCTTTCTTTGCCTAAAGTTTACTTATCTGTAAAGTGAGAATAATATTATTTCGTATCCTGAATGTCAAGTGCTTAGCAAAATGAAGTACTTAGGACTGAAACATGGCTACATTCTCAAGTGTAAGCTAAGATTATTGTTCTTTTTCTAGACACCTGAGCATTAGGGATCTGAAAAACAGAAAAGATGATAGAGGTATGCCTTGTTTTCCAGAGAATGTTTCCATATACCTGTAAGTTTAATATTTTTAAAATTGAAAATTAGTAGAAAGATAAGTGAACTTCTTGAAAAAATGTATTTAAAAATTTATCTGAATTCCATTTTCGAAAACTGCTTCTGAATTAAGTAATGAGAATGTAATGTAATGAGGTATATTAAGAAGTGAGAAGAATGGACAAAATCAAGAATTCTGGGTCCTGATAGCATATTTAAGTTTTCACGGCATGAGCCTTAATTCCTTTTCAATTGGGATGTAAAGACAATATTCCCAACCATTCTTGCTCATGCATTGATGAGTCCCATATTGTGCTTTTATTAATTTATTGCATTTTCAAGTGAGCCCAATATATCAGAGCAGAGTAATGATAGCTAATTGATGAGCTGATTTTTCTGCTGTTGAGAAAATCTATAATTTTAGTTATCTTAATCATGATCCACATTTTTCACATCCCCAAAGCTCAGTTTATTATAGATATCTAATAAATATATTTTGAATAGTGAGAATTGATATTATAATTGACAATTACATCGTTTGATGATTCTATGGCTTTAAGCACCTGTTCCCCGACCTAGTACAAGTCCCTCCCACTTCAGTAAATAGGTCATTCTGGAGAGTTGCCTCGAACTTCATCTTAGCCCCTACCTGCCTCTGCTCATTTCCTACTGTCTTCTCATTCCATTCCCCCTCTTCCAGCCTAGTTCTTTCTGGCTTTCATCTCAGATAACCTTCATCTCTGACCCCCGCTCCTCTTGTTCTCCCCATTCCTGGTTTTTATGGCTGTTTGCTGCACGTGGGCAGAGAGATGCTTCTGGCTTACACTGGGTGGCTGGCACAGGGTCTCTCTCTCACGCCATGGAGCCAGAAGAGTCAGGAGGAGCCTCGAATCCTATACCCACTTAGACACAATAATAGCATGCCACCCGATTTGAATTCGTTCTGCATCAGGGCTGATGCTGCCTACACTGTACCCAGAATCAATATTTTTGCTAAGTCTCACTATCTAGTAAATGGTACAGTTAATATTGTTGGACATTTTCTCTTTGATGGAGCATTTCAATCAGTGTAAGTCTATTAAATAAACAAACACATGCTGTTTCTCCAACATCTAAATTGGAGACACCGCTACCGATCCCCCGGGGGCCAAAAGCTGGCACGTAGTAGGCTCTCAGTGCATATTGGCTAAACTGACACATCTACCTCACAAGTGATATGCACCTTATATTTGATTAAAACTGCAAGGTGACTTCTTTCATATGAAACATTCACATCGGCTAAGCATAGCTTTGTTACATGATTTACATGAAGAAAAATTTTTGAATTGTACTTAGGGTGAACTGCTCATTTGTTACAGTGGTATTGTCTGTGTAACGTGTTTTAGCATTGTGTCCTACTTTTCAAATACTGGGAATCTCAACATGGACGTGGTCCAGGCTTTTGTATGCTTCTGAGAAAGCTGAACTTGGCCCAAACCCAGGAAATTCTCATGGCTCAATCTCTTATCCTGCACCTTCAGAGACTGAAAGTACCGACTAGCAGGCCCAGACTTTATGTATGTGCATCTCTAAGGATGGAACAAAGTCCAAAGTCACACTCTCTGCCGAGAGGCAGTTTCTGGGAAGGGGTGTGTGTGTGAGTGTGTGTGTGTGTGTGTGTGTGTGTGTGTGTGTGTGTGTGTGTGTTGGAGGCGGTGTGGTGGAAAGGAAAGAAGACTAAGAGATAATCTGCACAACTTAAAGTGTCTGAAGGAACTGCCTACAAGTGAGGAAGGGCTGAGAATAAATGGCGGCAGGACCCAGACCGGCTGCCTAGGACCTTGAGACGCCGCTGTCGGCCTTGGTGGGTGAGCCAGTCTGGGCTCGGTGAGATCAGCTGAAGGGGCCGGGAGCTGGAATCCCACAATGTCTCTATGTCTCAGGTTCCAGAAGTCGTTTTCAGAGGGACATGCAATGGAATCTGTGATGAACTGGCTTTATAATCTACTCTAGAATGTACGACAGTCCATTTCCTTGATGGAATTAAAAAAAATAGCAATAATATTGCAGAAAACACGCATGAGCTATCAATTGCACATATGTGGTCAGGAGTAGAAGTCTCTCCTTGTCAGTTTGTTTTTTACATTTACAGTAACCCTCCCCTGAGACAGTTAACGAGGTTCACAAATTCAACTACACAAGATGCAGGACTGTATAATGAAAACAGCACTTTTAGTTACATCTTACCTATTGCGAGACACAAATAGGAGGTATTAGAACTGATACCAAGCACAACTGACCAAACAGTAAGCTACGAAAAGTCACCAGTGCCTAAGCGGTCACCAAGGCCTAAGGCCAGCAGTTCCTACCACCACTGCCTGCACCACCTCCACCCCCAGCTCAGCACCCAAGGACTCAGCTTGCTTTCCTTTGAAAATAGAAGCAGGAATGTGGTCTGGAGCCAATGGCCAATTACATTATTGTGTAAATGCATATAGTCTGTGGGTTTATCTTTTGGAAAATAACATAGCAACGGAAATAACCAAGATACCTGCAGATGAAACAGTACCACAGAGCTATTGGCAGGTATCCCAGGAAACAATTTTTCCAGATTAACGAATATAGAAGACACACCCAGCTCAGAGAACTAAGAAGGAATGACATCTGTGGGTCAGTAGGAAGGGACGCCTGGGAGGCCTGTGTCAGTGCAAGTGCTAAACAGGCCACGCCTCCAGACCACACTACGCCTGAAGTTATGCTGGGTGTTCTCTGGGTCCGAATATTTACCTTGTGTTGCTCAAGTTTCCGTTGTATTGTGTTGGCTGTTTCCTCATGGACCTGCTGAATGGTTATTTCCTCCCTCAGAGCCACCTCTGCCCTGTACAACCAGGCACCTATAGTGCCCAGAGGGGCAGGGAGAGATTTATCAAGCTGTATGTGCCAATCAAAGAGCTGAAATACAAAAGTGGGAAACCGGAATTATCTCTCATCCAAAAGGCAGTTCCTAAAATTCCCCCATAGGATATTAAAGCCTACCTAAAACCTTGGTATTAACTTCAGGTTAATGTCATCTTACCTAATATTCTTAGGTAAGAGATTATCTGTGTCCCGCATCCGGTATTTTGAGAATGGGGAGAAAATTACAGTAATAAGCAAATTTTGAGGAAACAGAAGACATCGGAGATGTGAAATGCCATTACTAGGAGCTTAAGGTATTTTCTTCTTATAGGTAGAGCCGAAAGCACCCACTGACTTCCAGTTTGGTGACAGGGAGGGGACTGGGTATGCTGACACGTCGGGATGTGGGAGTTTAGGCACCAGCTCATGTGTTCGTCTCACAGAACAGGTCTCAAAACCAGGGTCATCTAGACATCTCCAGAGGAAGACAAGGATTCAGGATTCTTTTGTCATGACACAATTCGCTACTCATACTGGTGTCTTCCATTCTATTTGGTTCTCAAGCACTATTTCCCAGCTTGATGAAATGCCAAGAAGAATGGGGCAAGGTGCTTGGAAACTAAGCTATTCTTTCATACAGTTTATTGGAAAAAATAGATTATAAAAATGACAAAATAGGGTTAAGTTCAAGGCAAATATTCCAATTAGTTATAGAAATGCCTAAGGTTTGGAAATCTTGGTCTTTCAGTTTGCAAAGTATTAATATTCAAGTTACCGAGCAGTTTCCCTTCAGGTTCCTGAAAGACCAGATAAGAAGACATGCTAACTTAAAGACTATAAAAATGAATGTGAATATAGGAAAATTATTAACTATTAATGGAACGTGACTATGGAAAATGGAGAAGATGTGAAGGCTCCAATCCTAAAAATCCCAGAGTTCACTTGTGGAAAGTGAGAAGTGACCCAGACGGTTGTCCAAGATTTCAGTCTGTCGTCTGGCCCACGGTGGCATTACAGGTAGGGCAGGCAAGGCAGGAAAAAAGTTCTTATATAAGTATTTTCATTAGCTTGAAGGACAAAGATGCTCCCACAGTGAAGTTTTCCCTATCTCAGACAGAGGCGGGAGGACCTGATGCAACATCACTGCGTAGAAAAGAATGATGGGAAATATTCTTGGCTGAATTACCCAACCCCTAATGAAATAATCGTGGCAGCACTTACCCTGGAGGACACTCTATCCCAGGACTGTTTTATCAATGCTTGGTCAAGTGACAATTTACCATCTTTCTGTAATGGTTGTATTAAGTGTTCAATCTGTTTCCTTTTTATCTCATATTGAACTCTGAAGTGCTTAAATGACTAAGGGAGGAAAAACAGCAACAACATGGCAATGAGTCAAAAAAAAGCAATAGCAAAGGAAACCACACTTCCTAAATAACAACCCCTCATATTTGGATAACCCTTGGTGTATGTTGTCATTAATAATAGAGACAGACACGATACTAATCACAGCTACCGTTCATCATGCCGTCCTGACAATGAGCTTGGCTCATGCTAAATACTTACTACACATTGTCTCCCCTACGTTTCATATGAAATTAACCCATCCTAAAACATGACTCCCCGCCCAAACGTGAGATGAAAATCCCACGTGCAGTTATGTTGAAGAGCGTGAGCATGGCACTACAGAACCTAACGGATAACACATCTGAAAGCATTTCTGAGTCTTACAGAGTAAACTAAGGTGTGAGTCCGCAGGAGGAACACTGGGGGGAGATGCTGAATAAATATTTCACCACAGTTACCTCCTGGTCCTCCAACTTAATGTAACTAAAAATACCAAAATATGAAATCAGTCTTCAGTTTTATTCCACAAAATCCTGTGCTTGGAAAAACTGAGAAATACACCATCGATTGAAAAGTAGGAACAGATAATGCTGATGGCAGAATAAACCCACAAACAAAAGAGAATGTTCCCCGTGTTCAGATTTCAGATGATCTCTCCCCCTGTTTTACGAAACTGGTGACCACATTTGGCTTTAGAGGAGTATTTCTGTTCCTCACTTTCTAATCCTTTGGTTCTCTTGTATAAAATAGTATCCGTAGAGCAGGCAACTTGATAACTTGCAATTTAGCTTTTGACAATTTGTGCTAAAACTAGAACTCGCTAATGGACTAAATAAGTATATTCACTTTGTCCTTGCACTTCTATTCTCAATTAACTGGTTTAACTTTTTTTTAGTGGGGCTCATCCCACAAAATTGCATTTTGGGGGGAAATATTACATTGAATTTCAAAGCAAAAAGCATACACTGCATATAAGCACATAGTGTCCACTTTGCCAAGTTCATCAAATACAATGTTGATGGCATCATCCATCTAAATGCAAGCCTGCTTTATAGATGTTATTATATGAAATCACACAACAATGTAATGCTAAAATTTTTATGGTTTGTCATGTTGAGTCACATTATGCTACCTTTTTTGTAGCAAAAATGAATGAGGGAGGTGGGAAAAGGGGGTCATCTGTGAAAGTGTCAACAATAAAAAATAAAGTTTAAACATGATTGAAATACAATATAGACTAGAAAATATTATAGCTTTGCTACTAAGATGCAATGTTATTTTAGATAGGGAGAAAATGTCAGTGCTGCATAGAATGAATGACAATTTAATTGGAAAACTTATGTTACGATTTTGGGTCCTGGAAGTAGACATTGGAAGCCAAAATCCAGTTAACAATAGTGTAATTAGACTGGGGAAACAACCACCCGCTGGCCTCAACTGGAATTTAGTCCTTTTGAACTAGGCAGGTCACCATAGAAACTGATCCCATGGGTGGGCCCACTCCAAATATTCATGGTGCAGTCCTTTCTTCAGTTCAGCTTGTTCAATATTGATTTCCAATGTGGCATTGAAGTCATTGTTTAGTGGACTGTTTTTGTTGTTGTTACGTGACATGTACAAAATTGTAAGTTCTGTAAAAACAAGAACTAGAGATTTGTTCTTCTGGGTCACTGATGGAACTTTGAGATCTGGAAAAGTTATGAAGCCTCAGAGCTACATATAAGTGTGAACCCACACAATTTAAAACTACTTATTTACCTGGACATACAATTATTAAATGACATGCCAACAAGCTAATGCACCTCATTTCTTTACAGGCTTTTTCATTAATATCACTTGAAAGATTAAACACAGGCAAATGACATATATAAGCCTTACTCACGAAAAGGTTTTAGCAACTGAAATCCCTTTTTCATACATTACCTGATATTTATCCTGCAAATTTGATTCTGTCATCTGGGCCCTTGTCAAATCCCTTTCAAACTGTTCTATCCAAACCTTCATCTCCTTCAGAATTAGCTTGTCTTCTCTCTAGAAACCAGCAGACATTGCAATTTTATCAGTAACTGTGCATTTCATTCATTTAATTGCTGATTAATACCTGACCCATCCTAGAAAAGAGTTAATATTTAATAAGTTCCAATTGTCTCTGAAAATTTTTCTCTCTACTCACTTTCACTCCTTATGAGCAGTAAAAAACAAGAATTAATATTGTAAAAATACTTTAACCTACCTTTGAATACTGAAATGATCTTTCTGTATTTTTTCCTCAAAAAACACTAATTTGACTCAGAGCATGTCTGCAAGAAGGGGGTGTCCTGAGTAAAAGAATCACTCAGACCAATAGCTGGGATGGGAGTAGAGACACAGGCCTGCACTTGCTTCTAAACCCAAGGCCATTGGTAACCCAGAGAGCTGTTGTGGCTGAGATTAATTCGACCAAATTGAAAAAGCAACAGTCACAATAGCATCAGAGTACAATAACATCAATGACCATAATGACAGACTTATTGTTGAAAAATATTATCGGTGTTACAATCTCCACGCGAACACAAAACACATTTATCTTGTATCAGGTGGTAGTTCTAGACCCTGGCAACATGGAATCTATAAGATGTTTACTCAATTATATGCTGAATAAATGCATCCAGGACACCACCTTCATCTTGAAAATGAAAAAAAAAAAAAGCAGTGTACATGCTAATTCCACAGATAATAACAAGAGCCACTCTAGCCTTGGATTAGTGAAAATATCCTAATTTTCCATCAAGAGTTCTTATCGGATAAGAATGCCAAAGTAATCAGAAACATATTTAACGTGATTTTTTGGCGCTTAAAAATAGCTTTCAAATGCAGCCTCTCGCGTGATGATCGCAGCTCTGTGACAGAGAAAACGGCCTCTGTCAGAAGGTGAAGTGATGGAGCAGCGCGCGCTGGCCATGGAGGCAGGCGACGCTGATTCCAGATTCTGCTTCTGACACGGATCAGCTCCGGGACTTGGGGCACATGTCTGTTCTTCTTTGTTTCTAACCTCTCCACGGTGGTACCACCATCCGAGGAGTCATCACACACGCTTTCCGGGGATCGGGGACGACAGACACGACCTTTACAACACGCCTGGCACGGAGACCGGCACAGAGTGGTGTCGCGCTTCGTGTCCTCTCTCACCTTCCCGTCCTGCAAGGGCAACAACCCTCGTCTGCCGGGAACCTGTTTCCCCCCTGGGGGACGCCTGCTTTAGAGCTGAGCTGAGACACAGCCTTCTCCGGCCAGACGCTTCTTCCTAACCCAGAGGTCTACGCCAGGGGATTTCAAACGTTAGTGTGCACCGGCATCATCTGGAGAGCTTGTGAAAACCGATTTCCAGAAAGCACCCTCAAATTGGCCGGCTCAGTGGATCTAGGGTGAAGGCTGAGAATTTGCAGTTCCAAGAAGTTTCCAGGTGACCCTGATGTTGCTGGTCCAGGGACCACATTTTGGTAACACTCCTGCAACAGCCTGAGCTCAAATAGTTAACCCCAAATGCACTATTTTATCATCCACTGAATTGTCTCTTTCCCCCACATATAAACACTTAGGCATCTCTTTTCACTCCAGTCTAACACAGTGTCTGGCACCCTGTATCACTCAATGCAGAATCGCGGAATAAATGACCGACTGGTAACCCAGTTAGAGAAGCAAGCGGAATGAGAGCCCGGGACTCCCAACCGGCAGCGCCTCTCGCGAGAGCTCCTCTGAATGAACAGTGACTGTGATCGAGGCACAGGCTTTATGTTCAGTTGACTTTCATGCTCATAAAAGCTCGAATGATGCATTTTTATGGGCTCAGAGGCGCAAAATGCTCTTGGTATGCCTGAAATTAAAGTTAATGTAACAATTGATCTGAAATCGGTTATATCGGATTTTTTATTGTGATTTTGCCATAAAGTCTATATTGCATTGACAGATTCTTCCACTCGGGCCTAGGAGGAATGCAAAACGGTGAGACACTGAGGCGCAGGGTAACTGGGATGGGGGAAAGCATTCATAATCATTCATTCTACACATGTTTTTGAGTGCTTACCCCGCCATGAAGGTTACGAAACCACGTGAGCCAATCACTGAGTGGAAGACATGTAATTAACTCAGTGTTATAAATTAACTGAACTATTAATTTCAATTAATGACTTACCCACTTCAGTTAATGACCTGTGTAATCATTTTAAATATAAAAAATAAGTCTTCAACTTTACTTTTACTTTCCATGTCAAATATAATAAAAACAAGCATTGTCATTCTCCCTTTTATTAGTGCTATTAGTTGTCATTAAAGAGGAATTAATTGATGTCATCATATAATTAAGTATTAATGGAAAAGTCCATGTGAGTGACTCAGACTGTTACTAACACTTAATAGCAATTATGTATGTTATTTTTTCATTAGAAAGGGAAAGGAAATAACAGAATTAAGGCATTAAAAGCAAAGTGTATATAAAGACAAGTACATGCAAAGGAATGGCTGACCAGCTACGGAATGTAGGATGCTTGAGAGAGGTCGCTAATTCAAGATTACTTAAATCTTACCTTAAGATTGTGGATAAAATTTGCAAAAGATGGGAAACCTGGAAATATTTCCTAACAATATGAAAAGATAATATATAGAAAAGTAATATAAATCAGGACAAAAATTATATAGGAAACAAATGAAAAAAAAAAACAATGGAGGAGCACCTGTCTATAAATGAAGAGACAATAATTTTAAGGGTATAGTTACTTTAAGATGCTTTCATAACTTTTGAAAGAATCAAAATATTTAACTCCAATAAGGCAATGTGATATTCCACCATTTGATGATTTCATTTTAATTTGTAATAGTCTTATGTGGCAATACATGCATTTTAGAGATGTCTTGAAATATGAAACACTTTAAAAGAACAATGTAAAGAAAACATATATGGATTCACAGTATTCTCTGTAATTACAATCCTAATATGCATTTCTCTATCCCTACAACCAAAATTAAGACTGTGTGGTGCTTCTGAGAGCAGTCAGTCGTATTTGTCGCAATGGGAGAGGGAATGAGTGATAAGTAACTGAACATTTAATAGGTGAGACAGATGGGTCAAGAGGCCTACTTCATTTACTATTGAGCGCTGATCATCTGGGAATACCTTTGGGGGAAAAGTTTCTTTATCTGTTTTACTGACCGAAGCAAGAAAAGCATAGTGTGTTTATGTCCAACAAGAAAATTTGATTTAAAATGGTATCTAATTTAAATAAAATAACTAATTTTAATAAATTCATAAAGAGGACAGACATCAAACACATAAAACAATGCAAGCCTGGAAGATATGGTCATGCCAATATTTTACAAGTGAATTAAAAGAATGGTTTACTAAGGCCTGCGCAGACACATCCTGGGTATCTGAGGCGACGGCATCAACAGCCCCAGTAGGTACAGTCTATAGAATCTTAACAGCTCACGGGATAGAAGTGGGTGGCCATTGAGCTTCATTGAACATAGGCCTTACATCATAAAAATGTAATTTTTTTATTCAGTGGTCATTTTAGATAGTTATGCCCTGCATCACCAGGGCCACATTACAGACATGGCAGTAATCCCCACCCTGTTGTCCACATCCATGGGTCATACATGAATGCATATGTGTTCTCTGTCTAGTCTCTCCCCCTTCTTTCCACCATTACCCCCTGCCCCACCCCTCTGGTGGGCTGGGTGGAGGAGGGCAAAGGGGGAAAATTTGGGGCAACTGTAATAGAATAACAATAAAAAATGATTAAAAAATAATCATGAAATAAAATAAAATAGCTGCACAAACATTAAAAAAAGCCACATTAAAAAAGGGCAATGTTTATAATATATTCTTCTCAAAATTAATTTTTGAAATAACACTGAAGAAATCATTTGCATTCTATTTTTAGGAAAGGGATAGAGAGAAGGTTTAAAAGAACAACCAGAATTTACTTCCTGGATAATGAGATTAACATCAGAGTGAAAAAGCCTCTTTAGTAAGTGCATTAACAAGCTAACGTCGGCAGTGGGTGTTTCAAATCTCTAAGGGTTTTGCTTGAAATCCCTGTTCATGAGCATTAGGGAAGCATGCTCTTTCGTTCCTCAGGCTTTTCAGCCACGGATTTTCTCATCTGGGGGGATGATCAACGCCAGAGAAATTAAAACAGTACAAATACTAAACCCAGATCAGAAATAAGTCTGACTGGGTAATAATATAAAAACACTTGATATAAAAATCAGATAGAAAGCTGATATTCTCTATGCTGTATTTCCTAACACACTCCATTTAGAGTTTCTTATTTACACAGAAGCATCCCTTAATGCTGGGTTAACTTCATCCAAACAACCTAGGATATAGCAGTTACAGGGTTTTTTCTTAATTCTTTCATGAAGTCACTGATGTCTACTGGTGCAATGCCGTTTCCTGTTGGAAAACTTTGGGATGTGTTCCCCTGGCCTTCCTTTGTCTCTCTTAAACCTGTTTCTAAGTTCATTTAGAAAGCTTATTTTATTTTATTTCTTGTTTTTCCTGTTGCTCTTCATTGTAATCTCAAAATTCCCCCAAAACTCTCTAAATGAAACTATGCAATGAAGATGGAGAGATAACTTTAACACATTTTAAAAATTCCATTTATTACTTTCCCTGGTGTCATTTTGCCTTATAATTAATTATAAATACAACAGTAAATCTAGCTGCCTATAGTAAAAACTACTACTTTTAACAAATTAGGAGAACGGTAACATCCACTGTTGTTGAAAACAGGGAAAACAGGCTTTCTGGTGCGCTGACTGGAGTGTAAAATGGGACAAACGTCCCTACAAGTGATGTGAAAACAGAAAAACATCACGTGATCTCACCTATAAGTGGAACCTAGTGAACTAAACAATCAAGCGTGCAAAACAGAACCAGAGACATGGAAATACAGAACAAACCGGCAGTGACCAGAGGGGAGGGGGAAGGGGTATAACTGGAAAAATGGGGAAGCTTCAGTCAAGTCAAGGAACAGATATCTAGGGCTGGCTCGTGGACAAAGGCAATGTGGGGTGGGGGGGCGGGAGGTGAGAACTAAATGTGGGAGAGGTGAGGTGAGCAGGGTGGGGGAGAGCAATGGGGACAATTGTAATTGAACTACAATAAAAATATGTTTTAAAGCATTCAAAACCTGTAAGTTCTCTAGCCTAGGAAATACACTTCTAAGAAAGAACTGCAAAGCAGTGCTTGCTTGCAAAATTGTTCATAAAGCATTGCTTATATTAGCAAAAAAAAACCCCAGAAATGTCTAGAAATTAAGATTGAATAAATAAATTACTGTACGCATATAGGGTGACCTGGAGAGAACGCCATGGAAAAGTTTTGTACAATGACGCCAAAGAGCACAGGATTGAGGGTGGGAGGTGGGGGTGGGTGGGGCAGGGGGAAGTGGTGGCAGGAAAATAGAGACAACTGTATTTGAACAACGATAAAATAAAATTAAAATAAAATAATTGTATGTATACTGTGGTTCTATTTCTATTAAAATATGATGTATTTATATATATAAATGTTTGGACTCACACCAACACACTATTGCTTTTCTAGAATGTGTTCTCTCTAGAAAGGTCAAATAGGGGTAATTTCTTTTTTTCCAATTTTTTCATTACAATGAACATATGTCATTTCAGCAATATGAAAACATGTAAATATTACTTAAACTATTGAACGGCTAAAGAATCTAACCACAGTAATTAGAATTTTTATAAATTTGCCTTGTGTGGTGTGAGTAGCAACTTATATAAAGATATCTGAAAGTTGAAGTGCACTTTCATCAGATTGAGCAGAACAAGGGGACTCAAGACCCAGATGCACCAATAAGGGCTGGGAATGAGATCACTTCCATCCTCAAATTCCTGCAGTGGAGTTTCCCAACACCAATATCTTGCCTCAATTTCAAGTCATCAGTATTGCATACCTAGCATTTACTAATCATGTTTTCTCTATCGTAGCCAACATACAAACTGGAGAAATCTCTCCCTGTAATAAATAACCTCCAAAAATCAGTGATATCTATTCTTTGCTCAGGTGTTCTCATATTCAAATGTATTACAATTTGGGCGGGGGGGCGGGGGGAGGGACAGCATGCTTCAAAATCCAAATCCCTCTTGTTGAGTACATATCAACACTTGAAGATGAATGGACACTTACATCAGTCTCTAGCCCGTCAGGGCCGGTGTCGTGGATGTCGGGGTATTGTTTCAGGAACTGGGCGACATAGGTCATGATCGACTTCTCATCTGGCTTATCTACATCCACATCTGGGAAAACCAAAATCAAGGGTGAAGACATGAATTCACATTATAGTGTAGTACTACAGTGTTGAGATCTAGCCAGTATATCAAGGACACTGTCCTAAAGGAAGAAGAGAAATAAAGGTTGTGTTTAGAGACTTTGTGGGGAGGGGCAGGGAACAAATGTAGTCTGAATGACGCATGGTGGAAATTTTGCAATTCATAAAGAGGACATATTAACTAGGAGCTTTAGGAAAGCAGTATCTGTTTCATCTAAATCTCAACATGAATTGATCAAAAACCTGAGAAACTATATGGCTATTCAGACGTTCGATCTAGTTAATAAAATACAAATATTAAGTAAAGTTCAGAACTGCAGTGAATGGGCAGTACTTAAAACACAGGTGTGGCACTGACAAGCAAGTGACTAGAAAGCTGGTGTAACTGTGTATGGCCAGATATACACCCCCCCAAATCCTGCAAAGTTTGCTTTAGAAAAAAGGAAGATGCCATATAGTCAATCCCTTAGAAAGCCTTTCCATTGTTAAGCAATCTCTCTAAATTACTGTACTTCGAACAATGAAGTGCTTTTTGAAGGAGACACAGAACCTAAAAAGATTCCAGTCATTGTCATGTTAAGTTTATAAATGTTTACCTAACAAAATTAGTAAAATTCAGGCAAAGATATTTATGCAAATTTAATCATTATGCATGGGGTAGGACTATATGAATAAAAGGTATTGAATATTATAAAAAAGTCTTTTAAATATTCTTTTTAAAATAAATGAAGGAAATGATTGTATTTTGGAGATTAAAAATATAAAATGTGTACCTACAGAGCAAAAAAATAAAACAAAAGAAATAAAAAAATCAAAATGGAAATATAAAACTGCCCTAATATTTTGTGATGTTCCTTGTGCTTTGAGATATAATTTCTCAGGCTTAATCAATGTGGGATCTAAAAAGTTGCAACTTAAACAACTTAAAAAGAAACGAAGATAATCGTTCTGGAATCTGTAAGATGGCCCAAAGGTGATTTTAGAAAGGACAAGACCACTGATGTGGAAGATGCACGTGAAGAATGAGTAACACTTACAAAATGTGAAAGTAGAAAGAAAAACAACAGTTAATGAAAACAACAGTTAACAGTTATATATGAGTATGTATATAGTTTTAAGTATATATGTAACTAAATCACAAAATAGTTATTATAATGGATTTTGTTCAGTTTAATCTATATCCCTAAAAGTTTATACATTCAAGTTGATTAAGTAGCTTTTTGATAGGAAAGTTCTCATTGGGAAAATGAAGGATCACCTTACATGGGGTAGCCTGGGTTTGGGCCATCTCATTCTCTAATCATCAATGAAAACATTGCATTCCTCTGGTCCAGTGGATATAAAGAAACCATTTATACTCTCCTCCCATCCCATTCCAGGAAAAATTTGAGCTCAGGCGCGTCCTCTGAAGCTGAGATAAGAGTGTGACTTTCCCCAAGTGCCCTGGATATTGTTGGGTCTTGTTGTGCAGAAACAGGGTGGGAAGCTCTGGCTTCCCTTGTGAATCTAGGGGCCCTGACGCAGGTTCCTAAAGGGCCAGGGATCACCAGGCTGCTCCCCCATCTCAGAGGAGACTAAGTGTAAGTCTCCGAAGCTTACTCTTGGAAACACAGGTGCATCCACTTTGACACTGTTTTACCTTCCAAAATAGGTCACTTGCACTGTACTTTCACTTTTGCATTCATTAATACAATTTCCAGACATGCCAACCCAAACATGCAATTATCTCCAACTTTTGGGAGATTCACTTTGACACTTTTACTTCAATATAACAAACAACGCAGTTTATTAAAGTGTATTAAAGTCCTCAAAATTGCCTTTTGAAAACTTGAAAGAGTTAACTCCATTTCTAAAAAGTCTTCAAATTCAGAGCCTTACCAAAATGGTCCCCAACAACTGCAGTGAAAAATATTAGTCAATCATTTGTGTAGCTTTCTTGATTGACAACCCAAACACTGGATGGTTATCAACATTTCTAAGTATTTAATAACTGAAGTTTTAAAGAGATGATCTTAGGTTACTAATAATCTTTTATTTTTTCCAGATACTTTGGAGTTATATACATGCAGTAGTCCCTTTATCCAGTGACACAGCTCCCCCGCTAACACATGCTTACAAAGCTTTCACTCCACCCACAAGTACAATGAGTGTAGTTCACCTCACCGAGCCACCGATGACAAAATGGTAATAGAGCAAAATGGTGATTGCAGTGATAGAGCTATATTTTGCTCTCATATGTAGCAATAAATGTTTTTTTCCAAAAGAAATTAGGACAGGAAGATACTGTTTATTTGTGCTCTTCTCACATTTTCTAGCCTCTCACAGAGTCTTGAAAGTCATCTTTAATTTCTGGGTGTTAAACATACAGACCCCCCAAGTTGTGTCGACAATGACTGAACGAACCTTCAGGATCTAGTAACCTGGGGATCCCCAGTTCCGTTTCGGCGATCGTGAAAGCCTCCTCCAGGTTCTCCCGGTTAGATCTTCCTTTCAACCTCTCCAAGTCCACTAGCTCTGGGCGAATAGCGTGGATGACCGAATGAAAGGCGATCCCGTTTCTCCAGCTCCGCCCGAAGTCCTTTACTTCTATACCGGTCTGCCTTTGTGAAATTAAAAAAATAAAAGAAGGATGTCACGTTCTGAATGCAAAACATGCATTTTTCTCAAGGCCTCACGCAGAATCCAACACTCATTAGCAGTACACGATACGTGGTTATCTATAGCAGTTAACTGGTTTTGAGAAAAATTGAGCAGAACAGTATTTTTAGAGGGTAATAAGATGTAAAAATTCTGCTTCTGCACTTAAAGATGTCCATAGTAGATTTTTCAGTAATTGAGACAATTTAAATCATGTATTAAATAAAACTGTTTTTGGTAAAAATGTCTAGCAAAACAAAAAGGATACAATTATAAAAACATATTTTTTAAAAAACTGTCTAACATTTTTAATGGTAATGATAAGCAAACTGTGTTGTACATGAACATTAATAAACATTAAATGAAATAACATCATTCAAATCTCTTATTTTGCCCAATGTTCTCAAAATTTCTATGAATTGTAAGATAAAACATATCTGACTGATAAAACCAATTAATACCAAAAGTTGATAAATGCCCTTAAATTTTATCTCATAAAATTAAGATTCACTTTCAATAATGTTTTACCAAAGTACATTCAGTTTGCATAAAATATATTACCCTAAATACAGCATCATTTGATCTAATCATTGGCTTCCTAACTAAATATTAAAAAAAAACAATTTTGTAAGACTCTAGAATTTGTAAAGTAATCCTGAATCTTCTCCTAGTTCTTTTAGCATTTCTGTCTTTGGCAGTACATATATAATTTTTTTTCAGTCGACATACTGGCCAATATCTACGAGGCTGAGCAGAATGTTCTGTTATCTATTCATTTGTATATTTGCCTCTGGCTTCATCTTACTTTTCTGCCCGTATTTTCCCTTTGCCCATATTTTCTTACTTTGTACTCTGTGTCTCATAAGCCACCTCAAAATATTTTTATCAAAATAAGATGGGATATAAATAAATAATTAGCTAATAAATATCCATTATATAATATATTTTCTGATTTCCTTGAACTTGTTTATTGTTTTATAGATTTTTGAAAAATAAATATATAAAATATATCTCTAAATATTTACTGTGTTGGAATAACATTTCACTATGTTTTCTTCTATATTTACTATTTGTGTTCACAAACACACACACCCTCTGTCTCATATTAGATCAAAGTATATATGATATTCCTGAAAAGGTTGTATCAGTCCAAATCTCTCATTTAAGAATCTTAGATGCAAAAAGTGATGAAGTATGCATAGTTTATGAGCACTTGCGACCTCTAATACATATTACTAAGTTATTTCGACTGGATCTGATATATATACATTTGTTGGCTTATATTATTAATTTTGTCCTGAAATACAATTATTTTCTTTTTCTTAGTTGAAAACAAGGCATGCTCTCATTTCTGAGAGTCCCTACTGTTAGTACGTGAAATCGTTAAAAAGTAAAAGGGACAGCATCGGGTGCTTAACTCTCTTATGCTGCTGGAACAGTTTTTGATTTAATACTCAAATTTTTCAAAATTTTACATAAAAACTGACGTTAAACACAAAGTTTTATTACAGCAGCACTAGGACGAATGCCATAGCATGTGGCTGCCAGCCTGCTCCTCGGCCACTCAAACCGCAAAGGAGACTGGTGATGCGCACTGCAGGCGGAGGGCAAACAGCACACAGGCAATGAGGGAGGGGCTTTTCATTGCGTTTCTGCTACAGTCTTTCAAGAGCCACAAAGCTCTGCTTTCAGAAATAGTTTTGAATGCAGTTTGATTAAAAAATATACCCCAAGTTAGAAAACCACCAACACACTTTAAAAATTAAACAAAACTATGTTAGTGACACTAATTATATCTTCTTTATGCGTGTCTCCCCTTAGTTTTCCTTTTCAAGTACTTTAAAAAGAGAACTCCCTGTTTAGTGCCTCAGTATTTTATAATGTAAGTACTTGTTTACAACTATTTTCCAGAAATAAAGAATATGATTCAGATTAGCTTTAGTCAGCCAAAACAAAATAGAAAGTCAGTTAATTTTACTTATTATTTAGAAAATCATACAAAAGCACAACTTCTTTGTGAAGACAGCTTACCACTGACCACACCTCTCCATACAATATTGGTATGATCAGTTAAAAATTATACTGAAATTGTTATGAAAAGATACTTTTTCAGAGTAGTACTTTTCTATCCACAATTATCACATAAATGTACACACACATAAATTTATTTTACTTAGAAGGAAACAAAACTAGAAGCAAATTATCCATCCATAAAGCTGGAATTGACATTCCAGATACATGATGAAACCAAAGGAAAAAAAAATTAAAAAATAAAATTGCTAGAAACTTGCAGGAAATAATGACAAATATAGTATTTCAAAAGGTGAGCTTTAATTCACATTATTATTAAATGAACCCAAGTCTCATAACAAGATAATCAAATTTAAATCTCAAGTTTATTTGTGTAAAGATTTTTTAATGGGGGCAAAAGTCCAAACAATGACTTAAACAGAATTAGCCCTCATGCTACTAATCATAGTGTAGGGATTAAATGACTTAATTAATCAGGCCCAATGACGTGAAGGAGGAATTGGCTTTACTACAGCATTTTCCTAGAGATTCGTGATGACTTGTGTTTATATTTTAACTCAAGGAAACAACGAAACAAAACCTGAATCAGAGCCACTCATTCACACGTCTCTTCAAATGCTGCAATCATTGGAAGACGGACACAGTGATACACCGATGATTCAGATTATTCAAGGGTTTCAAGTGTATCCACACTCCTGGCACTTACTTGGCTGCTGTGTACTGAACCCACTTCAACAAAGCCTTCTTAGCATTTCCTTGGACCTTGGTGGCCACCTTCCGTTTGCTGGGGGGGCTGGCCGTCTCCGAGCTGGCCATGCTGTCCAGCGAAGACGTGCTGCTGGACAGGGACTGCAGCTGCGGCAGGTTGCTGGTCAGCTCCTCGATCTGCATGTGCGGAAATCATCAGTGAAGACAGAATGATCTTTGTTCTTCTCTCCCCAGATGTCTACTTTCCCAACTAGCAATGGTTTATCTTAATACCCTTAACGCTGCCAACAAAATGTAAGTTCTTAAAGGATGGGATTGACATCTTACTCCACTTGGTACTTCCCACTGCATCTAAACCTGTGCAGAGGTAACTTTCATGCAGTAATAAACACTCAGGAAATACACCTGGCTTAATAAATAAAACCCAATGGCTACCCAAACCATGGAGTGCACAACACCAAAAGTAAATGTAAAAGCCTAATGTAAACTATGGACCTTGAATGACAGACAATGCTGTGTCAACACAGGTTCTTTAGTTGTAACAAACATACCGCTCCGATCAGGGATGTTGGTTATGGGGTGGCTATGCATGTGTGGGGGCAGGGTTATAGAGGAAATCTCTGTACCTTGGGCTCAATTTTGCTATAAACTTAAAACTGTTCTAAAATCACGCAGGCTAGAACTGTTATTCTGGATGGAATGGCAAGTTGATTTCACCCCTTCATGTCTAATAGGAATATAGGAGCGCCCTTCCAGCAACCAAAGAAACATTTTCTCAACTTCCTGTTCCAATGTCATGCTCACTGTGTCCTCTGCACTTTCCCTATTGGGGACCTATGCCAGAGTTTTTGGGGGGAGTTCCATGTATATAACACCTTCACAGGGAAGAGGATTCTGCTACCAAAAGCCAATGGATGTGTGAAGGTCAGATCTTTTCCAGCTTGAGAATGTACCCCAAAAGTATGACAAGTGACGGCATTATTAAAATGTCCACAATGACTTCCCTCCACGACACTGTATCAACTGATAAGGGAGCTGTAGCACAATACCTGAAAATAGAGGATAATGGTCCACACCAGTCCAAGAACTATTGAGGGTCGGCCATCAGCAATATCAGTGGCGTTAATGTTGACTAATTTAATCTGTTTGAAAAGAAAAACTGTACTAGTAATGTACTGGAAGACGGTAACCCATTTAACTATGCAACCACGAGCACCCTATCAGCCATCAGGGAGACGTGGCCGTGCCTACGCAGTGATACACACGAGGGGGCAGGGCGAGCCGTGGCAAAAACAATGAGCACGCAGTTTCAGGGGATTTCAGGAGCATTCATTAGGTGCACACAATAAAATTAACTACAAGATGAAATAAAACGCTTTCAGTTGAAAAAACACGCCATCATGCAAGTAATTACCAACAAAGTGCCAGACAGAAAAAAAAAAAAATGGTTATTCTTTACATTCAGGACTTGACTGGAACTTAAAAGAAACTGGGATGAATAGTTTAAGAAGATGCACTTACTTTGAAGTTTGTTACCAAATAGCATGAAACTTATGTTCTCTTTTACCTATAAAAGTCAGGAGTTAAAAATTCTAAAGTTGGTACTAACCGGTGATCCTCTGTACATGGACTGACATGAAAAGCAAAGGGAGAAGATGATATACAAACATAAATAACCTTTGAAAATCAGCCGTATTGGTTCCAAGGGAATAAAAATGTAGGTAGGACGTTTATAGCATTATTTGGAGAATGCATTTTAAAGACAAAGGAAAGCCAAGAAAGAGTAGTGGAGAAAGACTGTTAGTGTCCAGTTCCCTGCTTTGGGGCACTGATAACTATAAAGTACTCAGGACACAGGCTAATCTGCATACAGTTGTTCCCAATTATCCATTTCAAAGCCTTCCCAGCAATCAACAATGTCACTTCCTAAGTCCTAGCAAAAGGACATCTCAGTCAATGTCTATAGAATACAGTTAGAACTGCTCATCGACCTTTTCATAATCCCTAAACAAATACAAAAAAAATAATAATAAAGTACTCAAACTCCTCGCTTAATAATTTTCAGCCACAATTTCATGAGCTGTTTTATTGTTAATAATAAAGTTCAGAACCTTGAAAAAGGTTTACTTTAATAAAAATTTATCAGATGCATAATCATCCCACAAATACTTTACTCTTGAGTAATTAGTTTCAATTTGCTAGTTATCCATTAAGAGGAATAGTGTAAACGCTAGCATAAAAAGCATTGGGAGTAATTTGATTCACAGTTATGGAATTTTGTCTCCCTGGCAACTTTTGTACATCATGTTCAGAGACAGAAAACAATTGAGAACTGACATAGACTGTCAGCTTATGCATCTACTTCTCTGAAACTTAGCCCTGTGTAAGACATATAATATGTTTGCGGAAAATAAGAACCTTCAAGTTTCTTTACACTTTTATGACAGACCTACTGCAATTTTTATAATCATTTTGATTCTTCTATAATTTCTCTGGAATTTTCTCCACATTTATTTTAGTATCCATGGACCATAGATTTATAACATATCCTAATAAGCATAAGATTGCAGTCCACCCTCTGTATCCTTGGGTTCCAACCACAAATCGAAAATATTCTAAAAACATAAGTTCTGTTGTTGGGGGCATGTACTATGTAGTTAGGCCCATGATGGGTGGGCTTGCAGTGAATGCACAGACTTTTTTTCTTATCTTATTCCTTAAACAATACGGTAAACTGTTTATAGGGTACTTACATTGTGTTAGGTATTGTAGGTAATCTAGAGATGATTTAAAGCATACTCAAGGATGAGTGCTGTTTCATGCAAATTCCATACCCTTTTTATATAAGGGACTTGAGCATCCTTGGGCTTTGGTATCTTTGGGATCCTAGACCGCACCAGCCCCCCCGCCACGCAACACACAGAAACTGAGAGAGGCTGTAATGCATTTCATAGAGGACAGATCATTTGCTGTTCCTTGTATATCATTTGTTTTAACAGTGTGATTGAATTTCAGTTGATTTTCCTATGTCTACCCAGCTCTAACTATACTATGGAGTTAATATATTCAACTTACAGAACCTAATATTTGCTCAACTTGTGAAAAAATGTTTTTAATCATTGTTTTCTCTCCTAAAAGCTGTGGTTTCACAATGAATTTACAGAGCACAGGTTTGTTTGCTTTTGAGTTCCTCTCCTTTGAAAAATCCCATTAAGCTTACAATAAATTCTTAATAGCCTAGGAGGTGGGATGAGCAATAGAGAGACATCCAAAGAGACTGAAACTCTTCCAGAAGCCAGAAAGAGGATGGAATTGCATGACTGAGCAAAACCAGAGAAGAATTTGGACCCGTGGCTCTCAAAGTGAACTCAGAGCAGCAGCAAACACATCACCGGGGACCTTGTTAAGAATGCAGAACTCGGGCCTTCACCCCAGACCTGCTGAACCAGAAGCTGAGGGACTGCAGACCAAGAATCTATTTCCACAAAGCCCCCAGGTGGTTCTGATGTATGTCAGCCTTTCAGAACCCTGGACTAGATCACTGTACTTGACCCACATAATCTGGAAAATTTTGATTTTGCAAGACAGAAACCAGGATGGATTGAGCTGTGCATCCCCTAAATTTGTATGTTGAAGCCCCAGTTTGCAATGTGCCTGTATTTGGAAGTATGGCCTTCAAGAAGGCAATTAAAGTTAAATGAGGTTGTAAGGGTGGGGCCCCAAATTACAAAAGGCTAAGTCTAAGAGTATTGGTACAACCATTTTCAAGGAAAATAAGCAATGCCTTAAAAAACTGTGTATATACTTACCTTTAGATTAAGCAATCACACTTCTAAGAATTTACCCAGAAAGTGTACTTTCAATAATATGGAAGTATGTATGGCAGTTATTAATTCCATCACTGTTTCTGTTTGAGTAATATTAGAAACAATCTAACTGCTCATTCTTAGGAGAGTGGTTACATAAACTCTGGCACATCCAGACCATGGGATACTATGCAGCTATGAAGATGAATGAGGAAGACCTCCATGAACTGAACTGATTTGGATGATTTCTAGGATATGCTGTTAAATTTAAAAAGCAAGTGCAAAAGTGCATCTGTAGTACACTTCCCTCATGTGAAAAAGAGGGAGTATATGAAGATATATCTGCTCACCTGTGCAAAAGAAACACAGACATGATAAATAAGGAACTCGAGAGACTATTGTCCTAGAAGAGTGAGAGGGAGAGAAAGGGAAGGAAATGATGGTGGAGTAGTAAGGATGAGGAAGGAGTGGCATTTCTCTAAGCATAACTTTTACTCTTAGAATCATAGTAATGATCTCATTACTATGTGATAAATAAAAACAAAATAATCAACTAGAATGTGTGTGCGTGTGCGTGTATGGGGAGGTTATCCAAAACGGAATAGAACTCTATTTCAAATGAATAACATAATCACACTAAATGGGATGGGAAGAACAGAAGTAACCTAAGCAAATTTGAGAAACAGCCTTTGACTGGCTATTGCAATGCTAAGGACCAAAAGAACTGCACAGAAATGCTGCTCTCCAGTTAGTAAATATGTTTCTCATAGAGTTATGGGTTAGCAATTCTGAAACTATTTTATGTGCATACTAGGGCTGAAAAATAAGTGAGTATATTATAGATGAGAGCCACAGTCTCACTGTAAAAGAAAACAGAAACAAGCATGGAGAGCTAGAATAAATCTTGTGGCACTGCATTGAAGTCAGAAGTATCAGTTTCAACTACTAGTGCATATACAGTATAGTATATATACATATATTATATATAGTACACATAGTATATGTATATAAACTATACTATATATGTGTGTGTATATGTGTATGCGTGTACACACACACATGCACATACACACACACATACATGGCTAGAGAGGAAAGGAGGTGGGAGGGAGGGAGGGTGAGAGAGAGAGAGAGAAAGATGCCCAGGTTACTGGACATTTTCTAGATCTGCCTGTTGAGAGGGCCTAGGAGCAATGAAATCTCAGTAGCAATGAGCACACCCAAATCTTGGTTTCCAAATGATGCCATTTGCTAACAACAGAATCAAAACTTCCTTAGAAAAGTAGCTGATTCTAGAACTGGGGCAGGGAAAATACAAGATAAACAAGAATCAGCCTGAAGAAACTTTTAATGGACAACAATTTGAACAAAATAACAATAGTGATAGTATCGGATTAAAACTACAGAACAAAATAAATATCCATGCATTTATGCTAAAATAAACAACTGAATAAAGTGGAGGAAAAAAGGAAATCTTTTCTTACAGTACAATTCCCATTACTGCATGTATAAGGAATGGGAGAAATATAAAATTACCATTTAGCAAACAGCACAGAAATAACTACTGAAGGCAATCAATGCTAAAATTAGTGAGCAAAGTTTAAGAATATTAGCACAATCTCTGTTATCTCCCTAAGTTATTTCTCAGTCATAATATAAAGAGAAAATAAAAATTTTACCAGAAAAGAAGTACAGGAAATGACCTCACCATTGATGAAGATCAACATGACCAGCAATAAGACCTCTCAGTAGCTTATAGCCTCTAACATGATGCATGGACAAGAATATAACATCACTTCCCTGGAATTCTTGCAGAACATGCATAACTTCAATACAATCATGAAGTGGAGAAGCATTCTTCAAAATAACTGACCAGCAGTTCTCAAAAGTGTCAAAGTTATGGAAGACAAGGAAAGAAGGAGAAACTGCCGTAGAGAGGAAGAGACAGAGGATGCAACACAAGGTGTGTGAGTGACTGCATCGTGAAGAGGAATAGGATGCTGGGGGAAAGGGAAGAAATCAGACTAATGCCTATGCTTCAGTTAATAGTATCAGACCGCCCTGGCTGGCGTAGCTCAGTGGATTGAATACGGGCTGCGAACCAAAGCATCGCAGGTTCGATTCCCAGTCAGGGCACATGCCTGGGTTGCAGGCCACGGCCCCGAGCAACCACACATTGATGTTTCTCTCTCTCTCTTTCTCCCTCCCTTTCCTCTCTAAAAATAAATAAATAAAAATCTTTAAAAAATAGTATCAGACCAGTTTGAATTTCCATATTTTGATGATCGTACTATGTATACATACATGTACTATGTATAAGTTCTTAAACTAGAAAATGCTAAATGCAGTATAGACAGTATAGACATGAAATATCTGTACCCTTTTTGGCCACTTTTCTGTAAATCTAAACTCATTTTACAATAATATTGCATGTGTGTGCACTGGAGGTTATATGCAGTGTTTTGACCCCACGGTCAATATTAAAAGCATCTGTTGCCCACTCCTTCTTCTTCGAGTGTTTTGGTTTTGTTTCTCTTACCTTCCTGCCTTCGAGGAAATTGAGGGCAGTGCCGATGTTAGCCACAGCATGGATCCGCTTCATACGGCGTCCTTGTTCACAGGGCTGTGAGAGAAGACGAAAAGATCAAAATGCAGAAATTAAAAAGATAGTTCCATAAGAATAATTTTTACAACTTTAAAAAATAGTTATAAAGTGTATATAAGTGTATTTAAGCACACTTGAAGAACATTCAAGAACAACCAGCATTACTCAATTTCTCTAAAGGTTCGCAGACACACAAAGGGGCATCATCCATCCACACGGCACCTTGAAAGCGCATCAGTTTACACAATGAAGGCATTCCTTCTCAGTTTCTCTGTTCATGCATTTGCCTTTCTGGTTTCTCTGTGTCTTAAAGCAGAAATTGTCCAAATTTCTATGTTTTCTCCTGAGACTGCCACTCATGCTCATATATGTTAGGAAATATTTACATGAAAAGTACTCTCAGCCCTGGCTGGCGTAGCTCAGTGGATTGAGCATGGGCTGCGAACCAAAGTGTCACAGGTTCGATTCCCAGCCAGGGCATGGGTAGGCCATGGGCATGGGTAGGGCCAGGGCAGGGCAGGGCATGCAGACCATGACCCCCAGCAACCGCACATTGATGTTTCTCTCTCTCTTTCTCCCTCCCTTCCCTCTCTAAAAATAAATAAATAAAATCTTTAAAAAATTACGTTAAAAAAAAAAGAAAAGTACTCTCGCTGCATGTGGTAGGGCACAAGGTATACAGGAAACCTCTATACTTTTCTCTTCCTGTTGTTGTAAACCTGAAACTGCTCTAAAAGTGTTTTTTTTTAAAAGGACTGTTGGTCACTCACCATTTTTAAAAATTATACTAACATGAAAGGTTATTGACAATATCTAGCATTTCTCTGTTTGGGTGACTAAAATACATGGAGCATACGAACCAGGGTTAAAAAGGAGGACTCTGAGAATGAAAAAAAATATATTATTCACACAGTAGTATGTTCTGGTTACTTATGTTTGAGTTTCTAAAACTTATCATGTGCTTTCCTTGTACCACAATGTTAATTTTAGAACTCAAAATAAGTTCAATGAGATGGATAGCATTAACCTCCTTGACACGGACAGGAGCCAAATGGGTAAGTGAGGTGAAGTGATTTCTCCGTGATTGCGTAGCTGGTAAACTGAGCTCCTCTCTGTGATGATCAACCCTCAATTATCTCCCATTAAAGCTCAAAACAGGACTTTTTATTTTCCAGTTAGAATGTACCAGGTAATACATTTTTATGATACGATTTTAAAACAAATATTTAAGTAACTATACCTGAATGAGTAGAGCACTTATACAGAAGTAAGATTCTTATGTCCAAACTATACACTTCTAAAATCATTTAGCATGGCAGGTAAATGCCCATGAAGGTTTCTGTATATTGATGGCCAAGTACGGTGGCAAAATTATATGGACTTTTAGCATAATATGCTTCTTAAATACACCCATTTGAATTGTAATGAAGCTTCCTTCAACTTTCTAGGAAATACATTCATTCAGGAGGCTATATGACAATGACCAGCTATATATTATATATGGCAATCAAGGGAGTATATATTTTAATTCAATGACACGTACGTCTCAATGTTAATCCAATTTATGTAGTTCAAGTCTATGTCTATCTCTTCCAAATTGGCTGTTCACGTGTCTTGTTCAATTTCCCTCAAGACAGAGCCTAAGACAAGGACTTGGCTGCTTGGAGGTTATTGGGGAGACAACCCCAGGTAGCAGGAGTGAGGATTTGTGAAAAGTGAAATAGGGAAGGGCTAAAAGCCAATAGAGCGTGTGGTCTTGAGGGTCCATGGTGGGCAGCTGGGGGTGGTCCCCTGGGGACCCTTTTGGGCACTCTATGAGATGTTGGGAACCGCCCTGACTGGTATTAGAAGCTGAGACCCCCGCCTAGGCTAAGGCTAAGGGAACGCCCTTGGAACCATGAGCCGGCAAGGAGACAAAAGCTTATCTTCCTGGCAGGAATGCTGTTTCTGCTGCTTTGTTCATAACTGAACCCCCCAAAAAGCTTGGTCGGTTAGCCAAAGACGGGTAAGATTCCCCACGGGGGAACAACCCAAGCCAGGCACGATCACTTTTGGGAGGCCCCCCAAAAGAAGGACTTGGGGGGCTGCAGCAAAAGGGGGTGATGGACCCTCACTCCTCGGCTTTGACAAAGTCTGAGTTCTCAGCGTCCAGAAGAAAATCTCCTTATCTCTCGGTGGCCTTAGTTCCCGCGCTCCACCTAAGCCTGAAACAATGACGGGGAAGTACAGCTCGGTACTGGGAAGTGCGGATTTCCCGGGGTGATCAGGCCTAAGAAAGAACATGTAAATTACTGTGAAACCTTCTTTGTTTAAGAACGCTCTCAGTTGAATGAGGAGGGTCTTAGGAGGAAGCTAGTTTGTTCCTCAGCCTTACAGCTCTTTGACCCCCCAACTCAATAGACCGGCAGAGTTCTTTGTTTTATATATTCCTTACTTCCCCTAATGAGTATTGTACGTTACCTGAGTTATTATGCAAAATGAGCCTAATAAAAGCAGGTATGGACGGTGGATCGGCGCGCTCCCCACTAGGGGGGGTGGCCATTCTGTCCCTACTTCCCCACAGAAACTGGTTTGTCTCTGTGCATGTGTGTTTTTTCTCGCGTATTGTCGAGCCATCCACAGTGTGCCGTGGTCACTGCTAGCCGGTGACCCACGCGCAACAATGAGATCTGTAAAATATGCCTCGGAACCATTCCTCCTGCAAATACCACTCTGGAGCATTATTCATGGACTCTCGTCGCCACTGGCTGAGGGTCTTTTGGGACCATTAAGTCTCCTATACTTGAGGGCTGCCTGGTACTTTGATAAGCCCTACGGGAAGAATCCCAGAGACAGACAGGCTACCAGTTTGTGAGATCAGATGCTGGCGGAGGGTGTGGTAACATCCAGCCCTGCGTAGCTGAAATCAGCCGGGAGCAGAGATGACATCCAGGGCCCAGAAAGCATCTGCTACAATATGAATCAAGTTGGATAACTGACTTATGTAAAATTAGTATCCCTTTGTATTTTTCACTAAACAATGATCTTCCAGAAGCTATTTTGAGGACTTCCTTCACAATATTAACTAGAAATTCATGTTCAGGGAAGAGCAATGTTTAAATAACTAAATTATCCAAGTGACAATACTTATTTCGTTCTTGTCAAGATGCAATAGATAAAGAAAAAATATGAGTGCTCCCAATTGTAGACCCTGTGTCTAGTACGTTATACAACATTATGAAGACTATTTCCTGAGCTTCTTTCTCTCATTACAGGAAACATCTTATAAATAGTTTATGTTTGCAAACTACTTACTTCTTTACCACTCTGAAAAGAAAAAACAATAGCCAGAAAAAAATAAATATTTTATTACTTGAGTAATGTAGAAAAATATATTTACAGCTCACTGGCAATGCTGTTTTTCACTCAGCAGGTTTCGCGGTGCATAAGACAAATGAGTCTGCATGAGCTGTTCCCAGACAGGACAAGTGACTGATGCCGGAGGATGTCCACAGCTTATGGGAAAAAAGTCACGTTGAATTCTTGGCCAGTCTACTGAGGGAATGCACGAACAAGAAAGGGAATGTATTCCTTGCTCCCCAAAGTGACCAGTTGTCTAGTGCTTCCTGCGTATTACTGACTACAGAAGAGAAAAACTTGATCTTACACACGCAGAGTCCCTTACACTTCCAGCTCCACAACCACCAATTCCGAATGGAGACAATGTGACGAGTCTGGTCACGGCAAAGATTCTTACCAGTTTCTGCCCAGACAGGACCTCCAGGAGAGCAAGCAACTTAACACCATCCTTCATGTCTTCAAAAAGGTTTTCTACCACCATTGGGGGTTTCCGCTGTAAAATAAAAAATGAGTAAATGCAAAAATTGCTTGTCTCTTCCTCTGTCATACCTTTGCTCCTCGCTGTGGTAAAGTTTGTAGAAGAAATTTCTGAAGTTCCTGCAGGATTTATTTTGGCAATTACCTCTTGATATTTCACATGTGTACCAGCATCTTTCTAGAAAGGGATTTGTGACAAGGGCGAGGGAGTATGGAATAAGGAGCATTATCAGTGTAAAAGACAGGAGATGTTGAAGCAGGACCTAAAAGGGGGCAGGAGGCACCCCAGTTAAACGAGGATAACCTCACTGAGTGAGCATATCTCCAGGGCTTCAACCAGGTGCTACACTTCCATGGGACCCTGTGTCCCAGGTAGCCTAGCTCAGCGACCTGCCGCGGGAGCACTATCAGCTTGGCCAAGGGCACAGATTTCATCTCCTGCGCGCTGGCTGGCTATGTTCTGCTCCACAGCCTGGCAAACCTCTCGCAGAGCGGCACTGAACCCAGCGGATCACAAGGGCAAGGGTGCAGACGGATCCGTGAAAAACTGTCACCACTACTAGAAAAAATAAGTCGAGGCCCACTTTCAGTTCACAGATCTTTTATTGTTTATGAAGATGATTAAAATACTCAATATACTGGGTTCATCAAAATTAAATTAAGGGGTATCTTTGCTTTAAAAAAGTAAAGAAGCGATAATGCTAATGTTGATGGGCAACAGAGGGTAGGGGTTCTCAGGTTTCTCGTAGAATAACATTTTTTTCCTATTTATCACCTAGGTTCAATCTCTACAGCTTTCTGGTTCTGAGTCATGTTAGAGACCTGAGGCTGGTTTTCTCGCTTTCAATCACCTTTCTTTAAAAAAGAGAAATTTCTACGTAGCGGTATTTAATTGCCAAATGTTTTATTGAAATGTGACTTTTTTCTCTACCCACTGATATGAGGCATTTATATTTCTCTTATGACTGCATGCATTATAGTCTCTGAGTGGTACAATTCTAATTTTAAACACAGTTTTCTCTTTTTATAAATTGAACGGCTGAATACATTTAGTTCTCAAGCTGTGAAATACATGTTCAAAAATAAGTTTTCATTTATAATCATTCTCTTCTAAATTCCACTATTGACACTGCTTATTATTTATACAGCAAAAATGTAATAGTGACTTTATATTCTAAGCATATAAATAAAATTATTCAGGATTAAATGAGCCATTACAATGAAAACAGTTCAGTGCAATAAGAATCAAAATTATTGTACAAGCTATACATAATCATTAGAATATGGTCTACTTATCATTGCAAATGCCCATTTGTACCTTACAGTTTTTTAAAGGGTTTATTTATTTATTTTTAGAAAGGGGAGGGGGGCAGATAGAGAGAGAGAGAGAGAAACATCAATGTGTGGTTGCTGGGGGGTCATGGCCTGCAACCCAGGCATGTACCCTGACTGGGAATTGAACCTGAGACACTTTGGTTCACAGCCTGAGCTCAATCCATTGAGCTATGCCAGCCAGGGCTCAAATTTTTTAAATAAGTGAATGAATTGTCTGAAGCCATTTTGCACGGACAAGTGTATACTTATACTGTATCCAAAATTATAAAAATGTGAATGGACTAAAATATATTTTATCACTCTTGTCTTTGTATTAACAGGGCAATCATATGCATATCAATGAAAGAGGGTTTGGGTGTTCGACTGAAACCAGCAATGTAGAATAAGACAAACCTACTTTGAAGCATTACTTGCATATCTTCACTTTACCAGCAGATACCTACACATCTGCTAGAATCCTGGACTCCCTCAGTGACAAATGTAACAGAGCCATCAAAGAGCTGTACAGCATGAAGGGTTCAGTCTTCCGCTAAGGAAATGACAAAATCTCCTGTGCTGGGAGTTGCCTGGGTCCTCATTTGCCATCAATACTTTTGGTCTCAGAACAATTGGGCCGTCAAAATGCTTTGTCTTCTTGAAGAAGACCCTCTCAATACATTGTGTGACACACAGAGAATGGCTACAGCATTTTACTTTAAAACTGTAAATACATTTCCTAGGGTTTAAAATGTGTCATTGCTGGGTGTCTACCCAGTGATGCTAGTAAAACGGAACTAGAAAAGCATCAGGGTGTCCAACCCTTTGTTGCCTCTGGGCCACACTGGAAGAAGAGTTGTCTTGGGCTACACAGTAAATGCAGAAACCCTAACAAAAACGGATGAGCAAAAAAAAGGTTTTAAGTAAAATTTATGATTTTGGGTTGGGCTGCATGCAGCCTGTGGACCCCAGGTTGGACATCCCTGCACAGCCGGCAGCACAGATGAACTCTCTACTCCAGCAGAGACACACCACTGTTGAGCACCGTCAGACATGCTGCAAATGACAGTCACAGCCTGAGATATTCCCAAATGGCGTGTGGCATGGCCCCAAGGCAAGGGCTGGCTCTCAGGGTGTATTCTGTGCACACACCATGGCCCGTCACTGCTAGGGCCGGACAGACCCCTACCTCTGGTTTATGTAAGTTTGAGGAAGGAACTATTTCACAGGCTGAGACAGCATATGGAAAAAATCCCATCCTAGGACCAGTCTAGAATGTTTGCATGCTCTGATGGTTAGCTGATGGGTGGGAGCAACGAGCTAAACAACAGGAACAGAGAGAGAAAGCGGGAAGGGAAGAGGGGTTGGCTGGCAGATGTGGTGCCAATGACCTCCCCAAAGGTTGGCAAAGAGCCCATCGCACTAAATGTCTCTAAAATACCCAAGTAGCCTCAGAGCAGATTGGCAAAATCATGATTCTAACCACTGACAGTAGCCAAATAAAATTAATTCAATATCCAAAAGGTTCTTTCACTTTATTCAGAAAAGCAAATTAGATTTTCCCAGTATTCCCCAAAACAAGATGAAGTGATTTAAAAATTTTATGTGTAATTGTTTTTCTTCCTTTCCCTTCATAAAAGCACCATTGTGATTATTTTCCACCTCTACTTGGCAAAAGTGAGAAGATAGTTCCCGTTCTTTTCCGTTTCCTATGACAGACAGCATAATCATTTCCACTTCCTTAATTACTTAATTCAGCTTCTAATAAACAGCCCAAAGGCAGCAACTGGCCTCCAGCCCGACTTTAGCCCTGCTTGGAAAGCTCTGCTCTTAACACCGCTCACATGTAGTAAGATTCTTTTCCCCGTCTAGTATGTATACAGGAAGCACGTTCCTCAAGTTATTTGTTTGATTCAGTACAAACTTGGGGTTATCCTTTACCTCTTTTTTCCATGCCCCATGGCTGATCCATCAGCAAATATCGTTGGCTTTATTGTCAAAGCACATCCAGAATCCAACCAAATCTCACCATCTACACTGCTCTGTCTTGGTTCCTGACACTGGTCTCTTGCCTGGATGACTTCAAACCTTCTAATTTACCTCCCAACATGTATCTGCCCTGGACTCTCTTCAGTCTGCTCTTAACAGAACAGCTTCTCCTGCTATCAGGATATAAGTGCCATAATGCAGGGTTTACTTTTACTGTTTTGTTCATTGCTACATTCTCAAGTACCTACAATACTGCTGGGGCATAAATACATACTGCAATATTTATTGAGTGAATGTACAAATAAAAAAATATATTTCTAAAAGAAGGAACTTTGACAAATGTTATCAAAATTTTTATTAATCAGAATAAACTTTTCTGGAACTATATCCAGTTCAGTGATAAATTAATACATTATATTAATAAATTACAGATTTGTCTTCATTTTGCAATGATAATTTTCCTTCATAATCTTTTAGTTACATATTAGGAAATAATTCATCAGTATGTTTAGGATTATCAAGCTCAAGAAAAGATTATCTATTAGCTATTATTTAACTATTATCAAGAAAAATAGCTAAAGAATGATTTCTGGGGCGAATTACCACATTTCCCTTTTCCCCTTTGCTCCTTTTTCTCCTCATCTTAGTTCATTAATGGTCCCACCAAACTGTATGCAGGAAACAGATGGGAGAAAAATGCAATTCTGAAAGTATTTCCATGTTATCTTTTAGTGCCGTTGGTGGAAAGACAACTGAAGAAGAACAAAGCAGCCCCCAAAGTGATATTTTACAAATATTGAGATGTCAATCAAAGTCATTATTAGACTGTGTTATTTTTTTTTACAAACATGGAAAATTAGAAGTGTTCCTTTTAAAGAAGTGTATGTGTCTAACATGTTATTAAAACACAATGTGCTCTTAATAGTTGAATTGTGCCCCCCAACTAATATATGTGAAAGTTTTAACACCCAGTACCTTAGAATGTGCTCTAATTGGGAAACAGAATTCTTAGAGAAGTAATCGAGTTAGAATGAGATCATCAGGATGGGTCTCAATCTTACATGCTAGTGTCCTTATATAAAGGGGAAATTTGGACATAAATGCAGAGAGGCACAGAGGCAGGAACTGAACTAATACAGCAAATCAGGGAATGTCAAGTAATGTAGGCCGCCACCAGAAGCTGGGAAGAGGGAAGAAAGAATTCTCCCCAGAGTCCCATAGGGAGCCCGGCTGTCTAGCTTTGAGAAAATGAGATACTAAATGTCTCATTTTAAGCTACCAAGTAAGTGGTACTTTGTTATAGCAGCCTTAGCAAACTAATACAGACCCTAAATAGTGTTTTATGGTGAGTTTTTCAGTTCTAAAAACAGAGGAAATGCTCATATCATGCCTGAGGCTATCCAAAAATTGCTTTGTTTAAAATGCTCAATGCCTGCTCTTAATGGCCCCGGAGATCTAAGGCAGGTGGATGGAGAAAGGACTGTTTGTTGCATATTGAAAGAGAATCTCCATTTATAGAAATGCTGAAAAAATGGCTAATTGAGACTTACTCCCCCACCAAAGGACTTATTGCCAAACTATATATTTATTTCACAGCCACCTATCATAAAGAATGAACCAAGGGCACTTAAATACAGATATAACATTCTCTTCTATTTGTAAAAATGAGAGAAAATGTGAAGCTACAAGCATTTAATAAGAGTATTACCAATGTTA